TCTAAGAATATGTTTGAACTTTTTTACATACATAATGACGTATGTTCGCACAAGGAAACCACCTTTTCGAGCGATACCTACTTACTTTTTGACTCTGTCTATATTTGAGTACGTACTCACACATGTGTTCGTACATCAAACTTTATATGTATGTCAATATACATTAAGGTTTTAGTACGTTTTACATTTATATATCTATACATATTGTTTATATATTTATTACATATACACTTAACGCATTTATCTATTATCTTACTGTAAACAGCTTATCATTTGCAGGGTTGGCATGGTATGTTTGCTGCGCACCTTAATTATGCATCGTGCAGTAATTACGGTGTTAAGTTAAGCTACAAGGACATATAATAACATGTCTAGCCTTTTTGACATTAAGTTTGTTATGTTACTGCTTAGGTATGTCAATATGTTAAGAATGTATGTCATAATAGGTATGTAATACATAATATATACTACCATGGTATGTTATAATTACTCTGACATTTGAAACGGAACTTACTTTCAATATATTGGTAGATATACCATTTAACGATGTATTATGGTCGATTAGTACCAGGTATAGGCAACATAATACATTTTCTTTATCTACATTTACATTAATAGGAATGTAAATGTAGATGTAAATGTAGAAATGGTAATGTTTTCACATATTGTACATGCAATATATCATGGTAATCACAAGGAAACGAGGCGTAGTAACTCGGTTATGTGCATCCAAAGAAGATACGATTATTTACTCTACCTTTTTGCAAGTTTAATATGTTTGTCGAGGTGCTTGTGTACTATGATATGTTACTAGACAAAGAACAGTTATGTACGTGTTATAATATAATTACAGTTGATTATAGGGCAGTAGACGTTTTGCAAATATTTAATTTACATTTTATATATGCCTTGCGGCGGTTTTGATGTTTTATGTTGCTCTTTTTGAAATTATAGCGACATTTTGGTATAAACTTTAAAATATTTAAATTTAAAGCAAATACGAACATGTATAAGAGGTGGGTGGTTATTGCAGATTACCTAAACTTTTGGAAGTCTCAACTTTTTAATTTATAATATTTTAATTAAGAATTACTTTTGAGGATAGATTAGGTAACAAAGAATGTTTTAATAAGTACATATTACCATATATTTCAACATATAATGGGCAGTAAGTGTTGTTTAAATAGGGCTAAGAAACATGTGTATACTGTTAATGTAGGGGGAGGGGAGGCTTGGTTTTTGGTGAGTGAAGTTTAGGGAGGGGTAGGTTTTATTTTGCAATTTTTTCTCTGCTGCTACTACTTTTCTTACTTGTAGCTTTATACTACATATTTCCTTGTACCGTTTGTAAACTTACTATTTATATATATTACTGCAATAAGTACGATTTCATTTTTGAGCTTTATACTGTAAAAAGATGTTTGTGCTTTTGCGAGCGGCTTTTAAATGTATGTGTAGCTATATATAACTGAAATATGTATCAGTCTTTCCACTAAAGAATGTTACAGCTGCACTGTGCAGTCTCTGGGAAAATCGCGCCCTTTTTACTCCGCTGCACAGTGCAGATTTCCTGCGCGATCACCCGATACAGCCAGCGATGTTAGGAAAGACTGCACAGTGCAATCCCTTCAGCGTCCCACCGGTCGGTTGTCGCAGAAGTCAGGGAACTGCGACAGACAAAACAATCTTGTCGCAATCCTTCCATTGAACACAGTGTTGGCTTGAGCGTTGGGACAACCGCGACACGCTGTCGCATCGCCATTTGAATCGCGACACGACAGTCTGTCGCAAAGCTTTGCACTTGCGACATTGCGATTCCCATTGGGATGTCGCAGGGTGCAAGCGACCGTCGCAGACCTTGTCGCTTGTCGCCCAATTCTCGGCGCGACAGCGATTCCCTGAAACTGCACTGTGCAGTTTTGTCACATTCTTTTCCGGAAAGACTGATATTTCTCTTCTATGTTTTACAACATATAAGTACCATATTAAGGTCAGTAGTAAAAGGGTTTTGCTTTTAGTAAAATTACATTTTGTATTTTACAACTGTACTCGTCAATTTATATGGTTTACAGTTATTTTATAGTAAATTTATTTTTTTACAATATGTCATAGCAATTGAAACTGAACATGTAAGTGCACATGTACAACTTGTATCATCTAGTAATTACATGTCTATTCACGTATGTTAGGGCGTTCAATAGTTTTTCTATATTGTGAAGATACGAAAGGTCAAGATTGCTTCAAAGGTACACTTTATAGTACAATACACTAAAGACCTGAACATTGGTATCGTATCTTCTGTTAATATTCTTCATTGTCGTATCTTTCAACACTGTTAAATCTGGCATTGTCGTATATTTATAATACCTCAAAGAGTACCATGGAAACAAAAGATGTTGCTGTATACCTTGGAATGGCAGTAATCTCTTGTATAGGTTATGTTGATATAGAGGATGTTTGATTACTCTGCGGTATATCTTCTCAGTAGATGGTTGTTTACTATCAGTTACTGCGTTGATGTTACAGTACTGTCATTATGTAAAATACCTTGAATTGTTATTGTAAGTTCATTTAAAAACATACGATATGTTATTGTACTTTACAGGTACGAGTAATGTCACTATGTTTGGTCGATATTTGATGTCTGCACTGTGCCTAAGTATGTTGTTGTAGATATATTATTGTGTTAACGTTAAGAAGAGTTAATGTATATATGTTTAGGTATATATAGTTGTACATATACATTTAGCTGTATATATGTGTATATGTACGTAGTATACAAGGTCTAAAAGTTGTTGCCATTTCTGTCCGACAACTTCTGAGGAAGATGTACAAACAGGACATGTTCTTACTGCCCTTTCTTGTTTATGTTCACATTATTAATTTTGGAACGGCCCAACGTTCCGTCGTGCGCACTTCCCTCAATTAAATTTTTGTTTTAATTACTTCGTATCTTGTTGATCTATATACCAAGTTACATAACTTTATTTTAGCTATAAGTTACTTTTACATTTTTATTCTATTATATACTTTTGTACCGGAATCTTACTTTTTTACAGAGTAATTATCTTACATTACCTTTGAAAACACTTACAGTTTCACCGTGGTATCTTTCGTGCAACCTAACGTTTATTTACAGTAATTTCTGGGAGTATGTTGATACCCATAATTACATACGATGTAATTACCGAGTAATTACTGTTAACCACTCTTCTACTTTACTATTCACTGTAACATTGTTGTATGTAGTGTGACATGTTCGGTGCTGTTGTACTACAATTACTGAGTTTACAGTGTTATTGATTGTCGATATTCATGCCTAAATCTTTATTTTATATATAATAATGTAATTTATGTTACTGTGCAAAGGCTACAATTTGGCTGATTAAGTATTCATTAAATTGTAAGAGCCTAACGAGTAATTGTAGTAATTATAAAGTTTTACTGCAGTGTAGGTTTGTAGAGATACGATTTGAAGGATTGTGTCTTTGGGTTCAGTTAATGGCTTCGGATTTACATTTACTGTGATTTTTGTTTTACATGCTAATAGTTGCTGTCTGTGTAGAGTGCAATATATAGCACACAATGTTACTGGGACACCACTAGTCGTATCAACTGCAGTTTTTAATATTTTTGCGTGGTATAATGTCGAAGTTGAGATTTTATGAGTTATCGTATCTTGTCTTTACTGTAAGGTTGAAAAATTTATTGAGATAGGTATAAATACTTTTCTCTACTATAAAAATCCTTTAAATTTAAATTTTTTAAATTTTGAAACAATTTTGGGAAATGTCATTTAATAGTAAACATACCACGGTACTTGCAAACATATAATAGATAACATTCTTATAAAGATTAACTGTGACGCTGTAGATAAACGAGATTGTTGTCATAGGATTACTTCCAAACGGTGCCATTGTATGTGGCATGCATACCTATGTAATGTGGTAATGCAACTGTTTACTGTGGTTTTGAACTTACGTATACATATGTAGGTATCACTTTATATGTCTAGATATTTACATATTTGGTATGTAAACACTTTTAGGGTTATGTCTATATACTCAGCGGTGAATGTACATATAACTTCATTTAGGTATTGTCATATAGATGAACTTACAGACACATTTTTAATATGTCATTTTACTTTTAAATGACTTCAAGTACCATTGACAGTTGTTTTGATACAGTAAAGTAACGTTCTTTTGAGTACAACACGTGTAATACCATTGAAGGTATTATGACATGTACTGACCTACTTATAAATATCATCCTGGTATCTTGTTTTACTTTGTTGTGGTATCTTATCAAGGAAATAATAATATATGTCTGAGAGAGTGTGTTCACTCAGACCGCTCAGTAAATGATACATTACATTCATGGTTATTGTGGTTACTTGATCTGTATAGAGGTAATGGTAGATATTTGATTTTCAAAAGAGTTTATTGTCATATACACGTGCTATGGCAATATCTGGGATCTTTCGGGATATTGTTCTTAGTACAACAGATTATGTAGAAAAGATCTTTTTATTCAAATAGTAATGTCATGTAGTCTACTATGGTATCTCTTATACATAAATAATTATATATTTTTAATGAAAGTTCTTGTGATACCTTTTATATAATAGATGTATAGTTTTAAGTTGTTTATGACAAGTTTGTTTGTCTTGTATATCAAGTTATTAAGCTTGTGCATGTCATGTAGGTATACCTGGAAAGGTGAATATGTTACTTACCGATGGTATTAGTCAGTATTTCTGATGTTAATTAACTTAAAACGCTAATTACTGGCAGTAAATATGTTCACCATCTGCTATATATATTTACATTATGTTAACTTTGCAATACGTGGTGTCTTAGTTTTATATCTTTTACTTAGACTACTTTGTTAACATTTTAAATTTACTTTACTTTGAAGTTTTACTTTTCGTTATTGTTTTGTCGTGGTCATATTTTCGTGTAATACTGTTACCTACTATGGTATATTCTTTCAGTGTAATGTCCAAAGATGATCTGGCGGCCGGGTTATTTGACACAAGCGCCTTGGGGGATATTGTAAGTTTGTTTACATTGTAAATAATATTACATTTTGTTGCCCAAACATACGATGGCATTTAACACATGTTATCGTAGGGACAGTTATTCGGTCAAGACTTTAATCAGACAGCACTGACGATACTATACGAGAAGCTACATCAACAAAGAGAATGTATGGAACGGGAGAGCAGGACGGTAAGTTACATCTTGTATGATATCATTGTATGTACCATGTTTTGTGTCGACATATATATTGTTAATGTTTACATGTTCTACGTACTCTGATATGAGAAAAAACCTATATTAATGTATATTTTTTTAGCCAAGATGCGAGGAAACCCCGTTGTACCGTGTTTTGATGGGCTACGGGTTCCTGATTCTGTGTGTAGTAGCCATCGTAGGCAACTGTCTCAACATATTAGTGTACACATCAGACCAGATACGATTCTTCATCGCTATCAAGATGTTGTGTACCAAACTCCTCACCAACACTCTTACCATGCTGGTGCTATTACCTCAAGCTTGTAGATCAGTAGGCTTATGGAAGGCGGGATCAGTAAACGATCGTATGTACTGGCGCTACTGGCCGTACCAAGCCTTCTTCGGTAACTTTTTTGGATTTACTGGGATGTGGCTGACAGTACTGATGACAGCCGAGTGCTACGTTCATGTGTTCATGCCATTACGGTCCAAAAGTATATGCACGATGAAGAATGTGTGGAGAAGTTACGTGGTAATAGGAGCTATGGCTACACTGTTGGGCATCATATATCCCTTGAATAGAAGTGTGGTACTGAGTACGGACTGTGAGACAATAGATGTCGCTATTGTCATGACGGATTGTAAGTACAACATACCATTGAAAGATACGATTCTAGATATATATGATTACAAAGGACTTACTGTAGCTTCTTAAAATTGAGATCTTAACTATTATAGTAAAATACCATAGTAAACACAAGTTAAAACAATATACTTTCAGCCGACTTCCTTGGTATGTACGAGCGCTTCCACATGTTGGCCAACATGTTATTCGCAATCGTGATACCGTTGGGTCTTCTGGTGTTCATGACATCGTGCATCGTGTGGCGTCTGATGGGGAAGGCTACACTCCTGAAGGACCCGATCAAGAAAAAGGTGGGAGGTCGCTTCAGTTCGGAGAAGCGATCAGTCACCCAGATCACCATCATCACCACCATCTTCCAGCTGATGGGCGAGCTGCCTTCTGTACCTATCTTCTTGTTCGCTTCCCTCTCGGCTCCTGGCTCCATGGATCAGATCCCGTTGTTGTGCTTCTGGCAGACGTTGTCGCAGTTTCTGGGACTGTGTAACGTATCTCTTTCCTTCTTTGTCTACATTGCCTTCTCACCGCGGTTCAGGAAAGCTCTTATACAGTAAGTTATTCGTATTTTACATTGGCTACATAGGATATTCTACAGAATTTACACTATATATATAGGTATGAAATGACTAAATTCTTATTTTCAGACGATTTGCATGTGGCAACAAATACTTACGAGCTGTAGCACACTCTCTAACGCCTTCGAAACGTCACTCCAACGATCCCAGCATGACATCGTTGAGGTATCCTTCTAGTAATGGTATGTTTTACTTAATATTGCTATATCACCATATTACAAGCAATTTCGTTATACTATGTAGTAAAATTCTAATGATTTATCGTTATTGAAATACCATAACTTACCATGGTACACGCTGACTTGTGTATTTTCAGATGTGCGAGCTTCGATTCGGCTGATCGCTGTAGCCAACCAAAAGGACGGTCGTTTGAACGTGGACTGTATATCACCTCCTATACCTGAAGATACGATGTCTAGTGCGTATGACAACTTTTTGTAATACGATGAATACATATATACAAGTCTCCAGAAGTTGTTGAATGCTTTGCACGGTGCAACACTACTGTAAATCAACTTTTTTAAATGTTTGAAGTTTGAAAATCATTTTTAAATCGTGCAAATCCGTCCAATAACTTCTGAAGTTATAAGTTTAGTAACTTTTACAATATTACGGATACATGGACACACTTAATGTGTGTCGTCTCTCGTCTACTGGTGTCTTGTATCACAATGTAAAGCTCTCAGTCATTGTCATCATCTCTTACGGGTACTTAATTGTGTGACAAAACAATAAAACTATTACAAACTCGATTGTCGGCATGGTAAAGATAATTGTAAAGACCCGTACTGTTCTTTACCACACAGTAAATTACTTCCGTAATAAGATGCCATTCTTTTCAGAACAGTTGTTCTTTAGTGCAAGGTCAGATACTACAAAGAAAAAGAAATTAAAAAGGTATATAATATAAAAGAAGTACAGTAACCCCAAAGGTTCCAATTCATTTTAAAACTGAACTTCGTACTCCGTGCATCACCTAATTTTAATCCCTCAGGGTTTTTATCGCTTCTGACTGAAATATCACGTGAGCAGAAGAGAGATCTACACTACTATACAGTTATACAATAACTAGAGTACCATAATGTAAAAATCTAGAGTATAAACTTACAAAAAAACCCTTTAGGACAGTACTATTATATTATGAAGATCAAAAGTAAAGGACGTGAGCAATGTTAACCATCTTAACACTTTTAAACTCTTAAAACAAATAAAAAACCTAAGGTAAAGTAACTATAGTACATTCACACAGACAATATATCCACATATACCATAAAGTACTATGTGGAGGTACAATGTATGTTAATATAACCAAAAACGTCTCGCTTGGCACTTCCGTATCCTTGAATTCAGAAAGTTTGTTGTTAACGAAAAACAATCGAATTCGATCGAAATTCAGAATAACCAGGCTTTACATAACTTGAGCGGGGATAACATAGTCAACAGTCGACCAGGCCTGCATGACATGTTGATCAACAGACGATCAACCGACTCTCGACTCCACTCTCAGCCTTCGGATTGCATCACATTTTACTGCATAATAACCTTGTATACGGGTATATAAACCCACATTGATCAAAGCCACATTTACAGCTGATATTTGTTAATAGTAATACAGTACCATAACATTGTAATCTACTGTGTATTACATAATAGTATACTACTCTTCTCCTATTTTAGCACTGTATTTACCTTGATACGACTATCTACACCAATATGATTCCAACAACAAAGCGATTTACATACTGTACTCTCGCTACAGTAGCCCTACTCGTTGTTACCGTAGCTTACATAGTAACTCTACATGTTTGCCAAGTAGATACGTCCATCTACGTAAGTAATACTTTTCCTTTTATTTTCCATTTCTACTGTAATAAACAACTGTTATATCTTATAATACAACACAGAATTACCTAAATTGTACTTTCAGTTGAGTTACTTTGACCTGTACACAGTAGTAAGTGTATTTACGACAGCTTTCGTACTTGGAAGTGTGATCGAGTTCCACGCGTTACACAGGATCGGTGCCTACCCCTACATCACTCAAAGACAACATACCATAATGTGCTCGTTTTGTAAGTATTTCGTTCTTTAGTATTATACTACTGACTATATTGACCTAATATATAACATAACTACATAATATCACTTTTTACACCATTGCACAATACACATAATTATCGTATCTTGTTTCAGACAAAATATTGTTCACCGTATCCTTCTTAATGAGTGTATTTATGCCATTTGGCCTTTTACTGCCACCTCAGGATGCCTGTAAGATACTGTTCTTCTTGGTGGTAAACACTGTAGTATCGTATCTCTGGGTTAGAACATACGTCAAATTAGGGGAAAAAGTAAGTAAATTCGTTAAGAGTATGTACAAGACCTTACACATAGTTAATGACAATAAAACATCAACAGTAACTAACAATACAACTACTTTTAGATCACAGATTACTGCGTCGAGATGATGGTACTGAACCAATCGCATGGCACCGAGATCCTACTCTCAGATGCTCTAAGCACATACGAACTAGAATATAATGCTCTCATCGCCAAGAGTTACCAACAAGACTATGCTGACATCCAAGGCGACAAAAAGAGCATCTTGAAGTACCACTACCTCAAGCTACATAGTATCATCGCCGCAGTAAGCAAGGAACTCGAAGATACGACCGTAGAAAACAGAGAGTATCTGCAGAGCATGTATAGTAATCTCGTGAGAGAAACAGAAAACTACCGTATCCCAATCGAGGAGGACAACTTTGTCCGAAGATACGTCAACAAGAACTGGCAGATACCATCGATACGTGACCACACTCCAGTCAAGTGCATAGTGTAATATACAGTAGATGAAGCCTGTAAATAAATGTATATATAGTTGATTTATTTGGATAATAAATGTAACATTGAATATCTTTTGCAATATTAAAAAACTAAAATGAATGTTGGACCTACAACAACATCAAAAATTAAGAAATGCAAGTCCGCACAGCAGTGTAATAAGTCGAAATTCAAAAAAATCGACAGAGAAAACAAAAATAAAGAAAAAACTAGACAAAGTATAAATTCAAACCTAATTTACGATATTAATGCTCATAATGATGTTATTATTAAACTTTTTACCTTGTTTTAGTTGCCGAAGCCATGCCAGAAACCTTGTAACCCCAAATAACAACAAACGTTTACTTAATTTCTACTTCATATGTAATCAAGATAAACCACAAAAAACCTTTTTGCGTGAATAATATACCAGTAACTGCGAAAAGCCAACACCTCTTGGCACATACGCTTTTCGCTTCGGGACCCAAAGATACCGTCGATGAAAAAAGTTAGAAGCTTGACAATTCAAGTTTTGGTTTGCTTCTTTGCAGTATTAATATTGTTTTTAATTGGAAGCTTTTAAGTTGTAAAACGAGTTTTTCTTTGATTTATTGTGGGTCATCATACATTATCAAAACCTACTTCAACAACAATCACAGAGTATTCTTGTTAGATACCAAACAACAACAAAATTACGATTTTCTGGTCGAAAGTAAATTAAAACTTGTGCGTATACTTATCTGAGTCATCTTTTATAAAACTAATATAGTATAATATATACTTTGCACTGTGACTCAAAGTATATTCACCATGACGTAGCCACCTTTGGCTTCTGGTACCGTCCCATATCAGTTTCGATATCAGTGGATTTGGAAATGCTCGGAACATGACTGCGAAGTGGATTTGCATGCATTACGAGGGACACAACATAGTCAACAGTCGACCAGCTTGCATGACATGTTGATCAACAGACGATCAACCTCTCTCGATTGACTCTCGGCTCTCTCTCGCCTCATTCTCGACTTCACTCTCCACTTATTGTTGCATCACATTTTTTTTTCCGCATAATATCATCGATATATAAACAAGTATCTTTCAGAAGGCCACATTTACTGCGGTAAAAAACAACTTTCGATTGACTTTTGATTTGTTACAGTACCCACGTACAGTACAGGATGCTGCGACACATTACCAGATTCAAATATTGCACTGCAATTAATCTAACTTTGTTGATGATTACTGTAATGTATACGGTGACATTAACAATTATGAATGTGGATACGACAATGTCTGTAAGCATAAATATACTCATGCTTATATTAAGTTTTATTATAATTTCGTATTACATTAAGTATGAGTAAAGAGTTTTAATAGATATTACTGAATGTTACAGTAAATTTACTTTCAGGCGACCTACTTTTACCTCTACACATTGGTGAGTATCTCTACCGTGCTGTATGTTGGAAGCAGTGCTGTCCAGTTTTACATTTTACACAGAATCGGCGTATTCCCATTCATATCAGAGAGACGACACTTCATTATGCACAACTTTCGTAAGAATTTATTTGAATTTACTTTATAGTAACCGTAGTTTTAAAATATTTACCTACTTATGGTATCTTTTTATAGACAAGGTGTTATTCGTCATATTCTTCTTTCTGAGCTGTTACATGACTTTTGATGTACTAATACTAAAACACATTAATAAGATACTACTGTTTCTGTTATCTGATACTATCGTTTCGTATCTTTGGCTGAAGACATATACAAAACAACACAGAATTGTAAGTTTAAGCCATAGTAACTAGACCTTCCATCATGAAATAAAATTCCGTGATACTATCAGACATTATGTGTAAATAAAAGTACATTTTATTGTACTATCAAGCAGTAAGTAAACAGTAAAATAATCATCTTACAGATCACAGATTACTGTATCGAACTGATGGTACTGAACAAAAACAAAGGTACCGAGATATCCATGGACGACGCTTTGCGAACATACCAGCTCGAATACGATCAACATACCACGAAGCAGTACCAGCAGAACTACATTGACATTCAAGGCGACAAGCAGAGCATTTTGAAGTACATGTACCTACAACTATATAGTATCATCGCTATAATAAAGGAAGAGCTGGAACATACGAAGGAACCAAACAAAGAGAACCTAGAGAAGATATACAGTAACCTCATGAAGGAAGTCGAAGATTACCGTATCTCGATTGACGAAGCAACCTATGTCCAACGATATGTCGATGGTAAATGGATATTACCCACCTTTACTGAGGTCAAGAACATAATACTGTAAATGTACAGCCATTATATGGTTTGATATAGGATATTTTACAATACTGTATATGTTATTTCCTTATCTTTTGACATATACCTTGCAATTACTGTAAATAAAGGCGTATAACTACAGTATCTATAGTAACTATAGTATTGTATACATTATAGTATATTTACTTCCATTGCTTCTGAACATATTCAAAGTAAGTAATTTTCTCATCCAGCTTTTGTTTCACTTCCTTTGGAGCCACTACTGCCCCAAACTCTATTGGTACCATACATACGATACGACGAAGATCGTTGACAAAGCCTACAGTTAAAGGAGGGTAACCAAGTAGATTATATAGAGAAAAGAACAAGTTGTAGCCTGCCATCGCCGCGTATGTTATCTAAAACAAGGATTTCAAAGTGACATACATATTATAGGTTTCATATGTTAGCCATATGCATAGTGTTAACAGACCTAATTCATATACATATGTACAACAACTATGTAGGTATGCAACAATAACTAACAAAGCTCAAGTAATGTTAATACCTTACATGAAACAATACTTGTTTCTCTACACTATCCACACTTTTGTTCTGCATCTCTCGCACACAATATACGACTACAGAGCAACATACGATCTCCATTACTCCGTAAATCGTGACTCGAGGCAACATTGCCTTCAGAGTCTCCAGATTCTCACGGTACTGAAACCTTAAACTCAAGGTGTCCAGCTGCGACCCTATCATCTTGTTGAACCGTATCAGAGTTATGGCTTGCTGCAATACATCGTATATACAAAATAGATAGACACGTTTTACGTACCAACCCCGGTGTAGCCAGCAAATTACCGACTTCAACTCACCACTGTTCCAAACAACCAGCACAGTAACCCAACAAGATACGACACCGCAATGAACATCAAGTTACCATCGTAGAAGAAGTGTGCCATCGCACAATCTCTCTCGCAGTAACCCTCACAGTCCTCCACATATGTCACACACATATCGTATGCTGACATGTGAACGAACCCAATTCCCACAGATACTGTAACATGTACCGTGATCATAGTCCACCCAATACAGGTACCACGATGTTCGTAGTCTTTTCTGTAGGTTGTCGCCATGAACCGTTCCAATCCTATTAAAAGAAATTTGGTTAGGGCGATCGCTGCGCCAGCCCAGTATAATATGGCAGCTACCTTTAAGTCTAACGTAGTAACATAGTCATCATCCGTGGTATCTTTGTAGAATTCAACAATACGAGGATATAGGTATAGGTGCGAGAGGTTGAAGATGTTACCACCTACCAACGCGTAACTCTGTAAATTAGTTAAATAGTATCTCCTGTAATATTCGGTTTGATACAATTGTGTCATACTATCCACATAAGGTAAAATAACCTTAATTAGCCACAGTAACTCACCAAAACCAGTCTAAAGTTACCATGCAAAGTAGATATATTCCTAAACTTTACCACAACGTAAATACTGACAACAAAAGCCACCAAAGTAAATACAGTCTCTACAGTAATCAGACACTGTAAAGTCGAGTCCATAGTAAACCTGTCAAGACTCTTTAAACAAAAACAGTGCCAGCAGATGCTATAATTGACAATTAGGTATTAACCAACATATTAGACATTGTACCTGAGCAATTAAAAGAGTATTACTGCCCCTCTTTACTATCATAAGTCCGGATTACGAGATATTAAGGACCAGTGTCACTCGAGCTAAGAGATTACCACTAGAAACCGGTAATTGCTCTTCATGTAGATATCTTGCCTTAGTAGCCACTTGGTGATATCACAAAGTGTTTAAACTGCCGTAGCTAATTGTTAAGAGGTTTTTAGAAAGACATGACACATGACAACTACAAAAGATGTTGAATATAGTACATATGAACAGATAGAACAGATACTGTAGTATTTTCAAAAAGAATATACAATAGCAAGACAAAAACCATATATACCATAAATAATACCCAAAAACTAACAGAAAATTACCCAAAAATTCAAAATCTACAAACTTTTCGACCAAAAGACTAATCAAAAACTAGCTTTACAAGTCAGTTTACTTCAGAATCCCTCAACTAAGCCTGTAGCCAAACAGATTCAAGCCCGCTTCGGAGTTCTCTCGCCTCTGTGTAGCTTCGGTGCCTTCTGATTCTTTCTTCTCGGATTCACGGTCGGTCGTCGTAACGTGGGATCAAGTCGTGGATTCTCTTCGTCGTAGAACATCTCCTTATCGTAGCTCACAATACAGACACCTTTACTGTTCAGATCTACATGTTGTGGAGATTCATCGTATCTCAGGAACCGACGATACGTTCTGACGGCTTCAGTTGTGATGGCTATGTAGTCGTACATACTAAAACAACATAGCTTTTAATAAGTAACTGCAATTTTCAGCTAAAGTAAACTATATAGATCATACTTACTCTATTATTTTGTCAAAAACGTAGCCAAACAGTTTGTCGTGCACGATTCTCTCGTTCTTCTTCTCATCCAGGTCTCTGCTCAGCAAAAACTTCTTGAAATGACGCTGAAACACATATATTAACCATAACACCATCATCTTAAGACCTTCACATATGCCCTTAAAGTGCGTATAATATGACTCAAAACAGTAAAACTCCAGTAAAAACTACAGTAACCTACGCCCTTCTTAGGGACACTGAGACTGATGCACATGGGTATGTCTTCCTCCTTGGCCCTCGCTCTTTTCGGGTTGTTGTTCTCACGTCGATGTTCATCTAGTCTGGCTCGGGTCTTCTTCTCGTACTTCAGCTTGATGTTCTCTTCACCGTGCGTCCCCAGCAGCTCCAGTACGACTTTAGAATTGGCAATAGATGGTTGTAGCATCCAGTAACCGTTAGTGAAGAGTTCTGCTACTGTCATACGATCTGCTGGATCGATCCGGAGGCATAAGTCTAAAGATTTCAATATATTAAAGTATTATACCTTGCTAATCTTGTAGTAAAAGTCAATTTTTATTTTTGTGGCACATGTTTGTTACTTTAACATAACTTTCGGGTCTTCTAACTATGATATGAAACAATAGCAGTAGGTATTACCTAGAAACTCTTTGCAATACTTGGAAAGTCTTCGTCGCAACTTCTCGCCTCGAGGGTAGAACTCGTCCCAGTTGACATCGTGACTGGCATTCTCGTACTTCTCCAGGTTGTAGATCTCGTATAACACGTCGCTTTTGGTACGAGAATACGGTAGTTCTCCAAAGAACAACTCCATCGTACAGATCCCAACTGCCCTAAACACAAAATGTCATCAATGTAAAGACGCGTTTAAAAAGATAGCCTATGTCATCAGCATCAAGAATGTAAGCTCATCTTCATAAGACAATACAGATTGGTCTTAATATAGCATAACATACCAAGTCTCCGCCGTAATATCGTATGGTATTGGATTAGTAACTATAAATCCTTCAGCGACTTCTGGAGCCATGAAGGTCTTCGTGCCAACCGGCGTCTGAATCTCGCCCAATCCCTGATTTGCTTCGGGGTCGTACCTTTTGGCCAAACCAAAGTCTGCCACTTTGACCGCCCCATCCAAGTCGATCAGAAAGTTGTCGGCCTTCAGGTCACGATGCACATAGCTGTGGTTGTGCATGAAGGTAAGTCCCGCACACACCTGCTTCATCATGTTGTGAACAACGGGCTCTGGCAGTGCTTGAACTACATCTCGAGTGTGATAATTGTCTTGTACTTCATTTCGGCTAAAATTATGATGTGTCTATGAAAAAACATTAAAAAAATAATGCTTATAAAGACGTACGCAATAAAGTTATAGTAGATGAAAGTTTTTAATCATATTGTTTTGAAAATAACTATAGTAAGCAAACAACAAGCCTCTTACATTTCTCGAATAATCTTCCCAACCGGTAAGAGCAATGGCATGATCATGACCAGCATGCCATCATCAGTAACACATGCGCAAAACAATGGCACGATATTGGGATGGTGTAATGTCGCCAAAACTCGGATTTCTCGTACCTAAAACAACATCTCGTTATTACACGTTTTATAAACTTAAAATTATTTAAAAAAGCAACATTTTAAGGTACAACTCCTTACAATTTCGACCAGATCCCTCTTGTAAGCTCTGACCAACTTCAGAGCACAATCTTTTTTTTCGTGGGAATTGAAAGCACACAAAACTGTACCAAAAGCACCAGCACCAACTACGTGTTTGACCTTGTATAACGACAGATCATCTTCCCAAAGTTCATTCGGTTCGTATTTCGAGTAGCTGAAAATCAACCATTTTTTAGCAAAGGAAGACTGCGGCCTGCGGGGGAACGTATCTGAAGGGCGCAGATCGGCTAAACAGGAAAAACAAAATTTTGTCGCAAAATTAATAAAGACGTCTTGTCGCGACAAATATTATGATAACAATGGCTTTGCAACATGAAACAGGTAAAGCTATGGATAAATGCAAAATTTTTATAAAATATTACTAACATTTTAAAAGTTCGAGCTGTTTGTCAAACTTTACTACTATATTTGGTTTTCTAAATGTTGTATGTCAAAAGTTACTGTCAAAGACTATCTTCAGCATCTTACACTCTTCGATCGTGATACCCAGTGTCGGAGTATGTACGTATGGCTTCTCGAACATCGTATAAGGACTCCAGATCAATGTCGACGTCGCGCTGCTTCTTCGGCAGGGTAGTCTTGGGCGGAGTGCCCCAGAGGCGAGGCGAGTCGTCATCTGCCATCCTCAACAGGGTCAACAAGGCTGGATCGGCGATGAAGATCGACAGCGCCACCGACTTTCGGGATCAAGTTCTGCGAAATAATGTTTTCGACTTCTGCTAATTAGCCATTTGTGAATGTTTTTGTGACATTTCGAACTGATTCAAGGTAAGTTAGAAGCTTTTCTTGTTAAAGACTCTTGGCATCACAGTTTTACACTATATTTAAGTCATCTTAAATTTAAACTTGCAAAACTATTTGTATAATTCTGTTTTTGGTATGTCGTCAATCTAAATTTATATTACTCAGGGCAGGAAAGGCTGCTCAAACAGACGAATTTGATGTTCATTGTTTGAACTTTTAGAGGAACTAGTAATGAAGACCTTATACTTACTTTCTCTACTTACTTTGGCTGGTTATGCTCAAAAGAAATGTCAGAAATGTACTTTGAAGTTCGAATGTTGGTCTGGGAATGATGGCATAGACGATGGGATAATACAGTACAATGAAATGGACAAGTTGGATGGGTGTGCCAGGGCTAAAATTAGTTGTAAAGGACCTACAAAGAATACTGTAACGTTGTTGAAGGTTGGAGAGGTAGGCTGGTATTAATTGTGGGTTATGTTGTTGTAGGTATTGTTAAAGGAAAGAAGAAATATGATTTTCAGTAATACTTTGGTCAAATATATACATTTACAGTACATATCGTTGTCAGAAGTGGAGATCGTTTGTAACGAAGACGAGAAGTGGGCTCCATATAATGCTGAATCTGTATCTTGTGGAGGTAACTTCAATTTTAATATTTTGTCGTACATTGTACTGAAATATATGGCTGTAAATACATTTTGTGACAAAATAATACTCATAAAAGTAATTTTAGTATCTGGGCTAGCTCCATCAGGGCCACCCTTAGCTGCAACGTGCTTGAGTGTGTCAGAAGTTGTGTTTGATGGTGAAGATACTGGCAATGAAGAGATTGGGCAGGTGTCTGAAGACTGTCGCAAATGTCCTACTGACGTACAATGTTATGGCGATGATGTGTTTGAGAATGGCATTATCGAATGGAGTATCGCGAAGGGAGAGGACGGATGTGCCGTGCTTGATGCTGAATGCGGTTTCGGAGAGCACGAGAGGAAACCTACTGATGTCGCTCAACTTTTTGTTGGAAATGTAATGTTTTAATAGTTATATATGATTGTTGTATGATTTAGTAGGATTTATTTACTTTTTTGACGTTTAGGTATGCTATAGTAATTTATTATACTTTACAGTACTCATTTGACAAAAAAGTGAGGTTGAAATGTGGCGACAACGGGGCTTGGGTACCTTCGGAAAACAATGTCATCAAATGTGGAGGTCAGTTACCTTTGTTATATTATAGTATAGATAGTTTTATGTGAAACAGTAATATAGTTACATATATAATATCTGGTTGATTTTTACGTTTTAGTGTTCAGAAGTGATGGCACGCTGCCTTCTGACATTCCAGAACGAGCTACTTGTAAACAACCAAAGCCGAATTTAGTACCAGGGTACGAAAGTTTGTTAGATACGACAACTACTACAACAACAACCACGACTACTACTACGACAACCACAAGTGCAAGAACAACTACGGCCACTACAACAGAAGCCGCGACCACGAAGCAAATGAAGAGGATTACATTACCTAAACCATCTTGTTGTGGGGCGTGGTCGGAGTGGGAGGAGGTGACTCGATGTGCTGACACTTGTGGCAGTTGTGGGGTACAACGAGTACGACGAAGGTGTCTTTCTAAGGACTGCGAGTGTCAAGGAGAATCAGATGAGGTGCGACATTGTAATCGACAGCCGTGCAGAATCTCTAGAACGTCGTGCTGCTCACCGTACCGACCTCAAGTTGAAGGAAGCGACATTCTTTGTGGGAATCAGGTATGACATTTGAATTCTTGCTACGTCGTGCTTCTGTAGGTTACTGTATGAATAAGTTAAAGATGAAAATATTTATATATTATTTTATATAGAATATGTTATTGTTTATTTACTTACAAGTATATGAAATTACTGTTCATATTATATGTATTAGCCTTTATTATGTTATAATAACTTACTTTGTAGGATACGTTACTATCATACGCAAGCTATCAATGTGATAAGGGTCATTGCTGTCCTGATAAGGGAATTTGGGGAGAATGGCAGCCGTTTGGTACTTGTTCTATCTCTTGTGGTGGGTTTGGTACCTCGAGAAGGAAACGAACTTGCTTATCACAAGCAATTCTTGGCTGTAAATGCGAGTAAGTTCACTTTGCGATTATTACAGTATTTTACTGTAAATGTAAGTATAATGCTGTATATTATGCCATAGACTAAATATCTCTATGTTTATCTAAGAAAGAAATTGGTTTTTACAGAAATTAGGTGATTTTAATTGCTATATGTTGTTTTAGAGGTCCAGATCACGATGTAGGGCCATGCAATCTGACTCCTTGTAATAAGAAAGGCTGGGCCAAGTGTCGCAGTGGTCTGTTGCCAATCAGAAGAGGTTACGGTAGACAATGTGGAGAGTTGTTTTCGAAGAAAGAAGTTACTGATTGTTGTCCTGAAGGTAAGGTTTATTTAATGTCAACTAAAAGCAGATACTCGTTATTTTTTTAAACTCTATATATACAGTATATATTGTACAGTCATATGTTCTACTCTTTTTAAGGAGGTATCTGGGACGAATGGTCTGAATGGAGTCATTGTTCTACGCCATGTGGAGGATGTTCTACATCAAGAAGATGGAGGTTATGTGCTTCTGCTAAGGTTGGGTGTTCGTGCACGTGAGTATTACTAGAAACCGTCAAATATATGTTCTTTAATATATACATATTGAACTATTTAGTTAACTTTTTGTATATATACCTACTTTGCTTTAAAATTTTAGTGGCTACGACAAAGAAGAAGAGCCTTGCAATACCGTAACCTGCGAGCACGGTAAGCCTTACTGTTGTTCACCGTTACAAGTGGTGGTGTATGCTGGCAACGCTCTGTGCTGGCTGAAGGAACGGGCTGTGCATGATACGATACCAGCCAAACATTACGCCGAATTCTTTACTCTGACTACAGAAGAATACAGTAAGAATCTAGTAGTGAAAAGGAATGTCGCCAAAAATGGAAAAGGAAAGTGGAGCGATTGGGAGGGACGCTGTACTGACGACTGTGGTTTGTGTGGTAATCACATACGAAATAGAAAGTGTCTCGGGCCAGGAGAGTGCAGGTACGGTAGAAGTACTGTAGTATTGATTATAGAGGTATAATTGTATTGGGTAGCTATTTTATTGTACGAATGTATTAAGGGACTTTATCATAACTTATACTCGAGACTTTAAAGACATATAAAAGCTAGATCGTTTGTTAATATTAGAAGTCTATTACTGTATGTACATTTCTAGCGGGAGTTACCGTGAAGAGCTACACGGTGTTTGTCCGAGAATCGCTTGTAAAGCACCGAGGAAGCCGTGCTGTCATGGTAAAGCAGTCAGAGTCAAAGGTGTTTTCTTATGTGTACAATAAAGTTACAGTAATATTAGTTACTTTCTCGGTATATAATTGTAGTACAAACCAAAAATGCAGCTTTTTAAAAAATGTTTTTGGGAGGGAGGATGTTTAAATTTGAAAAATATTAAATTTTTTTTATTTTGGTAATTTTTTTCGAAATTCGAGTAAACTGAATAAATTAGAACAAAACTTTCAAATTTTAATTTTGAAAAGTCAGAATTGCAATTATTTCTTGTTACGTTTTGTACGGTTGATTTGGAGAATGAGCAAGACCAAGTCAGTCGCTGATTGGGTTTTACAAGTAAGTTTGTTTTATTAGGACAACAGTTTGAAAATGAAGTTTTTTGTTTCTAAAATCTGATATGACATTCTTGTTTCATCAGAAGTGGAATGTAAACTTCAATTCAAATATAACTTTGTTTTATAATTAAAAAATATAATAGTTTTAACGTTTCCATACAAAGCCTTTTCCAGTACCCGAGCAAGATCGTGATCCACAACAAGAGACAAAAGATCGCTCGCTACCTTTTCCGATATGAACCATGCCAGGTCGTTTTCTTAGCTTCTCTGGTCATATGTCTGTTTTTGATGCAGTCGAACTACTTCATTAGTGTCTCTCTGATGATGTTGAACTACAAAAGGTTCAGATTCGACTTGGAGAACGTGGCATACGACAAGATAAACTTCACCAAGGACTGGCACAGACACTTTTGTTTGTACGACGAGGCCTGGTACGGGAACGTGACTGTTGTGGTAGGTTTTTGATTTTGAAAATATAGACATTGAATGTTTTATTGGGTTTGGGTATGGTGATTTTGGTTTGGAAAATATTTTTTAAATCCACTCCTTTTCCCTCTGAACTGTTTGAAGGTATTTCTAGCTTACCTTCGTATCTTTCAGGATTTCTGCAAAAATTACAATGACTCCAGTCATGCCGTCATCTTCATAGAACAAAAAGTATTACCACATTCACCTGTCGCTTGTGCCGACAAAGTCTCCATGGTAAGTTAACATGGTTTTGTCATGAACTAACAAAAAGCTCAAAGAAATCTTACAAAATCATGTTACAAACATGTTTTAGGTTCCGTGCTTCGAAATCCTGAAGACTGCTTACATCCCTCCTAAAAGAAGTGTTACCAAAACTTGTCTTAACACAAACGACGTTCGAACAACGAATTGGACGATGGAGGAGTTGATTCAACGTCGAGCCGTGCCAACAATCACAAATGAAGACATAGAAAATCTCTATAACATAACCGTCCTTGCCCATCAACTGGTGGTTACTTGTCCGGTGTAGGTTATGTGATTCAGTTCAATACCTTTTCCAATTTTGATACATTTTGAACGATTTTTTATTCTTTCAAATCTTGTTGTTGCAATTTGTTGTTTTTCCGTCCAGAATCACTTGAGGATCCATCTGATTTCAGATGTTACAAACGATACAAAGACGTGCGATTGGACGAAGGACAGTGTTATAGCATCCTCTACAAGCATGCACCTGGCTTTCCTAATGAATACAATTCCTGTGGACGACCAACTCCTAGTGAGAACAGTGCTTTCCAAGAATCGATGGAGAACAAAACTCTTTGCACTCTGATCGAGTAACAAGGTGTATATTGTAGTAGACTTGGAGGCATTGTTGTAAAACATAATATTGTTTGTTAATGTTGAATAAAATATTTAATGAATATACGTGATGATTATTTAAAAAAAGACTATTTAAGGTTTAAAACCGACAGAAAATGTTAATTTACACGAGAAAACATCTCTTTTGGCATAACGTAACAAGCTCAAATAATATTTTTTTTAGAAGAATACTTTCTATTTTCTTGTAAAACGGGCTTCTTCGTATGTTAACTCATGTATTTATTAAATTTTTGCTTTTCCTAATGGGGAAGGGCAACCTCAATATCCTTCACAACTTGACCATCCGAACTTGAGCGAATATTGGAAAAGGTATGTTGATTTAGTTGCTTTTGCTTGAATTTGAGATATTTTGGGCTTTCATATAAAGAATAATATTTGAAAGAATATTATATTGGAGTTGGACATAAGTTTAGGTATTAAAAATACGATTTTAAGGGCATTAGCAACAACAAAGCTTTGTTATAGTAAAACAAACATACCGCAGTACATAGTTAAAGATTTATTGTGACAAGATACTGTAATAGAAAGTTTGTGGAGGCAGTAATAATTTACAGTTGAACGAGTCTTCAGTAGGAATACAGTAAGACTCATGAGGTTGAACTCTAGCAAGGCGGCTGTCAGTAAGAAAAGGTTTTGAAATCACCGAAAATCTCAAAATTTACAGTAAATAAGACTGTTACTATGGCGACAATTAAGTAAGATTTCAGTAATTTAATTAAAGCCCTAAGGGAATACGGTATTCAGATCAGAAAGACGAGAAATAGTTCTAATGGTACTGTTGAGAGTAGTACAATATTAATATTTAGAAAATGAGAGGTGTTCCTATTATTAATGGTACTGTTACTAAAACATTACTGTAGAAGAGAAAAAAAAACAAAAAGGTACCAAACACTACTGGTACAGTTAAGAAAACTGATTCAACGCGATGGTACCACTACTTTTGGGACGGCCACTGCTCGTCGAATGGAATGTCGATCATACCGTTGGCTACAGTACCCTCGGCCGATGACTTTGTTTGCTGAAAAGTAAGGTTGGGTTACTGTAATGGGGTGTTATGTTAGTATGTGGATGGTATTACCATGGGTGCTCAAGTGGTGATGCTCCAACTGAGGGTACCCTCGACCGTGTCTAACGTGATCTCAGTGTTATTTCCCGAGGTCGCGGCTGATTCTTCTGGCTTCTTCCTGAAACCCCGAATGTTACCGTAATCTGACAATAAGGACAGTAATATTGAAGTTACAGTAATCTTTTTAAAACTGCCGTACTATTTTTACTATAAGAAATGTTACGGTACTTTGTCCTGTAATTAATACTAAAATTACAGTGCAAATGATGCTACCGTAACTAATATTGTAACTGCAATCCTTATGTATTACTGTAGCTTCTTTAGTGAATTGAAAACGTGCAATAACTATGGGGTGATAACAGCGACAACAGAGTGATAACCGACTAAGAACATGGTCGTATCTTCTTACGTGTTATCGCTCTTCTGAGAAGCCTGAAATTGACACAGCAAACAGTAAGTTATATGACAGTAAGTTATATTACAGTAAGTTATATGACAGTAAGTTATATTACAGCAAGTTATATGACAGTAAGTTACATTAAAGCAAGTTTATGACAGTAATTATACAGTAAGTAGTATATTATGATTAGGAAAACTTTGTTACCGTACTCAGTAGTTATTTACAGTATCAAAGATACTGAGTGTTTAGTCAAGAATTATACAGCAATCTCACATTGTACATACATGATATGTACTTAATCTTATGTTATGTACATGAAAGTGTAATATTATATACGAAAACTTACATCATACGGCTTCCATGAGCAGTACGGTAGTGGGAGACCATCGGGACCAGTTGGGCATGGTGCATCTAGTCCGGGAATACCCTAAAACAGTTAGTTTTTATGATAAATGAAGCTCGCTACAGTAAGAAAGGAAACTAGCTACAGTAAGAAAGGTGATCTTGCAATTATGTTATAGTATTCAAAGTAATCATAATATATAATAATGTATGTCATCTTACTTGATCTCCCTTGGCGCCTCTTAGTCCAGGCCGTCCTCTGGCCCCTCGTTCGCCAGGCGGACCTATTGGTCCTGCTGGTCCAGGTAGTCCTAAGTCACCTTTTTGTCCAGGTAGACCATCTTGTCCCTAAAACATAATGTTGACCATACATTATTATTTTTTTTAAAAATAATAACATATAGTAGTATCCTATAACTATTAAGCAAAAATAACCATGAAAAAAGTACTAAAAGGGGTACTAAAATAAAAGGCACTACTACAATATCAAGAAACATCCAGAAAGTGGAAAAAAACGATTAAAATGAAATAGTTCCTGAAATCTAAAATACGTAATTATTATATGTTACCGGTTGACCATCTTTGCCGTCTCTGCCTGCAATCCCTTGAGGACCAGGTGGACCAGGCAGTCCCATGTTGCCAGGTAGTCCCACATGTCCAGTGTCTCCTCGATCTCCTTTTAGTCCTGGTGGTCCTGGCAGTCCAGAGGAACCTCTCGGCCCAGGTGGACCAGGAGGACCAGCTACAGCATTTGTGGCTCCCGACGACGCCACTTGTACTCTTTCGCCTGGTGGTCCTGGTAGTCCAGGTGGGCCTATTAGGCCGGGTGGTCCGATGTCACCTCGGTCGCCCTTCTCTCCAGAATGGCCTGGCAGTCCTTGTGGACCACGAGTACCAATTCCGGGTGGTCCCATGGGTCCCTAAACAATGTCTGATGGTGGGTATTTGGTACTTACCATTGGTCCAGGTGGTCCTTGGCTAACGTTCTTCATGATCTCTGAACGAAGAATAGGTAACAAAGTTGGGAGGAGCTCGTCTACTTCTTGTCGCAGCATTCCCTTTGGCAACTAAATGACAGAACTGGATAGAAAAGGCACAACCACGAGATACAGTAAGAAAATATAAAACTACGGTATGAAAAAACAAAAAATGAACTAAAATAAGTTGAAAAAACTACAGTATGAAACTACAGTAGAAAATATAGCTACGATAAAAGTTGCAGTAAAATTAAAAAGTTACAGTAAGAAAGTCACAAAGACTAAAGTACAGTAACCCGACCTACCTTCCTGCCACGTTTCCCTGGCATGCCTGGTTCTCCCTTTGGTCCTATTGGTCCTGGTACTCCATTGCTGCCATTTTCTCCCTTCTCTCCTTTCTCTCCGTCTCGTCCAGGTGGTCCTGGTGGGCCTTGGATTACTGTACTTCCACCGCTGCCTTGTACTGTAGACACTCCTGGCTCGCCTGGAATGCCACGTAGTCCACGATCTCCGCGGTCACCTTTGGCACCCTATAACAATATATTTGGTGGTTAGAATGGGATTTATCGAACAATACGTAACCAATGGACTAAAATATAATCAAAGTTTTGAAGAACGGAATTACAGTAACCAGGGATTCAAAAAGTGTATTGTAAAAAAAATAAAGAACACAGTAACTACAGTAGGAGCCTTGACAACACCACTTACCCGTTGACCAGTTTGTCCTGGAATACCTGGCTTTCCATCCAATCCAGGTGGTCCCATTAGTCCAGGTGGGCCTTGTGGTCCGACAAAGCCTGGAGCACCAGTAATACCAGGCGGACCGGGTGGTCCTGGTGGTCCCGGAGGACAAGTTGGTGGTACTGGAGTGGTGGCATGAAGATGGTAATTGTGGTGCCGATCCATCTGGACATGGTTGTTACTAGATGGTCCAGGGGGTCCTGGTAGTCCACGATCTCCTTGGTCACCTTTGGCACCCGGGAAGCCTCGCGGTCCTACTAGACCAGTAGCACCATCCCTACCAGGAAGTCCCATTGAACCCTAGGAAAGAAGGAAATGGTACCACACAAAAGTTACAGTAACCGATAAGGTTTGAAAAGTACAGTAAACCAAAAAATTAAAAGTACAGTAACCGGTCGAAAATTAAAAATTTGAAAGATAGCAACCATTAAAAAAACAGTTATAAAAGTTACAGTAGAAAACTTATAATGACTTATAATACAGTAGGATACAGTAACCTACCTTGACACCAGGTTCCCCTTTTAGTCCAGGCATTCCAGGTCGACCAGACTCTCCTCGGTCTCCTTTTGGTCCCACCTTACTCTCCCCATCAAAGCCAGGTAGTCCTCGTTCTCCTTTAGGCCCAGGTGGACCAGCTTTACCAGTAGGACCAGGTGGTCCCGGTGGTCCTTGTACTACAATTGGAGCCACAGTCTCAGCAGAATAGGGTGATGAACGGGTCTGAGCGTATGCCATTCGTTGTACAAATGGTGCTGATGGATCACCTTTTGGTCCGGGTGGGCCAACTGGACCAGCAGGACCACGTTCTCCAGTATCGCCTTTGGAGCCGGGAATACCCTATAAATGAAGGAAATTTGAATATATTATTACGTTGAGTAATCATTTGATAGTATAGACAAAAAATATTAACTTACAGGTAGTCCTCTTGGTCCATCTAGTCCTATTGGTCCTGGGAAGCCAGGGTATCCTCGAATTCCTTTTGGTCCCTAAAATAGTTGAATTTACTTAAATAACGAAAGAATTAATGGATTAGCGTAGTTAAAAAACGTTACTTTTACAAGTTACAGTAACACAAGAATTACAGTAATATTTGTGAATCAAAAACATTGAAAACCAAAATTATAATACAATTATCAAAATAAAAAACTGAAAATGTAAAATACGAGTAAACTAAATTCTTTTGAAATAAAATAAAATTAGTACCGGTGGTCCTGGTGGTCCAGGCATGCCTCTGACTTCTATCGTGCGCCCATCTGGAGCGTAGAAGAAGCCGTAGTGTTTGAGATTGCGACGATTCAACCGGTCGAAAGGCTAGAATCCACAACACGTAAAGCAAGGTCAAATATTACACATTTCACAAAAATATTGTAGTTAACTATGTTATAAAACAATGTCACATTAATAAAATAAGTTTAAAATAAAGTAAACTGAAAGTAAAACTGACAACGACACGTTCACGTAGCCTCTTGTGGTTATGCTTGCAGATGCCTGGAGGGCCCTAAAAGTAATACACAGTTACGGCACAGTACCACACTCAAAGTACGACTATTAACAAGTTAAAGTACATAAGTTATTAAGTTGATATTGGTTCAGTTGGTACTTACTGGTTCACCCGGCTCTCCTTTTGGTCCTGAAAGTATTGTTTTTGATTTAAATTTTATAGCTTTATGTTTTTAAAATTGGTATGGATAACACGCTTATTTTTTTTTGATAAACCACAAGAATTTTCAAAAAACAAAAGTAATGACATATGTCAAAATGTCATGTTTCCAGCGGTTTTCAAATTGATTTTCATTGAAATACGACAGCTGACGTCCGAAATACGAAATGTGGGATTTACATTGTCTACTTGATGTAATTTTACCGAAAATAAAAAAAATCTGCCTTAAATACAAAAAGATGACATCTGCCTTTACTCAGAAATACTATTTTGAAGTTATGATAGTAGGTTTTCTTTCATTTTTACGAGTTTAAAGTAAACTATGAATAAAGCTTTGTCATACCTGGAGGGCAGAAGCATCGCGGTTGTGTCTGTTGTGTCGCCTTATCATCTGCTTCGAAGATCGACCGGTGTATCCTGGTATTACTCGTGTTTTGTTGTATTAATTGGTCGGCAAAGGGCTGAAATGTGTTTGTTTTACTTTGTCATGCTATATCTTCAGGTTTTGTTCAAGTGTAATTGAAGAAAGATTGTATTTTACAATATTTAAGATTATTTTGGTGATGTTATTATACAAAGAAGTGCAAAGAATTCTCTCAAATTGCAATATAAATGTTTTTACACTCCAAAAAGTAATATAAAAGGGCAAAGTAAACATCGTATTTTAATTAAATCCGGAATTGTAGCTAATTTTAGGTACCCGCCGACCTTTGCGCTTAATTTGAATATAATCGGAAGCCTAAGTAGTCTAATAAGTGACTTAAGACCTAATTAAATCTATTTTTAAGCCTAAAAAAGACTAAAACTTAATATTGTTAATGGCTTTGTTTGCTTAGCCAGCTTTTGACATTGTCTTAGATGGAAAGAGTAACCGTTTACTGCTCATTTTAGTGGCCATTAATATAAAAAGTAACCTCCGGAGTTAATGGCCGTCTTAAGATGACTTTATTGTTAATAAAAGTTACTTCTCAAGAGATTACTGGTCATTATAGCTTCGTATCTACTACAACAGATGTATATACATCTGTTAGTCATTGTTTCAATAGTAATATTTAGGTTGCGGTAATCTAACTGTTTTAATTTTAAAATTATTTAAATTTAAAAACACTGCGGTAAACAAAGTTTCTTCGCATATAAACCTAGTCTTTACACTAAGCCAATTACGAAGATACGAGAGAATGTTGGTATCGTCGCAAGATATAATTTAAGGTTAATCTCCTGTAACAACAGGCTTATGCAATTTCTCACATAGCCGAGCAGATGCGCTTGAATTTGCATAAATCGCGGTTAAAGACCAAGGCTGGGCTATTTACATGGCCTGGACATACACATGGGTGTGTGTACACAACATGATATATTTGAATTACAACATTATAACTTATTGTAAAGTAACCAACCTGATCATCCAATCCCAGCCTTTCCTCTAGCCTAAAAACTTTGAATCTGAGCTGCTCCAACTGTACTTGTTGCCATAATAACAGTATCCCACATGGTAGTAGTACTCCTAATGTCGCTAATATTAGCTGTAACTTTGATACGGGTGATGACAGTAGATCTTTGTTAGGTCGATGGTGAAATGATCTATACGAGGCGTTCGATGGACTCCGCCGACGAGGTCCGCCGCTCGTCGCGGACATTGTTTTAGATTGGTCTTTTGGATGGCAGGGTACTTTATCGCATCTGAAAGTGTTTAACATAGTAATCAAGACAATTTAAAAAATTAAAAACACGAAAATATTAATTATAACACTAAAATGACATTAACTTCGTCGGTCAGCAACAAATTTAAAAACTTTCAAAAAAATCGACCAAAAAAGCATCCAACTCCCTCGAAGACTTTCAAAATGGCGTTTATTTAGTTTTATACCATAACAAGAGTAAGCCCATGCATTTATGACATAACCTGTCATAACTTCTTTCAGGTAAACACACGTTAATGCCCTGAGGCCGTGGCCAGGCTTTTAGTACGCTTGACCGGGCGCCAGCTCGTTTTATAATGGCTAGCCGGAAATGAGTCAATTTTCGAAAAAAATGGTAAAACAAAAAACAAAATTACAGTAATACAACACTACACAACAGAGTATCGCCGCCATTTTACCATGAGAATGAGCGAGATAGCCACAGATACCTAGTGTAATATGCATGACGGAACAAATTTTAATTCCAAAGAATGGACAATGGACTTTTTTGTTTCCCAGACTTCACAAATGACCTCAGGCTACTTCTCCAGAATGCGAATAACTTCGCGAGTCTTCAACGCGACAAACTCGTATTTTAGAGAAAAAGCAAACATTTGGTCGTAAATCAGGAATATGCAAATATCACTGATTAGAACTGCCATTTCGCATGTTTCGAGATAAGACTAATACCTAAAATACTCAAAACCTCTTTTATTCCCAAAGGCTAAAGCTTAAAAACCATAAATATTTAAACTTAATTCTCTAAATAAACCTAAAAAGCTTAAAGACTAAATGAAAATGACCAAAATCGAGCTGGAAAAGCATTAAACAGATGACATTCGACATTATTTATAAAAACAATAATGTTAAACAAACCTGAACGGTCACAAAGTTTCGTCCGAACGAAAGCGATTTTTTATATTCGAAGCCGGTGTCAATTAAAAGATTACTTTTGTTTTCAATTTGTTAGGCGAGGGCTTAAGAGGGGGCGGGGCTTGCACAGGATATGATGATTTATATACGAATGTCTAGGTAAACACAAAAACCAAAGATTCTGAATAAAATTACAATTCGGCAAAAGGCTTTTCTCAACATTTTTTTAAATTTAAAATTTAAAAAATTTTGAAAAATTAAAAAATTTTAAATTTAAAAAAATTAATTTCCAAAGGCAAGTGAATAACAAACAATACCTATATTTATACCACAAAGCCACCACAAGACATATCTCTTTTGAATCTAATCGCTACATTAATATAAGTAATAGAGCTTCTCTTGTGGATTAGGCCTTATCTGATGAGATGTCAATTAGTCATAGCTAAAACAATATTCTTTTGTAACCGCCAATTCCTTTGAAATTCAATTCGTAAAACGTCGTAAAATTGGTAAGATACGATGGGGAAAGACGTGGTAAAATATAGTTTTGTAAACAAATATATATCTAAACCTATCAATATCATATATTGTTATATTACAATAGTTGCAGTTATATAGAGGTAGTCAGACAATGTGAAGTTATTGTGAGTTCTGCTTAATATAAGATAGAAAAAATATGTTGCTGTAAGATGTAAGATACAATGAGGTGCTATAATTTGTTTGAATTTGAATAAAGTAAAGCTTGAGAGTAGATTCAAAAGTAATGTAAAAGTAGTAATTTCACAGAAAAATAAATTAATTTTGGCGATTGACAATTAGAACATCAAGATGAGAATGCAGGAAGTGAGTTTGTTACCTAAACTACTACAAAACGCTCAATTTCAATAAAAAACATTATATACAGTCCAAATATGAAAATTGAATAAATTTTTTTAAATTTCAAAGTCACTAGAAATCTATGTTTAAGCCTAAAATCCTAAGGGAAGTTACCCTTTCATCTTTAAAAATTTTGTAAACAGTATAAACTGTAACTTGTAAACTCGAAATTCGTTCCCATGACAAAACTTTTGGTACTCTAAACCCAGTTTACGACCAAAGAAGCCAAGGTCTCAGTTTGTTTTTTGTGACTGCGGGAGTTGAGTGAGGTTAACATCGTTATGTCGGATGTCTTTCAACAGCCACCAAAAGGTCATTTCGAATTTATAACAGGCGAGAGACGGCGAAACTACTTTAACGACACCCTAAATTGTAACAAAGTGTTTACTGTCTTCGGTTTGTTCTGGTATCAGTACTATAACATCTATATTTATATATCTTGGATATATATATGTAATTATATTAAAGGTATATAATATAGATGTAGTGATTAACATTACCTAGCCCTAGAGTAATATAACTATAATACGTATAACATAACATTCCACGTATTTTAGACAAATAACCCCAGTAATCTTGAAAAACCAGCCCAAATGCAGATAATGTAACGACAAACATGGATACCGTGGTATTCGAATAGTAATATGAGTAAAGCAGAAACATTCATATGTCATAAATCTTAATGGATTATTTCCTTTGGGCACACGAGATTAATATATACACATACAGAGTAACATTTCTTCGAATTGTGTCAACTCTCATATGGTTAACAATATTTTTATTTCAAAGTAGATGGAAGATACCAAGATAGATTACTACGTAATAAGTTACATAAAGAATACCACTACCATATAAGGTTTTACTCAATTTTAATTTAAATATTTAAAATGACCATATTAACCACCCAAAAAAAGCTACCCATACCTAAAAGGACGAGCTCATACACACCCCGACTAATTTGCATATGTAAATAGGAAAGTAAAAGGATTAATTGGATCGATCAGGGAAACACGCTTAAGCAGATTAAGATATCGGGTCACTACAAAAAACCGCGCTCAATCATTTTTTCAAGTGCATTCCTATGATTTACTCGAACACAAGATATTATGGCTTCGAGATACATAACACTTTTGTGTTACCGCCTCATACGTTAGTCTTGTTGTTGTAGATCAGTAAAGTGGACTTTTAGTACTGTTTAAGAAAGTAGATTATGCAGTAAAATACCATAGTAAAACAAAGTTAAGACTCTTAAAGACATGACATAAGGTACGTTTTATTTCTTCAACTTGTCTATTACCTAAAAACCTTAATTATGACCCCCCTTAGATAGCAAACTACAAGAAATGTGACATATTGTGACATTTCCTACACCCCCCCCCCACCCCAAATCTTTTTCCACCCATCAATCTGAACAAATTGACAAAAGCATGCCGACCGGTCGACCTCATGCTGTTACGCAAGATGACGAATCGACCGTTCCGAAGGTAGCCAAGATATTACCATAGCCAAGATACGATCTTGATGCGGTTGGATAAATATTATGAATGATGTCGCTGTAATATTCTCGTGGGAGAGATTGGGTAATTTTAGCATAGCGGGGGGGGCTTTACAAACACAAAAGCAAATTGTCACACTGTCAAAGTAATGGGCTTTACGGTCGTCTACAGGGTTTGTGTAAAGTTAGGAAGGGTTATAGGATGGTGACATATACAGCAGGGATCGTAACATTAAACAAATAATATAAGAGTGGTAATGCACCTAAATTGACACCAAAGAGGCAATTACAATATAAATTTTAAACATTTAAAAACGCTTAAAATTTAATCAAAATTTAACTTTTTAAAAAATAATTTTACGAAAATCGTATAAAAGATAAACGTTTATAATCATAGTTACCTAAAACTTCAAAACTATGCCTTAAAAAATATAGATTTACCGCGCCATGTCACTTTTTTGTCATCCTCTAAAGTCATTTATTTTGTCTTTGCGCATATGGCTAGCAAGATACGATTCATCAAGAAGTGATCGCTCCGAAATAAATAAACCTCAATATGCCGCGGTAACAAAAGGGCCAAACCACTTACACTTCCTTTCGACTTACATAACCATGGTATCTTTCAAAATCTGCTACATATAATAAGCCTTTTGTAAATAAGCTAATTAGAGAAGCTTAAGATAACATAAAACAATTTAAAAAATGTTAGCGAAACACGTTAAAACTTTTATTAATTTTTTAAGAACTTATTGACCGTAGTATTTAAATTATGAAAATAATGCCAAAACTCACTGTGCTGATATTGAATTAATTATCAGCACAGTCCAAACCTTTAAAACTTTAAAACATGCATCTCATTATTCTTAAGCCTAAACGTACCCTTGTCGCAACTAAACCCATAAATTTAAATTTTCGAAAAATATTTTTAATTTCGAAAATTTATTCAAAAAAGAATGAACACAACTAAATGATGGCCTATAAATTGCGTTGATTAATTGTTTGAAAAGTGAAATTGCAGCAGATGTGTAATATCGAAAGCGTCGTGGCCAGTTGACCTTTTACGGAACTTTGTTGGCCTTTGCGGTAATGTGATCTGGCACTGACGCTTAAGACAAGAAACGGCGATCAAGACCGGTCAAGAGATTCGAAGCCATGTGTTGGGGCCATAAGTCATTGTAAGTAAATATGTTTCCAAAAGACATATTAAAGTGCATATAACACAACATTAAGGTATATCAAAGCATGTTATAGTATGTTTGTTTGATATGATTTATTATGCTTATGATCCTCATATACTTCACAAAATTTATCTTACAAGGAAAGTACCCTACCTGCCCCGCTCGGAATCATCTCAAAATTTTTATATGAATTCTTTGTACCACCAATAGTACCCATAAATTTTAGCTCGCGCTTTTGAGTTTTAAATTTAAATAATTTGGAAATCCCGCCAATTTGGCAAATTTGGCATTGTGTTTCAAGCACTTTTTTGGGCTTTCCAGACAAGATACGCGTACAAATTTAAAAATGTAGATCCATTCAAAGGTATTCTACTAGTATATCAAAGAAAAATAACTAAAAGTCAATAAATGACAAAGTTACAAGCTTGAAACACAATGCCAAGTTGTCGGGAAATTCAAAATGTCATTTTTCAATCTCGAATTTCTCGAGATTTCCTGGAAAGCGCGATTTAGTAGTTTGCTGAAGATCTTATATTTACATGATATTTCTATATAAAAAGTTTGAAGTCAATCAGAGCGGGGCACTAAAGACAATATAAATCACAGTACGTTCATTATGATACAAAGAAGCTAAAACGCCGACGATTAACGTTCCATTCATTATAAGCGATAGGTCGAGATAACTGATTACACATAATCCATCTTCACACCTCTCAATTTGTAACTCGTAGCAACAAAAACCGTTCTTTCAAAAATATTCTGCCATTTTTTAAATTAAGTTAAAGAAATTGACAAACTTTATAATTAAATCTTGTCTAATCCGGCTAGCTAAACGCAACAACGATCTATATACACAGATTCAAAATCGTATTATAACAGAAGCAGTGTCAGTTCTGTTCAATCGAATCACATTAACAGCTCCTGGCACGAAAGTTTCCACACAAAATCTGAAGATTCTACTGAAAATACAATTTTAAGACTAAAATTATCAATATCATACAAAAGTTTAACCTCATGCACCGTCCAGACATCCTCCCGTATTAGAAGAAATTAGGTAAAACTCCTCCACACCCGACCGCTCGCGACGACAAGATGAAACGACTTACTTATCAGACAACATGAATATCACAGGTTGAGCTGTCAAAACGACAATCCACGCAAACTGTACAAAGTGTACTATAAACGGAATACCAGTCAGAGTAAGAGTAACATAGTTAGTCGGAAACAATAGTAAAGCTGACAGAGTAAAGTTCTGTAGTATAAGCCTAACTTCAAACTCTCGAGGCAGTGAACTTATCTGATACCGTTTCTTCTGAAAGCTTACTGTAGCCTTGTTTTTGTTTCTACATGATATATTTATAGAACTTTTACTGCAAAGACATACATACTCGTATGTATGATGTTATGTAGGCATATTTGTATGTATGATATGTTAAACCGTATTTTTTATAATAATTTGTTCTTCTACAGTCTGCTAATACTAAAACCAACATTACACCGTAATAATCTTAATTTTAAATCAAATACTGCATTTTACATTGGTCTTAGTCTGCCTTATCACCTCTTATTTTAAATATGTTACTGCAAAGTATATTACTAAATTTACTATCGTATAAAACAATAATTTAAAGTAAACTTACATGATGTAAAATCAAAGAAACCAGAATAATATTTCCTCCAAACTCCAACACCGACCCAACCTTTCGTATGTTCTCTGTCATCAGACTCAATTCGTTGTCGCAACATGTCTTTTTAAACTGTAGTAAGTCCGTATACCAAACATAGTCATTGTAAGTTGTAAAGTACATAGATTGCATAGTAGAAGACACCACACATGACAGTAATATCATTACATTGATCCTTACAATCGATATCTTTACTCTTCTGTAGGCATCTTTTATCGCGAATATCCTTTCGTATGTCAGACATACTTGGAGGCATGACATAGTCAATAACAAGTTGGTCATTATGAATGACAACACCTACAACATGGTTATTAATTATTTACATTTACATTTGTATATCAAAACTTTCTTTCAGTTACTTTTTTTTATTACGAATGACATAGAGAACATACCTTGCGAATGACATAGGGAACAGCCAAGTTAAATACTGAGATACCACTGAAGGTAACAAACAGTAATATCTGGAAGAAGGCATCCAATTCTATCACAAACATCAATCTGAATACTGCGCTTTTACCATGAAGCCTTAGTCTGAATATGATCTAAACATAATTTTATATTATAGTAGACGTCGACTTATCACACAGTAACATATACTACTGAATACAATAGCCGTATTACTCAATAATACTATAAAAACTAAATGTATACAAAAATCGTAAAATATTGATTCCAACATACCATAACAACGAACAAGTGTAACAAAGACGATAAACAACATGTTATGAACATAGACACTCCATAGTAAAGTCTGAACTCATCTACATTACTCAGGATATACTCTGTCGAATTGAACACCATAAACTCAGGCATTTAAAGTAACCTTACAGATTCAGAATATGTTTTCCATGGTAAAAGTAACAAGGTAAGTGTAGAATAACATATTCACCTAAATAACAGATGGTGTTACTCTGTTGAAAAGTTTTATTTAAACTTTACAATTCAAAATAAAGTTTACTTACTGCACCGTCTCTTATTTATACTACCGTATTTTAAGTTACTGTAAAATGTAAGACGTATCTTTATACAGAAAATCAATTGAAATTAGAACTAATTGTATGACAGAACTATAATATAATAATTTAATATTCAAATTTAGCTTGAAACGAGTTCAATATATTATTTTATATGTACATCTGTGAATACAGTACCATCTTCACCAAAATTATACACGACATTGTAATCGCTGTCCATCATAGAATATCCATTTGTTAGCAATCCACTTCTCTCCACTCAGTATCGAACACCCAGCATGTTGTGTCCTCATGTCGCCAGTACCATCTTCATGAGTATTGTACCAAACTAAAGCGTTGCCTTCAATGGCGGGAACATGTAGCTTCAAATGTGTAAATACTGTCGCACCGCCTTTGTACGGAGTGTTCAACTGAAATTAAAGGTAGTAATACCTTTAAGGCAATATAAGTAACAACAAAAAGTAAACGCTGTAATAGTGAAAAGTAGTCAATATCAATTCCTTAAAGTAACCTTATCCTCAATTTCATGTCATTTTCTACAAAAATGTAATCGTAGTATGTTTTGTGAATGTAAACAGAAGCTTAGCCTCGTTTCCAAAAATTTTTTTCAACTCTGTATAAGGATACTGTCTCAAGTTCACACTAAGTTCCATCCCTTACGTATAGTAATGTAGTCGCAATACGATTCCCGAGAACGGCGTTTGCTTTCTTGTCCTGAAAATGTACTTTTACATTGTAAAACGTGTAATTTCATGCTTCTTAAAGACAAAAAAAATTTTAAAAATATAAGATTTACAAGAAAGTACATCCAATTATATATTAAGAAAGTATATAATACGTCCAAAATAGTTATCATTTCCTTATAAAACTTTTGTGTCTACCATAACTTATACTTTTAAAAATAATTTCGTCGAACTCCCATATATTTTTCTATTCTAATATCACCTCCCCATAAACAACACTTACCGGTTCAAAGTCATAGTGAGGCTGATATACTCCACCAACACCGTACTGAATCACCTTCAGAGACTCTGCTGCTTCCATGTCCAATTCTGTCATTCTTCCAATCATTTTGTCAGTATTTTTCACATTCTCATCATCCGACTTTTTCAAATCAGCTGTCAGACTCAATCGCAGTGAAGTGGTCTTCTTGGTACCTAAACAACAACATTTTGTTATAAAGTACAAACAAAGTCAAGTCTCAGTTTCAAAACAACATATAAACTAAAATACATAGGTTTTCATAAGAAATAAATACCTGTCTTTGGATCCATCACTAGCCCTCGTACCAGTTTGTCTGAAGCCAATTCTCTAAGTCTTCTTGTAGTAGATGGACCAGCAACATTATGGAACAGTCTGACATAAGGGTCAAGATTCAGAAGTTCAACTTTAAAGTAGTTTAGGTAACCATTCTGTTGATAGTAACAAACTGCTGATGAGTTTTGGTAAAAAGTAAATGGTACTTCATCGCGACAAAGCTTGTTCAAATTAGAGTCGGGAGAAAGACGGTTGACAAGAGGTGGAACATAATCTATCGTTTTCATTTCTTCTGGCTTCAAGAATCGCTTCAATTGAGCGACATTCTCTGTAAAAGTTATATTGTAGTAGATATAGTCAAATTATATTAGTTTTCGCACATATTATAGTAGTGTTTGCCTCACATATACTTACTTTTAGCAAACTCCTTCTTTGGCCATCGTCTACTCAACTCCAAACTGACCAACCAAGTTCTCTTCATATTTCCCTGTATCATTAATGATAATCCAATCGCCTCTAGCTGTTTCTCTCTCAAAACTCGCGGATCCCAGTCGATATTATTCTTGACATCTGCAAAATTCATCCAGTCGATGCAATGGTAATGTCGCTTCAAACCGCACGCAACCATCGCTATTTGGTATATAGAGTAAGTTCTCAGCGGTCGTAGACAGTAGTTTGGACCAACAAAACCATCAGTAAAGAAAGTGACGGAGACATGGTAAGTTGCTTGTAAGTTGAATATCTGCTTCACCACGTTTATCGTATCTTCCTCTTCGATTGGGGCAATCTGCAAATACGATCGTACGAATTTGCAGAAATTCTGTTTTTTTATTTTTTGGAAATATTTGTTGATGAAATTCAAAATTATTGATTGGTTAGGAGAACGAAACGCCACAAAAAACCTATTTATTTTAAAACTTGTTGGACCTTGAAATAGGTTAATTTTTCTACAATAATATGTGAACTTATGCTTTGTTAGCAAAAACGTACGTTTTCCAATTTTCGGAGTTGTGTTAGTGCTGAATACTCGTCTTTCAAAGCTGTGTGTAAAGTTTTTTCCTTGAGCAGTTCGTCTTTGACAAATAAATAGGCATCGACTGGGTCTTTCAGCTGTGATTTCTTATAGTTAATGGCACTAAAACAAGGGCAAGAGTTTATCTATCAAAGAACTTATTATTTTGGATGTTATTTAAATTTATGGGCTTTTAATGGGGATTATCAGTGTTATAGATAACTTTGGTTAAAAAGTTTTAAAAAGCGGTAACTTACTATGCAACCGAGTTATTTTTGGCGATATTGTCAACGATCTTGTTATCGACTGGTAGTTTTATTTGATAATCATGTAATCGCATAAATATTTCATCTGGATGACAATATACATAGCTATTTAGCAGTAATACCACAATAAAAAGGTAAGACATGCTGCTGATAACCATGATAACTGATTTCGGATTGAGAAGATTTGGTTTTGACCTGAATCTTCTCTTTTCGGTTACGCAAACAGAACATCGAATGGATTTATATTGTTCTTTATCTGTCAGGCAGTTCTTTATTGATAAATTGAAATATAAAGAGGTAACTAAAAGGAGGATAATATATATTTAACTAAAGTAATGTCTGATTCGGTTGCTGTTCGTCTTTGATGATCAGTCTGTGGGTGACTTCACCATCTTGTAGTAGCTCTTTTCGCCTTTTAGCATCGTGAACAGTATCTTGTAGAGGATCGTTTTTGGTCTCTGGTAAGAAAACGATTACACTGATAAGGGACATTGTTGTTACTAAGACTACACCAAGATACGGAGCATAGTGCCAGTATTTCTGAAAGTAGTCAATATCATCTTACTTTGAGTCACCTTTTTATTACATAGAGTCAGCACACTTTAAGATATGTAATATTATAAGAAAATGTAGTTGTACTTCCTTATAAGCATATTTACAAATATCCTACCCTGATGTAAATAAGTTGAGGTCCGGTCACACTTCCTAACTGGGATGCTACACTAAAGGTACTCAAAGCGATTGATCTTACTACAGTTGGGAACAACTCAGTAGTGTATAGCTTGTATACGATCCACACAAACCCTGTCATGACGACATAACCTAGCAGAACGGCCGAAGTTCCCAAGATACGATAGTTTTCGTTGAGTTCGTAGTAATCGATTGCACACATGGATAAGAAGCATATTAGTACTGTGCCTATAAGATTTGATGTTGTTATTGAAACTGATAACATATTTTATGGATTTTTACATTTTTGTAAGATACCAATGTTTTATGGTGAACATACCGAGAGATGTAACCATTAAGCGTTTACGGCCAAAGTTTGTGTATTTGGTTTCCAATAAGATGGCGACAAACGGAGTCCAGAGACGGAGTAGTCCCATGATGGATACGTTTGTTAGAGGATTACCGGACTGAGGTTAAATTAATAAGTCAATTGTACTAGAGTAAAATAAGTGAAGTAAATTCAGATGGAAACTTTAAAAACGTACCAAGTCTTGTATGTTGTAAAATACCACTGCCTGCATAATGTTCATAGTGATACCTGTTAACATTTGAGAAATGGCCCAGGATGTCATCCGCCAATTCGAAAACAGATGCCAAACTGTGTAGTGGCGGCGTCTGGATTGGCCGCTAAACTTATAAATAATCAAGTTCTGTTTTACATGCATTTCAGTCATAATATTGCCCTTTACATATGAATATCGTCATCAATATAAAGCTTTAATGGTATAATAAAAGTTACAGTAATCATAAGATAAGTAACACATACCTAACACTAGCTGCATGCATAGTCCTCATGTCATCAGTAGTAAATCGGACTTTACTTCCATTAAATACGGAGATACGATTCATGGCTTCAGCTGCTTTCTTGTATTTGTGCTTCTGGATTAGGTATCGTGGTGATTCCACGAAGAAAATAGACAGTAATACTGAAGGTAAGGCGAATATAGAGATACTCAACAGGTGAGTACGCCAGTTTTGGGTATAATGGGCTAGAAGACCGGCTATCTGAAATTATATTATTGTGTGATAGTATAACAGATATGACTTGCTATGATGTGGTGTATAACATACCATGACGTATTAAAAACGAAAACAATAGATTTATAAGCTTACCACAAATCCCAAAGAATGTTGGAAAGCGTATCCTTGTATGATACGATACTTTGAGTGTACACTTTCGACCAGTAGAGGAAACGAAGCGCTAGATCGAATAGTACCAACCAGGCTGGCAGTAACACTGATGGCCAAGTAAAGTTGCCATGTTGGAGATAAGGATTCTGTGATGGCTGCCAGGAATATAACCAACGTTCCTGATATATACAGCCATTTGCGACCAAAATAATCACTCAAATGGCCTGATAACAAATGACCGAAGAGGTGGACTATCGATTGAAAGGATGCTATACTTGATCCTATGTAGTCTGGTTCACATACCCACTAAAAGATACGATACCTATTACTATACAATATGTTTTGGCACAATTAGGTATGAAATGGAAATGTATCTTCAAAACCAATAACTATAACAATATCAAAGATATTACCTCAAACTCCTCGTAGATACTAGTCCAAGCATTGTGAGTAGTCAGGTTACTGCACGATTTTACCATGGCACAAGCATATGTCTGATTATGTTTGACTTGATTCGCATTTAAGTAAAAGACGTTATCAGTATCTTGACATTCGTAATCTGGTACAAGACCTCCTAACCTATAGTACCCGACAGACATAAAGGATGCCATAGCTATCGCCAACCATTGAGTAGTGACAAAACAGAACACTTGGTACCTTCCATACCTTTCTATCGCTTCGTATGCTTCGTCCAGTGACTTGTAAAGCGTCATCGCTGCTTCCTATGTTGTCCTTATAGTAAGTAGCAACTGTCTTTAGTATGGCATAAAGTATATGACGTTAAAAATACTGTACTATTAAAGTATATTGTAGTATATATACTTCTTTTAGTGTACAAAGTTGACAAACTTTAAAGCACAGAACAGTTGAACTTACTCAAAGGTGTGAATAACATATACAAAAGGAAAGACTGCGAGTAACTTGTTAATATATTCAAAGCCTAATCTCCGATGACAGATTTCCCTCTACCTTGTGGTATTTCGGAAGATGGTCATCCAACTGGCGGTTGTAGTTTGTTTTGAGTGCAAAAAGTAAGGATACATTGTGATATCATTATATGTACATGGAAGGTGCTTAAAGACAACTTTAAATGCTCCTGTAGTATAATTACTTTACAATTAAAAAACTTGATGTCATGTGTAACGTAATTGTTTAGCTTTACCTTATTTTGCACACTTTAAAGTTCAATTTTCAACAACCTGATCAGTTATACTTACGACAACATTGTGTTTGACCAACATGACATAAACACTCCCACCTATTTATGCCTTTTACTGTGTTTCGTCTTTCTATTCCTCGAACTGACTAAAATCAATTCCTGGTTTTGCCGAACGGTTTTACAGCGACGGTTAATAAAAAGGCGTCTGTTTGTTAATTTCAAAAATTACGTGATATTTCCTCCACGTTACAACGTGGGTGCTTAGTTAAAACCTGTCGTTTCAACTTTACCATACAAGATAAACGGCTTGGTACCTTCTGATCTTGGTATCTTCTGCCCTTGGTATCTTCTGAGTTACTGTACTTTTGTATTTTCTGCTTCAGAAGTGAGGCATTTACTGTCTTCTTCTAAATTATTCTATATTGAGAAAGAAATATAAATTATATAAGCAAAACTCTAATTTAAATACAGTAAATAATGTTACTTTACTTATCTCTACTATATCTCATCGCCTTCACAACGGCTTTGGTCAACATACCACCAGATGGTATCTACTTCCGGAAGCCACATCGGAAGCACTTCTTTGTAAGTTGACATCCCATTATGTAATACTAAAGCAGATGCCATACAGTTGTCACGATCCAGAATTCTGTATGCATCCTACTGACAACGCGACGCAATTGGACGAAATGAAATGGCCAGAGAAGATACGAGACTACGTGCATTGCATGGACTTGGTATGCCAATGTGGTGCTTTCAATGGTACTGTTGTAGGCAACAACTGTGTGTTACAAAATGGCAAAGTGCTACGAAAGGCGTTGAGGAAAGAATTCAGACAATTGACAACAGAAGAACGTGTCGCCTACACGGTAAGAAATTTCTAGAATAAAAAACTTGAAATTAGTATAATGTTGTCATAAAAATTGAGTTATCAAACATCACCCATATCAACATACATAGAACAGTATAAAACCTAAAACATAACCTCTTCAGAGTGTTCTACAACAACTCCACCAAGAAGGAGTACTAAACTACCTTGGTACACTCCACAAGACAGCTGGAATCCATTCTGGTCCAGCGTTCTTCCCTTGGCACAGAGAGTTCTTCAAAAGAACCGAGCTTCTGCTTCGTACCTACAATCCCGAGATTGCCATTCCTTATTGGGACAGCACTTTAGATAACTATCTTGCAGACCCATATTCATCAATGATGTTCACATACGACTTGTTAGGAGAGCCAGGAGAACGAGGATACGTTTACAACACCGTCTTTTCAAACTGGACGACGATGGATGTAAGAACAGGTTTGATGTGCTATAATCATATCGTAGTAGAGATTTAAAAAAAAATATTTTTATATTTTTAAATAAGTTACTCTAAAATGAGGAAGACATCACAACTTTTACCCAAAATGTTGTTTTAGGGGAGACCCACGTGGTACCGATCCTTCGGCAAAGAACCAGATGGAGAACTCTTTAATAACAAGAGAATCGAATGGGTAATGTCCCAAACTGACGTTCACTACGTTCTAACGTACAGTTTACCTCTAATTGTAAGTTTCCAAAAGAATAAAAGATTTTGTCGCAAAATAAACACCAATAGTCGAGGTTTCCACCGTTAAATTTGTGACATTTCGTTAATTAAAAGAGAACTGTTGCAGAAAAATTATTTTATAGCTGTAGCCTGCTAATTAATAATAATTTAGGGTTGTAAAGGATATTATTTGGATGAGCGTTTTCTGGAATACTCACACGACTATGTGCACTACTTTATGAGTGGAGATATGCAAGATAGGGCGACGTCAAGCAATGACCCTGCCTTCTTCTTGCACCATTCTTTTGTGGACTCAATTTGGGAAGATTGGCGACAAGCTAAACAGGTAAATTTGTAAATTTCATTGACTTTAAGTATTTTTAGATAAAATTAGTTTGAAAAACTATGAATTTATTGGTTGGGTCGGCATATTAAAAACTTTCATAAATTCACAAAAAATTATTACTTTGATCGATTATCTGAGGCAATAATGCAAAATTATTACGAAACTATGTTTTTCACTATAAAATACTGTTATCGAATATTAAAGTTTGTTAAATAGACATTATGCTTGTTGTTTAGAGACCAGAACAACGTGAAGAAGACTGGCCCATCGATAACCTGGAATGTGCACCAGGTTGGCACTTCAAAAACGCGTCAATGCCATTATTGAAACCGTTTAAAAACAAGGATGCTTTGTCAAGGAAATACACAGAAAATCTATTTTCTTACGCTTCGAGACCAACTTGCACTAATGAGACGAAGGATTGTGGATCTGAGTAGGTTAACATCATTTCTTGTTAGAACTGTTACCTAAAATTGATGAAAAATGCAATGTTATTGATTTTTTAAAAGTTTTGCGCTTTTATTTGCAAAAGTTTGTTCTAAGGTAATGTTTTATGTACTTCCGTTTCAGATTCTTATTTTGTGACACCGTAACTACTCCAGAATCTCCACATTGTGTAGCTAAGGTGAAGTTTACTGGAAGTTGTACTGGCTTTGAATGGTCTGATGACATTTGTTATTTTGGTAAATGTATCAATGGAACCTGTCAACCAAGAAAGGAAGATGTACCACTTGGTTTCCCTACACCACCAACTTTTGTCATACCTGAAAATCATCCTTTCTTCACTCATCCAAAGAAAATAGGACCGAAGGGAAAGGGAAATGGTGACGAAAGAAAGGAAAATGAGGTTAAATTAGATAATGATGACAACAAAGATAAGGTTAACAGCAAATTTGTTCAAGAAGAGGCCAACAGTTCTAATGACGGAGATTCTAGCGATGATTCTGAAGATGAAAACTTTCTGTCTAAAGAGCCTTCTGGTAGTATAGAGAAGACTGCTGTGAAGCTGGAAAGTGAGACCTTGAAGATCAAAGCTCCAAGAAGGACGGAATTCGTTTCAAAAACGTCCAGATTCATGTAGATTCGAATAAAATTATAGCTGAATTCAATATATTGAGGGATATTTTACTAAATTGTAGTTAGATTTCGTAAGTTGTAGTTTCATTCAGTTAGTTATAGAGGTAACAAAGCAGTCAGTAGTGAAATCAAAAAGAAGTTTTATGCTGGACTTGTAAACCGGTTTGATTAAAAAGTCAAAATCACAAAAAACGAACATGAACAAGTACAGAAAAGCAACGTAGCGTCTGGTAAAGTACAAATCACAATGGACTTCATGTAGGCATAGACAAGATATTTTAGTTTTTGATCAGAAACTTCATTTTGCAACCAAATTTATGCAAATCTGGAGGTGTTTAAAATGCATTTGACTTCAGAATATCTTGTTTTAGCAAAGTGAAAGCACGTTACTCTTGAATATCATTTCATTCGTACGTTGAACATGACTTTTTGGTAGATATCGCAATAGTATTGTCGTTAAGTGATAACGTACTTTTGTTTATTCTCACCGTCATTAGAAAAGTACAGTAAACCAGTTTATAAAATATTGTTTTAACTTATGTGATGCGTTTCTGATATGGTTTGAGTTTTTATGTCTAAGCCTAACTTAAGCCTTGAAATTTGCATAAAATAAATTGTGAAGCTTGTTTTTGAATCTACAACCCAACACTTTTAAATTTTCATTGTGGTTTAAAATTACAAATATTATACCTAAAACTTTAAAATAATTTTAATGTGTTATTTCAGAAATTTGAAAAATGACAGAAGACCCTACGAGGAAAAAGTCTTCAGAACAAAATGTCAACTTAGAGGACCCGACAGCCGAAGAGAAGAAAGAAGAAGTGGATTCAGAAGCCCACAATGCAGAATCTGAAAAGGATAAGACACAAGAAGAAGGTGATAAAGAAGTTACTGTTGGAGAAGATAAAAACACCGTGGTAAAAGAAGAAAACGAAGATACGAATAGAAGTCAATACGACAAAAACATAACTCAACAGTCGTTAAATCCATTTGAAAATGACACAGCAAAGACCTTAGAAAAGGGTACCAAGATGGTGGCAGTCGACTTAAAACGGGCAAAGTTCGAATTGGTATGTTAACATGGTTTACATACGTTTATGTAATGTAAGGCTGAATTCAGTTCGCTTATTATGTAAATAAGGTATAGAGACACTGAGTGTAGTATGTATGATAGTATATTACACTATTTTCAGGAAGATGACGATGAATCGTATCTGGAATCTTCAGAAAATGAAGACAAGAATGTTGAGTATGAACGTAGCAAGCTCGACAAATTCATGAATCTCATATGTTGTCGCGGGGATTTGGCGGAAAAGAAGCTGACTGAACGGCCGGTTACGGTAAAACAACTGGTAAGTACTAAAAAGGACAAGGTAAAACACTCCCAGGCGGGTAAAAAAAGTATTGTGATGTTGAGGGAGGTGTTTATCATTCATTGATAACAAAACATGATCAGGCAAGAGTATTAGTAATTAAAAGTCGTTATTAGACTTCAAAGTAGTTTTTGTGAGAAAATGCATGTCATTAAGGCTAACATGCTGCTGCTAGGCTAACATGTTCTTTTCACTGTTACCTCGATTGTATCTTGACGTCACTTGTTATGAATATTGTTGTAGATCTCAAAGAAGAAATTCTTTCTTTTTTGACAGTGGTAATTGTTTTAAAGTGGCAGTATTTTTTAATTTGGTCGTCTTAATACATACAAAGTGCTATAGTATATCGTTTTTTAATACGCATTTTTTTAATTGTAAAAATAATTTTTTCAGTTCAAGTATGGTACTCGTCTTGACAACGTACTGGTCGTGTGTGGGATGGTAATGGCATTTCTGTGTGGGTTCTGCCAGCCCTTCTTTGCCATTATCGCTGGTATGTTAGCAAATGCCTTATTGTTATTGGATGTGAGTGACGCCGAGTTCCAGCGACAAGGAGCGCGAGCAGTGTTCGCTTTTCTCATTGTTGGATGCTTCTTGGTCATCGTCGCTTTTATTCAGGTTAGTTATCGTGGTTTACTCTTTTATCGTATAATACCGTATTTTATACTTTTATTGTAAAATACGGTACAGGTATGATAGATGAATAAGTAGTTCTATGGCATTCATGTTATGGTATTCAGCTGATAAGTGAATGCTTTCAGTTTTGTTGTTTCAATGTCGCTTGTATTCGTATCGTGCGTAGAATCCGAATAGAGTATCTGAAGTCGATTTTGCGACAAAACGCCGGTTGGTTTGAGTTGAATCACAGTGGAGCTCTCAATACCAAGCTCAATGAGTAAGTCCGTCAACGGCCTTATGTACATATTTATGGCTTTACATTACCTTTAGATCATAATATTGTTGTAGCTGTGTACAACATATTCTATCATGTTCACACTTTGAACAAACTATTTTTTAACATTATAATCGTATTCGACCTCTAAAGTAATATACTGCTTCACATTACAGTAACATTGAGAGGATTTGTGAAGGAATCGGCGACAAATTTGGTCTTCTGATCCGAACTGCAGTCCAATACTCAGCTGGTATGATCGTCGCCTTGGTTTGGTCGTGGCAGATGGCGCTGCCTTTGAGTTTGATCTCTCCTATTATCGCTATGGCTATGTCATTGTCTTCAAAGGTGAGCTTGGTGGGGTAGTTGAGGTTTGGAGGGGAGTGTTTTTCAACATCTTATCAATTAAAACTTATTTCAGAAAATTGGCGACGCCTCCAAGGTGGAGATGGCGATCTACAGTAAGGCGGGTCAAGTCGCGGAAGAGGCGATAACAGCCGTGAAGACGGTGTCGGCCTTCAACGGCCAAGACCAGGAGGTCGATCGCTACTCAGACGAGCTCGAGAAAGGTGTCGCGGCCGGCCTCAAGAAGGGAAATCATGCTGGATTCTTGGGCGGGTTCCTGACCATGATCACGATCACGTTCATGGGCGTCGCCGTTCTCTACGGCACCTTCTTGTACCAGATTGGCGTCGTCGAGACTCCCGGCGACATCTTTGTCGTCCTGACTGCCATCTTAAGTGGAGCCTACCATCTCGGCAACGCGTCGCCACATCTCATGGTAATGTTGACAGCGAGAGTGTCAGCTGCGACAATCTACAAGACGATAGAGAGGACTCCCGAGATCGATTCTTATTCCGTTAAGGGACGGAAACTTTTTGACCTCAAAGGGAAGATCGTGTTCAAGAATGTCGCTTTCAGGTATCCGTCGAGGAAAGACGTCAAGGTGGGCTTGGAACTTGTCGCAATTAACAACAATATGAATATGAACATCTTTATGTAAAGGTCTCATCGTATCTTACCAAACCTTGTTTTAGGTACTCAAAAGTCTGTCATTCACAGTCCAGCCTGGCCAAACCGTCGCTTTGGTCGGTCATTCTGGATCCGGTAAGTCCACTGTAGTCGGGATTCTGAACCGCCTTTACGAATATGAATCCGGCTACGTGACTATCGACGGTCATGACGTCAGAGATCTCAACCTGAAGTGGCTGCGACAAACGGTGGGCACGGTGCAACAAGAACCGATCATCTTTAACGCGACAGTCGAGGAGAACCTCAAGATCGGCAACCCAGACTTGACCGAGAAGGCGATGGTCCAGGCCTGCCAGCTAGCCAATGCTCACGAGTTCATAGAGAACCTCCCTGACGGGTACCTCACCAGAATCGGCGACGGAGGAGTTCAGCTGAGTGGAGGACAGAAACAGAGAATCGCCATAGCCAGAACAATGGCCAGAGATCCCAAGATTCTGCTTCTGGATGAAGCGACGTCAGCTTTGGACGCTCAGTCAGAAGCCATCGTGCAGGAAGCTCTGAATAACGCCAGCAAAGGACGAACCACTATTGTCATCGCTCACAGATTATCTACTGTTAAGGTAAATGTTGAAAAAAAAATCATTTGATAAGCAGCCAAAAATAAATATAAAAAATTTAAAAAGCTTATTTTTGCACGGTGCAAGCCATTTTATCTACGCCGAAATGTTTTGCACTGTGCAGTCATTTTTCACATCTCCAAAAAACTGCACCGTGCAACCACTTTTCACCCAAAACAAAAAGAAATGCACGGTGCAAGCCTTTTTCCCTCTACAAAACCGATTTTTGTGTGCACCGTGCAGTCCTTCGATCCGCCGGCGACATCCTTTACCTCGCACTGTGCATTCCTTTTCATTCCAATTCAGTGGAGCGACAAACGTGCGCTGTCCTTTTCTCGCGACTCTTTTGAACACAAAAATGCGAAAGCTTGTCGCAATTGTTTTGCGACAAATTTTCATTGACTGAAGGCGACATCTTCAACAAATTTTTGGAGTTTTTTGTTGTCGTAAGGCACCCGCGACAGAATTGTCGTCCAAAAAGAACGACAAAAGAGTCCAAATGAACGTTTCATTGGCCGCGGCAAAATTTTGTTTGAGTGACAAAAAAATCGACACGACAGGGACACGCTCAACGTTGTCGCAAAGAAAAACTCTCTGAATTGTCGCGAAAAAAGCAGCGACAAAAACAGAAATTCGTTAATCAAATTTTTGTTGCACGGGTCAGAAATCAAGGAAATTTGCGACATTGCAATTCTTGTTTTCAACACAAATCGCTCAAGCAAAACGCGACATTGTTTCTTCTGCACAGTGCAGACAGTAGAAGGTTTGGCGACTAAAAGTTGTGGATTGTCTGCACGGTGCAGCCTTTTTGGGAAGGCGTTGTTGTCGCAAAACACTGCACGGTGCATGCAAAAGACAAGAACTGCACTGTGCAAATGGCAGAATTTTGCACTGTGCAAGGATAAAAAATAAAAGAGGTTTGCATTGTGCAAAATCAAATAAAAAAGAGACGATTGCACCGTGCGAATGAAAAACCGTTTATTGGGCGCAGGTTGGTGGGCAAATTATACGCAAAAATTAAACCCTTATTTTATAAAAAATCTTAAAAGTATTAGTATGTACTAAATATTGATTATTAATTAGTACCAAAATGTAGACTTGGAGCGTTTTCCTTCAAAACTTACAGTACCATTTCAGGACGCGGACAGAATCATAGTACTGGACAAAGGGCGATTCATTGAAGCTGGTACTCACAATGAATTGTTGGAACGTCGCGGAGCCTACGCCAAGCTGGTGAGGGCACAACAGATTGACATGATTCCAGAAGCAGAGGATTCTGAAGAGTACGATGACGACAGTACGAAGACGGTAGTGGGGGTGGATCTGGAGAAGCTGCGCGAGAGTGTCAGGAGGTCGTTCAAACGCGACTTCATGGAAAGCTCGCATCTTGGCGACGCCGAAACTGAGGAGCTGGAGGTGGGGTTACTGTAATTTTTTAAATATATTGTAAAAATTAGTTTTTACTGCACTTACCGTATCATACAGTAACGAATGATGACAATTTCAGATGGAGATCGAAAAAGAAGGCATTTTTCAATTTTCGATGTCGCAGCTCTTCCAAGAGGCCAGGTTCCTGTGGAAGACCTTGGCTATGGCGATTGCTTGCTGTGTGTTCAATGCTCTTGCCATGCCCATCAATGCCCTTTTATATGGATTGGCCTTTGCCTTGTTCGACGACGGAGACCGCGCCAACAAGTTGTTGCCAGCCTTTTGGTTCTTCTTAATGTTTGTCGCTCTTGGCGTGGTCTCAATGTTCTCTACTTGGTTTACTGTAAGCTTTTTGATTGATATAATGTACCTTCTAAAGTTTTTATTTTTATATTTACTATGGTTTTTTGTCTTACAAAGGTGTTGCGACAAGTTTCTTGCTGATTATTTTATCTTTATCAGGCTTAGTCTTGTTCTACAGCTATTTCACATACTGTAACATTCCTTTTCAGACATATATGTTCGGCAAGGTAGGCGAGAAGCTGACGAAACACTTGCGAGTACGAGCCTTCGAGAACATTCTCTACCAGGACTCTACGTACTTCGACGATCCTCAGCATACTCCAGGCAAGTTGATCACGAGGCTGGCGACAGATGCTCCCAATGTGAAGGCGGCGATGGATACTCGGCTGGGGCGTGTCGTGCTGGGAGTACTGTCCATGTTCAGTGCCATCATCATTGCCATGTTCTTAAACTTCAGGCTGACCATCGTATGTTCGGTCATGTTCGTTTTACTTGGAACTTTCCAATTTGTGATCGCCAGAAAAGTGCATCAGGAGAGACTGAAGGCGGCTCAAAACGACGAGGCGGGCAGGGTAAGACCTAAATTTAGGACTTGGGGTGGATTTATATTGAAATTACACTTGTCAGTTGATTGTTTTAGTTTGCGATAGAAGCGATTGAGAATGTGCGGACAATTCAGCTTCTGACAGGAGAGACAGAAACCTACAAGAAGTTTGGGAAACTGTCAGAACACCAACGGAAGACAGAGATACTGATCACACCCTGGAATGTAAGTTCAAGTATCTTTTCAAAAAGACGTCATACTGACCTGGTTTCTATAAATTAGTAAAAAACATGTCTAAAACTGTCATCAACTCTACATACACTACAACATGATGACTTTTTTATGTTAATATAAATGTCATCAAAGCCAAGTGAGACTTTTAGTTTAGGCTATGAACTTTGCTTCAACTCACGGTCTACAACACTTCAATCTCGCCTTCTGCTACACTTGTGGATTCGCGTTTGTGTTAGCTGGCTGGACTGAAAAGGTCGAGGTGTTCCAGTAAGTTTACCGTTGTTTTACGTTGAGTTTATGTCAATTACTTATCTTGGTCTTTCCCAATAAAGGCACTTATACTCATTATATAATTATATATCTTTTAATATAGTCATATATTACCTTATCTTATTGTTAAAATTCTTTTAGAGTAGTCCAGACATTGTACTTTGGAAGTTTGGCAGTACTACAAGCTTCTGAATTCTTCCCCGAGTTCGTCAAGTCGCGGCTGTCAGCTGCTCTCATGTTCAATATAATCAACCGAAGGCCCAAGACTGGAGATATCGACCAAGGAGAGAAAGTCGTACGTTTCTATATGTAAAGTTACCTTAAGTTTTATATGTTATGCTTATGGTTTATATGATTATCTTAAGATTTGACTTTGTTCGACCTTATCGTGTATCATTTCAGAAGATTGTTGGCGATGTTACCCTTGATGACGTCTACTTTGCCTATCCAAACACTCCCAAGAGCATCGTACTACGTGGAGCTTACATCAAAGCCAGTGCTGGTCAGACTGTAGCACTTGTAGGACCTTCTGGGTCTGGCAAAAGTACAGTAATTTCAATGTTGGAACGGTTCTACGATCCGCTGGCCGGAGTTATTGTAAGATTACTGTACTTTGAAAAATTTATATATTTTTGCACCTTTGTATCTTACTATGACTACACTTCAGTATATATTTACATCTATCTGGTTACATCTAATATTATTTCAGAAAATTGACGGTAAAGATCTGCGTTCGCTGAGTCTCCGCAACGTGCGACAACAAGTGGCATTGGTAGAGCAACAGCCTCGTCTTTTTAGTGGGTCCATCAAGGATAACATCTGCTACGGCCTCGATCAAAGTCTGGTTCGTGTAGACGAGATTCTGGAGGCAGCCAGGATTGCGAACGCTGACAGTTTCATCAGCCAGCTTCCAGATGGCTACGACACCTTGGTGGGAGAGAAGGGCACTCAGCTGTCAGGAGGTCAGAAGCAGAGAATCGCCATCGCTCGTGCCATCATTCGGAAGCCCAAGATTCTGCTGCTCGACGAAGCTACGTCGGCCTTGGATTCGGCTTCAGAAGTCGCAGTTCAAGAAGCACTGGACCGTGCCAGACTCGGAAGGACGTGTGTCACGATAGCTCACAGATTATCATCGATTCAGAATTCTGATCTGATCGTGTTCCTAGAGGCAGGGAAGATTCGAGAAGCTGGTAGCCATGCTCAACTGATGCAACAGAAAGGAAAGTACTATGGACTCATCAAACGACAAGACTTGAGTGTACAGTAATCGTTGTTACTTTAGTTTAGCGAAATCATGTTATTAATAAACGAGGGATAATATCTTTATGATTGACTACACTTTCTCATGTTGAATCTGTTGTATTACCTACTAACATATATATATATTTTCTGTTTTATCCTATATATTCATGTGATCTACAATATCGTGTTAAATATAGTGTGTTATCTATCTTGTTGAATATGTTATTTTAGGTCATGTTGTCAATTGTCATTCAGGCGGTCCTAATCTTACTTCCAGAGTTTGCAAACGGACAAAAGGTAAGGACAACCAAGACGAAGGTTCCGTGTTATGTTAGAATACCATATGTTTTGGGTGCATCTTGATGACACATAACATTCAGTGTGTCACCAAGATAATAACCAAGCTAATTGAAGGCTGGTAACCTTTTCTGGTATCAATACCTTCAATGCCGTCTGTCGCTCTTTTAAAACTTTTAAAAGTTTTGTTTGTCCATCGTGAGGGTGTTATTGTTGTGACATTGTAGCCCAGGGAAACCAATTTTAGATATAAAAAATGCCTGCAAAACGTGAAGATTGTTCGGAACGGACAGCTGTTTCTATTATGTTTTACCCTCCGGCGATAAGGTCAAAGAACTCGAGATAACTTTGCTTTGGGTTAGTTTTTGCAAAGATTTTAGTTTGAAATGGCACAAACTATAGATTCATATTCTTTACCATAACTAGACTTACATCTTGTGATAGTATTAGACAAAGTTTATCCCTTCCATATTACTCATAATATTGTTATATACGAATTAAACGTTTGTAAGGATTCTCGTATTGTAAGGCTGCTTTGCTTTAATTGCCTTTACAACTCCTACTTCAATTTACTTTTTCATATTGTTTCACTTTACAAAAGACATTACCATTTATCTTACTGTCTCTTTACAAAGCAAACAGATCGTATAGTCTTGTCTTACTACCGTTTTAACAAATATTGACAATTTTTAGGTGATTTATATGAATTTTATGAGAAAAATCATGCATTTTGACGTATATTTCAGTTTAATCGCCTGCGGCCTTAAATTTTAATTGATTTCCATTGTTTGGCCGTTTTTATCTCACGTTCGATTTCGTCAAATTTCTCTGTTCCTGATCTCGAAACGTTTCCAAAGCTATGTTTATTTCAACATATTCTGTTTTTTCTTTTTTAAATTGGTATTTTACTGTTATCTTTTACTATAAAACCAAATGAAAAGATAAAAGGTGTTTTAGGTTAAACCAACCAAAAATGAGTATCAAAATTGAGGTTTTAGAAACTGATATGAGTAATCAGTTGGAGAACTTTTGCGTGGACGTGACAATTGATGCCCTGAGGTGTGGCGCTGACAAGGTAAGTCTTTAAAGTTTAAGATAACACCTTTTTCTTAGTTTTTTAAAAGTTTACTTTATAAGAATGTAGACATTTTACTACAATTATATAAGTAAAGGCTTTAAAAATAAAACTTTTGCTTTTCTAGGATGTAGCCGCTTATTTGAAAGATTCTCTAGAAAACAGATTCGGCCCAACTTGGCATTGTGTAGTAGGCAAGAGTTTTGGGTCGAGAGTTAGTTTTGAACCGGGGAACTTTATCCTGATGAGGTATGGTGGGACCTCCATCCTTATATTCAGATGTGGTTCCAACATTCGACAATAATTTACTGTACATAGAGTTTCTACCGTGCCATTAAACCAAATTCTGTAAATTTTAACTTTTATTTAGCTACAGAATCGGTACGTATAACAATATTTGTCTATAGAACCATTTCTAGCAATGCTTGTCATACTTGTTACAACAACCTTACAGTTGTAGCAATATTGTTTGACCTTTTAGGTCACAGCTTCTTACTGTACCTTAACTATGTTCCAGAATAGTCCTTATATTGTAAATTACTAATTTATAAGTTGGAGAAAGTATATTTTAACTAATTTAAAGTTGTGGTTGTTGAACAGTTGCAACACCTGTGCTCGATCAAGGTCAAGTTCAACAAAAAGAGATTAATAAACTCAAAAATGACATTTAACTATACGGATTATATTACTAGTCACAATCATCAGATGAAGTAATAATATTATACACTTCTGAGTGCCTCCTCCATTTCGAAATGGGTACCTTTAAAAATAACTTTAGCTATCTGTGGAAGTTCCTCTACAACCAAACTATCAACTTGAAGGTCAAGAACCTCAATTACTTCGTATGTTTGTAGGTGAACTTCTAATGCGTTTTAGTAGTCGACAAATAAACGTTCCCTTTTTCGAAAAAACCATAAGAAACATACGAAGAATACGGTAATTAGAGAGAGACATACAACAAGTTCACCATGTCTGTCTCCTTTTCGTAAAATTTACGTAATTGCAACATTTTCGTCAAGTTTCTCCCCAAAACTACAAAACCTTGGCAAAAAGTTAGTGGAAGGCGGAGTTGAGGAGGTCACCTTAACAGTATATAACCTCAGCCGAGGAGGAAGTAAACATCAACCACCAACTCACTCCTCAACATGTTCGGTTTGAAAGTTCTTCTGGCTTTGATCGGTGCTCTCGCCTTGTTCGGTGGAGCTGTCGAAGCTCGTCGGTACTTCGACTCCTACGACGATGACTGGTAAGGTTTACTGTAACTTCGGAATTATTTTGAGTTCTGATCCCATTGAAATACAAATCTTTTCGTTAGCTTTGGCCCTTTAACCCCTTTAGAGTGGCTAGTCTATCTTATATTATATTAGGCGGCCAAGAACCGCTCGGGCCGCACCTCCAATGAGTGCGGCCGTTCGACGGCGATTCGTCGCCGAACTGGTCGACATCGACCCTGACGCTTCATCGGAATCTACCAAAACATCTTCCGACCAATCTTCGTTATCGTCGCGACAAGAAGATGATTCTTCTTCAGGCTTAAGACAACGAGAAGGAGGTCGCTTCGTTTTGGTTGATGAAGTCGGTGAACGATACCGTAACCCTGAACCACAAGTGGTTCTAGTACAACGACCAGAAGAATCCTACGCAGAGCGACCTCCTGTCTACCCTGAGCCTACTAGGACAATATTTGTTCGACCAACTCCCCCACCCCCGCCACCACCACAGCCTGAATATAAATTTGTTGTCGAAAGGCCAAAGGTTCGCGTCGTAGACGACGGAAGCTACCGAACTGCTCCACCACGATTCGCAACGGTTAATGTGGGCCCCAGCGACTACGAAGACTACCCTTACGAATCCAGAATCCCCAGATTCAGACCGAAAAACGCCCTTTCCTCTCGCAATTTCTTGATAATACCATGAAGTACATTACTCTGCTCTTTCTCCTCATATTCATAAGACACTGATAGATAACATAACTCATTACAGGTACTACTACCGTCGTCCTTACACCGCCCCTCGTCCTTACTACTCGCCATACGTCGCCAAGGAAGTGTATGCTCCACCAAAGGAATACATTGCCCCAGCCCCATACTCGGCCCCATACTCTGCACCAGTCGTTCACACCCGTTATGGTCGCAAGTAAAGCATCCCTCGCATATCACTCCAAAGCTTTAACATTTTTATTTTTAAATTTTACTCAATAAACGTATATTTTTATGAAAAACATCGTTTACTTTGATATAAACGATTATATTTTTAAACATAACCGTTCTTTATGTATTCAAATATTCATATAAGATTCTCTATGAATGACCAAGCTGCCAGATGAACAAACTTTGGAAAGCAAACCTTTAAAAGATAATATGACTGTAAACTTGTATAAGTATAATAGTTTATCAAACTTATTTTTCAAACAAAAAGACTTACTGAATCAACATATTTGAGTGAGCATCCTTGTTTTTAACAATCTGCCCCTTTTGTTCGCCAGTTTTTCGCTTCAAAACGAAACCGGGAAACAGATTACGCAGACTGCGCCCAATGTGTTTTTCGCGTTTTCTTTTTTCTTTTATTCGGCTTGTCAAATTAGACGTATTTCTATTTATTTCATTGATTTTTGAAATGTAACATTAACCCTATATTTTGTAGAAAATGTCGACTCCAGAACCAGTCCAGACTAGGTCGTCAAGGAGAAGATTGTTGGTGCCAGCTGTAGTTTCAGAAACAACGCCCGTGGCTAAAAAACCGCGTAAAACCGCCTCTGAGAAGGAAATACCTAAAAATGACAAGCCTGTGCCAACAGAGAAGGACAAAGACATACCAGTATCTTTGTATTTGAAACAACAGGTAAAGATATTGTTTTAGATTATATTGTTGTTTAGGCACAGAAGGACAAAGACAAGCCAGAACATGAAGTCGAGATGGAGAAGAGGGTCATGGAATTGTTAGACAATAACATTGGAGGTGTGTTTAAAATATTTTGATACGATAATGTGAATTGTTTTACAATTACTTGCTTTATTTGGTAACAACATTTCAAATGTTAATCTTGGTGTTTTAGAATATGAAGACGATTCTATGGTGCCTTTGGAAAGAAGAGAAGAAATGATTGTATGGGAGACAGAAGGTGACAAAGGGAACAATGTCAGTTTAATTATGTCAAATGATGAGTTAAAGATGGCCCAAGATTTGCCAAATGAAGTTAAAATCGTCTTGGACAAGTTTAATGCCAGAGAGATCGACAAGTACGATGATCTGTTAGAGGCGCTGAGAGAAGTCGTTACTGAAGGCTACGATGAAGTCAGTCTTCTTCAGTTTTTGGAGTACCGGAGAGTGAGTTTGACTTTATTTGGCGCTCATCCAGAATAGCCCCCCTACCCATACCATTTCAACCCCCCCCCCACCGATGTCAACTTGAACATACCCCCAAAATTTTTTTCAAAAAGCAAATTGAAAATTTCTTTTTTTTTTCTCTTGCGATTTTTCACATAAATTTCAATTTTGAACTAATGGTTTTATTTTACTTCGCACCCCCATCAATGTAGTTTTGTAGTTTACACCCCCTACGCTGTAGATAGCATCCCACCCACTGTAGATAGCACCCCCACCCACTGTACATCGCACCCCCACCCACTGTAGATCGCACCCCCACCCACCTGTAGATCGCACCCCCACCCACTGTAGATCGCACCCCCACCCACTGTAGATCGCACCCCCCCCCCACCCAATGTAGATCGCACCCCCCCCCCACCCAATCTAGATCGCACCCCCACCCACTGTAGATCGCACCCCCACCCACTGTAGATCGCACCCCCACCCACTGTAGGTCGCACCCCCACCCAATGTAGATAGCACCCCCACCCACTGTAGATCGCACCCCCACCCACTGTAGATCGCACCCCCACCATTGTATTTCACACCCCCAGAAAATGAAATTTACAACCGGCACGTAAAAAGTCAAAAATTATTCATTTTTAAATTGACTTTTACGAAATCAATGAAAATGGGTATAAAAGGCAGCAGATTTTGCAAATTCTTCATTCTGCTCCTCCGTTCACCGCCCTGGCCAATCAGTAGACCAGCACTCTCTCGCGCGACCCTCAACCTTCAACTCCGGACATTGCCGATATGGTTCGGCCAGCCACCTTTATTTGCTTCACAGAAGATTATAAAGCGTCTAGTTTTAAAAAATGTATTACCTAAATGAGTTCTTAAACTAATATTTGCTACTTATTACAGTTAGTAAACCCTCCGGCAGCCACAGAACCGGCCAAAGAATTGAGTGATGAAGAAGTCGCCGAAGTTATTGGATCTGAAAGTGCATATATTCTGGATTTATATAACCACCAACTGGTCAGTGGAATGAATACTGTAGGTTTGATTATTGGTTCACAGCTAGGTATAAACCTATCGTTAACAACGCTACAAAGACTGTTAGAGGAACGTAGGAAATTGAATCCGCCGCCAATCGACAGAGGACAGTAAGTTTTTTAAGATTAAACTTTTTTTAGGTATAAAAATTAAATTGATATTTACATAAAACGTAGCTACAGTCAGTTTGTTTTTTATTTGAGTAATATATGTCACACTTTACTTTGTTTTATTTAACATTTACAATTCGTAATTTTAGTGCCGAGGTTATCGCGACGGCAGGCTACTTAAGTCACGATTACTGGCCATCTTTACTTTGTGTTCCGGATGGTGAGCATTACTGTAGATACTTTAATCTTACTAATACTCGAAACGATGGTTTTCATCGATACTATCGCTGTTCAAAGTGCTGTACCTTGAAGAATGTCATCGATCAGCAAAACAAAAGGGGCGAGTTACCTCACATCGACTTTGTTGTACCTAAAATCCAAATTCATGGAGACAACCTCGTGACAGATCTGGGTGCACTCGAACATCACGAGGATTGCAAATCGATGCCAATACCTGTTATGTTGGCGGAACAGTTGGATAGGAGGGCTAGAAGACAGGTTTCGTTAGGATTAATGGCACCAAGAGAGGCGTGGACTGATGTATGTGTTGCCGTAGTTTGATGCATAAAACAATTTTATTTTTTAATCATGACTTTATTTTTCTTTCAGGCATACTTTGAAGCCCTTCGAATTGCGGATACCGTATCTGCCTATCATCCGTCATTCCGATCCGTAGCCGAAATCTTCCCTAGTTACGATGTCTGCAGAGGACAGTATTCTCGCAACTTCCACAAGCTGAAGCGAAGACTGTCAATGCCAGCGGAATTCGAACCGCTGGTCGATAAAAGGAAGATTGTTCAGTCGACTTCAGATGTCCTGGAAATGTATGATTCTCCCTCAACATCAGCTAGTGCTAAAGCCAGGAAGATCATGAAGCCAAGCACGGTGAGAAGAGGGCGAGAAGCCGATGAACGGTTCAACCAGATGGTACCAGAAAGCATCAAAAATGAAATGGCGCCAGGCTACATCTCTGTAGAAGAAAACAATGTATATTACTACGATGGCAACGAGTACTACGGCCCAGTTGTGGAGTCGATGGAGGAGGTGGAACAAGAAGAAGTCGTGGTTACAGACGAGCATCAACATCAAGCTCAACAAGAATCACAAAGTCCGCCTCAAATAGACAGACACGAGCCCGCGATCCCAGAATAACTAATGTATATGGTTATATTGTGCTATCAGCTATTGTTTGACGTGTTTTCAATACTAAACTATTATAATTGCAATTTGTTACAATAAATTTACTTAATTCAAGCAAAAAAATTAAAAATTGACATTTTTTAAATTTGAAAAATTAATTTTAACGTTAAAAAATTTAGTGTACTTGCATTAATCAGACAGACATGAATCTCCTCGTGGTCTACACGTTTGTTCTTATACGACAATGAAGGAAAAGTTAATTGTTATTGGTAATTGATTACCTCATTAACAGATGAACGACAATTTTCAGTGATGAAGTTAAAATGTTTGAAAAGTTGTAAAATTTACTGTAACATGACATTAGTGAGCTCAGTCAGTAACGATAGTATTTAAAATTGCAATTCAGCTTCCTCATTGAAGAAAGGTAGTTATAGTAGTTTTAGGTATTGTTCTTTCGAGAAATGATAAATATTCGAAAGGTTAAAGGTTGATTAATTCAGCAGAATGGTAAATCAGGCCGCTGCTTCCATCTTTGACCAAAAAATATTTGAAAGTTGCTGTTTTAGCGCCGGCTTAGCAACTTTGGCATATTGTTTTAGGCCGCAGATCTTGCGATAAATAAATTTTTAAATCTTGGAAAAACAAAGACTTAAAAATATCTTTTTTTTTAATTTGTGTTTGTTTTGTTGAAGTTGTGTTTTACAAATGAGGAGACATTGCTATAATGATATTAGACTTGCCATTTACTCGACCAGTTCAAAAGTCAGTTCGTGTTAAAATAACTCTAGGGAACGTGATATATTCCGAGCGGTAATTAACGAAATAATTATTTCAGAGGTGTTTCACTTTGATTTCAAAACGACTTTCACTTGCTAAATTTGGTTTGGCGACAGATGGCTGACTCCAACGAGAACGTCAACGAAGATACGGCCAATCCAACACCAAGTAAAGAGGTCGTTCCAAGTCAAAATAACGAGGTCGTTCCAAGTCAAAGTAAAGAGGTCGTTCCAAGTCAAAGTAAAGAGGTCACTAATACTCTCTCCAACACCGATGCTGAGCTCTTGAAAAGCAAGGTATGGCTATGTGAAAATATGTTACCTAAAGTTTTTTTGAGTTAAAATAAGTTTTTTATATGTTTGTTTTCTCAATCAGGGTTTTGGCCACATTTTCCGTCTAAAATAATAGCTTTTTGTTATCTATAAACATATTTTTTGTTAATTTGTTACCTAAAATATATATTATGCGCAAAGTTATGTTTTATCGACGGGCAATATTATCTAATAGCTAAAACAACATCTTTTCAGTATGCCTTAACTTCGAAGCTTGTCTATGCTTTGGCAATCATTGGATTCGGAAGTTCGTTCCAATTCGGTTACAACATTGGTGTTATCAATGCTCCGGACAAATTTATCAGGCAGTTTATCGCCGAAAACCACAACTCGATCTTCAACTCTGAACTCAGCGATGATTCCATTACTTTGATCTTCTCTTTGGCCGTGTCGCTCTTCCCTTGTGGGGCCATGATCGGAGCACTGGCTAGTGCTTTTCTGGCCGACCACTTTGGACGTCGCACAACTTTACATGCCAATAATGGATTGGCACTTCTGGGATCTTTTCTTATGACATCAGCCAAGTTCTTCAACTTTTATCCCTTGTTTCATATCGGAAGATTTGTGATTGGTTTGAATGCAGGTGCGTTTTGTTACCTAAATGTGAAGTTTGAGGTTTTTTTATCTGAAGATACATACTTAAAATCTATCTTTGCATAATTTTTAAAATTATATTGCTCGACATTGTTTAATAATATTGTTTTAGGTATTTCATCTTCAGTTGTTCCGATGTACTTCACTGAATTGAGCACCGTCAGACTTCGTGGAAGTGTAGCCAGTCTTCCGCAGCTGGTCGTCACTATTTCAATATTGTTTTCAACTGTTCTGGGATTACCGTTTTTGTTGGGAAATGAGAACCGATGGCCTTTTTTGTTTGGTAATTTAATATTGACTATTTTTTTAATCAGCAACGTTTCAAAACCGATTTTAAAATATTAACTGGATTCATGTTACTTACACTATTGTTTTAGCTGTTATGTCTGTGCCAGCTGTCTGCCAAATCGTTGGTCTGTTTGGAGTGGCAGAATCTCCCAGGTACACTTTGTTCTTCAAAGAAAACCCAGAAAAGGCTCTGAATGATCTGTCGAGTCTTCGCGGCGACGAAAAGTTTGCCCAAGTGGAGCTTCACAGTCTCGAGATCGAGAAGCAGCGACAAGAAAACGCGGAGAAGGTGAATGTCGCTTCTTTGCTTGGAAACGCCAGCTTCAGATGGCCGTTGTTCTTGGCCGCTTTCTTGATGATGGCCCAACAATTGAGTGGAATCAACGCGGCTATGTTCTTTTCGACCGAGATTTTCCGTTCAGCTGGACTGAACGACGAGAATTCTGTTTATGCCACCATTGGAGTGGGTGTTGTGAACGTGTTGATGACCGTGGTGTCTGTCTACTTGGTCGACTTGCCTATGTTTGGCAGACGATCGTTGCTTTTGATCGGCATGATTGGAATGATCTTTGCCAGTTTGGCTTTGGTGATTTCGATGTACTGCTTTGTAAGTCCAAATATGACGTTCAAGAACTATAAAAGGGTGCTTTGTGACGTACAATTATGTCTTTTTTCACGTATTTTAATCTAATCTATGTTTTAGACTCATGATATTGCTGCCAATGTTACTCCCTACCTTGCGTGTGCTTTCTTGCTCATCTTCGTCATCTTCTTCGCTACTGGTCCTGGATCTATTCCATTCTTCTACGTCAGCGAAGTGTTCCCGTCAAGCGCCAGAGCTTCTGCGTCAGCTGTTTGTGTAGCCACGAACTGGACATTTACAGTAATCGTTGGTGTTACTTTCTTGCCCATTGAAGTAAGTTTGGTTTTTCGCTATTCGATTTTGAACTAATTTTAAACGGGATGCCTTTGATATTAAATGACACATTTTTTAGAAAAATCTGAAAGAATTTACGTTCCTGATCTTCACGTTCTGCTGTTTGGTGGCATCCATTGTCATCATGAAGTTCTTGCCCGAGACCAAAGGAAAGACCGTCGAGGAAGTGGAGATCGAGATGCAGAAGAAGAAGCGTTTGTGTTAATTCCTACTACGCTACATACTTTCGCAATAAAACATCTTCGGAATAATAGTTAATGTTAGGTCTTTAATAATGTTGTTAGGTATCTGAATGTGTTGTTTGTTTAAATTAATATTTGTTGTTTGCTTTACAATGTTATGACAAATTCTAATAAAGATAACGGAAAGACCTGGTGCTTTAATTATAACCAATCATATATCGATTATATGTTACATTTGACTAGAATGTTTTTGAGATTGATATTGTCGTTACTCCAACGCTTCGTCAACGTCGAGCACGGCGTTACGAAACTGTTGTTCTAAGAGATCGTCCTCGTCTTCGTACTCTGCTGGCTCTTCTATCACACTTCTATGTACTATCATCTCCAGCCATGTCGCGTTATGCCAACAGAACCTTTCTTTGCTTACTTGTTTGAACCAAAACTCGCTTACTTCCTAGAAAATGTTTTTGATACCGGTATATTATAATTGACAGTACTTTGGTAACGACATTATTTAAACTTATTTCACTATTTTTAATACAACTTCAAGTTTGGATGGTTAAGCAGTTACTCACCGATATAATTTGCAGTGCTTGATCACATATATTCCGTATTTTGACATTTTTGTCGCGCGACATGTTGATTATGTATTCTATTACTCTTTCCTTCTCTGAACACAGTTTCCCTCGGACATCTGAATATGTGAGCATTCTGAGGAACAAAAAGGAGACCTGTAGACAGAATTCATCTTCTTCTTGTTTCTCTGTAATGTCATGAGATTTGACAAACTTCTTCATTACATATTATCATCACTTTAAAATACATTTCATATTCTTACTATAAGGACGTACACTCTACATGTCGTTATTTACTCTAGACACTTACTGTTCAATATTTCCAAGATGTCATAACTAAAGTCAACCAATAGCTTGGCCAGTTCTTGATTTGTCGCCAATGTTCCAGCAAATCCAATTAAGTACAACAAGTACTCATCTGGGTAGTACACCTTCTCGCTTTTGTCGTGCAGAATTGTCTTTAGCCACGTACTAACTCTGTCTTTGTCCAATTCCTTGGCCCAGTCTACCGAATTGCTGATCTGCATCAAAATGGCCAGACAGTCTGTCGCAAAGGTAATATTGTTGTTGAGTTTGGGTTGTTCTGCGGCAGTAAAGAAGAAGTTGACGTATTTCTAAAAAAATGATAAGTATTAAAATCAGTTCTTGAACTATCACATTATAATCATTGAAGTAGAGTTTTCAGTATTTACGTCATCAAAAGTACGTTATGTATAAAACAATTGTATACTGTATTATTTATGAAAGAAACATACGCTAAGATAGGTCTGAATAACGCCTTCATGATGAGATATATTGCGGATCAGCTTAATGATGACGTTATCTTTTTGTGACTCCAGAAGCGTTATCAGTTTATCCAAACCAGCTCCTTCAGGGCCAACAATTATCTGGGCGTTCCTCTTCTCCAGTGCAATGTTCACTAATATTGACTTTGGGACAAGTGCCTGGTCTGGCTTCGATTCGATCATCTCAAGCAGCTAAAACATTGTTTAATCCTTTAGTTTAACAATGCCTTACCATAGAAATAGAGTCCGTGAATGTAAAAATGGCTTTTGCGTCGTCCACAATACTCAGCTGGTACAGTAATCCTAATGCTACTTCAGTACCTAAAATAAGACAAATTGAGACAATAAACTTGCTGAAAAGTTTGGAAGATTTATTAACCGTTTTGCTTTTTTTTGAATTACAGCTATAAAAAGTTTGAACAAGCTACCGTACCCTTAATATGTTTTGATACCACGTTGACCAAGCCCAGTTCGACCATCTTTTGTCTGATTGTAGTGTCGAATGACAAGTTGAATAACAAAGAGAATGCCAGGTTCACCAGTTCGTGTTCAGAGCTAGTACCCAGAACATTAACCACCTCGTTGACTAGTCCGAGTTGTCCCATCGCTTGTTTATTTTCATTGAAAACTGACAATTTCCACAGGAATGCCAAGGCGGTCTTTGCCAAGTATATGTCGGTATCCACACACTTGATTAACAATGGCAGGATTCCTCGTTTCACCATCTTTGCTTCCACTTTGATGTCAGCGGACAGGTTGAGCAGAATCTAAATACTGTAACAAACTAAATGTGTAGACATACCTTCAAACAGTCTGTCAGAAATACGTTTTGCTTCCTTAAAGCGAGTTCGAACTTCTTCTGATCGTTGGCCGAAGCTGCTGCTTTCTGCTCCTTCCATTGTTGTCGCCTCTGAAGTTCGCTTCTGAGGATTTGCAAAGACAACGCTCCTATCTAAAAAATATGTCAGAGAGCTTTAAAAGACATATTATTCACTTTACATTCGGTACCGATACATTTTGAACCGCTTTACTTACCTTATACTTGGACAGAACTATGTGGAATCTTGAGAACCGACTTAAGTGACAGAATATCTGTGCTAAACTTGTAGCTAACTCGTAATTTTGTTGTGAGTCTTCTCGAAAGACTCTGGACAACGCTCCCATTAAGACTTCTGAATTTACATAGTATCGAATAAGATATTTGTATTTACTTAATAAACAAGTTTTACCAACCTACCATTTTCAGCCAAAAACTGTAAATTAGAAGTCTTTGCACACAATGAAAGTACCAAACTGGCGGCTTTTAGTTTGTCAACATCTTCGTATAACATCTCGATGTAGTTTTCCAGCTTTGACATCTCTGCCTTGGCGATAGTGACATCGTTAACTCCGAACACAGCTGAATAAACACAATGCAATTCAGATCAAAGTAACATGTGGAAAATAATTGCAACAATTACCGTTAAGGCCATGAGATCGCTTTTGTAAGTAAAATATAGTTTGCTCGACATCCCCCAACCTTTCTTTCGGTATCAACTGACATTGTTCAACCACATTCTTGGCCAAGTTGGAACAATTCAGCTCTTCGTTCAGGTTTTTCAATTGGATGCTAAATATATGCGAATATATAATATTACAGCTTACATTTTACTTTTATGAATTGTTTTGTCTGAGTTTATGAGATCGTATCTTAATACAATAGCTGGATCTGTAGAATGAGCATCGATTTCTAAGTTTAGGATCATTTTAAATAATTTAGTTATATAAAGATAAAATTATTAAGGTAATATTGGCCATGTATTTATGCAAATGTCGTACACTTTATAGATTTTTGGCCAGCCGGCTGCATTTTTTCTTAAATTTAGTCCTGCCACGAAAACCCTGACTTTTTCGCCTTTTTTCAATAAATTGGCGCTAAAATAAAGTAAAAATAAAAAAAAATATATTTTTTTACAATTTGTCGTTCCATGTAAAATATAAGTGGTAATGGGCAGAATAGAGACATTAGAGTTGGAGAACTTCAAATCCTTTAAAGGAAAACATGTTGTTGGACCTTTCAAGAAGTTTACTGCCATCATTGGACCGAATGGATCAGGTAACCTTGTGTAATTTGTTTTTTACTTTGAAATTTAGGTAAATCTAACCTTATGGATGCCATTTCCTTTGTTTTGGGAGAGAAGAGCACAGCCTTGAGAGTTCGGAGGATTGGAGTAAGTGTTATTGTGGTTTACATATTTGCATAATGCGTTGGACGAAGTAATGAATATTTTATGGTTAATGAATTCAGGTTTTTATATTGTTATTTTATCTTTTTTAGGATTTGATCCATGGAGCGTCGATCAACAAACCCTATTCGAATACTTGTCGTGTTACCTTAAATTACATTGATGACGAGGAAAATAAACGGATCTTTACTCGAGCTGTTAAGAACCAGAATAACGAATATCGTGTAGATAAAGAAGTAGTAACCACAGCACAGTACAACAGTGCTCTTCAGAGTATTAATGTCTTTATTAAAGCTCACAACTTTTTGGTATTCCAAGGAGAAGTTGAACAGATTGCGATGAGGTCTCCTAAGGACTTGACTGAGATGTTTGAAGAGTTGTCTAAGTATGTTTTTAAAAGTATGGACATTTCTTTGTAAATTTTTAAATATATTTGTAATATTGTTTTATTTTTTAGATCTGCCCAGTTTAAGAATGAATATGAAAGGCTGAAGAGCGAAGTTGAAAAGGCTGAATCTGAAACCGTCAATAACTTTAACAAACGACGAGATGTAGAAAAAGAAAAGAAACTGGCAAAACAAGAAAAAGATATGGCCAGAAACTTTGATCTCGCTAAAGAAGACTTTGTAGGTTTATTTTTATATTATTTTTTATCGTTTTAGAGGTTGTAATGTAAATCAATATTTTAAATATAAATTAATTTCAGGCTTACAAATCTACAAAATTTTATATTGCCAAGCTTTTCGCCGCTGATTTGGCAGAGAAAAAGGCTAGAAATCAGAAAGCTCGGTTTGAAGAAGAATTGGATGAAGCTAAAGAATCTAAGCAAGAACACGATTCTAAAGTTCAGGCAAAGCGAGACGCTGTTAGACAGAGGAACAGAGAAGTTCATAAACTTGAAAACAAGGTTTTGTCCGATGAAAACAATGTCACGAAGGAAAAGCCAGAACTTTTGAAGCTAAACCAACAGAAGGAGCATATAAAGAAAAGGTTGGAAGTGCTACAGAAGTCTCAACAAGCTGCTCAAAAGAAGGCTGAAGAACACGAAAAGAACATTTCTGATGCTACAAAGAAACTCGAGTAGGTTTCAAAAAATATTAATTGTAGCTCTTAAGTTCTTACTATTAATTTAACTGTGGTTATGTAACTTATTATTATTATAGTGGGGCCAAGAAACAAAAAGAGAAGTTAGAAGCGGCATTGGCTGCTCAGTCTGAACAGAGCCAACTGAAATTGGATTCCCAACAGATTGATGAATATCGTGCATTGAAGGCCGAAGCCGAGAAACGAACGATGATGGTTTCTTCTGAAATCTACAACAAACAACAAGAAATGGAGCACATACAGTCTTTGATTGACTTTGAAAAGCAAAGACTGGTCGAATGGAAAGACAAGGAAAGACGTGTAAGTCATTTTGAGTCGAACCTTTGAGTTGTGTTTTGTTGTGTTGTATTTTAGTCAATTTATCTTTTTAGGCTGTAGAGGACTTGGAAAAAGACAAACGAATTTGTGAATCTATTCAAGAATCAAACGAAAGAACCAAAGAACGCCTTCAGAATGAACGCGGAGGTTTTGACGACGATGAGGAACAGATGAGAAATGTAAAACAACAAAAGGCAGACCTGCAAGAAGCGTTGGCTGACATTCAGAAGCAGTTGAGCGACGCTGATGGAGATACGAAAGAGACCAGAAGAGAACAACTTAAGAATGAAGCCTTGGAGAACATGAAACGTATCTTCGGCGACCATGTTTACGGTAGAATAGTAGAGTTCTGTAGTCCAGTTAACAAGAGATACAATGTAGCCATTACGAAGATTCTGGCCAAACACATGAACTCTATTGTTGTTGATACTGATGACACAGCACGAGCGTGCATCAACTATCTTCATGAACAACGTAGCGAGCCTGAGACCTTTTTGCCTTTGAATACGATTGAAGTGTCAGCGTTGAAGGAACAGCTGCGGAACATGAGGAATGCCAAATTAGTTTACGACGTGATTCAGTGTTCTGTGCCTGAAGCCAAGAAAGCTGTTCAGTTTGCTTGTGGCAACGCTTTAGTTGCTGACAGCATTGAGGTTGCGAGAGATTTGGCATATGGTACTGACAGATACAAGGCAGTGACTGAAAATGGTACTCTGTTTAACCCAGAAGGAACTATTTCAGGTAATTATTAAAGGTTTTGTCATGCAATGAAATCGTGACAATAATTGTGTTTTTAAAATTAAAGTTTTTATTTTTAGGTGGTAGTTCTGATCTCAAGCAACGCTCTAAAAAGTGGGATGGCCAACAAACAAAGAAACTGAAGGACAAAAAACGAAAGATTGAAGCTGAGTTGGCAGAGATTCAAGCAGCGACCAAGTCAGAATTGGAACTGGAGATGAAGCGACGAGAAATCAGAAACATGGAAAACAGAATCAAGTACACAGAGCAAGATCTTGAACGAAGAACCCGAGAACTTGAAGCCAAGGAAGGTGAAGTCATCAGAATTAGGAGTGGGGTTGAAAACAGCGAGTTCTTGCTTCGTGAGAAGAATGAAGAGTTGGCGGAAGAACAAGAAAAGATCGACGAATTAATTGCCAAACGAGATCAAGTTGAATCTCTGGTATTTGAACAGTTTTGTCAACGTATTGGTATTATAAACATCAAAGAATACGAGGAAAATGAGCTTCACTTCCACGAAGAACAAAACAGAAAGATCAACGAGTGTCTGACCAACATCGAGAAGTTCAAAAACGAACTCGAGTATCTCAAGACTGAAGATCGTCAAGCTGTTGTTGAACGGGAAGCGGAGAAGATTACTAAACTGAAAAAGGAGGAAAAGGCTACGGAAAAGAAATACAAAGAGCAGCAGCAGAAAGTAGAACAGTTGGAGCAGTTACTCAATGATGACAAGGAACTTCTACAAACAAAGAAGGTCGAGTTGGAAGAAGCGGAAGCTGAGTTGAACAGTGCCAAGAAAGAAGGACAGGAGATCGACAAAGCTGTTCATGCAGCTGAAAAGAAGATCCTAAGTCAAGATCAGACAATCAGTAGGAAGGCCGAACAGCGCCACGCTCTTCTACTTGAGTGCAAAGTGCAAAATGTGGATATTCCCCTGATCAGTGGAAGTATCGACAGTTTGGTACAAGACGAGTGTAAGTCTTACTTCCTTAAAATGTCTGTTTAATCATGAATGGAAATTATTATTATTGGTTTCTGTCAATATAAAACTTTTTAATTATTTTTGCCTAAAATAACATCTTTTATCTTTAGCTGACGAATCTCAGCCAACTCAGAGTACTAGCACAGAATTCACGCAACGACTGACCGACAGTATTCAGATCGATTTTTCTTCATTGTCGAATAAGGAGAAACGGAAATACGAAGATGAGACAAATGCCACAAAGGAGATTATAGCACTCCAGAAGGCTATGGCAGAAGCGGAAGCGAAATTGGGAAGAATCGCACCACCGATCATTGATGTAAACCAAAGGTAAATCAATTGTGTTTTAACCTCAATGTTACAGTTTTCGCTAAGGTCTGGTGTTAAAACTTAATAATTTAGAATGGAAGAAGTAAAAGGCAAAGAAAAGGAAACAATTGACCAGTATGAAAATGCAAGAAAGCATGCACAGAAGTTGATGCACGATTTTGATAAAGTGAAACAGAACCGGTTGAATCGCTTTTCGGAGTTCTTTGATCCTGTAGCACAACATATTGACGAAATCTATAAGGTATGTCATTTGTACACTATTATTTTTATGTTTGTTCATAGGTTATCGATCTTATGTTGCGTTTAAAGAGTATATAATGACTTCTTTAGGGACTCACCAAAACTCAAAGTGCGCAGGCGTACTTGGGGCCCATGAACCACGAAGAACCTTACAACGATGGTATACAGTACAATTGTATCGCCCCAGGAAAGCGATTCAGGCCGATGGACAATCTCTCTGGAGGAGAAAAGACAATCGCCGCCTTGGCCCTCTTGTTCGCCATCCACGGGTCCAAACTGCCATCCCCATTCTTCGTACTCGATGAGGTTGACGCCGCTTTGGACAATACCAATATTGGTCTTGTGGTCAACTACATGAGGGAACGTTCCCGCACTGATCTCCAAGTTATCGTAATATCCTTGAAAGAGGAAATGTACAGTAAAGCCGACGGTTTGATCGGAGTCTACCCCAAGAAGTCTCACCCTTGTATCTCTTCAGGAATCATCACAATGGACCTAGAAAATAGTGCTTAAAATAATTTAAACTTCACACTTTCTAACGTATTAACCTATATTATATATTTATCTCACGTTATTATAAAGTAAATAAAGTACCTGGTGTTATAAACATTGAATTCGTCGTATACTACCAAAGAAGATTACATTGCACTGAAATGGGTAAATTTAAGTTTATAAGACAGATAACTTAGGTCTTCTAAAGTTTTAATTTCATAGATATCAATTTTTTTAATTTTAATTCAAATGCTTATTTATACGCTCAATTTGCACTAACGAAAAATCGTGGCATTCCGATATAAAGTAAAAATTTCTAAAACTATTTTTTCGTAAAATTATGCATAAGGCACAGATACGATGGCTGAAAATGGTGTAAAAATTACTTCAAAGTCAGTTGTATCTACGTTGGGAACGTTCAGAACTAACATTAAACATGTAAAGAGTATAAATGAAGTTAAAAAATGTTTGTTCGGTATGTCTTTGATTAAGTGCAACTTGTAAAATATTTTATTCGTATTATTCTTTAAACAATGTTGTTTTAAACTGCTATTTTTTATTAGTTAAAAGGATAAACTTTTCAGAGAACGAACCGTTTGCTCATTATTACTTTGAAGACTTCATTGAGAATGTTGAAGATCTCGATCTTCTCCAGAAAGAGCTTGATGCAGCTTCATGGAACAGAAAAGAGAACGATCTCTACTCACTAAACCAAACATCAGATCTAAAACTTTTTGATCCTGACAAGTTTTCTAACTTGTGTTCTTTTCGAAATTACCTAAAAACCGATCTAAAAAACTACTTGGCCGATGTCACTAGATTCGAACTGAACGATAACGTCGCTGTTACTGGCAGTAAATACTGTAGAACTGACACTTTATTACCTCATGATGACAGTCTTGACGAACGTGCTATTGCCTTCGTTTTATATTTGAGCGACGATTTTACAGCCAAAGACGGTGGTGATCTGATAATATACAAGTCAGATCCAAAAATCAATCGACCGGTAGAGGAGTACAAAAGGATCATACCTAAAAAGAACACTTTGTTGATATTTCCTGTCCAAACGAACACATGGCACGCTGTCTCAGAAGTCTTGTCGGACAGAGTTAGACTTACGGTAAATGGATGGTTTCATGTTACCGGTCGAAAGTCAGCTTCCGATCCAGCTCCTGAGAAGCCTCTGGTTAGACTGACACCTGGACTGGACATTGAGGTAAGTCTCGTTTGTCTTATGTTTATGTTTTTAGTTGAACGACGTTCATGAATGGGTGAATCCGACGTACGTTGACGAAGCATCGCACAAAATGATTAAAAAAAAGTTTTGTGCTAGATCACAATTGACCCTGGACAACTTCCTTAGCGACGATTGTTATGATGAAGTGTTAAAAGAATTGAAGAGTGCAAAGTTTGATAGACTTGGAACAGCAGACAGAAGGTACAAGATTACTTACCACTACTTTAGTTTTTTAATGATACTACCTGTTATTGGACTTTTATAAGGAAGTTACTTCTGTTTTTAGGAGAATAGACAGATTAAACGAGGAAGCGATACCAAAGGATGGAGCTGTGCAAAAGGTTTTGAATCTGTTCAGATCTCAAGTCATGTCGCTGCTTTTGACTCAATGGACGGGTCTGGATTTGATTAATGAAGAAAGGGAAGAAGAACCTGGTAGGTTTGAAATGTTAAAATAATTTGAGATTCTATTTGTTGTTAGCATTTACTTACGATTACTGTTTCAGCGTCAAAGAAGCCTCGCACTTCAGAGAATGGTGACGATGCCAAACACGATGACAATCCAGGTATACTACGCATTATTAAAACATTTATAGTCTACAGCAGAGTTAGATATTTTAGTATTTTATGAAACCATGGTTAAAAAAGTAATATTATTTGTTTTAGTCTCCATGTTATCTTCACTTAACCGTGTGCGTCACAGTTACTACTCCTTAGTAGACTCTCAGATGGCAGCAGATGCCAAGAACAATGGATATGCATTAGACTTGATGATTTTCTTTATGGACGACGAAGAGTGGCCTTCCGAAGCTGGAGGATTCATAAGTTATCTGGCTGAAAACGATCCTGATGAAGTACGTTGTAACCATATCAAGTTGTTGTTGATGTAATCACTATTATTCATAGATTTTATTGTTATCATTAGAATTCTTTAAATTTACTTTATTTTTTACAGTTACTGCGAATGCCTCCACGGAAGAATTCATTGGCGATAGTGTTCCGTGAACCCGGAGTTTTAAGCTTTACCAAATATGTCAATTGCAATATCGGAGACAAAGAGTATTTCGGCTTGAATTTGACGTATTTTGGAGTCTGCAACGATGATGAAGATGAAGCAGAAGATGACGAGGTAATTTTAAACAATTTATTTTGATTTTCTTTGCTTTAGGATGAGTTTGAGGATGAACTTGGCGAAGAATCTGAAGAAGAAGATGAGGCTGATAAGCCAGGAACTTCAAAATCCTAGGTCGTTACATTAAGATTGTTTTTCGTTGTTAGTTGTTAAAGTGTTATTGTTAATAAAGTCGTCTTATTGTAATTTCGCTTTTTCTCACGTTACAGTACTACCATAATTTGTGCGCCAGACTAATTAATATTTCCAAAAAATAACAATCGAAAAAGCAGAAAACAAACACAAGTTACAATCCTCCATACTTTTTGTCCAAAACTAGAAAGAAACTAGTTTTCTGATAAGATCTCTTTCCTCAATTTCTAAAAAAATTTTTTCTTTATTTATGCAGCTCCCATCGTATAAGATGTCGCGTCTGGTGACATGTGCAACGGGCCGGGCTCGGGCAAAATGAAAGACGGACCGGGCTTAAAAATTCTTTTTATATTTTTTTTGACCGGGCCGGTCTTTAGCTAAATGAAAATTGGGCCCGGTCCTCTCATGTCTAGTTATCTGTTTGCTTCTGCTGCTTTTTATTGGTTTCTACATGTGGAGAGAAGAATAATATTCCTTGTTCGGGTGTTTTTCGAGGCTATTTGATCATGCACGAGGTGTGAGGGATCGAAAGTAAATTTAATTCGTTAGTTCATATTGGTTTAGTGATGAAACCTGCGTCGATTAATAATGCGAAAACACGGCTGTCCGATCTGACTGATCACAACGAAGCAGAGACTAAAATGAAGGCGAGCAAGGGGTCCCAGCCTCAGCTGGACAGCATGGATATGGACGTGTATGCGAGCAAAGAGACTAATCATGGTGCAGAACCGTCGATGGTACTCTTTTTCCAAGTAGGTTCATTGTTATGTATAGCTGTACAGAAAGATATGTAGTTGTTTTATTGTTATTTGGAACGAGAGATGAAAGAGGTTATCGGATTTCAGGTTTTGTTCCCTTTTTTAATAGCCGGTATTGGCATGGTATTTGCGGGTATTCTATTAGATGTAGTACAACATTGGCCGTTGTTTAAAGAAGTCCCTGAGACGTTTATATTGGTGCCAGCTTTGTTGGGACTTAAGGGCAATTTAGAAATGACATTGGCTTCACGGTTATCGACTCAAGTAAGTAGTTTTCTTGGTTTTTATGTTTTAGGTAACAATCTGCCAGTACGTGAATCTAAAATTGCATAGTATGCGTTAAAATCTACTGATAGTGATTATTTTAAGGCTAATGTTGGTTGTATGGACACGAAAGAGCAAATCAAGGCTGTAGTTATCAGTAACATGGCGTTGTTACAAACTCAAGCTATCGTAGTAACATTCTTGGCATCTGGAGCAGCTATGGTATTAGCTTGGGTGCCTAGAGGAGAAATAGATCTAAGTCACGCTGCACTATTATGTGCAAGCAGTTTAACGACAGCTTCACTAGCTTCGTTAATACTTGGCGGTATTATGGTCATAGTTATCTTGATCAGTCAGCGACATAACATCAACCCTGACAATGTCGCCACACCAATCGCGGCTTCTTTAGGTATGTTGCAGTTTTAATTTGGAAATTTATGACATAGCTCATGATATTTGTATCTGGAAGGAGTTTGATACGTACCTTTACTTTAAATCAGTGATTAGGTTGGTTTAGGTGACTTAACAACCCTAGCCATCTTATCAGCCTTTGGTTCATTGTTCTTGAAGGCTCATCAGACAGAATCGTGGTTGAACGTGGTTGTAATCTTTATGTTTGTGCTTGCTCTGCCATTTTGGGTAAGGATAGCTAAGCGGGAAGAAGCGACGTTAAGCATTCTACGCGATGGGTGGTGTCCCATCATCTTCTCCATGCTAATCAGTAGTAGTGGAGGGTTTGTGTTGGAGACGGCCATGAGGAAGTTTCCACAAATGGCACTATTTCAACCAGTTATTAATGGTACGTTTCAAAATCAATTCTTTTTACAGTCTCTTATATTAACGTACAACTAATGATAAGTATTTTGATGACTACATTTTATATTCTTATAATTGCATATTGTTTTAGGTGTTGGAGGAAATCTAGCTGCAGTGCATGCTAGCCGTATCTCCACGTTTTACCACAAGTCTTCGAACATTGGCTTTCTACCTCACGAGTGGACGATAGAGAGGTTCTACAGCTTCTCGAGGGCGTTCTTCAGCAATGGTAAGCTTAAGGAATGATATAGTTTATTGTGATACAGATTGGGATTCCCGCAGTGCTCGTGTGTTGTTGTTCCTGGTGGTTCCCGGCCACATCTTCTTCAACTGGATCATCGGAGCTCTTCATACGGGAGAATCGCCTCCATCTTCTGCTCTCTTTACCTCAATATACCTGGGCGCTGGACTAATTCAGGCAAGTTTTTTGGCGGAATTACTTTCTTTGATAATTTTGTTTGTTCCCGTTACTATCTGAAAGTATACAGCAGTATTTTTGACATGATATCTTAAATGACAGTAGTATATTATGTGCGTTTAGTCAAAACTTGTAGTAGATGGTTTACAATAAGCTTAAACAATCCAGTTTTGAGAAAATGCTTACTTTATCCATGGCTCGCATTAGTTTCTTGGACCCCGCGATAGTCGTGTACCTTCTAAAGAAGTTATGAATAGTTAATGTAGGCCTTCATCAGAATAATTTGTCATAATGGGGGCATTGTCTATTACAATATACTGTTTCTACTTACGTGTGAAACTGTTTGATACAGTGGTTTAATGCCTTTGTTGCTTTGGCACTGTCTTGGTCGGGAGATCTTAAGGCCAAATAGGCATCGATACATTTGTTGAGACTGTCGAAGAACATATCCTTGATGTCATCGTACTAAAACCATTTTTGGTTATTTAAAATGACAAAAAAGTTAAATTGCATTTGATTGAAAGTATTGTGAATCAAATTTTTCTTTCAGTTATGTTATTGTTATCCTTCTTTGTATTGTCGTTACCTCAATATGGTCGATCGATGTCATTTCCAGCCATTGAGCGCTCACTTTTGCCGCAAGCAAATATTTGAGTTTCTCCACCAAACAGCTCTCGTTCAAGGGTTCGGCGACTAAAATTTCAATGAATTAATAAATGTCTGTTCCCTGGAGGCATTCGAACGACATGTTTCTTCAAATTAAAAATTCGTCGCTTCTCTTATGTCAACATTACCTTCCACGGTGACCTTCAAGACCAAGTCAAACATCTCAGAACACTCCAGCCTCAAGTCCTCCACCATCGCCATCCACAGATCTTTCATAATATACTCGGAGTTCTCGCATTCCGGGGTTTTGACGGCGTGCGACATTCTTTCGTAGAATTCAAAGAGTTGGTCACACTTCTGGTTACAAACTTCGAACACAACCCACATTTCCTCTGCACATAACTGTCCATTTGTCGCTTTGATGAGTTGATGGAAAGTGTCGATGGCGTCGCTGAGTTGGTCTTTCCTCAACTGTTTCTTGGCCGTTTTGAACAAAAGCTTCCTGACAAACGTGTCTGAAATTAACTTAAGTATATGGGTATATCTTTGAAAGTTGCTATTCGAATCCATATTTTTTGATATTTGTTACCTAAAATTGTCTGTTGTCCTACCTGGATTCTCCCCGAACTCTTTCTTCTCTTGCTTCATGAGAGCATCGTAGTTCTTGAGGTATTCTTTGCAATGATTCAGTTTCTCTTGGATTAAAGCATTCCGAAGCCTACACTCTTCTAGCTTCGGGTTACCTCTGATGCTCGGTATTTCATGTTTAGGTCTGCACAAGTGGTACGACGCATTAGCACAGTGGTCGAGTTTGCGGTTGTGGTCTTGTTCTAGCTCGTCGAGAGTGTGTCGGATTACTGTAAGTTTCTCTTCGAAGGCCAACTTCATCTGCTGAATCTCGTTTACAGTTCGGTTGCTTTCCGAGTAGTCGTTGGTGTCCATTTCAATTAATATCTGTCTATCTGGCGGAACATTCTTTGTTCTGTCTGTCGAGAACTAAATGAAACTTGAAGGTATTGTTTCATTTTTAATCAAGTTAAGTTTTTTAATATTCTTGTCGCAAGAGAGAGACTCAGAGATCACAAAAGGAAAAAACAGTGTTGTTTAGGCAAGGTATATTATGCATATTATAATAATAAAAAGCTATGAAAAATGACTTTAAATATAGCAAAAAACACAATGAAATGCACGACAAAGTACTGTTGGCGTATTGAAATACATTTTATAAATGACTTACTTCGTACTCGATGTCAGGATCGATCTTGTGGTAGCCCCGCCTGTAATAGGATCGTCGCTGCGATCTGGGCATGATGACTTTCTGACAAATCTTGCGCAGTTTGGTCGGCTGCCCTCCCATGCCTCCTCCTCTGTATGTAGCTATAGTTTTGGGGACACAAAAGCGCTGAAACTAAATTTAATTTCTTAATAGGCGGCACTTGACAACGACTCGGACTTGGCGCACCCTAACGTAATTGACTGGGGAAACGATTATCAACCGAAAGGGCGGTTGATTGCATTTTAAATGCGGGCGAGATAAAGGAAAGTAGGGCCGGTTTATTAATGAAGGCTGGGCGGTTTGTTTAAGGAAACTTTTCCCTCGAATATACTCCCATTCACGGAGCGACTGTGCGTGACCATAAAGAGCCTTCCGTTGTAATGATGCATAATGTCACTTATGACAACTGGGCAGTGAAGTGGGCCCACCAAGGGACTCGTACACAAACCACCATCAAAAACTACATGAAAGGCGGGCTACATTTAGTATTTTCATCTAGAAGTCGGCCAACACTTAATGCTTCTTCCGCTTGACAAAAGAAAGAATGGCGGCCATAAAACGGAAGCAACCGGTGAACAGAATAGATACATCATGCCAAGCTTAGCGATCATTACTATACTATAAAATGCCCATTTGCGGCTTTTTTGGGCAAAGAGCCGGCTGTCTGTCCGCAGGGTTTTGAGATGATTTGGGGAAACGCTTAAGTTGTGTCGTATGTTTTTGGTTTCCTTTATATGTAATTTCCGTTTCCAACTTTATGACGGTGGACTGGGCTTCGAATCTCGTTCGAATTACAAAGCTGGTCGAATAATTTTAAAATTTGTTGTTTCAAGTTGTTAACTCAGCTCTAACGTTAAGTTAAAGTTTGTGATAAAAAATTTAAATTTTACAAATTACAGTACTTTTTCAGGTCGGTGTCCTACTGTACATTTGCCAATGGATGGTATCGTTAATGTGGTCGTGGAGAGTAAATCCGGATAATGCTGCTATTCCTTATTTGACGGCCATTGGGGATCTGGTGGGCACGAGTTTACTGTTTATCGCCTTCTCCTTCTTATCGTACATTAAACATTCCGAGATTCAAAGGGCGTGAAGCCGCTACATTCCTGTAAATTGTTGTTCCCTTTGATGTAAGTATTAACCCAGCTAAAGTACGGTGTCTTCTCTTCTAACTCTGTGATTCCTTTCAGATTTTGTTAAATTTTTATTATTTAAACGCTAAATTTGTTAACTTATGATTCCTGCTAAAGTGTACTGTATTAAAAGTTGTTGTATTTTAAATTTGTCAAAACTTTTAACTTTGTAAGAAGAAATAAACGTTGTTACGGTGGTTGCAAGGTTTGTTTAAAGAGCTTTATCTAATTATACATGTCACCATCAACAGCAAAAATAACTTGGAATACGAAAGTGAATAACCTGATGAACAAGAGAAGGGATAGAAGAAGTCAGAAGACAGTTTGAGGTTGATGTGAGGTAGCTGTTTGAACACTGGCAACTTGGGCAACTTTTCGCGGCGGAAGCTTCTGGTCAATGATAATATACTGATCGGGTTTCCCATTTCGTACTTTATTTCGTATAACACAAGTCTGTCATCGTCTTCGGACTGTTCTGCACAATACTTGAGCAACGCATGCTGAGTATCAGATCCTCGATAGTACTTCTGAACAAAGTTTTGGTAAAAAAGACACCTGCGCTTAATAAGTTATGTTTGTTTTCTTACCTGTGAACTGTTTATCACCTCGTATTCGTCGTCACTTTGTTCACATACGACTTTTGAGGCAATGGTTAGTAGGAGTTCTTCTCCATCTACACCATCTATACTCGGCGTGTCTGTAGGGCATGGCAAGTAGAAGGCGGAATCAGAAGTAAAATTTGAAATGTGAGTGTTCCAGTAATCTATACAATCTAAAACACTCTCTACTCTTAACAGTAGTGAGTAGAAAATAATTGAATAAACCAAAAGCATTTGAGGTCTTTATAAAGAATAAGTGCCAAACTCGGTAACCATAACAACATTTGTGACATTTTGCAACCAATATATTCAAAATAATTTGTTATATTTTTAAGTCATAAAAAGCAAACGTATGACAGAGTTGTTTTTTGTTTTAAACCTACTTACTTATTGTTTACCAATGTTGTAATCATTTCAGTATAACTCGTCATTTAAAAAAATCAATAGTGACACTTCGTCCTTCCGTTATTCATTTATTTATGGCGAAATTGGCCGAGTCGCTATATAAATTGTGCTCATATCGAATATTGGTCACACGAAGTTTCAGAAGGCATGGAATCTCTGATTCCTGTCATTTCCAAACTTCAGGATGTGTTCGCGACAATTGGCAACAGAGAAGCTGAAGTCCAGCTGCCTCAAATTGTCGTAGTCGGCTCTCAAGTGAGTTTTTGCCGCTTAATTCATGTAGTCTTAGAGTGCCGGCAAGAGTTCCGTGATTGAAGGTATTGTTGGTCGCGATTTTCTGCCAAGAGGAACTGGAATTGTGACCAGAAGACCTTTGCTACTTCACCTTGTTCATGCTCCGTTTGATGACAGCAGAAGAAAGGAGTCTGGTATCCCGGCCAAAGACGATTGGGCCGTGTTTGATCACACTGGAAGCGACATTTTTACTGATTTCACTCAAGTCAGGAAGGAGATTGAAGATGAAACTGATAGGTTTTGTGGTTCGAATAAGGTCAGTTTTTCATTAGTTTTTTCGATTTTAGGTAATAATTAGATTTTAAAGGATATTGATCTGTATAGAGAGACAGAACGTGAATGTTTTTAAGATCATAACATTTAGTTTATGTTAATTTCAGGGAATCTCCGATAAGCCCATAACCCTGAGGATATTCTCTCATCGTGTAGTCAATCTGTCTTTAATCGATCTTCCTGGGATAATCAAGGTTCCCATTGGAGACCAGCCTCAGGATATTGAAGAACAAGTCCGTAAATTGATATTGAGCTACATCACCAATCCAAATTCATTAATTTTGGCAGTAACAGCCGCGAATCAAGATTTTGCGACGTCTGAACCTTTGAAATTGGCCAGAGATGTAGATAGAGATGGAGATCGTACGCTAGCAGTCTTAACTAAATTGGATCTTATGGATAGAGGAACAGATGCCATGGAGGTATTGACTGGCCGGACAGTTCCTGTGAAGCTCGGTATCATTGGAGTTGTGAATCGGTCTCAAGCTGATATTCAGGCTGACAAATCCATTGAAGATTGTTTGAAAGATGAAGCCAAGTTCTTGGCAAAGACTTATCCTACCCTGGCGACGAGGAATGGAATTCAGTATTTGTCAAAAACTTTAAACAGAGTATGTTTACTTAAACTTAAAAACCTTATGGTTTTTATGTTTAGGTACGCAATCTTTATTATTATAAAATGAATTGCTGCCGTTTAAATGTAATTTTAATATACCCAAAGCTATTTTCAGCTCTTAATTCACCACATTCGCGAATGTCTACCTCAACTCAAAGTACGGGTGAACACGTTGATGTCACAATGCAGATCGTTGCTCAATTCTTACGGTGAACCAGTTGGTGATAAGAGCAGGACCTTGTTGCAGTTGATTAATAACTTTGCGAACGCCTATACCTCTACGATTGAAGGCACTTCCAAAAACATCGAGACTTCTGAATTGATTGGTGGAGCCAGAATCTCGTACATCTTTCACGGTACTTTTGTAGAAGCGTTGGAGCAAGTCGATCCTATGGAGAAGCTGAGCACTATAGACGTTTTAACAGCCATCAGGAACGCTACTGTAAGAATTTTTGTTATTTTTTTTGGAATTTATAATATTTTTTAACTTAAAGCCTTGTTTTGTTAATTAAGACTTGTTTTTGATACCTAAAAATTGATTTCAGGGCACAAAACCAGACCTGTTCATTCCTGACGTTGCCTTTGAGCTGTTGGTGAAGAAACAAATCGAACGACTTCATGAGCCTTCTTTGTGTTGTGTCGATAGAGTGTACGAAGAACTGATGAGGATCGTGCAACAATGTGGCATTGATATTCAACAGGAGATGCAGAGGTTCCCAAGGTTGTACGAAAGGATTCATGAAATTGTATCCAGTCTGTTGTCTGGTCGGTTAGGATCTACGAAACAGTTTGTAAAGGACCTGGTACGAAGTGAGATGGCCTACATTAACACGAAACATCCGGAGTTCGGAGAGATGTCGCTAGTTGAGTCGATGAGTTCAACAGCTCTTATTCAGAGAAGTCAAGTTCAAGTTGACGGAAAAGTGGCACCATCACCTGATGTAAGGCATTTCAGATGTTGCTTTTGAGAGGATATTATTTTCCGTTGGGTTGAGTGCTAATTTGTTAACATTCATCTATAGTTTTATATAATATATATTTCAGAGTGGCAGCCTGGCTCCTCAACCAGAACTGAACGGTAATGCTGGTACCGCCAATCAGCCTAACTACTCTGCTGTCGCTGGAGAAGTGATTCAAACGGCTAATGCTGTTATCAATGGATCTCCTACTAAACAAGCTGGCAGTTATATTGGATCGTGGTTGTTCAACCGTAACCTACCTCATCAGAATAACGTAGTTACCACAAAGGCCAACTCAATTCCAACGACACAAACTATCGAGCGGAATCTGACCAGGAATCTCACAGCCAAAGAACAAAAGGAGTACATGATGTTTGGTAGGCTATTTAAAACTGTAGTAAACCTTAGTTTGAGCTTTTTCAATCACATTTTATTAGTTTTAAGTTTTTTAATAAAATATTGGTTTCAGAGCGCCTGATCAGGTCGTACTTTGCCATAGTAAGGAAGAATATACAGGATTTAGTGCCAAAGGGCATTATGAGGTTCATGGTTAACCATGTCAAGGAGAACTTACAGAGTGAATTAGTACAACAATTGTACAAAGAAAATGAGCTCGACGATTTGTTAGCTGAAAGCGAACTTATGGCACAGCGACGGAAAGAATCGGCCGAAATGCTAGCGGTAAGCAGTAGTTTTACATTTCACCACGGGTTTTACTTTGTGTTTCAAAGTCGCATTTTACCATGGTTTACCTCAAGAAAAATTTGACAAATTGATAAAACATTTTTATACTAGTAATATGTCTGATTTCAGGCTCTACAAAAGGCAGCCCAGATGATTAGTGAAGTTCGCGAGACACATTTGTGGTAATAAGCTTGTGTCATACTACTATAGTCCCAGTGAACCTATACCACTTAGCCACTTTGAATAATACTCAACGCTTTTAAGTCATGTACTGTATTAATATTTGGTCAATCATAAAAACTTGTTCTAATTATTGAGGTCAACTTTATATTGAAGTAGGTCTTTTTTTTAAATTTGAAAAAAAAATTATATTATATATTTTTTCATTATGACTTATAAAAAATAATATATAGAACTATATTATAGTTCCTATTTTATAATTTTAAAATGATTTTTAGAATTTATGTTAGCCTCAAAATATTTTAAATTAAAAACTTATAAGTTATCAGTCACTGCTAATCAATGGCGCGCTCGTTTCGTCTAAATCTAGAAGATTGGCTTGTTGAGAAGTCTGTGCCTTTTGGGGTTGGGACACTTCTTGTTCGAACACAAGGTCTTTTGTAGTTCGATGAAACTCTTTCACTACTTCAGAACACTTCTCGTGATACGAACTCAAGGACTCCATCAGCGAACGAAGATGTAGACCTAGCTCTCGTACTGTAAATGTACGTTTATATCAAGGGTAAAAAGAAAAAAGACCACTTAAGTTATTTTATAAAAACAGGTTACTCACCATGCTTTTCGTCCAACATCTCTATCTTGATCATGACATGTTTCCTCATTTCGATGAACACATCTCTGCTCTTCTCACGGCTCCGTAGCATGATTCTGTAAACATAAGCAACATGTCAAACTGTATTACCTGTACTCCATATTCCCAGACTCGATTCGCGGCAAGTAGTCTCCATATTCGACCATCTGAGCCTCTTCGTCGTCCATCTCCTTGATCTTTAGACAAAACGACAAATACTCGAACTTCTTGTCGAGATACTTCTTTATCGTATCCTTTGTGTCGGGTATCGCCTTGTCTGTGTATATTCTGAATGTATTCGCTATCATCTGAAGCTGTGCCAACATCGGCGCGGCTTCCTTCGAGAAGTTCCTATGACATGTGGATACCTCGTTGAAGTACTTGTTGATCTCGCTCTTGGATTCTCTTGTTGCCACTTCCGAAAACACGTGTCCGATCTGGGCGAACACTTCTGACAGTTTCCTGTGGTTATGTACGAGGCCGTCGGCCGTCCTGGTGAGTTCTGTATATAACTGTTGGTTGGCGTCCAACTTCTTCATCAGCTGGGCCAAGACATCGTTACACAGAATCGCTCTCGACAATCCGAAGGCGTCAGCCGTCTTGGCGTCCATTCTCTCGACCCACCAATGCTTTAGCCGCTTCAGTGTAATATCCAGGGTCTGCCCGGCTTCGTCGTCAAAGCTCAAACGATTAACCGACAGTTTTAGCGTACCTATAATGAGATACTATAATATTGGCTACTTTTTTCGTTTTTAAATATAAATAATCAAGATGGAGGTATGATTATAGTATACATTTAGATGTATTAGGTTAGCGGGTTATGGATTTCGGTTCCAAAATTTTCTGAATTTCATTAAATTGATTAAAAACAATAATTAGGAAAAAATATAGTTTACAACAAATTTCAAAAAATTTGGGAACCGAAATCCATAACAGGCCAACCTAGTAAAATGTCCCATCATCGTACCTGTATGTTCCTTGATCATCTTGGCCACTTTCGACTTTTCCTTTCCTCTGACACTGGTTCCATTGACGGATAACAGCTCGTCTCCGGCATGAATCCTCCCGTCTTTAGCTATAGCACCATTATCAAACACCTGGACCACGTACAAAGAGGGACAGTAGGGTGCTCCTCCTCCAATAGCTACGCCAATATGCCCTTTCGGGTCTTTGGTGATCTCTACAACATCTGGAATCAGATGTACACGGCCTGAATCCAGCATTGTTGATGTTTACATAGTTAATTAGTATTTTAAAGACATTAAAGTATAATTAATTGAAAATATATAACAATTTGGCCTTCTATCACTTGACTTTACAGTAATAAGGTAATATTGTAGTTGACAAATTTGCAAAAACAATAAGATTAGAGGTGTAGATGACAGTTTAATCAAATTAGCTTATCCTTGCACAAAGTAAATCAATAGTAAGTAATCCAGAATTGTTTTCGCTTCAAGAAAAGGCCAGAAATGGCTTTCTTTTATGGCCAAATCGAGTCATGCGGGTTGTGACACTTCGTCCCGAAAGTCAATAGTTGAGAATAATTTTATCTGCGGAAAAAGCGGTTATTGTTTGTTTCATAAAACATGTTTATTATAAAGATATGTGCGTTGTTGAGATCTCACATGGTGTCTGTCTTTTCTCATTTACATCGTGTTCATTTCTTCGTGTTTATTTTGATTTAATATTATAGTATCTATCGTTTTAGGCGATTCTTTCATTTTTGCATTTTAATCACAACTTCCTTCTAATTTGATTATCTCAACAGTTTCCCGACCTTACAGACCGATTACAACTTGAAGAGTGATGGGTGTCGCGTGGTAAGTAATTAACTTATTTCAATGTTGTTTTTAGGGTTTTAAATTCAACTTTATTTTTTTAAATAATTGCTTTCAGGGTGATAAAGTCAAATGAATCGGCGAAGACCGTCGAAGCGGCGTTGGAGAGAGCTGGTGCTGTGAAAACGGGTGGTTATAAAGTAGATTGTACGACTTATCGACCGACTATGGATGTTGCTGGACAGATCAAGAACTTTTATGTTCTCCATCATTCCAACTTTCCGGAATCTTCTCATATCTTCTGTGATCTCAACGCTGATGGAACAGTGTCGCCTAGAGCAACATCAGATTTGGGTTTTGATCTCATTTTACAAAAGTTCTCTAATGCTTTGTTAAGCGATAATGCTTTATCTTTCGAACTAACGGGGACAGAGTATAAACTACACGACTTCAGGATACGATACGGTGTAGCTCTGATGGGAAGGACGAGTGCTAAGGTAACAACTATTAAAATAATGAAATTATTTAAGTGGAATTACAAAATGAACCATCTAAAATAGTTGTTTTTAGGGTATTGTCGTGGAATTCGAGTTTGCAGCTTCCCAAATCACAATTCAGTGCTTTGGGCTTCTCCAAGAAATAGTGCAAGGTTTCTTCCCAGAGCAAAAAACGATTCCGCTGCCATTACATCGTCAACGGAATCATACTGAATATTATTACTCATCCGATACTCTAGAACAATATCTCAGAATCTTTCAGGAAATGAGAACAATGTGATACTAACTTATTTAATAAACTTAATTATAATTCATTGGCGTTGTATTTGTGGTTACTTTCCATTTTTACTTTTATGCTTATCTTTTATTCTTCACTACATTTTGTATGATAATTCGAGCGTTTTGTTAAAAGTTTAGTGTTTATCGTTTCATTTTTTTAGAAATTGAATAATTTTCAACCATGGCTTCTATGTTGATGGGTTCTGCTTTTCAAGATGTTTCATCGAAGAGTATTTTTTTAAAATTTATGTTATCTTTTGCAAGATTTACCAATTTCTAATATTAGTGTACCAAAATTTATATTACTTTATATAAGTTTTGTTTTAGCTGCTGATCTTGCCTGTGATACTTTGGAGCTGTTCTTTGGATCGCAAATGCTAACTCATCTTCACAATCGATTCGGTAAGCCTAAGTCAACCTTTTGAATATTTATTTTTTACTTTAGGTAACAAAAGTCTTTCAACCTTCGAGGCGAGAGTTGTAAACGTTCCTGTGTGGATTGGCGAGCTCTTATACGGATGTGTTTTGGAGCAACTAGAAGCTGTTAACTCAACAAACCTTATTGAAAAGGATTCTGAAGCTGTTTTGAAAGAGATCGAGATGAGTTTTGGTAACGATGAAGGTAACAAGATCGTTTCGGAAGTTGCCAATATTGCTGTTGATCTTAACATGAATATGGCACAACAGAATGAGGTAGCGAGGTCTTCAGAAAATGGTGACATAGGATTAGAAATGGCAAATCTTTTTGTCAATACAAAAGTGGAAGAGAAGTTGAAGCCTAAACGGAATCCGAAGCCACCTCCGGATCTGACGCACAAAGATGAGAAGTTGTGCATGTTGGAACAGCTGCGAGAGATATTCCCGCAGTATCCTGAGAAGATTTTCAAACAGGTTCTGAACGAGAAAAAGTAAGTTTAGGTAGGAAAAGTAAGGTATACCAAATTATATTGCTTTTTTGCAAACTTTTAATAATAGAATTGTGATTAATAGTGATCAAGAACCTTCCTTTTAAAGTGTTATCTGTAAAATGTTTTGTTATTGTTTTCTATCTCATTGAAAGAAAAGGAATAAACAAATGAAATCTTATTAGTAGAAGTGTTCTTTTTTACTAAGTCTGAAACATTTTATAACTAATATTAGCAGCTATCGTAGCGAATCATAATGTAAATTTAGTTATGTGTTCGATGCTGCAGTCGCCGAGCTGGCCAATGCGTCAACTGTCGGAGAGAAAGCTGCAGACAACTACAAACTACCACGGTCTCCGAGAATCATCCATTCAAACATTGCTACCACAGTTCATCGGTCATCTTCAATGTCAAATTTGAGCGTCGTTACCAATTCGGTACGTTTATATATGTTTTGTGAACATAATTTTGTAAATTTTGAGCTTGCTATATATTTAAGAAATTTTGTTACTTAAATATTCGATTATTTGTGATTTTTTAGACTTAAAAGGAAGGATGCTCTAGCTTTTAAAGTTTTTATTAAATAAAGGTGTTTTCAGAGTACTAGTAGTACTAATACCGCTAGTTCAATTTCATCTGGGATCTCCTCGGCCGTAATGACAGCTACAGATTACTACGACAAAGCAGCGTATTATCGCCAGCTGGCTGCCAAATTACCCAACAAAAACCATCCAGCATATCCACAGTATCTTCGTCTGGCTACAGAATGCTCTCAGAACGCGAAGAAGCTACAGGAAGAGGAGGAAGACAACGCTGCTGTCGTTACCGATGTCCTCGATCTACATGGCTTCGAAGTCGCTAGAGCTATCAAGATATTGTCTAAAACGATTGAGAGAATCAGAGAGAAACGCCCGATGCAACGCTACTTGGAGGTAATCACAGGTATTGGCAACAGAAATGCCTTAAAGAAGGCTCCACTTAGAAAGGGCATTCAACTGTGGTTGGATCAAAAGAAATACCGGTAAGTGTAACAAAAAATTTTAATTAGGATGACTATTGTAAGTTTATTAGAAAGAATTGTGTAATTTTAGGTATGAAAAGTTATAAGAATGATTTTTTAGGTATGAACAAGAATTCTGGAACCAAGGCTCTTTTAAAGTGCACTTAATTGACATTACTTAACTGTCGCTCCTTATCTGTACAGATGTATAAACTATCTTCTAGCGGGTTTTTTGTTGCTGATATACGTTAGTTATGAACTCTTTTGGCCGTTCTCCCGTGCAAACTACCTTCGAGGACATATCTTTATTGTTTTGTTAATTTTTGGTAATAAACAGCGCTGTAATAATTCGTTTTACTGTGGTATAATCGTGTAGACGATTAAATACTTTTAAGTGGTTTAATATAAATGGCAATATGTATTGTGTCGTGACATGTTAGGCGTGACTGATATTTTGTGATGACATTTTATGACATAATTCATTAATAGATGGAGGTGGACCACACTCCATGGCGGATCATTCTCTACTTCTTTGACGATCTTCGGTTGTCTTTCAATCGTACCATTGATCACTTGGAGCCATGGCAGGTGGTCATGTACACCCTGTCGGTGGTACTCTTCATCCAATGGATAAGGAAGGTGGCCAAGTTGGACGACGGATTTTCTATGGGAAGATCGGTAAATATTAATTTATTTAAATTATGTTACTATATAGTTCCTTCACTGTCAAAATGTGATTACGCATGTTATCATATGTTATCTTCGCCTTTTTCAGTACCAACAACTTATGATGAACTTCCCGTATTACAAGGAAAAAGCCAAACAACTACGTGAAGCCTCGAGAAAGGAAATTGAGGAAAAGTTGCTACGACCTGACCTGCAACGAGAGTTCTACAAGTTCTTGCCAGAGAAGGGGTTGGCCGTCTCTGATATCATAACCGAAGCTGTCGAGTACAAGTCGATGGGAGATCCCTTGTTCGAAAGAGGACGTGTTAGTGGGGCTGCCTTCTCTGACAGCAACGATGAGCAGACACGGTTGTTAACAAAGGTCAGCTCTTTTTCATTTATTCTCTTTTGTTCGAATATTTCATATTTTACCTTCAACAATCAAGTGAAATTTAAATTCAATTTGTGTCTCTATTTGATAAGAATGATAATTCCAAAGATATATGAATTGTTTGTTTGAGTGATTGTCTATATCATTTTCAGGTATTCGAGATGTTTGCCTACACAAACGCCAACTTCCCTGACATCTACCCTGCTTGTAGGAAGATGGAAGCCGAGATTATTCGTATGTTGTGTGCGTTATATCATGGTGGTACACGTTCGAGTGGGTCTTTGGCTACGTCAACATCAGAAACAGCTATCCTGGCTTGTTTAGGTAATTCTACGGCTTTTTTTCTTTAGAGGTAGTATTCTTGGAACCAGATTTGGCAGAAGTCTTTCCCACTTGTGAAAGTTTTCCTAATCGTATCATACTGTGTTCAAAAGATACCGTGTGTTTTGTATCAGCTCTTCGTAATAATGGGCGCTAGGACAAATGCGGTTTTTGGACATTTGCGGAAATGCGGTTTTTAGACACTTGCGGATCTTCGGTTTTTGGACACTTGCGGATTTTGGACACTTGCGGATTTTTTAAAGGTTTTTTTTTTTTAGTTAATTTAGTTATATTATGGTACTAAATTGTACTAAAGTTTGAATTGGTACGGTTTTAACGTAACAGTACCTTTTTGGGCTTTTAGTACTATTTAGTACCAAAAATATAAAAACAGTACCGATTAAAAATTTAGTACTATTTAACATTAAGAAATATTAAGACAGTGCCAATTCAAACTTTAGTACCATTTAGTACCATACTACAACTAAATTAAATAAAAAATAAAAAAACCCCTTTAAAAAATCCGCAAATGTCCAAAATCCGCAAGTGTCCAAAAACCGAAGATCCGCAAGTGTCTAAAAACCGCAGATCCGCAAATGTCCAAAAACCGCATTTGTCCTAGCGCCTAATAATGATCTTACAATTTTTTAAAGAATAGTTTGTATTGAGAACAATTCTTGTAGCCTACCGCAACCGTGCTATGAAAAAGGGTATCAGGAAGCCCGAGGTTATAATTGGTAGGAATGGCGACGTTTCCTTTTTAAATGCGGCTAAATTACTTGGTTTGCGTGTTGTACATGTTCCGATGAGCGAGAAACACAAGCTCGACCTAGGCGCTGTAAAACGTGCCATTTCGCGTGAAACGTGCATGGTATGTTCAGTTTGTGACGCAAGAGTTAAAACAAAGCTAAAATACAATTTAAAACACTAAGATACAAAAATATGAATATAACGTGATGGAAATTTATCAAATACTTGATTAATATACAGATTGTGGCATCGGCGCCCAGCTGTGTCACCGGTATCATGGATGACATTGAGAAGATCTCGGAGCTGGCTCTCCGTTACGGTATCCCAGTCCACGTAGATGCGTCGATAGGAGGGTTTCTGTTGCCTTTCATGGAACAGTGCGACTACGCTCCTCCGATGTTCGACTTCCGTTTGTCTGGTGTGACTTCTATTTCCGTTGATCTCCATAAGGTAATACCTATAGACCGCCAGAGTTATATGCCTAATTTTACCCAATAATCATCTTTTCAAATTCAGTGGTGTGTGAGGCAAACAGCAGATATATTACACTGAAAGTAATCATCCTTAAATTTAAATACAGACTTCATACGAATAGTATACTGTAACATATTTAGTACGCGTACACTCCCGTGGGATCTTCTGCCATTTTGTACCGAGAACATTACTATCTGAAAGAGCAATGTTTCTCTGACATCAATTGGCCCGGAGGCATTTACGTGTCCCCAACCTTAAGTGGCAGTCGACCTGGCAGTTTAGTTGCCTTAACTTGGGCGACCTTACTTTTCAACGGAAAACTGGGATTTGTAGAACGAACCCAGAAGGTCCTGGATGCTACACACTTCCTGAAGGAGAAGCTACATGATTCTGAATTCGTGGAGATTCTTGGAGAACCAATGCTGGCTTCTGTCGTCTTCCAAAGCAAGAATCCAAAGGTTCATTCCCATTTGTTGGGGGACCTCCTCAATGAATTGGGATGGAATCTGGCTTTTATTCAGTCTCCAGAAGCGTAAGGCGGCTAGCTAAAGTTGTGGCTTTACTGTATGATATTTAAAAACCTCTCAACCACTTATGTTGTTCACAAACGAATTTTCTAGGCTCAGATTCACAGTGACGGTGAAGCAGGCATCGGCTGAAATTATCGATGAATTCATCGACGATCTTCAGAAGTCATGCGAACGTTTGGCCAAAGACCCGAACGTTGAGTCGTTCCCCAAGAAAACGGTTCGTTTTTTTTTGTTTTTCACATCAATATGCATGTTGAAGTTGAAATTAAAACCTCAAAAACATGTAGCTAACAGATAATTATCGTGTTCTCTCTTCAGCAAGTCTTCTTTGGAGTATCAGCATCTTTCGTTGATCGTGGCATTGCCGAAGAGTTGCCATCGTTGTACATGGACGCGTTCTACGCGACTCCAATGGTGCCACGTCGCCAAAACCGAACCTTGAGTATTGAAGGACGGAAATTGAGTCACATTCCAGGTATAGGGAGCGACAGGGTTTAATTGCTTTTACAGGGTCGAACAGTTTCAATCTTCTGGAACAAATGAATTCCAATTCGGTTCCCGCGAAGTTCTCCAAGAACCTCGAGACTCAGGAAGAGGAGGAGTGATCGACAAACGTTTGTAACTGTTACGGCTGGTACAACAATGCGTATGGCTTTACAATGGTTTTACAATAGCTATTTTTACAATGGTTTTACAATAGCTTCCACAGCAATTGTTAGGCTACAGCTGCTGCAGTGACGGTTACCTAACCAACTCTAATCACAATATTACCCTTGATTTTTAACTTTGATATGGTCATTTCCATCCCGGTTTCCAATCTTTTCCATCTCTTTTCGATCCTAATAGATTGTAATAAGTTACATAGATTTAATATTGTAATAACACAATAGATTTTTATTATCTTACCCTGATGTTAGCCAATAAGAGTTTAGTTTAGTATAGAAAAGCGTTATCTTGTCTTAATTGGTTCAAAAGTCTGTAGGATTATCATTCTTTTTTATCAACGGTCAATATCGTTATACAATTTACGATTGTTTTTCCGTTTTTTTTTGTTTTTCTATCTACTTTTGAAACGACCTATTCTTAAACGGATGTTTTTATCCTTTTCGTAGTAATAATCTGTATTTTCAATCTCTACATAACAAAATATAGTATTGTTTCCGCTTTATATTGTAGAACTGACCATCGTCTATCCTTCATATTACAGAAACTGGCATTTCCTTTTAGTATCTAATAGATATTAGCATTTACTATCCTTTATATACGTGTACGTCGACTTGCTGCAGCTTTAGAATTGTGTCGACAGAATAAAGACTAACTGATTATCGCGACGATCAGATCAGATTTTAATTTTGGAGGTCGTCTTGGATCCATTCTCTCGCATAATTCTTTAAACGAGGAACCCCTATACCTACTCCTCGCCCATACCTACAACTCGGTCGCTCCCGGCGAGGCGACGGCCTTCACTCTTTACTCACCGTTTAAAGGACGGCACGAATGACATAGAGGTAGATGAAGGAAAGTCGCGCACCCATCCCTTTCTCCTTAAGCATTCGCTTCTTTCACGTCTCATCAGAGCGTGCTTTTGTCTAACTTTTGTTCTTCCGATCAGTAGACGAATCTGCGACGTTCCTTTCCCTTTATCTTACTGTTATTCGAACGGATTTGGTTTTCATTTTGTTGTATCGAGCAATTGGTTTGGTGTTTTTGATTTAAAAAAAGATTTTTAAATATTTTTTTTCAATTTTTATCTTGATTTGATTTTTAAAGTTCACATGACTTTTTATTAAATTAGGGTATTTTTTGGGTTTTGATGAGAAAAATTGAAAATTTTGAATTTTTGTAAAAAATTTTTCAAAATGTTTCACTGTTTGGCCTAGGTTTTAACATTTGTTGAATTTTAAAATCACCTCGAGCTTTAAATAGTATTTTTTCAAATTGTTTTCTACTTTTCTGGTTTTCAAAGGCTTTTATTGTTTCGAGTAAGTAATTTGGAGATTTTATTGGAGTAAGTCGAAGTCTCAAAGAAGACGTTGTTTCAAATTTATATAGTAATGGCTAACTTTTAAATCTTAGTGGTATAGCAGGTTTAAGAAGACTATTTTGAAGAAAAAAACGTTTCAAAACTGTAAATTTCCTTAAAATTAGGTATTCAAAAATGATTCAAATCTTCAATGTCCCTATGACAAAACATCGTTATTCTTTTGTATATTCAATCAATTAATAATCAATATGGATAGGTAGATATGATGTTAGAGTAGATTGAAGTTGTGGAGAGGTAAAGTAATTGTTTTTTGGAAGCGTAAATCATTCTCAATATGACTTTTTTGTTTTCTTTGTTTCAACCAGCTGCTTGAGTCGACGTTCAGCACGTGCTTCGTGTAATAGACATCTGCTGGGGACATTCATGGACAAGATAAATCAAGCTTTTCAACACTTTTTTTTCTTTTTTTCCTATAGGCGGGTTATAGTAAGATTTTGTTGATATTGTTATAGGTAACATTGTGTTTTAGGTGTTTTGTGTCTGGAGATTGTTTTATTTAAGATCTTTTTCATTTTTTCATGACATATTGTCATTGAAATTGAATTATTATGTTGTTATTGATGAGATTTTGATCAATAAAAGATTTTATCGCGTAAAGTTCCACATTTTTATTTTTACGTTGATTACCGCTTTTTTATCGTACGATGACTTTAGTTTACAATTTTTTTTATTTTTAAAGTGTAACACTTGGTTTATAGATATAGCATGACAAACTCATACCTATTTATATGTTATGCCCTTATTAAAAGCCCTGATTTTTCCAGATGATCGGACTATTATGGCCTTTCCTTCTCTTGGCCATCCATGCTTCGGGCTCGGACCTCGGCTTCTCGGTGGGTTCGAATGCCGCCTCTCAGCTGGCACAGCATGCTGTTCACTCGGTACTACAACAACCTCGGAAGCTGCAGATCGAGATGAGGAACTCGGCCAATCCCTGGTTCGAACCCATCGCTCATCTGAATACGAACGCTCGAGTGCTGGTAGACGACATCAAGATACGATTCCACAGTAGCATGGTGGACCTGAAGATGCACAACTTGAGTATGAAGAGTCATACTGAAGTCGTGGTACTGCCCTTGCCCTTCTTCTTGGGGGAGGATGTCGCTCATGTGTCGGCACAGGTAAGGAGTGCCATTCTTAGTACTTATGACACTTTTGGGCATATTATCGGTGAAAATTATTATCCTTTTGTTTAATGTTATGTTACTCTCCTATTTTATTTTTAATACCTTGTAGGTCCCTCTAACCGACCTCCAATTCAAAGTGCACGATATGAGTGTAGCCATGGAGTTCTGTCAAGTGGAGGAAGTGAATCTGGACGTCTTCATGGAGCGCGGCTACTTCTTGAATTGGGTTCTTAAGCCCGTGACTGGACTGATTCCAGCGTCGCTGCTCCGCGACTACGTCTGTACAACATTGTCGGATCACCTCGGACAGTTGCGCAACCGGTTCGCCGTGTAAGTACATCTTGTTAGTCTTGATTCTGATGACACGAGGGCTAGTTAGCTTCTATTCCGTTAATTTAAAGTCACATTGGCTTGACTTCTGGCGATATCAAGGCTAGTTAGAGTTTGTTAATTCGTTTTTTAAGGTGGTCCGCTTTAAAGGCTAGTTAGGGTTGACTTGCGACGAGTAGGGGGATGATTAAGTTAGTACCAAACAGAATTAAGGGCCATTATGTTAAGTTTAAGCCCTTTAAAGGCTTTTTCTTTGATTAGTCAGTGTTAGAGAATGTAGTAATATCTCTATCAGAAGATCTCGATGTGTCATCCTAGAAACAACATTACAATGCATTTTGTGATCGACAAGAATTGATCTTTCAACCTGCATTCTTTAATCAACCGTTTTAAATTATGAAACGAAAAGTTATGTTGTTGGACCTACTATAAGGTTGTAACAGAATCTTTAAAAGTTGAAAAACTTTACTTGTGTCACTTTCAGCGAGTTCCCTCTGATCTCTCTCGTACCTCCCAAGTTCCAACAATACCTCCACTCCAAGAACACCACCCTCAGGATCCACCTGATCTCTATCGAAGCCGACAAAGAACAATTGACATTGTCAGCTGGAGTGGACTGGGCCGAAGCTTCGATGCCAGAAGACATCCAAACCTCACAAACAACCAAGAATCCGAATCAAAAACAAGACAGTGCCGAGGATTCAGAAGAGGACACTCAGCTTCTGAAGGCTCTGACGATCACGGACAGCGAGAACGACGCTGTCGATCGAAATCTGCAGTTGTGGGTACAGGATCGACTGGTCAACGAGGTCATGGAGAAGTTCGACTGGGACTTTGAGTGGATGAACGAAGATATCGCGGTCAATAGCGACAAACTGCCACGATCCACCAGAGACTTCTTGGCCGTTCTGTGCCCAACGTGCTTCTTCGAGCTACGAGTCAATGCTAACGGAGTACCACACGTCCAGAGCTCCAACAGTTCTATGATCCTCAAAAAGTAAGTCTAAATGTCACAAATCGTTTGACAACTGATGGATAACTTAATATACTACACTCGATAACCAGTGAACAAGCAGTTAGTGCCTTTTCGATTTATGTTTTATGAACCTTACTGTAACATTGCCATTTCAGAAGTGACCGTATCTTCATCAAGGTCGTCAACCCCACCACCAACACGGACTCCGTCTTCGTATCTCTTTACCTGACTCTGACGATCCAGCTGATGCCAGAAGTGAACGACGGTATCTTCAGAACGCAGGTGAATCTGCTATCTACTGACATCAGAATGGAAGAAGGTGCCTTCCCTTCAGCATGGAATGAGTTCGTCCAAGATCTTGTGAAGGGTATGATCATGGATGTCATCTGGCCTGGCCTGAAGACGGAAATCGAAGCCCTGATTTACTCCGACGGTCTCAAGATACCATCCAACTGTGGCCTCGAGCCAACCTCCATGAAGTTGATCTTCGACGACGGTAAACTGGGAATCTCGTCGAGGCTGCTGCTGGACGAGTTATACCTGAAAGAGTGTCTGAAGCAGGTGAAGAGCAAGCTCCCCGACCCGTCGAAGCTACTAGTCATTAAGGATATGTAAATATACTACTGCTTTCAGCTTGCACTTTTTTATTACTTCCATCTCTATACTTCTGAATCCATTGCATTAAGATAACGTGTTGTTACAGTAGGTTACAGTAGTTTTATGTCGTTTAAGGTGTATTTTGTCATTTTTTAAGTATCTACAATCGTTTCCTATCACTTTTCCATATTTTAAATCTATTTTCTACCGTGTTATGTAGTCTATTGTCAGTTATTTTGTGTCATTTTCGTATCTTTTGCCATTTTACAGTACGTCTTCCTTCATTTAGCCATTACAGTATACGGGTTTGTAATAATATTGTAATAAGAGACTCGGGTCCTCAAATTGTGTCGTTACTCTCCTCCCGGTGATCACACAGCCATCCATATCTACGTATACAACATACGGACATATATATTTATTCCAATAAATTCTTTGATATTATTCACCCGTACAAATGGTACAAAAGGACCATAGAGACTATACAAAGTGCTACACTTGGTGCTTTAAATTTAATTGAAGATAGTGTTTTAGGTATAGTAGAGGATGTAGACTTACTAAGTTTAGATTTTTGGTTTTTGAAAGAAGGACAAAGCTGAAAAGAATATTCTAAAGACTTTTGGACCAAAACATATATCTAGACAACTACCAAGGCAAGAGTCATCTACGACAAGAAGAGTGGTGCACTTGGTTCAGAAACCCCAGTTTTGGTATTCGTTTGTACCATAACAGCATATCTGACATTGGGGTTGAGGCCATCAAGATGTACACAGACATCTGAACCCTCCTTCTGAATGGAGGAGCTATGGAGATGAAGATACATGACCTGAGGCGTACCAAGCAGGTGTCGTGCTATCACAACTTCAGTACTACGAGGATTCCGTTGTTTCTCCACCAAGAGACTGCAATTCAGTGTTTCAGACTTTCACTTATGTTTACCGTATATTTGGGGATACTGTAATACAGTAACTAGTGTTTCTATTGACATTACATCCTTTATAGGCTACAGTAATTACTTTTCAGTATTACAGTAATTCTTAATGTTGAATTGTTGCTTTTTTCTTATTTGATGTATTTTTGATTCTACAAAAGATCGAAAAAAGTTACAGTAACCGAACTTTAAACCTACTTTGTCGATGAAGCGGATTCTGGAGTCATTTCCTTCAGATGTACGGTATATCCTGTAGGTTCGTCTAGTAAAACGACAGCCTTCCAGCACAACTTCAGTCGGTTGACAATCTTTATCGACCGTAATCCAGTCGGTATTTCTGGGTTCAAAGCTAAAAATTACTCACATAATAAACGGCGCTTGTATTATTCTACATTATATGTGATTACCTTACTTTACTTTAGACAATTTATCCAAAAACATCACCCAGTCCAGTATTTTACAATAGACATGAGAAACGGGCCGGGCCTGAAAATTGGGCCCGGCCCGTTTCTCATGTCTATTTTACAAAACCAACTTAAAAATGAAAAAAATAACACTTTGTACTACAGTAAGTCTACATTACCCAAACTTACAGTGTGGCTGACTGAAGCACTGGAAGATCTCTGTTAGGTAATATAGACACAAGCGATGTGAACGCTTCAACATCTGGAAGTCAGAGGTACAGAAGTCAAAGCAGAAGCTAGGAATGTTCTTCTGGCGACAACACGGAGTGTAGTCCTTCGTACCAGACTCCGTAGCACATGCCAAAAAGTTTTTGTAATCGGCTGTTTGGCAACTAAAATAAGATAATACTATAATAGGAATTAAAAGCAGTAATGTCTACTATAATATTGAATAGATATACAAATTTATATTTCTTATATCATAACTATAATATATTTAACATAGGAAAACGACATTTAGGGTTCAACTTGACCAAAAAACGCAAACTTCAAGGTTAAATTAGGTAAAAGAGGAAGTTGCGACAGTTTATAATTGACCTCAGAAATGTGTCATTCCTTTACCTCAACTTAATGGCTAAAAGTTGTAAAGCAAAATACGACAATAAAACATCAGAAAATCATTTGTTTTACAATTACCAAAATTTGATGTCCAGTAATATTTTAATATTACATATTTTACCATTTGACTCAAAATAATATCTTTTACCTCGTGGGATCGAAGAACTCGAGATGCAGATCACGAGGTTTACACATCGGCCGACACAATGGCGACATACCCTTTTCCAAGCAACACTCAGAGTAGTCAAAGGTCATGTTCTGGTTGAAGCCGAACTTCAGGCCGCTTTCTGAAACAAGCTATTTACTAAGAACACATCTACTATAACATAACATACAGAGGACGGTAAAAAAACGAAATTTTCAACAAAAATTGAAAAAAAACAAAGAATAAAGGCGACAATAAGAACTCCAATATTATACATTTTTGAGCGAAAAACAGTAAAAAGTGAAGAAACATACCTAAAACATTGAGATGGAAGTCCAACTGTTGAGGATAATCGTTCAACTCACATCTGTACTTCCCAGAATCCTGTAACGTCAGGTTTTTGAGAAGCAGGGTGTATTCATCGGCCACACAAGCTAAATCTGTAGCAATTTTGAAAACAAATCTTTGTATTTTTCTCCAAAGGGAGGGCGCAACCTGCGTAAGCCTTTTTATACGCAAAACAAAATAATTTTTATATTTTTTGTTGGAAAAGTTGATGGAAATGAAGGGAGTTATGATCAACTTGAAGACTAGAAACCTCAATTTACCTGAATTAGCTCGGTCGTTCACGATAGATTCTTGTAGCACGATGTTCTCTGGCTCGAATCCAGAAGTTGGGATGAATTCGGTCCCATTAAACAGAAGTAAGTCGTCTTTGTACCATGATATCTGTAAACCATATGTTCTTTGACCTTTCTATTCTATTTACATGTCAGTTTTGTTACCTAATTCAAAAGAAAGTATAGTAAACGGTTGAATTCTCTAATTAGCGCAACAATCAACGTTGTAAAACAAGTTTTTGCAAGTGAAAAAGTTAATTTTTGGACGATTTTACTGATTGTTGGTAGTTAACCATGTAAACTATTCACCTTTAACTATACAATTTCTCCACTAAACTAAAATTATGACGTTTTGTCATAACACAACAACGACTTTAATTTAAGTCTATTACAACATCAAATTTACTTCTCGATTCAACGCTTATCACGTTAAACCATAACAAAAAAGAGTAACTTACGACCGGTCGGGGCTCGTTGCATCTGTAGACGGAACATTGCATCCGTGCCGTGAACCCGGCCACCAGCGACAAGTAGTTGTCGTTGGTGGAGGTAAGCTGATATCCATGGACCTGGTGGAGTAAGACCAGGAAGAAGAGATGAGTAACTCCCATCGCAACCGAAGTAATCAAACTAACCGGCCTCTTCCTTCGATGTGAAGCAAAGGACGTTCCATCGCTTCTCGCCAATCTGACCTCGTTGTTTGTCATGTTGGACGTTGTATTATTAATCGCGGGCGGAAACACATTTACAGTAAAACATACTAATGTTTGGCGATTAAGTAGACTTCCAATTGACAAAAGACAATGTCTTTTTGCAAAAGCAAAACAATAAAAATTGAAAAGCAACCAAACTATAAGAAAGCTGAATCTATTCACAATGACAATACATTTAAGTTATCGCCCTACTTTCCTCAAACATGTTCTCTGATTGTCAACATACAACTCACAATTCAGCAATAATTATCTTTATTGTAAATTAAAAAGCTTTAAAACAATCAACAAACTTGGCCTAAAAGAAAACGAACATACTAGCGATTGTCTATGAGTACTAGAGTATCTCCTCGGTCAGCCATTTGTACCAGAAGGTACCTGTACCCCCACGATTCGCCTGGTTTCTGTACCATCTCGACCTGAGCTCGGCCAGCTCCTCGATCTCCTTTTACATGGAACGTCACTCGTACCCGCTTCTCGTTGTCCTTCTCGTATGCCATGTTGGCAATGTGTCTCCTCGACCTTCTAGATTGTTCTCCAAAGCCGGTGATCGAAGAGCCAATCACGGCTTTACATTGAGGGTCATGTCTGATCAAATCCAAGGACTTGGAGTAGATTCTTTGAGGAGAATTGGCAGCGAAGAAGTACTCGAACAGAAGATATGATATCCCACCCAGTGTGGCGATTGATACGACCAGTGCCGAGTAGAAGAAGGTGTTCTCGGCTCCTTTCTTCACTAAAACAACATTGAATCATTAATTAATCTTTACAACATTCCTCTTAATCCATTACCTGATTGTTAACGCTAACAACATCAAAGAAAGATATGATCTTACTCAAAACAAGTATATCAACCAATTTACTGTGAAAACTTACCTTTTTGAGCTCTTGTTCGAGGCTTTTCATCCTGCCTGAACATGATCTCTTCCAGAACTGACTGCTGTAGCTCATTCTTCTGTTGTTTCTTAGCTGCTTTCTGTAGTTTGGCATCTTCTTGTAACCTAACCATAGAAACGGACATTCGCCTCTTTACTGCCAGTCTGGAGAAGGTGAGAGGTAACGACGCCTTGAACAAGGGCTTTATGTACATTATGTTGGTCGACCACACCAGTCTGAAAAGGGTAAACACATTCTTGCATTCCGTACCCAATGATTTCCCAGCAGTTTTGTCCCATTTAATCTACCTTTTTCAACAAATTACTCTAACTTCTTACGTGAACAACCGAATATTGATAGCAAAACTATTCTAACTACCAACACCTACATCGCGATCGACATCTTCAAGGTATTCGAGATTGAAAACTTAACTTCAACGCCAAAAGCCGAGATTAGCAACAAAGTTTATTGTCATTTAAAACAAGACTGATTAGTACGACAGAAGACTACGAGAAACTGGAAACAATAGCAATATAATAGCCAATCAAGATGGAAAAACAACCCGGTACAAAATAGAATCGTATTTACATTTTTATTTAGGCGAAAGCGAATCCTTCCGTGCATTCTCTGATGGCGATTAGGAGAAGTCGGCGCAACTGGTCGTAGCTTTCGTATTGAGGCAAATCCAGTTGGTTAAAGCTGAAAAACACAAATATATTTGGTAAGAAAAATGACATGCCCACTACAACATTGCTTTTAATCTTTTTCTCTCACGTAACATTAACTTTAATCAATTACAGTAAGTAAAAAGCATTAAAATGTTTATCAACTTACCAAGTATGGGCACACGGTAGCCTGTCGTTTGATCGTGAATCCATGTGAATCGTGAACTTCTGTGGTCCGTTCATACCTTCCAGATGAGCAAATCCTTGGAGTGGTACCTTGCTAGTGCCAGTTACAAATTGTAGGAATTTGGCCATGTCTTCCTTTTCGAATGATCGTAGCGCTCTCCAGAACCATTGAATTTGAGGTGAGGACCGTGAATACTGCTTGTACTCGGTGTTGTTGTAGAGGTCGTCGACGTCAATGTCTGGAAGTCCAGATACCAGTAGCTCGAGCTCTTGTTCGTTGAAGATGGAGATAAGCTTCTTTGGAATAATCTCGTAGAAGCCGGACAAAAAGGCATCCAACTGCTTTCTGACGCCACCGGCCATCTTCATCTGGCACACCAGCTTGACGTACTCTTCCTTGTTTTCGTCCGTGACCACGATCTTGTTACCTCCTTCCTTGAGTTCTCTCCAAGTCCTCACTCCAAACTCTTCGACTTCAAGGTTGAAGTGGAGATCAACTCCAAGGATTTCTAACGGGTTGTCCAGCAAGAACTTCAGGTTCTTGTAGTACTCTGGATCTTCTGATTCGATATCTTGGTATCTGATTGGCACGTTGAGAATGTGTTTGTAGAAGGCGCGGGTGAAGTAGCAGTCCAGTTGTTTGTTGTCGTAGATGGCTTTGGCAATGATTCGGCCGACAAACTGAAAATGGTTAAAATTAGTATTTGTTCAAAAATTACAGAATGGATATTATTGTAGGGTATACAACCCAACCATGTTCTTCACGTAAATTAAAAATAATTACCTTGAAGTATTCTAAATGTTCCGGGTTGACATATGACAGTCTGTTGACCATGTAGGTAACACCATCTCCAGGAGCCGTGATAAATAGCGCATAATTTGGATTGAAGACTTCTCGGGTTATGATGCTATACCATTCCCTCAACAGTCCTCCGGCATCCTGACCTTCCTCGCCCACAAAGATGATGTAAAAACGCGACTTCCAGTCCTGCGACCTCAGGCGGAACAGTTCTCTGAAACTGTCGCTGAACAAGTGGGACCTCCTGATGCGAACTGGAACGTCGTCTTGTCTGAAGCGGGTGCGGTCTTCCAACTTTCTTATCTCCTTGTAGAAGTACTTCCTCTTCACGTCAAAGTCCAAAAGTTTGGGGAAGTAGGTGAGAACGGCAAAGGCACTATCTTCCATCACATTGTTGTTGCTGCTTCTCAGGATCTGGTTCAAAACGGTGCGATGTTTCTCTAAAAATAAATGAAATTGAGCTTTTTACGCTAAGTAAAACAATATAGAAGACTTTAAAACAACAAAAAAGTTAAACTTACCAGCAAATGCCAACATCCCTTGAGTGAATTTGCTAGCTGGCCCTTCATTTGCGAGCACCGAGTTCTTCCGTGTAACCTGTGCCGTTGTAGCCGAAGTTGAAGCATCCGATGATTCTTGCCTCTGTGCAGCTTCTAATTCCGTAGAGGACGCTTCAGGCGGTGTATCATCGTTAGAGCTGTTAATTGTCAAAGCGTGGGCCAAGAAGAAGGCTTCGGCCACATATTGAAGACTCATTACAGCTCTGTTGTCTTCGGCTTTGCTCATACAGTCCAAACACTGACTGAGTAGCTTCCAGAGCTCGTCCAAGTCTTCCAGAAGTTTGTAGAGCAAGGTTTCTTCCTTCTCTTCCGCGGCTTTACCCAAGAATTCATCGTTGGTAAGATCTTCTGCCGGCTTCTTCCTTTTGTTCATGTCCGCCAATTGGGAACGGACAAATGACACTGTATTCAGTGATCGCAACATTCTCTTTGGAGAGCTCTCCTTCTGGGCCATGTTCTTTGACTTGTTCTGCACCTTATCAGCGGCTTCAGAAGTTCCTGCCTGTTCTTTCTCATCTTCATCCAACAGTTTTCCACTCTTCTCAAATGACGTCTTCATCGTACCCAACATCTCGGACAGTTTGATACCCTGCTTCTTGATAATGTCGAACAGTATCACAAACACATCGAATCGCAGTTGTGGAAAAACGTAAAGAAGCTGAACGAGGAAGCTGCGGCAATCTCTGAAGGAGTCATCGTACACAACAGAATCCATAACGCCCTAAAACAAATACATTTCGTAGAAAACTACAAGATTTGGTAAAAAAGCCTTTTTAATGTCAAAAAATTAAGAAACAAACTTACAACGATCAATTTCTCCAAGTTTAGCATCAAAAATTGTTTTTGTGATGGATCAGCGGCCAACTCCAATCTGGTCTTGGCATTCGACAAAGCAGGTGCATGAAGTGCCTGAAAAAAGATAAAATACGCTCAAAATCCATATAAAACAAACTTAAATTAAAGCATAAAAGTAAAAACTTACCGTGTGGAATATCCTAAGAACCTTTTCTTGTAACTGAGGCGATGATACGATAGGCTCAGCTGTCGCAAATGCCAGTAGAAGTCCAAAAGGCGAGTTCATGAAGTTCGAATCCGATAATTGTGGTAGCTTGTCTTTGTCCTTGTCGTTGATGATCTTGTCTTCATTGCACGAGCTGATCAAGTCCGACATCTTCCTTACGGTCTCCCAGAAGTCAGACAATGCTGGAGGTTTATCGTAGGTTTGCTTACTGTCGTTTTGGAATCTGAATTGTGATGGGAAGAAGTTGATAGCGCATTGTCGTGCCAACGAAGAGATTGTGTCCAGGATTCGGCTACAGAGCTCGGTACGGATCAATTTGTTAACGAAAACTAAAATAACATTATTCAAGGTTTGGAACTACACAGTTTATAAGTGGCACAAGCCTAACGCTGTCTAATATTCAACAATTATAAATTAACATACCCTTATCCTTCGTCACGACAAGAGCTTGTTCTTGAGATTGAATAGCCGAATGAACTTTGAAGTTGGAAAACCAATCAGGCTTGGAGATTATAGATGACAGCTCTGCATCGTTCATTACAATAGAATCGTCGCTCGCTGCTTGAAGGATTCCCAACAGTGACCGTAAAACGAAATCACAAGTTCCAGGATGGCCACAGATGACTTTGAACAATCTTTGGAACCTGGGAAGGTTGAATTTGTCTCGTTCCATAAAGTAGAGTAAGGCGATCGTGGTAATAGATTCCTTGTCAAAGATCTGCACCATGTCCCTGTTGTGGTTCGATTCTTCTACGGACATCCCAGCGTAACGCCAGTTCTCGGAGCGGCCGTTTACAGGCAGGGTTCTTGCCATTCTTATCAGATTCTAAAACAACAACATTATTTTATTCCACAACTTAAAAAACATAACATTCAGAATTGCTGTTGCAATTTATTTCAAATGACTTACCTGATGTTCAACATTTTGTCTGAGTCTGGTTGCTTCAGCTACAAGGTTTGCTGGGAGAACACCAAGAACAGAATCGTCAGCATCAGCCAATACCTGAGCTCGCAGTGAAGGGGCCAGTGATTCAAAGAAAGCCACCACGTCGCTAGCTTGTTCCACAACCTGATCTACAGCAGGTGGTGCAGCTGCAGGCTGGTTTGCTGCATTTTGAGAATTCTGTTGATTCCTTTCCGAAATTCTTTGTTCGTTTTGTGCCAGTACCTCTTCCTGAAGCTCTGGAGGTAGAGCAGCCAAGAAGTCTTGGTCGAGCATATCATCTTCGTGAGCCGGCTGATTCTGAGGTTCTCCTTCGGCGCTGACTTCAGCAGCAATCCCTTGACTCGAACTCAAGGTCTGTTGGCGTTGCCGTTGTTGCTCTTGACTGATTCTTTGAAGTCGTTGTTGCCGTTGATGGTCTCGGATGACCTCGCCTCTGATATCTTCAGGAAGAGCAGCCAAAAAGGCCGGGTCGATTCCTTCAGGGATGTCAATATCTCCCAAGATGCTTCTGAACTGATCGTTCTGAAGGCCTGATGGACCTGGTTGAGGTTCTTCGGCCGGTGGTTCTTCAGCACCCACGTTCAACTCCATAGCACTTTCTGGCGCTTGTCCAGCTGGAGCTGCATCTTCTGCATCGCCTTCAGCTTCAACTTCGGGAACTTCTGCTTGAGATACGTCCATTTGAGAAACATCGGCTTCTGGTGTTTGACTTCCGTCAGCTGATCCCAGAGTTGATTCCTCATTTGAAGCACCAGCTGCCTCCAACTCTTCATTCTGGTCCAAATTGGCAAACCGATGTGAGAGTTCGGAAGAATCGACCGACGCTTCTCCAGCCGACTGTCCTTCATCTTCTTCGTTTCCTTGTACAGTTCCATTCCCAGAAGCCCTAGGTAAGACCATCTCCGCGGCCGGTTTCTTTTCCGTCTTCTTTGGCTCTGGTTTTAGCTTGTCTAACATATAAGACATAATTATGATGTTGTTGTATTGGACTGCTTGTGAATTCAACAGACGGGTGATGTCAGTCACTCTGTCCAAATAATATGGAACAAAAGACTCTACAGTACGTCTGTCCAAAGCAGCATCTCGAGTGTGTTCAGGTCCCTCGAAAGATCTGACATTTCCCCCTTCGGTGAAGTTCAGCAAATTGTTGAGTTGTCCTTCAAAGAACGACAGCTCTTCCGGATTGATTCTTCCAAATCCATAGAGTCTGTTTCTGAGTGCTCCTTGACGCCTCAGTGAAGTCATGTGATGACGGTGAGTGTTGCGATTCTAAAAAACAAATTTAATTTTCATACATAATCTAAGACCAATAACCAAATGTAGTAAAATAAACTTACTCTTAACCTTGAAACAGTTGGTTCTACAGTAAAATTGAAGCCATGTGGGTAGTTCATTCTGCTGGCTACGTCAGGGATCAAACTTCGAATGTCAGCAGACAATGGAATGTCAGTTTCAGTTCTGCCAGTAGATGCTCCGCTCCTGGTAGCCAACTGTAGCGGGCGACGAAGCAAGGGATGCGACGAATCTGTACGAGCAGTGCCAAAAGAACCAAGTGTTCCAGCAGCACTACCTGTGGCTGGTATGAAGCTGGACGGTGCTCTCCAAATGTAGCTCAAATCGCTTCGGTCAATTGGATGGCCTCTGAGGAATTCAGCTTCACGTTGTCTTCTTTCGTCGCCCCTGTAGTAGTTGGAGATGTAGTCGGTTATGAAGTTGACGGAAGCCGTCATCAAATCGTTGTCTGCCGCTTGGAACAAAACACTAGGACCCGCCATCTGATTGACTGGAATCACATTGTCACCGTGATGCCTTACAAGTCTCTGATCGAACGGTTGTTGAACATCTTGGCTTTGTTCGTCCTCTTCGGCCGTCTCGTCTTCTGTTTCCATTTCATCATCTTCGCCCTCGTCGTCCTCGCCTTCAGCGTCATCATCGTTCTCAACATCATAAGTTTCATTCAGTTCATTCTGACTATCGTGTCTTGTGTCATCTCTCATCTCAACCTCATCGTCCTCATCACCATGATGCGCGTCAAAATGATCTTCAATCCTATCTCCGACGGCATCAATAGCGTTAACATTAAGCTGTCGTGAAGGTTCTCTGAGATCGTCGTCCTCTGAAAACTCTGCATTCTGATGTTCTCCTTGTTGATTGTTCTCTTCGTCAGAACTGTCCGAACTCGATTGTGATCTTGATGGTGATCCAGGCACATCATTGTATTCCTCTCCAGCATTGTCGAATCCCGGGTTTCCTTCGTCACCGAAAACACCGTACGATAAAATCTCGGCTTCTTCTATTTCAGCCATCACCCGGTCCAATACATCAGGATTTTCCTCGTTCAAAGCTGCTTCTTCTTCCTGAGCTTCTTGAGCGGCTTCTGAGTTCTCGTGAGCTTGTTCAGCTGGTGGATTCTCTCCAGATACTGCCGGTGTTGCAGTTGACTCTTCTTGAGGTGAAGCAGTCGCTTTTTCAGCAGCGGCAGCAACACTTTTGTCATATGAAGCCAGCACACCAACAGATCTACTGAATTCTTCAAAGACACGCAGCAAAGAGTTTGCGGCTTCCACGACGTACGATTCCTTCAATGGTAAGAACCACAAGGTCCGTGCAAACGAAATCAACAAGTTTTTAGCATCAACACATCGAATAAAGTATTGCTCCTTCTGATCCCTGTTGGCTCCACCTGACTTTACCTAAAAAAGCAACAGTAATATAAACTTTATTTAAAAGACAATTTCCGTATACTACTCTACATACCACAGTAAAATCTTAAACGTACCTTTGAACATTCCTTTAGCAGTGACAAAAACCTTGACATAGCTGTTAGTTTTTCACAAAATAGCTTCTTCTCAGTTTCTGATCCGTCTTGGCTTGGAGCCTTTTTGACGATTGAATTCAGGGTATGTTTAATAACATCAGCCAAGGCTTCATTGGCTTGTGGAGTGTTCTTGACGTTCAGCAAAGTGACAAAGATGGCCTTTCCCGATATCTGCAGTTCGCTTTTCTTCAAGTTCTCCATCATCACATTCTCCAGAAGCCATCGCAAGAATGGAACCCCATCGTGTTCCTTGAGCAGAAGCAAGTTTGCAGTCTCTGAGTACGTGCGACAAAGCTCTGCCATAAAATGCATTAGGCTTCCAACTTGGAGAATTTTGCTCTTATTTTCGTCTGGACTTTCGACTTGACTGATCAGCTCGTTCGTAGCACACTCAACCACCTGAAACGTTTAAGTTAATTAAAATTATTCAAAGCGAAAAATCCGTCAAACTCAGATAAACATAATGTTAACTTACATTCCGGAGAGAATCGTAACTGCTAGGATCTACAGTCACATCATCCTTCTTCTTGATATCGATCTCAAAATTCTCTTTGTAACCAAATCCACTATTTGTAATCTCGATGAAGCCATTCAAATCTCGCGCTTCCAAAGGAGCCAGTAATCTTAGAAGCCTTCTGAAGTCTTTTTGGTATCGTCGTTGTTTCGTATTGACAGGTTTAGTTAGATCGGCTACACAAATTGGAGCTCCAGCAGACAAATCGTTCATAACCTCGGTAAAAAGAAGCTTATTCATCTCAGCGTTGTCAATACAGTTCCTCAAGATCAAACAAATCACCGATGTCATCAAGGCGTTAGGCTTCGAACAGCGCAACGTGAGTATGAGATTGATTCCGCTTTCTTTGATAAAACTTTTGGCAATTTCTGGTAAAGCTGTTAAACGTAGCAAAAGAGAGATGACCGAAAATACGACTTCGGAGAATGAATTCTCATCGTTATTCAACTTCTGGAGCAGAGAAATCAAAGACTTGACTAGTTTCTGAGCTTCCTCAACTGACGATGTCAAATTCTTTCCGGCCTCCAAGAATTCTTTAATGTCGAAAGACGTCTTTAACTTGGTTTGTCCATAAATGGCAACTGTTTGGCCGTTCCTGTCGTGGTTCTTTTGAGTCATGGCAACCAAGTCAATGTTATAGGTTTTGTCACCTTGAATTATCTTGCATTCAGTACGTCCGCTCTTGAAAGCATTATTGATTTCGTTGTTACAGAGCGGGGTGTATGGTTTCCAAGTTAACGGGTACGACATATATCTGTCATCCTCTGGCCAGTAGTACCACGACAACGATCCCTCAGAAAATTGAGTAAACAACTTCTTTCGTTCCACAAGTTCTCGCTCTTTCTCGTGCAGATCGATCCACAGTAACAACGGAGCCAAGACGCTTAAAAAAAAGTTATATAACGTTCCTAAAACTTACGGTGAATCAGTAATTCCATTCGCAATGATTTTAGTCAACAGATCCACCGACTTCGAGTACAAGTTTCGGTTTTCGATTTTCTTCAGGAAACTGTCGTCAAACCCAGACCACAACAAACAGATGAGGTGGCAATGACTGGCAAACGAAGTGACACCTTCTTCATTGTTCAAATCCTCCAATAAGGCCGAAATGAACTCGTCGTACTTTGCCACAAACAAGTTGTCCACCATCCGCTCTTCCAGCCACTCAGCCATGTCAGAATCGTGGATAAAGACCTTCAGCAGATCAGCGATGCTGTAGATTATGGACGAACTCTTTTGAAGCAGCTTCAGGCATAGAGGAATGACTTGGTCGCAGAGGTATTTGATAGACTTCTGAAGTAAAACATTTAGTTATTGACATAATTTGCAATCTCTGAATATGTTACATTAATCATAACAATATCCCACAAACCTACCTCAAAATCAACTCCATCTTCTTTGGCCAAATCAAATGTGTTCGATGTTTGAGGCTCGTTAACATTTGGTGGTTCATCCTCAACAGGCTGATTTCCGGTTAATGGAGCCGTTTGTTGTGGCCTTCTGTCGCCGGTTAACAAGAAGTCGGCCGCATCACTAACTGAATTACAAACACACAAAGCTGAAAAAGCTTCTTCCCGTGAGAATCCCATGTCGATCAAAGTGTTAATGTCGTCGTGATTCAGTTCATCTGTCAGCGTCTCCAAACGTTTGGTTCCAGCATTCTTTTCCAAGTTTTTCAAAGTGCTAATGCCTTGAATAAGGTCCTTTAACACTGACAAAATCATGTCAACTTCGCTGATGACCAGAGAGTTACAGTCGTCTTTCGTGTTCTCCACGGCATCGTTGAACAAGATACTGATTCCTTTAAGTGCGTCCTGCAAGAAATTATCATTAAAATAAATAATTTAAAATAGAAATATTTCAAAAACGTTTCACAAACATACTCGTTGAACGACAGCAATGTATTTCTTCAAATCGAAGCCCGACTTCAAGGTATTTCGATCACTTCTGGTTCTAGATGGTGTGCTCATCATCGGATCAATCATGACTAATCGCTGTGCAATGGCCAACCAAGTGTTAACACTCGATGAAATCGTTTGCTTGTCCTTCTGAACCAACACTTCTACCATATAAAAGAAGGCTTTGTGACAGCCGGTTTCGTAGAAGTACGAAATCATCATCGGATACACGTTTCGGCTATCATCGAACAATAGTTTTCGAAGGATGGGCAACACGTTGGACGCGTAACAAGCCCTAAAATAGGCACATTAGCTCATAACTGGCATTGAACTAAAAGTAGCTGTTTGAAAAATAAATTTTTTACAAAAAACTGAGGATACTTACCGTATTCCAAAGTCCACCTTTTCCAAATCCAACAAATTGCTGGTCTCTCTGAACAAAGCTTCTGGAATCTTTGAAACGGACGATTGGTATGGGTCGGTACCTCTTCGAACTCTGGTTGAATTACAATGTTTGGAGATCTGTTCGATGACATCAATGATAGATTTGTAGACGTGGCACAAAGAAGTGGCATCTCCAGCAACGGCATTTCCAACAATAATCGATTGTCTCCTAGATCCAGAAATTCTCGAAGGATCTGTAATTCGGCTGAGTGAGGCCAATGGAGCATCTGCCGGAAGTACAAAACTGGGGACAGTCTTGTCAGCATCTTTCTCCTTTGACTCCTCTTTCTTGACCTTCTTCGCCAAGTTGTGTATATGAAGTTTAGAGATGACAGTAGAATAATAAGTCACGACTTCGAACAGTTCTGGAATCAGCATAACTCCCTCGGAATCGACGGAAATGTAGTGAAGAATTAATGCTCTCATCTCATGGTTAATATTGAGACCATGTTTTGTGAAGCTTGAAAATATGCTAGCCAAAGTAAATAGTCGTGACAGTTCCGGAACAGGTTTATCAGCCTTCATCTTCTCGTAGATGTGTCCTTCTACGTCCAACTTCTTCAACTGTTCTCGGAATGCCACAGCCAGCATACTGTAAGGCGCGATCTTCTTCGTTTGCTAAAACAAAAAAATATGTTATCCATGACATATAAATCAAATAATACTTCAGATTTTAGGTATTTTTTGTAAAACCTACCAAAAACAGCCGACAGATGTTAGAAAAACAATTCATGAAGCTGGGAGTTTGTGACCCCAAAATTGTCTTCTCTGCCAGCACCACGCTGAGCATGTGATTAGCAATGTCACACTCCATCATGACAACACTGTTCTCGGACACATTACTGTTTGAGAGAATCGCTTCAACCATCCGAGAATACAGTGAGAGGAAATCGGCCGATAAAAGCTGGTTATCCTGTAGCAGGTCAAAGTTGACCTCTTTGTCCACAGCAATCTTCACCACCAACAATCTTTCTGTGCTGAAATTGCATTTATGATAATATAAAAACTATTTATGGACCACAGTATAAGATAGTAAAATATCTGCAAGTTGTTATATATAAATGTCATTCTAAAGGCAAAACTTACTTGGTCACTGCTTTTTGATCCAGCTCCATCATTTCGTTCACACTCCATTCCTTCATGGCAGCTTCGAACTCGTTGGCTTGACTCGTTTCTACTGACAAATCGAGTTTCTCGTTCTTGTCAGGCTTTTTCCATTCGATTCCTTTGATTGGCAGATTCTGAACGCACTGAACGTCGCTCCGCTGCGTCAGATCAATTAACTCTTTCAAGATGTTGGCCAAGGCAACTATCAACGGTTTTCTCAACGTTGGTTGATGTCGCATTAATTCGTCGAATGTAGTTCCCAACTGCGAAGCCAGATCATCTAAAAATACAATAAAACCTCAGAATAAAGGCAGTTTTTACTTTTCTAAAATTAACTAAAACTAAAGTCATATAAAACTTACGGAGTTCGTTCTTCCGTTTCTTCAAAGTTTGAATAAACTTGGCAGAGAAAATCAGCTTCAGAATCCGCGCCAAAGGTTGTCGTTCGTTAAACGCCTTCAAACCTCGTTCATTCAAACACAAAGCCGAGCAGATATTCGGCAAAGAAGCAATGATTTCCCTACTAACAGGAAAGTCATCGTTGAAAAACAAGTCGATAATTGCTTCAGACAGTCCTTGATCTTGTAGTAGGTTCAACTGTGCCGGCTCTTGAAATATAAATACGGTCGGCAAGTCCAATGCTAAAATAAACTTAAGTAACAAAAACTTTTTACGACAACAATAAAACATTTAGTATAATTCTTTTTGAATAGCATAGTATGACTGCAATTATCCCAAAAGTCAACAGAGCCAACTTACCACAATATAGCAACGATGAGCCAAAGAACTGTGGATTGCTTATGATCTTGACCAACGCCTTTGGCAGGTTTCCTTCCATAACTAAAATCATAAAATTTTAAGAATAACAACATTGACTTACTTGTTCTGACATGAGCGCCGTAGTTCGAGTCTACTACAGCTCGCTTCATAAAGTTCAGGAGACTTTTGATCAGAGCTGACCTGTAGTGATGCACAACGTATTTTCTGTTCGGTTCTGGCTCGTGAGATTTGATAAATTCCTCACATCTTCCAACTTCAAAGATAAGTCTGTCTACAATAACATTCAATCCGTTATGGTTATTGAACTCAGTGAAGTTGATGGAGGTCAAAATGTCAATAATTCGAACAGCTCGTGTCGAGAAACTAAGATGAGCGTCAGGTAGAGCTGTTAAACTGACGACTTCTAACAATGTTGGAATCGTTGAGATGTTAACAAGAGCATTGCCAGCTGAAACAAGGGTAATGATAACATAGGTTACGAATCATAACATAGAAGCTACTAAAATCACCAAATTCCAAATTAAAAGCCTCACCGTATTCAAACCCAGCAATGTGATAGATAAGAGAAAACAATGCTGTTACAAATCCTGGAGTCTCTACCATCGTGTTGTCCTTCTTCAAGTTTTCAACCACCCTTCGCACCAATAAAGCACCATATCCCAAAAAAGAGTTGAAGCCAAGCGAATCCACAACCAGTTGTAACCTAATAAGTTAAATATTATAGTATGAATTGCAAAAATAACTTTAAAGATTATCATAAAGAGCATATTCTCAGCTAAGATCACCTTTAAAAACGAGTTTTTTTAATTTTACTTTAAATTAACAAAATGTACTTCAACTTACTTCCTGGGCTTCTCCAAGAATACTATACTAGCCAATGCCTTTAATGCTTCCGTCCTCAACGTATCCAAACAACTCTTTAATGAAGGATCATATGCACTGGTGTCCAGTTGTACAATCGCGCTCACTTCCTCCACCAACCGTTCGTTCAGTATAAATCCAACGCCCCAGTCGTCCAGTAGACATCGAGAGTAGACTGAAACATCGATATATATTATTAAAACACTTCAAGTTCCAATTGTCATTTGTTACCTAAAAATTCAAAACCAAAAAAATGAAACTTACATAAAGAAGATATTGCCATTAACTTCGATACGATGCATTCAAGCCTGGTTTCAAAATTGTCAAAAGAGTAAAAGAATCTCAACTCTGATATAACAACATTCTTCTCAATGTTATCTTCAGCTTCAGTCCCGCTTTCAATCTTGGACATCTCAAACAACTCCGCCTTCTGTTGCAGATACGTCTTTTTGTCGTCCAATTGAATTGTTTGATGTTTCCCATCAACTTTAAATGTTATCAGTCCATGTCTTTCAGGTTTTTCCTTCAAATTAATAACCTCTGACAATTTGCCATACACGGTTTCAGAACAAATGTGCGTCATGGCTGTCAATTTTGAGTTCATGAGCTTCTGATGATTCGAGTCGACGTGCTGTGAAATGTACCGTGAAGTTTTCGATATTGCTACCATAACACGGAGGGCGTAGATAAGAATCTTAGTTTTTCTGGTATCCAGAAGCTTGATTAATTCCTGAAAAAATAAACTTAAATAAAAATTTGTAGGTCCTTCAACCCCCAAACCTTAACTTATTGCTCCTAAAGTCACAAGAAATTATAGTAACAAACTTACGCCGAACGAATTGTAGACCGATCTTGAGAAGCTGTTTTCGAACAAAGCGGCGGTGAACTTCAACACAGCAATCAGAACCGAATCCAAACTGTCGTGAACATCAATGTACAACGCATGTCCACCTTCTACTGGTTGAATAGCTACCCGCAAAACTGAATCACATTTGTTTAAGACTTCGAAGTATCGACTCATCTCCACTTTGCCCGTCTGACCACATAATTCGACCAACGTCTCGAGTTGCTTGCAGAAATCTACTGGATTCGAGACACCGTCCACCATAGACCTGATGATTTCCTCGCACTCGACTGGCAGCTCGGTCGAAAATGGTTTGATGGTCGCCCTTGGAATCAACATTATGTACAGTTAGGCAAACCTAAAATTCATAAATGTAATAATTATCTGTAAAATCATTAAAAAAGTCATGAAAAATATAATGAAAACCTTCGCGTATAAGAAAAACCGTTAATAATAAACCCAATAAAAGCATTTTTAAGTATATTTCACAACAATACGAACCACAAATCCTTCGCGATCGCTCAAAATGGCAAAAAACAAAAAATATGAATAAAAACGAAATCCGAATCAATAAAATTGTGCACAAGCCAAGCCATAAGTTTCGACGAATAGCATTCATTTCAAACATAATATCTTTTGCTTCTGCGCAATAACTACAAGCAAAACAATAAAGAAGACACAAGGCCAAAACGTGTTATCCATCGAGATTTCGTGTCGGGACTCATTTACAAGGAAGGTACCCGACCTGCAACGCTCAGATTTGGTTCAAATTTTTTCTATTGAAAGATCACGTAAATGTAAGACCTTATGTAAAATTCTAAGTTGCGGTTTGCGGTCACTGTTGAGAAAATCGAGATCGAAAAATCGCGTTTTGAATTTCCCGCCAAATTGGCATAGTGTTTCAAGCTTTTAACTGTCATTTTTTGACTTTTGACAAATTTTCTTTAATATAATGTTAGAAAAGCCTCAAATGAACCTACAATTTTAAATTTGTAAGCCTATCTTATCTGGAACATCAAAAAAGTGCTTGCAACACAATGCCAAAGTTGCCAAATTGGCGGGAAATTTAAATATATTAATTTTAAAACTTAAAACCGCAAGCTAAAATTTTTTATATGTGCTATTGGTACTACAAAGAATCCGTATAAAAAATTTGAGCTAATTCTGAGAGTTGCAGGTTGGGTACTTTACTTGTTAATTAGATGATAAAGTAAAAAATTTAAAAAAAACTTAAGGACTAAAAAAATTTAAATTTGCATCAAAAATTTTTGGAACAATTTGATTTGAGATTATTATCAGGACGGGAAATGGATTTTTTGACTGACTTTCAATGCGGACTCTGTAACCTGAATTATAACATGCATTAGAGGATGGCCAACCTTTATAAATAACATCGATAATGTTTTATCAACAAGATATAAGATAGATTAAAAGGTAAAAGTTTAACAAAAAAAATAAATTTTATATCTTGATTGATGGATTCTGTCATTACACTTTTATTATATTCATCACGAAATTGCTTTAATCTTGGAGTTAATTACAATGTTTTCTTTGATTAACGGTACTCAAACCCGACATTTGAAAGTAATATCTTACCTACAAGGATGGACAAATGAAGGGGACGAATTCTTTAGTTTATTCTGCCGAAACTTTGATTAAATGTTATAGTTACCTCTAAAAACCGTGATAACATCGCAAATTAAAAAAAATCAAAACTAAACTTGACTATTTGCAATTGTCCATTAAAAATATTGCTTTTTCGAAATGGTAGAATGAAAAGTATGCACACTATTTATTTTCAAGGAGTTGAGTTGACTGGTCGATTTCATTGGGCATGAGTCTGTTGCATGATCTTACTCGAGATGACCAGACTTCTCGTGAGAACAAATGTGTACTAAAGAGTACGAGATAGTTTAATTTGCTGGTTTTACATTATGATGCATAAAGTTTTGTAATTTTACTTGTATTAAAACACTCATATAGTCTTTTATTATAAGATTGTACATTTTTCATTAAATTAATTTTTTCAGCACCATTTTTGCAGAACTTGCTGGTTCAAATGGTACACATTCGTCCAGACATTGCTTTAATTGTGGTGGTAATTACAAGCTTATATTTGATTAATGGCAGTCAGAACGGGCTGATCTGTAATACCTTAACTGTGGTACCGTCTGTCCTAATAACCTTTATCGTCCGTGACCTTCATCCGATGTCTCTATCACTTATTGTAAGTTATACGAGTTATTTACTACAATAAACCAAGTTTTTATTATAGATCTTAGTTTTTTTAAGACTTGAACTCTCTGTCAGTGGAATTGGTTATACATTTATATCTTAAGCTCGATTAACGTACTTTGAATATATGTTTTAGAGAAATGTGCTTATTTTCTGGACATTGTTAGGCATCACAGTCCCGGTGGATTACGTCTGTCATCAAGTCAGTGGCTACTTTGCTTTCAAGTTTATCATCTTGGAGGCTACCCTGTTCTGTGTTCTAAAGAAGATCATCGCGTTTGTGGACTGGTCTAGTCTGCCCAAAGTTGCACGGACTCCTGCCCCAAAGATTGATCATGAAAAGCAGATGCCAATGTATCATAAACAGTCGTTTCCGTTGTACGGTGACAACCTTTCACAAACTTTCCACCCCGCCACTTCACTGTCTACAGGAATAGAAGGTGGAGATGGCGATTGTACATGCGAGAAACTGGTAAGGTCGAGCATTTTTTAAGTTAAATGAGATTAGTACTCTGATATAAAAATATTTATAAATTGTAAATATGACTTTAGCCACTGGTGCTAAAAGAAGACAACCCTGAAGTCCTTTCGTCTGTGTCGACAATCGAGACACTTGTACAGCTACTGGCCCATGATTTGCCAAAGCTGGAAGTGTTTTCGAATAATAATGTCACCTTATCCAAAAACAAACGGTCTTGTATTGTAGAACTTCAAAACAAGGGGTCCTGCAACCTGATGTGGCTAATGAAGACCAACTCCAACAACTACATTGTAGCGATGCCAACGAAAGGCATCCTCAAGCAAGACCAAAGTTGTAAGGTATGTCTTTTTAATACGAAAATGGCTAGCATAAAAAACGTAAATTTAAAAGCAGACGCTTTTGTTAACCCAATAGCGACATAAATCAACTTAAAAACGTTAAATGATTGTTTTAGTTAGTAGAATAACACACCGTTTCAGGTAGTATTGCAAGTTCGAGGAAAGCTAAAGAAGGAAGCACGGAAGCCTAAAGTAGTGTTCGAATACATTCCCGTTACCTCAAAATGGTTCTGTTTCAAGAAAAACCTCATGGACAAGTACAAGGACGAAAAACAAAAAGAATTTCTTTCGATTGAAGTTCGATAATGGATAGTTAGATCCTTTAATTATGATAATTCGAATAAATATAAAGTAATCGAAACATAGTCACAACAAAGTCGCATAATTTACAAATAGGAACTAGTGAACCAAAAAAAATAATATAATCGTCTTGATAAAAACAAATTACTGAGATCCCCGGTATATAATGCAAACGGATGGCATGGTTTCCGAAGACAAAGTAAAAGAAGTTCCGCAGCACACCACACAATATTTTAATAGTTTAGCGTCTCTCATTTTTTGTATTCATGCTTTAGTGCTACCCCAGGAAGCACATGACATGTCTGAATCACTGTCTGTATCCTCGTATTGTTCTGCTTGCATCATGTACACACGGTGTTTTACTTGAGCCCTTGGGTGCACTAAATCCAACGTATCCATGATAATCGGAAACTTATTGAATATTCCTTCTTTCTCCAACATAAACCTTTTAATCATAAATTTCATTAAATCGCTGATATTGTCACAATCTTCCAAAATTATTTGTCGAAGCCCGGTAATAACATCTGAAATGAATAGTTTTTAAAAATCAGCATTGCTTAAGCAATCTGTTCTTTTAGGCCTATAGTTTATTAATAGACAACAACGTAATCAAAAAACATACTACAATTGATATAAAAAAAGATTATACCTCTGGTTTCCTGATTGGCAACCCTGATCAACTCTGCTCCGCATTCTTTTAACAACATAATTGCCAGGTCAATCGAGTCATCTGTCCGTTGGTTAATCAAACACGATAAAATTTGGCAAAGTAGTACGCTCATGAGCAACTCTCTGATTTGTCAAATGGGCAATAAACTTCAAAACCGCCACACAAAGCGTTTTGTCGTCACGTCTAAATCCTCTAACAAACTTACTCGTTAACTTTTCCAAAACAAACCAACCAAAACTTTGAACTTTGGAATTAATAATGGCAACCAAAGCAGCGTAGGTTTCAGAAAAGCATGGCTCAGATAGTTGAGATTTAATAATTCTTAAACTTAGAAAGTCACTAAAAACGCATTCATTAGGTACGAGTTTGGGGAAAAGTTTGTACATGACAGATTTTCATAATTTTTTACATGGAGGTTGTAATAGAGATTTACAATTGATATTGTCAGAAATTTGTCAAAATCAAAATTGACATTTTGTTACACTTGTAAAAGAATATTTTTGCTATAACAATCTGGCAAAAAGTTTTGGGACATAGTAATTTATGTTGCGATAAGGTCGATATATTGGTGCAAACTACTTTAAATATCTGTTACGTTTCGTTAAGAATACAACTTAATGGTCACTTTGATTTTGTTTTGCTCCGTTATAGGATTCTGGAGTTTAACGTCCAGTCGGTCATGTAAATCAACGGTATTTTAAACTTGGTAATTATTTTTAATTATGAATTAAATACTAACTTCAAATGCACTTTTGCACCCCGTATACACAGTTTTTTTCGGTGTTTGTAGGTGCGTTCGAACCGCAAGAAAATGTAGTTTAATAATCTCAAATAAAACTGGGTGTAATGAGTGCTTTTATTTCGAAATATTTTTAGATTACTGTAATTGTCATAAAAAAATGAGTTTTTAAAACTATTTGCACACTACCTAGAAACTTGGTGTAAACTGCAAAGTAACCTCATATTGTATGCTCTACATTTTGAAAAAAAAAGTTTACGTTTCTAGGACCATTAATTCTTGAGATATAGAAATCATAGGCCAGTTATAGTATACCTCACTACTGTAACTTAGAAAGAAAATTTTAGGTTTAAAGTGTTTATGAGTACCTTAGTACACATTGGTGCAAGTTTGGGCCAAATCGATACAAAAAAATTTTGGTGTCGACAGGGGGTCCAGAAAATGCTCGAGTCTTACAAAAAACGTGTTTTAAATTAGTTAATTTACACTTCGAAAAGCATTTTACAACTTGTATGCCATTATTAAGACAAAAAACAATTACACATACCGTACTCGTGCTGTATTACTTGGAGCTATGTATGATGCAGTGCATTTTGATATAAAAATGTCAAAATAACATCTAGAAAAGATTGGTACAAGTGCTTATTGTGGTTTAATACATTGATAATAGTGTAATAGTTGTATTAAACATTGCCTTTTATGTTACGTTTACTAAACTGAGAATGTCCTAGTACCTAAAAGTCAGTGGGGGGTACCTAAGACAATTTACGTGCTTACTTTTGAAGTAACTGTAAAATGCCACAAAGTAAAAAAGTATCTGTAACACTTACTATGAACTAAATACTAAATTTAATTCATAATTAAACCATGTTTAAAATACCGATGTTGATATACATGACCGACTTGACATTAAACTCCAGAATCCTATAACGGAGCAAAACAAAATCAAAGTGACCATTAAGTTGTATTCTTAACGAAACGTAACAGATATTTAAAGTAGTTTGCACCAATATATCGACCTTATCGCAACATAAATTACTATGTCCCAAAACTTTTTGCCAGATTGTTATAGCAAAAATATTCTTGTAAATCTCTATTACAACCTCCATGTAAAAATTTATGAAAATCTGTCATGTACAAACTGATTTGAGATATGGGATATCCCAAAAATTATTGCCAGCGGTATATTATGTCGTATATTCTCTATCTTACCTACCGTGCCATATTCTATACTACCTAGCGTACAATACCCTACCGTGTCCTGTACTACCATACCCTACAATACCTTCTGTAGTATACTATATATCATATCATATCATACCAAACCCTATACTACCTACTATACCCTACCTCACTTACCTACCTTACCATAGTATCTCATACCATACCTTATCCTATCTACCAAACTATACCATATCTTACCCTGTCTAATCTTATATTTACAACATTATTGTATACTATAATATTTCTCCAGTAGCAAGAGTTCAGTGCAGATAAGTAAGGCAAGATAAGTGGTTTAGTATAGTCACATATGGCATGGTAAGTTGGTAGTTAAGTTATGGTATAGGAGGAAGCATATGGTATAATATGATATGATCTAATATGTTACGGTACGGTAGAGTAGGTAGTATAAGATACGGTATTATATGGTATGGTATAGCATAGTAATTAGAATAGGGTATGGTACGGTATCTGAGGTAAGCTCAAAATGGCGGAGTAAGGTCGGGTAGAGCTAGAAGGGTCAGGGGTGGACTTGGGTAGGGTTGAAAGGGTCAGGGGTAGACTTGGGTAGGGCAAAAAAAGTCAGGTGTGGACTTGGGTAGGGCCAAAAAAGTCAGGTGTGGACTTGGGTAGGATCAAAAAGGTCGGGTGTGGACTTGGGTAGAACCAAAAAGGTCGGGTGTGAACTTGGGTAGGACCAAAAAAGTCAGGTGTGGACTTAGGTAGAGCTAAAAGGGTCAGGGGTAAGGCGGGTAGTAATACTGACTAAATAAGTTGACAATTATTTAATTATCAAAAATTTTAAAGATAATAAGGGAACCGCCCATGGTGGATTCCGCCCATAATAGGAAAACCCTTTCGATAATGATTTTAAAAACTCGCTAGCGGGCTTGTAAGGCAAAATTAGCAGTTTTTGAAAACAGATTTCTAATCAAATTTTTACGTTCTTTTACATAGTACCATTCACTTTTAAAAATCGAATGGGCAGTTTGTAACATTCCCTTGTGAGACTAAAGCTCGGCCAAGACTAACATAAGGCTCGGCCATAGTCTTAGCTTAGGCTTGGGCATTTTAACAACTTTAGCCAAGATTGCCCCATTTTTTACTGTTTACACAAAAAACCGGTCGAATATTAATAAAAGTATTCGATTATTAAAATTTTTTTCAGACCTAACAGAATTGTTGAAAAAAATAACACACCGTATTTGAAACACGTTCTCTTGAAGTAATTCAGCAGCCGTATTTGAAACGTTCGTGACATTGACCCTAGTAATACATAAATCTATTTTCTTCACAAACATTGCGTATTTATATGCTTTTTTTCCCCCTTTTTCCTACGTGGACGAAGTCTTCATGGGTACTCATCTGAAATTAAAGAAAATATTTTTTGCCATGTGGTGATGCATTATTCTGTTAAAGAAGAAAATTATTATTGCAGAAAATTAAGGGCGTCAAAAATATCGATTTTCATTTTTGGGAGCGGACCAGAGCGCTCGTTATAGACAAAACCCCGGCTTTCTCTACCTATAGGAAGCTGTGAAATGTTAAAAAAGATTTTAAAATGGCAAAAACAGCCTTCTTTCATTCACGCAGAATTTGAAGAAAACCACATAACAACAAATGTTCAAGTAAAGTCTTTTTAAAAATACTTTTTAGTACTTTCGACTTATTCTCTTTATATCAGAGCGAAAAGACGAGGGGTAGCGCAGCGAGCCTCTCTGCCTGCGCGATAAATAAAGAAACGCGCAATGGCAAAAAAGAAAGACGACGGACATACCCCCTCCTCCCTTTCACCATGCCAAGTTTGGCATCTGCAGCTTTGTTAAGAAGAAAATTATAGCTCGTTAGTTTTTAACATTTTTCTTGGAACACCCTGTACTACTCCTACGAAAAAAGCATGAATCAACTTGTCAAACATTGGGAAAAATGTACCGAATCTGTTGGTTGTTATTTCGATTAATAAACTTGCTGTTGAAGGAAGTGATTTGTTAAAGTTTACGGACGAAATCTGCCATTCTTTTCCGGACAACCTAATATTAAATTTAATTCACAATTAGAGAATTCCTATAATCGAGTTAAAAAATTCAAATAAACTATTTTTAGCTAAACGTAGTGGATGTGTTAAAATAAGTTTCTATATCTTAAAAACTAATGGTGTTAAAACACGGCCGGGATTTTTACTAAATGTACAAATAATGTTACTTTGTAGTTTACACCAAGTTTCTAGGTTGTCAATAATTATTTTAAAAAATGGCATTTTTGATAAAAATTACAGCAATCCTAAAATAAGAAATAAAAATTAACGCTTTTTTATTTTTTATACCTAGAACCAAATACTAAAAAAGTCGTATACGTTGTCCCTGGAGCTAACGAAATATCAATAATATTATAGTCGCCTTTAAACAATAATAAAACAGAAATAGTTCATATCAAAAATATCTTACTAATAAAATGACTAAGTATACCGATATTAAAGTTTAGTAATTACAGTCTAAAAGAGTGTGACGATATCTGTAGCGCTTCCCATTCCGCTTTGAATGCTTGTTTCGGATCTGGTGGAGCTTGCATGTTGCCTTGGGTCTGTTCGTCCATCATTGAGTCAGCAATGTTCTCTCCTCCCAATACCAAGTTGTAGATAGATCGAAGACCAAAAACGTTGAGGAAGTACCATGATGCTGATGACACCCAAGCTGCGTCCAAAGAACTGAGCTCAACACCTCTTTGTAACATAGGTTTGAATCGTAATGTCAAAGGAAAGGGTACCTAAAAAAGTTAAGGTTAAAGTTGACGGTGTTTTTCTATACCATGCAACATTTTGTCTACCTTAAACACTAAGAATAGGTTAAAACTCAATCCAAAACCAATTACTTTACGGTAAATCACAACTTACTCTAGTAGTAACAAAACCGGAAAACGTCCAGTTGATCCAGCCGCCGATAAAAATCATTGGAATCATGTTCAGCATGTTACCCTTCAACATCTCGCTCATCATAGATGGATCCAATGCATTCGGAGCAGCTGTTTGTTTCTCGATTCTCTTCGGTAAAACTCCCGACTCTTCATTGGCATAGAAATTAACTCGCATTTGATATGATGATGATGGTATAAGGTGCCCGTATTCTCTCAATTGTCTAGCCTTGGCCAAAATATGACTGAAAGTTAGAATCTTATAATTAAAAGAAGCCTTTCATACTTTTATAGTTAGTATAGCTTAATATTATAGTAGTTAATATAGAAAGGTTCCTACCTGTCCTTGAGATTGTTCAGATCTTGTTTCTTTTTATTCAGCAACAACAAATAAACATAATGTCTAATAATTCCAATTAGAAAAGTAGTCAAAACGATTGGCACAAATACCCACGACCTGATGGCTGGGTCCAGCAAGAGATCCGTCATCTAAAAAACCAAAATTTTAGGTAAAATTTGTCACTGGCTGTCTTAACAAAAGATAAAGCAATAAAAAATAGGTAACATAACGTTCCAACGTTTAAAAAATTCAAACAAGTTAAAATTGCACTCATTTATTAAACCTGATTATGTCATAAAGATCTGTGACAACTGACTAGCTACTTTAGAGATCGGTAAGTTAGACTGTACAATAATCAAGGTAAAAACAATAAAAATTAGTAAATTTTTAATACTGCAAGGTAGAGATATAAAGTATGGCATAGAAATCATAATAATACACTTTAAAATATGGCGTAGTACGAAATAATACACTTTTGCTACCATCTGAGTTAAATAATATGAGCAAGCCAAAAGGCTAGAAAGCAGGACTGTATCCACAACACTTCTTCCACCCAGAAGATACAGATATGGTCTCGGGGTAGCTTAACTTAAACTGCCCAAAGCCATTATCTTGCAATTTGCCAACATCGTACTGACACTTTAACTGTAAGGCCATCTCGTAAAACACCGAGTCAACGTTAATATTTGTCTTCGAAGACACCTCAAAAAAACCCAACATATTGTGAGACTTGGACAATGCTAGACCCTCATCAAACTCCACCATACGACGATCTTCAAGGTCTGCTTTGGTAGCTGCAAAGTAAAGTTTTACTTATGTCAACGACGAAATAATAAAGCCCTAAACTTAAAAAAAATATAAATCTTTCTTACCCACTAGCACTTTTGCAACATTTGGAACTGCAAACTTAGAAACGTCTTCAATCCATCTATGTAGCGACTCAAAGGACTGTCTGCATGTGATGTCATAACATAAAACAATACCATGAGCCGATCGATAGTAGCTCTGAGTTATTGTTCTGAACCTTTCCTGACCTCCAGTGTCCCACACCTGCAGCTTGATACTTTTCTCGTCCACCACCAACGTCTTGACATTAAAATCCACCCCAATCGTAGTCCCCTGCTTCTCGAAGAAAACACCATTTCTGAATCTTTGGACAAGACAAGTCTTCCCAACACCCATATCCCCAATCAAGACCACTTTAAAGAGATGGTCGAAAGAATCTTCACCATCTAACATTATGAATTTCCTCTCCAAACATCAAAAACCTGTAAAACATATGTTAGTTCCACGAAATACAAATATCCTACAAACGCAAAATTATTCTTAAACCCAAAACTTTAAAGAGAATAGAAAAAGATCTTACTTGAATGTCGGACAAATAAAAGAGGAAGACATTTATTCTAAATTTTTCGACAAAATTTCGATTGGCAAAAGTCTTTTGGCCAAGAATCGTTCGCTTGTTTGTTTTCGTCTCGAGACTAACTAAAACATCAGTTATTGCTAAAAAAGCTCGGCAATTTTAGAAAACAACTTTTTAACCTTTTTATATTTGAACTAGACATGAGAAACGGGCCGGGCCGGCCTTGAGCAAAATTCCGATCGGGCCGGGCCTGAAAATTGGGCCCGGCCCGTTTCTCATGTCTAATCTGAACTAGACTTTTCTGCTTTGTTTCTATTTTTGGCAAGGTACGATATCACTTCAATTAATTGATTTAAGTAGGATTAAAAGTCGTTGAATTCCGTTTTACAATAAGTGGTGAGAAAAATGTTTCAATTTATCGGAACACGACTTTTGAGTGATAACTATTTTTTGTCTATTACAAAAAATGGTTCGATTCCCGTGAAGTTCACTTGCATTCTTTTTGATTTTCAAAACGTTTTTTCCATGTGTACCTACCATTAATCGATGTTTAGGATGTTTTAGGAGAATTGTATCTAAAATAGTGTCATAGTTGGCGTGATTTCTAGCCAATTTTCATTTGAATTGTTTTAGAAGTCATGTCTTCTCTTTTGGGAGTGGGCAAGAGCATTGGCCGCAGTTTTGTACAACAGAAGCGAAATGCGGCTCAACTGATCAAAGTCAGAGATGCCATCAACGCAGCTTTGGATGAGGAGATGGCCAGAGACCACAATGTATTCCTGATCGGAGAAGAAGTTGCTCAATACGATGGTGCTTACAAGGTATTACCAACTTAATTTGTTCATTTTTTTAGATTTAACCCATAAAGCAATCATTTATATGTATTGAGCAAGAATTGTCTTGATGTTCATTTAAGAGGTTGAATAACGTCTTGATTTAGGTAAGCAAAGGACTTTGGAAAAAGTACGGAGACAACAGAGTAGTTGATACCCCAATCACAGAAATGGGATTCACTGGTATTGCCGTTGGTGCTGCTTTCGGAGGTCTTCGGCCGATCTGTGAGTTCATGACATTTAACTTTGCCATGCAGTCGATCGATCAGATTATCAACAGTGCCGCTAAAACATTCTACATGTCTGCTGGCCGTGTAGGTGTATTTTTTATTTCTCTATAGTCTTTTTTTCTTATCTATTTCTAGGTAATGTTTTTGGGTTATATTCTTGAATTATCATCTTTCGTTTAGTGCCCAGTGCCAATCGTCTTCCGAGGACCTAATGGATGTGCTGCTGGTGTCGCTGCTCAACACAGTCAAGATTACTCTGCTTGGTATGCCCACTGTCCTGGACTTAAGGTTGTCGCCCCATACAGTGCTGAAGATGCTAAAGGGCTACTGAAGGCCGCCATTCGTGACGATAACCCAGGTAACGTATTTTTTGAACAAAAGTATTGAATCAAAGCTTAATTTAGTACAAATCTCACATTTCCGAAGTTTATAGCAATAACGGTAATGCACTTAAGCACCAACACTCTGCCTTGAAATAAAAAAAATATTTCAGTATGTGTATTGGAAGACGAAATCCTTTATGGTGTTGGCTTTGAAATGTCAGAGGAATCACAAAAAGATGACTTTGTTGTGCCAATTGGAAAAGCCAAGATTGAAAGAGCTGGTGACCATGTCACATTAGTAGCGTACTCTATCGCCGTGAAACACGCTTTGGACGCCGCTGAAGAACTAGCCAAAATCGGCGTTAGTGCTGAGGTAGGTGAATTTTTAAATTCGACCCAGCTCATGAACTTTAAAATGCACTTTGTTTCTTAGAGCTAAATATAGACAGAGTTGTCTGCACAGAAAATTGTCTTATAGAGTTGTATATGTACACTTTTGAACGTTACCCTGTCCAGGTTATCAATCTCCGTTCCCTCCGCCCACTCGACTTCGAAACGATCCGACAGTCAGTGTTCAAGACCCATCACTTGGTGACAGTAGAAACCGGATGGCCATTTGCCGGTATCGGGGCCGAGATTGTCGCTCAAGCTAACGAAACCGACGTTTTCGACCACTTGGACGCCCCTGTCTACCGTGTCACTGGTGTCGATATTCCTATGCCATATGCTGTGTCGCTGGAAGCCGCTGCTTTGCCAAATGCACAGCACGTAGTGAAAACAGTCAAGAAGTCACTCCACATTGTCTAGAATGGGAGATCCCGGTTAATTAGGAAAGCCAGTTGCCTAAAGTAGTTCGGTTGATTTTGTATTGTTTTATTTTTGGATAATAAAGTGATAATTCACGTAAGGTTAATATATTATGCTTATTTACAAAATATTAAGTTAGTGGTGTAAAGCCTCGGAAAACTCGGAGAGATCTGCATCTTCTTTCTCGTCAATGGGGAATCTGATCGAGTCCTCTTCTAACGAATTGCTCGTCGCGCTTTCGCTGCAAACATTTCAATTAAGGAAATTAATCCACCTTTAAATGCCATTGATATACTCTGTTTAATAGAAGACTTAACTTACTTTAAAAGATCGTCAATTCTCGATGTTTCCCTGTTCCTGACAGTTGATGGGAAGGATCGTTCAGTCAAAGGCAACGTCTCTTCCTCCACAGAGCCTCTTGAGCTCCTGATATTAGTAGCGATTTTGGGAAAACGTCTGTATTCTTTCTTTCCTTGGAAACGTTGCCACATGGCTGCGATAACGCTTCCAGGAAGACGTTGATACGTTTGGATCAGATTTTCAACCTAAAGTATAAATTTTAATAATGTTTGTAGCCTACCTTTTCCTTTACGACCATTTTTATCTCTTCTGGAGTGTAGGATTCATCGAAAGAGACAGGTTCTCCAAGATATGTAATCATCTTGACAGGAAACCCACCGTATATAGGACACAATGGTAGGCGGCTCTTTTCGTACAGGCCTCTAAACAGTTTGCGGCCCCACCGTGGGGTTCTGAAGGCATCGCGACAATTTTCGGTGAAGACAGGGATTACAGGCTGTAATTGAGTTTAATATTATTGTATAAAAAAGGGAAAAAAGTATTACAAATATATTATAGACATAGTGGTTATCGTATCACCACTTACCACTTTAGCTCCTTGTACGACTTTTGCAAAGCCCAGTCGCTTAGCCCACATTACTTTGTAGGTCACTGGGTTAGAAAACAAGGCCTCCCTGACTCCACCAGGAGCTATGATCTGTAGACAGCCTTCCTTTAGACACGCTACGCAGTCTTCTACTGTCCCTGGCGTCACACAAAACACTTTACATATTCGACCCCAACCTAAAATTATGTGAAACATCAGCCTAACCTCATACCTGGTATTTTGAATACAAATTTGTCGCCAACAACGTGAAGTTGACGTTTCTGTTCAAGTAAGACACGAGCTATTAAATAGTAAATGTCAAGTGGCAAGGTGCCATGATATGCTACGAAAAGTGCTGGACCGTGTTTTGGGATATTCTCCATTCCCCGTACTTCATACCCTGAAATCACCAAACAATATTATGGACATTATATATCATGTTTTTAAAAGTTTAGGTTTTATATGTTACTCACAATACGTAACATTAGTTCAAAACAAGCTGGCTTACCGTGCCATATCCAGCCAACACCGTCCCAAAAAGAAGCTATGGACGTTCTGGCACCGTCCCAATAACTAGACGCATATGCTTCGATGATACGATGTCTCCAGCCATATATGTGAAGAAAGATGGCACACCCATAAATAAAAAACAGCAACAAGACCGGCAGAATAAACACGATAAATACCGGCAAAAATACCCAAAATAAATACTGAAATAAAAAGTTTGTTCTTGCATATATACATACAAGCATCTAAAAATTTTTGTAAAGCTAAACATAAGGATCTCTCATGTCATATACGACTTTACCTGCCAAGAGAATACTAATTACACCAAGAACAAATTGTTAGTATAGTCATGAAAATCTTAACATACAAACTTTGAAAGAAATTTACCTCCATGTAGTCCCAATCGATGTTCTGTAGCGTGTGATCGATCCAAGTGATAGTATTATTAAAGTGAGGCTGTACCCAATCAGGTAAGCTCATGCTAATCAGGTTAAAAAACCGATTAAGCACTTCCCAAATAACCATCCGGAATGTGAAAATACATTAAAAACCGAGATTGCCTAGACCATACCACTAAAACTATTAAAAAGCAATATTTTTAAAAGAAGGTTTTGAAATTAAATAAAAGTTTAAAATATCAATTCGAAAAGCTTCAGATAATAACGGTCGACAACCGAGTAAATAAAAAAGTACACAAAAGTAGTTCCTATTTTATTTTTCATATACAATAAACTCTCCATCAACGCCTTCGAACCGGAGTTTAGACACTTTGAAGTCGGCTTCTTTGTCTTTGCGTTCGGCCAGAATGTTGATGAAGCCGCTACTCAACGGGCCGGAGACTGGTACTCGCAACTGCAATTTACTATCTTAGCTCGACTAAATTTAAATTGCTCATGAATCAACAAAATTGTTTTTCCTAACGCTTACTTCTGACTTTTTTTCATCGACATAATTCCTCCGCCGATCAGCCAAATCCACCGATCCCACCTGAATGGGTCTACCAATCTCATCTAGAAGTTTATCGTGGTTACTTAAAATATTAAATGACTCTTTGTAATGTGCCATATTCCTGACTTTGTTCTGCATTCCCTTTTGTAGAAAGAAGAGGGCTGAAGAACCAGCCAAGAAGGTACCAATAGCTACATTGACTAGCGTTTGGCTCCTAACACGAATAAAACCTCCTTTCGACATGTTTCTACTGCCAATACATCTAAACAACCTTTATTACAGTAGGAAAAATGGTAGTAAAATCTTTCTTGAAATAAAGTAATTGCCAAGAAAAGCTTGTGAAAGTACAAAAAAGAAGATTTATTAAGAATAAGCAATTATAAGATAGCAAATGGGTTCAATCTCTGAGTTCTAATGTCCACACGCAGGTTTGTCCTATTCCTGACATCGCAACAACACGATAATTCATTTTAGCTAGCTCATTCAAGACCTTCCGCGGCGCCCAGCTCGTCACAAACTCAGCAAAATTGTTTCCTAATCGCGACTCTAACGTCGCTTCCAACTGACACATTAAAGCCGGATCTGAATCCGCGTCGCCAACTATAGTAGGACCATTCTCAGTCCTAATTTGAGTAGAAACCAGAATATATTTAGGCAATTCCATTCCTGTTTACTTTAAAACACACCGCCCGCAGGTTTCGAGACAAAGAATTGAACCCATTCGTCAGATGAGCGCGCGAAAAGAGATAAGAAGCTAAGAGCACATACAGGAAAATTATCAACAATTACGCAGTTACAATAAAAAATAATCAACGGTATGGCAACGGTCCAAACCGTCACTTCAACTCTCATCCAACTGATTAGATTAAGTTTATTCACATATGTTATAGACAATTAAGATGAAGCCGATGGAGCCACAACTCCTTCGTCTTCCATATTAACCATATACTGATTGACACTTCCGACAGCCGCTTTCTTGTACGATTTCTGAAGGTAAGTAGGGTGAAGGTTCATCTCACGATGACACTTGTACAAGATATCAGACAGAAAGACACAATTCTGCATAGCTTCTTCCAACCGGCTTGAATCCACTGGAGTTTCAGCTACTTCGTCAAAGAACACGGAGTTTGTGTCCAGATCGAGTCGACCAGAAACTTGTCCTCTTTCAATGCACTCAGTCAAGAGTTTACTTGAATTCACGCTTTCATCAGCGAACTCGAGGTATTTCGGGACTTCGGCCAACTTTAAGCGAGTGAACGTCTAAACCAACATTAATAAAATTTAACACTTAAGTTAAAAAAAGCTATATCAAATCATGCAATAAAAATTACCTGTGATAACTGCCTCGCCCTGACCAATAGGGCATTTTCGTACACTTTATGCACCAATCCGAAATTTTTGTCCTAAAAATAACAAATTTAGCGTAAATAAAATAATAGACAGTAAAAAGCCAAACTTAATAATTATAAAATGGCAAAACTAACTACAATGTTTACAACTACTTACAGCTTTAAACTTTGCACGTTCCTTTTCGAACAAGGCAGCAAAAGATCGCTTGCTTTTCGATGCCTTCTTTCTATTGCAAACATCGTTGTACACAATGGCAACCCGATAGTAAGCTTCACATTTTGATTGAGCAGCACGTTGAATAGCTGCTGATCTATACGAAGGCAGTTGAACTGGCCTGTCCAACAAAAGATTCACCAGAATCAACTTCTTCAAAGCTTCAATCATGATCGATGAAGCCGAGAGAGCTGGCAAACACACAGCCATCTGTAAGAAGAATGCCGCTTCCTTCCACATCTCCAAAGCAATGTAAATCGTGCCACCGTAGTAAAAGAACAACAAAGTAGAGTACCCATCCAATGTTCTGTTACTGACCGCGTTCATGAAAACAGCTTCTGCGTTCACATTGAGGTAGTCCAAAGCTGCGTCAAAACGATTTGCAGCCAAACAAAGTCCAAGCAAAGCTGTATGCAAATTTGTGATTGTTCCTTTCACATTTGCAGTCATTAAATCCAAAGCCTTCCTGAGAAGATTAATGCCGTTCAAGGCCATCCCGTTTTCGACCAACAATAAAGCAAAGTCCGTGAAAGTTTGTGCAACTAAAAGTAAATTAATAAAAGAAAAAATTATTATTTAAAAAATTAAAGAATACGTACATATTAATTTTAGATCAAATGTAAAGTAAACTCAAAAACTTTAATACCTAAAAATTAAAGATTACTTACATCTTTCCCTCAAATGTTCTATTTCCGACTCTTGAATCGCGTCCAAAACCTTGTTGACCTGTGTTAAGAATAGCATACGGTCAAATAGAATCTCGGGTCCTTTCTTAATTTTCGCATGCAGAAGAAAGCAGGCTCCAACTCCGTTGTTCTTGTTAACTAAAACCTCGATGAACTTGTCCATATCAGCTACATTTGCCTTGTTTAAAGTTGGAAGAGCTTTCTTCAAAGCATCACAAATATCCTTCAAGGGAACTAAAAACAAAATCGTAAAAAATTGGCAAACGAACGTAGTATTAATTCCAGCCTTCTATAAATTACATTTCTTGGAATAAATAACGCCTAAAATCGTAAAACATAACAAACTGACTTACCATTCCCGTACTGGTTTGCTGCTCCCATAAAGGTCTGCATGGGGCTAACCATAGTTAACTAAAATATAAGTACAATATAAACTTCTTGCAGCAAATTCTTCCACGGTTCACGACTTTCAATATCTTAACCCAACAAAAAAAAATACTTATAAAGCTTATTATATGTAAAATATAGAAAAGTTTTATTTACAGCATAACGTATTTGCAAAGAATCTTTAATCCGACGACATGTTTTTATCACAAATATTTATGCTGTTTTATTTTATAATACGCGTGCGCCCTGAATAAGGGAACTGTTTTGCGAAAATTAACGATAATTCATACGAAGGAACATTTTTATTTATTTTTATTTTCTTTTGTTACCAACCTTTTCGAAATACCAAGTAAATGAGCGTATATTATGACATTAAGCACTTAAAAAATGCAGTATTGAAGGATAATATGTTTTATTTTTAGCATAATATACACTTTTTCTTGTTTTGATGGGTGACGATATGGATTCGGATATGGAAAGTAAGTATAAGCTTTTTCTTAACATTCTTATCCTTTTAAAAGGTCATATAAGTATATTTGTTCAGTGCCTCTTGGAGAACGCCTCCGTTCTTATCTCAGTTCTCGTGGTGGATGTGTTGCGAACGAGCTTGTGGTTTTTGGAGCTGGAAAGATGGCTCAGTGTTTGATTGAAACTTTCGTAGCTAGAGGTAAGCTTTCAAGATCTGTTAATTTATTTTTGTTTAGAATGTTTCTCACGCGAGGAGATTGTCCCAATTACACAGTCTCAAAAGTCAGCTTTGAACTGGATTGAACGAGGTTACGAGCGAGCTACTACTTTGGCCCAGTACATTCAGACAAATCCAGGTAAGTATTGCAATGAAACTTATAGTTTTAATGTTTAGGAGAAGCGAATCGTGTTATTATGATTGGCGTGAAGCCACAAATCAGGACCGAGTTGTTTGATGTTTTGATCGCTTCAAGTTTGCGACTAAACGCTGTACTGATTGTCTCGATTTTGGCTGGTATTACCCATACTACCCTGTCTACTGAGGTAGGCTTTATGAATTTTGCATCAACTTATATAAATCTTTCAAAACTTTTTGATATAATATTTTATAAGTGATTCTGTGTGTTGTTGTGGTAGATTCAAAACTGAAACTAAGGCCGTATATGTACTCGTACACGTTTAACTGCTCTATTTACAGTTGAGCTTCTTGGGCGGAATACCAGTGGTCAGAGCGATGCCAAACGTTCCTTCAGAGATTGGAGCCGGAGTTACATTGCTATATTCCACAAATGAAGACGCTTCAAAAGTTGCGGCGACTTTGCTAAAAGCTGCCGGAGAAGTGTTTGTACTTCCGGAAACTCAGTTCAATGCTGCAGCTTCAGTTGCCGGTTCTGGACCTGCGTTTGCAGCTTTGTTGGTGGAAGGATTGGCTGACGGTGGAGTTCTGTCTGGATTGCCTCGCGACAAGGCTCTTCAGATGACATTGTTGATGTTGAAGGGTTCGATTGAGTTGATGATACAGAGTGGATTACATCCTGGTCAATTGAAAGATAAGGTTTGTTCTGCTGGCGGAACGACGATCGCTGGAGTTCGAGAGTTGGAGAAGCACGGTGTCCGTTCAGCTTTGATGGAATGTGTGAAATCAGCTACTGAAAGAGCTTTTGAGTTGGGAGGTCAATCTTCTAAATAATAAACTTTAATGCTAAGGTTTGGATTTGGCTTTAATTTGTTTGAAACTATCTTATACTTATGCTAAGGAGTGCTTGAGTGGGTGACATTTTTAGATGGAGGATGGTAATGAGAAGAAGCCGAAAAGGGTGCGACCGAAGAAAAAAGGTATTCGACAGGAGATTAGGAAGAAAGTGAGTTGTTAGTTTCTTTATAACGTACTTATTAAAGTATGGGACTTATTTATAAAAGTTGTATGTTGTATATTCACGTTAATTTTTCTGTCTTTTGTAACTGTTGAGTATGTCTTGTTTTATGGCTGTTTATAAGTAATCAAGTTTTAGATTGAAGAAGCTCTGTTAGCTAATAACTCGGAAGTGATTGGACTTGTCGAGCCTGGCTTTGACGGTGACTTAAGAGCTTCTTTGACTGATGTCTTGGCTCGATTGTCTTTGGAACACAAGGAGAAGATGGAAAGTTTAACTACAGAACAACTCAAGTCAATTGCCAATTTGAGTAATCTGTTTGAAATCCAAGGCGAAGTCAGGGAGAAGCTGAGTGTGATTCTGAAAAACGAGGCTAAAGAGAATCTCGAGGAGAAGATGGTATACGTGGTATGTTTTGTATTACCGTTTTAAATTTCTTTGTATTTATTTTAAAGTTTAATGTATTTGCCATAAGTTATAATGTCATATTTATAGGACAACTTGCCTCCTTCTTGTTCAGCCGACCAATTGAAAAAGCGGGCCAACGTATTTGGTAATGTAGTACAAGTTGTCCTACCCCAAGTTGACAAAATGAAGCGAAGATGTTGTCCAGGAATGGACTTTTCTATCAATTCCGGCTACGGATTCATACAGTTTACATCGAAGATTGCTGCCAGACGATTCTGCAAGGTAATGTTTAAAATTCGATATTTGATAACATCATGTTGACTATAGTTTCATTTAAACTTACCTAATGCTACCATTATGCTTTTATAGATCTTGCTACTTATTAAACGACCTTTCTTTTAGGCTTATTTCGTAAACTCCCATCTGAATCGAGGCCATCACCACAGGAAAAAGAAGATGGAGAACAAGGACAAGAGTCAACCAGAGTCAGATAACGAAACGGCGGTAAGCAAACTGTTGGAGGAAGCCCAGGCAATCACAACAACCAGAAGGAAACGACGTTGTACGGAGATATCGACCAGTGAAATGAGTGGAGACAGTGGTGGAGAAGGCGATGTACCTGCCAAGAAGGCCAAAACAGACCCTGCAGACCCGAACAAAGACAAAAAGAAGAAGAAAAAACGAAAGAGGAGACTGAATATGACTCTGCCCAAGATGACATTAGCCACATTCTTCTCCAGGATTCAGGCTTTTTCATAGTGAGTATAATTTTTGATTTTTTTGAGGAAATTAACGGTTATATGAATTACTGTAGGGGCCAGAAACGCTCTTATTGATTAAAATAGTACGGTGAAAACATTGAAAGTAAATACACCATGTTGTTTAAAGGTGTTCACCTCGGAATATTTATATTACCTAATTCTACAAATATTTTCAGTCGACGTTACATCAAACTGAAAAAGGAATACCTGGAGTTGAAGAAGAACAGCGAAAACGATCTCTACAGCATTCTGAATCCACAGGCTTGCAACGAATCGGAAAAGCCAGATGAAAACAAACCGACCTTAATGGCCTGCGGAAAGAAAACAAAAAAGGTAAGAAATCCATCATCATTTACACGTTTCGATGATAACTTCCCTTTGCATTGTACCGTACCTTTTATTAATTGATTTATTACCGTACCTTTCCAATCAATAATTACCGTATCTTTTCAGTTGATGGAAACAGCTGCCAAAGTCAAGAACGCGTCATTCGATATCTTCCGCCAGAACAATGGAGACGCGGGATGAATGTTGTTATCAACTTTGCTTAATTTATTCTATGTTTTCAGCTAATAAACATTGATAAGGTCTTGGTTATGTGTCCTGGCCTTGATAAAAATGTTGATTACGTGTAATCAACAAGCAGACAGTTTTGAGGACAGCCCAACGCTATAGATAGCTTTGTGTCATTTTAGATAATCAATTTGCACTTAAAAGCTCCCCCAATGGTCCGTGAACTAACCAATTTTAAAAGATTTTTAATGTTGTTGCCACTACAGAAAACTTGTCTTAAAAGTTGGCGCGAACTTCAAACTTGGGCTGGTCTTGGCATTTCGTAGCAGTCGGGGAAAGGGAAAATCGCGTTTTTTTATTTTTTACGGGAAATCCGACGTTAAATTGGGATTAGTGCGTGATTTACCAGTGAATGCTTGGTTTTTTGCATTCCTCTGTGATTCACCAGTCAAGAAGGAGATCGACGCGACGAATAATTCGTTTTATTTTCTCTTTACGGGCCTGGGAAAATGCGCAGATTGGCCGTGGTGGTGTGGGAAGCGATCGGGGAGGAGGTTTGCTCTTATTTATGTTTCTGTTTCAGGGAATGTGATGGCGTACTATGGCGAGAAAGAATACGTTCTGCAGACGTTGGAATCTGCTTCACGACCTTGTAAGTCTATTTTTAATTAATCCGGGACATTTTACATTTTAAAAAGTCTAAAGTCAGTTGATCTTGAGTGTTACTTTGTCAAACTTATCTTGGAAAGGTTTTTATTACCTAAAATCTGTTTGTTTTGAAATATAGATTGTGGGATTGCTTATTAGTTGTATTTTTAACATCCACTTTAAATTTTTCGAGATCTTTTTGATCAATACCGCATATTTTTGTGTTTTCCGGCGTTTTACTTTGTTTTAAAACGTATTTACACTTTGCTTTGCGTTAAAATTTGGATTGCGAGGGTTCAATAAGCTTTTACTGAACCTATTTACAAACAATGTCAACGTAACGGGAGTTGAAGACCAAAATATTTTAACTAAAAAGGGAATTATCGGGGCGAAAGGCAGAGGAGGGGGAGGGCTGACTGATTACTTGGACTCGCGTTTCGTTTGGTCACGTTGGACAGTTCTGGGATGTAGTTTCTAACTAAATGTAACATAGTGGGACCAATCTATCATTTTATTACTTTGTATTCAACTGTAGATATTCAAATTTACTTTTAAAAACACTTATTTTAAGTTAAAATTGTGAGAAATGTCTGTAAAACTGAGATATTTGTGGTCAAATGTTAATGAATTTTGTCCCAGAAGAAGCGGGACTCTCAATTTGGTCAGGTCACGGCTTACGACGAGAAAGTTTAAAGATTGGTCTTGGTATTTCGTTGATGGGATTGTGTGTTTTTGCGCTGTGAACCGGGGAATGCCTCCAATCAGAAGAGCCGGCTGCTTCTCTTTCAACGAAAAAATTCATTTCTCTGAGAATTTTGATGGGAAGACAGGTCTTTCGGGGGTTCCCTCAGGGCGTGTCGCACTCAATACCTTCAGGGGGGCATCCCCAAGATCGCGTGCTCGGATCCCGCCTCCGACTGACTCGCTTCGACCGACTGTATTCACCATCATCGCACTCTGATTGAAATTGTAAAACGCTTTCGGTTGCAAACAAGATTTGAATTAGATCGGTTCGAGTCATAGATCAATACCAACCTTAATATCGACTTGTATGAGTAACAATGGTGTCGCAGTTGAGGATGGTCGAGCGGAGGCCACATCTAGAGCCAACCGTCTTTAAGATCCCGGAGTATTTGAGCGATATTATTCTATCAGGTGCGTGATTAGCAAGTTTGATTGATTGCGTCATCCTTGTAATATGAGTGAGAAGTGGTTATAGTGATGTAATTGACCGTCTGCAAAGCACTTTATATGATTTTGAAAGTTATAATTTGTTATCATCGACAAACTAACTATTATCAATAAGTTATGCATCAAAGGTTTCTTATGAGTTTATAATAACGTTTTTTTATGAGTAGCTTAGAAATTTTAAAATAATATTGTACATATGGTACCTTACTTGTATGATCAAATCAGTATTTTTTTAAATTTAATTTTTAGGTACATCGGAGTATCCTGCCAAAACACATTATGCTCTGCCACCTGTACCATTACAACCATCGTTCCCACTTTACATGGGACAGCAAAAACAAAGGTTGACAGTGGATGTGATGAAGAACTACTTAATGCATTCTGAAGAGCTCGATTGTACTGTAAAGATATTCCACGCTAAAGTCGCGCAAAAGTCGTACGGTAACGAGAAGCGGTAAGATAATTTGTTTTTGTGATGTGATTCAATATTACTTTACAGTTTTTTAATTACTGTGTGATTACACTTCTATGTTTAATAGCTTTAAATTAACAAATGTTGTGTTAGTGTTTAAAGTCAATATTGGATAACACTAGACATTAATTACAGATTCTTCTGCCCACCTCCATCCGTCTACCTGAGTGGGCCTGGCTGGAATCGGAAGCGAGAAAACTTTGAGAGACTTATCGAGAACTACAACGGGTACGAAGTGAGATGCACTGGACTGATGGCCAATATTGGCATCATGGGATCAAAGTACTCCGAGCCTCAGATGCTGGACTTTTCTAATGGAAAGGTAACTTTACTCACATCATTAACACATTTGTGACAGGTTTTGGTGTCAACAGTTTTTATTGTAATATTAACAGTGTTTGTTGTAATATCAACAATTTTTATATTAATATAGACTCGGGTTGTAATAAACTTTAATAATATTATTTGTAGGAGTTTTGTCCGGCCAAAAACCTGTATGTAAGCGACCAGGACAAGCGCAAGTTCTTTCATCTTCAAGTTCACGTCAGCTTCAACTGTAGCCACAACATCGGATCGTTCATCTCAGAAAGGATCAAGGTGATCTCGAAGCCATCGAAGAAGAAGCAGACCGTCAAGGGAAACGACTGCAACTTCTTGTGCATTAACAGTGGCACCAAAGTGGCCCTCTTCAACCGACTCCGATCTCAGACCATCTCCACGAGGTATCTTCATGTTGACAACGGCTCCTTCCATGCTAGTCCAGCCAAATGGGGAGCTTTCAAAATACACTTAAGTAAGTTTTTTTGGTTTGATCAAGGAGATCATATAATTGTTTTTGCTTTGGTGTTGATTATTTTGTGCCTTCAATAAAGGTTGTGAACAAAAATTATGAAAATAAGTAGTTGCTAACATTTCGTTTTTTAATGTTAATATGTGGCCATTTGTTCGCACTATTAAACATGTATCTTGTTTTAGTTGATGAAAACACTCCTGATGACAATGTTATCTTCGAACATAAGTCGGGCTTTGTGTATTACGGTAATGTGGTCAAACTGGTTGACAGTTGTTCTGATCTTTCGTTGCCAAAAATGGTAAGTAATCAATCTTTGTTTCCCTTGGTTTTCAATATTGACTTTATTATTTTTTAAATTGTGAAATTAGTTTTTTAACGCTTTTAATTGGGTTTGGTATCTAATATTGAATTTATTATAGAGAATTCGAAAATGCGACAAGAACAATGTTGTAATAGACGAAGAGGTTGATGAGCCTGTAAGCCAGCTACATCGTGTGGCTTTCCAGGTGATTGACACTCCCGAGAAGAGCGTCTATTTAGCGTTGAATGGCGACAATATCTTCCAACAAATTGTAAGTTTTGGACATAAAACTAGTGGTTAAAAACTAGTCTACTTTTTTCTTAAAATCTGAAATTTTGAAGTTTTTTGGGCCTAACTTTAGCAAAGCTTTAAATTTTGTAACAAACTTGCACAGACTATATTTGTAATTAACTTTCGAGACATGAAGTGTATAATCAATCACGTTTTCAGTGTGAACAGAACGAGCGCGGGCAACACATTGTGAGCGAAGGTGCGGCGTGGACGATAATATCTGCGGAAAAGAACGAGTTCCGATTCTACGAAGCCATGGGTACCGCCAACTTCCCAGTAGCACCCATCCCCAGGATCGATAGTATGTTGCTGCAAAGTAAGGCGGCCGAAGATGCCCGCGGCCTGAAGGGAGGCACCTATGCTATCATGAGAGGCAGAGATTTGCATCCCAAAGTCAAGGTCTGGTTTGGCACGATCGAAGCGAATACACAGTTTTTGTAAGTTTCATTTGAAGGTTGTTGTTCAAAAGAGCTCTAAGTGTAGTATACTCGTCAGCGTCAAGAAATCAAGTTTCTTTTTATACCACCTTACCGTACAATTTTCAGGAGTAACGAGACCATTGAAGTAGAGGTACCAACCAGAAATCAGGTCTACGCCCATCTGCCATTCTTGGAAAAACTGTTTTACGAAGAAGGCCAGCTTGTCCTTCCAATTTGTCTAGTCCGCGACGATGGAGTCATCTACTACAACGACTGTACATTCTCCTTCTATTTAAACGACACCATCGTCCGCGAGATCTGCAACAAAGTAGCTGAATGTGACATTGTTAACCAACCATCACCTCCTTCAGCTGGTGCACTCTCTTTGTACCATGGCATGCTCGATTCTGACGAGCCGCAGTCTTCTAAAAGGTCCAGATTGAGTTAGATTTAATGACCTAAAGGCTTATGTTGTATATCGAGAAGTATGATTAGTTGTTATCTTAAAATCAGATGTTTAGTAGCCACCATTCCGAATTCAAATTTGTTGATAATCTGACGTTACATCTTTCCAACGTATATCTTAACATTCTGAATGTTAATATCTCGGTCGATCTCATAGCGTTACGTTGTATGCAAGTTATCTACACGATGTACAAAGTGTATTTTATATTTGTTTGACTTTGATAGAACCTTTTGTTGTACGTATGTTTTTGTTGTATATTTTCACTTTCAAAGTTGTATATCATGCATATTCATATTTATTCCATCTCTCCAAATGGGTTCCTTGTCTCAGGTAAACTAAATTATTAAATTGTAATAATATATTTTGTTTTAATAAATGTTGTCGATTTGTAAGCCTATTGTAATATGTTTATATGGGTATTTCAATGTTTCCACTAGCCTAGTTGTTGAAAGTTTGAACTAAATTATGACAATCTTACATTCAGAATTATGAATTAGAAATTACTTTAAGTACTAAAGGCCTCCCTTACTCAGAGTTTGCCCAGTTACTTCAGACCCGTGAGAACCTCTGGGCTGTGTTTGGCATTGGGGACCGTAGTGGGTGCTCGCCATTGGCTATGGGCCGCGACAATGCGGGCGTCGCAATCCCCGCCTTCTCCCTGATTCAAGGCTGTGGGCCTCTAAAGCGGCATTCCTGTTTTGGCTGTTCAACTCATTGGATAATTAGGCGTGCGCCTTGTCGATCTGGTGAGAATCTTCCCAATCCCAGGCTGTAAAGCCTGAAGGCAGCGTACGGTGAGAAGATCCCCACGAAGATCTTTTGGGATTCAAAAAGGCATCTTCTCCTTTGGCCGGTGGGAATCGCCCCACGCTCCCCCCGTTCCCGCCGAGATCAAGATAATTCACACGGTTTCTCCCATCCCTCCCCCCGGCTACCGTGCTTGATGGACGGCTTCAGTCAGGCCGACCTCATTCCCGAGCATGCGGCCGACCTTCCACCTAATGTCGGTCAACCAACGATCCAGTCCGGCTTCAACTACACCGACCTTCCGGATGGTCAGAATCCCTTCTACCAAAGCTTCCTGAATCACGGTTTCGAACATCCGTCGACGTCGCAGACGGATCCGCCCAACAATGAAGAGTTCTTCGAGGCAAAGCCTCAACTTCAACAAGATCTACTCTACGGTCCGATCAGTGCAGCGCTAGCATCGTCATCATCAGTGACCGAGATTGGCTACAACTATGCGCCTCCTCAGATGATACCGCCGTACTATTTGGACCAGAACGGGGTACTACCTGGGAATCAAGTGGATCTGTATCAGCCATTTCCGTACGCATCGTGGCAACCTTCAGATGTCACTTCTCCGTTCGCTCAGTTCGCGGCCCAAACCATGTTCAATAGTAATCGTGCTGCTGCAGCTGCCGCCGCCTTCTTCCCAGCATCAGGTTGGCTGTGTGTATTGATGTTGTCTTAGTATGTGTTATCATTCGTTTTGGCCAACTGTTTATTTAAAAACTTTTATTTTGATATATCATTCTAGATACCAGGTACCCAAGTGTAGGACATCAGCCCTTCCCCAATCATTTGAGCAATCCAACATCGTCGTATGACCTCTACCCTAGTAACAGTCATACCTCTACCGTGCCCAGAATAAAGTTTCTGGAGAAGACTGAGGCTCTGACACAAGAAAGGATGACAGAATACCTACAAGATCCCTTCAAATACGACTGTGTCATCCAGATCTACCATGCGAAAGTGGCTCAGAAGTCATACGGTAACGAGAAACGGTCAGTTTTGAAGTTTTTGAGGTATTAATGTTGTAGTGAATGAAAATAATAGATTACTATACTATAATATTTCAAGTTACTGTACTATAAAATAAATAGCGAAAACATTTTGAATTTTTCGAAATTTAAAAAAAACTTGAATGTTTCAACTATTTTCAACTCCTGACCCAAAACTTTCGAGCCGATTACGCAACTAGGCTTAAGCAGTCCATTAGGAACTTCAGAATTTGCATTTGTTTCTTAAGCAGCTGCTCAGAGATGTTCTCGCGTTTCGAGGACAGTTTTCGACAAATATGGGTTATGTAAAGTGGACTAAGTGTTCGGTTGAGGATAATCTGACATGTTCGGGTTACATTCGGTCGTATGTTTGGAAACCTGCTCGCGATTACGGTAGTTTACCGCATTAATAATATCTTTTGGCATGGGAAAACCCAAAAAAACTTAATTACAGGTTACGGTAACGTGCTATTTAGACGGTAAATAATTAGTATAGTTGTAATTGTTTTGGTAATATAAAACAGTACAACTGAGAGGAAAGGTCTGGACTAAACGTATTTTATAAGTTGGCACAGTGAAAACAGAGGTATATTAACATAAACATTAAATCACAGCCAAATTAATGTTGATATCATAGTAAAAGAAATTTTTGGTCGAAAAGTCTGTAGAAAACCTGCAGAAATTAACGAAAGAGCTTTCTTTAATAAATTAATACCTAAAATAATATAAAACTGGACCTACTTCAGATTCTTCTGTCCTCCACCGTGTGTGTATCTGATTGGCGACGGATGGAAGTTGAAGAAGTCGAGATTAGAAGATGCCTACAAGAAATTCAAAGAAAAGGTGAAGAACGAAGAGGGCGTTAGAGAGAGAGACAAATTCATGGAAAGCCAATGCTCCGAACTTCGGGCGCAGATCGGGATTCAAGGATCCATCGAACAAGAACCTCAACATCTTGACTTCTCAAATGGAAAGGTAAGCTTTGGAACTATATTTGGTTGAAATAGATTTTAAAATGAAAAGCGATCTGAAATTATATAGAAATTAGGTCAAAACTTTTTGAAAACAGTCAAGTTAAACATAAATAGGTAAATCAGATCAAATTTTAGTGTTCAAATAATTAAAATCAACTTTATCTTTTGGTTTTTTTGTTGTTTACTCGAAACTTCAACTCTTTAGACACTTTGGCGAGGCCATTACCTTTGAAAGGTCATGAACAACATGGTTTATATTGTTTGCTTTCAGGACTATTGCGCGGCCAAGACTTTGTACATAAGTGATGCCGAGAAGAGGAAATACTTTAATTTGTGTGTCCAGTTGAGTTACCTGAGTGGACTTGACATCGGTATCTTCTCCTCCGACAATATCAAGGTGATCTCGAAGCCATCGAAGAAGAAGCAGTCCATGAAGAGCACCGACTGTCAGTATCTTTGCATCAGATCTGGCACTAGGATAGCACTGTTTAATCGACTGAGGAGTCAGACGGTATCGACAAGGTACCTCCATGTGGAGAACAACAACTTCCATGCCAGTTCCACCAAGTGGGGAGCTTTCTACATCTACTTGAGTAAGTGAGATTGATAGTTAGAGTAAGGTGATGTTAATTTAGATTAAATATGTCGAAATTATGCGGTAAATCTATTTGAATGTTTTATAAAATATGCTTTGGAGTTGTTTTACCGTGCCAATAATTACAGTAAATATAGAAAGAAACCCGGGTGACGTGGTCGAGTTTCAACCCAAAGATGGCTTCATTTACTATGGTGCCGTAGTAAAACTGGTCGACAGTGCTACTGGGATGGCTTTGCCTTGGCTGGTATGTTACTCATAATCAATAAATTTGGCTTTTTTAAAATTTCTTTGAAAATAGCTTCTTGTCAGTAAGATTAGTGCATCTTGCAAGTGACATTTTATACGATCAAATATTATTTTAAATAGTGTCTAAAATTGAGATTATGTTGGTTTATTACGTTATTTTAGAGGATACGGAAGGTGGACAAGCAAAATGTCATTTTGGACCCATCTAGTTGTGAAGAACCTGTCAGTCAGCTACATAAATGTGCCTTCCAACTTCTTGACAATGAGTTATTGTACCTCTGTTTATCACATGACAAGATACTGCAACATCAGGTAATACATACAAAGTGTCTTGTTTTTATGACATTGGTATCACCTTATTTTAGGTTATAACCTATTGTAAACAAACTCAATATATTTGTCTAACTTAGCTTAATATTGAGATTAACTTTTTACTGTTTACATTACTATAACGTAATATGCGACCTTTATCATTATAGGCTGTGTACATTGATGCTTCGAGACATCAGATAAGTGATGGAGCAGCGTGGACTATAATATCGACTGATAAAGTGGAGTACCGGTTTTACGAAGCGATGGGACCAGTCAGTTCTCCCGTCTCTCCGGTACCAGTTGTCTCTTCTATGACATTCGACCAGAACCAAAAGTTGAATGCTATGAATACGGAGACTACAGTATACTTGAGGGGACAGTGGTTTACTCAGTATCTTACCGTATGGCTGGGGGCTATTCCTTGTGAGACCAAGTTTAAGTGAGTGTTTCTTAATTTATTTTGGACTGCAATTGATATAGGTTTAGAGCTATGTTAATATAGTACAAATCTTTGTTGTTAAAGCTAATAGTCACAAAGATATAACTCACTTTATCTTTTTTAGAAACATTGAGTATCTGGAGTGTAAGATTCCCAAACTGACCGACTTCCAAACTCAATGGCCCTTTTTGACTGGAGGGCGACTAGAAGTACCACTGAATCTAGTACGAAACGACGGTGTTATCTACAGTACGCGACAAACTTTTACTTATGCTAGTATCCTTGACTTGGAGAATCAGTCTAGACTGATGGGTACCGATGGTGGACTAGCTATGGTACCACCAAATGGAGCCAAACCTTCAAGTCGGTTTCATCCTTACAGTAATGTTCGATGAAGAGACTATTGTATAATATGAAAGCTTGATTGGTTTGTTTACTATATTTATTTTACTATATTGTCTACAATGTCTTTTTACTTTGTGGAGCTATCGTATTTGTATAATATTATACGGTCTGTGTCTATTATAAAATATAGTTTGTGGTACTGTAACATGGTACTATTCTTAGTCTAATTGTCTTTTGGTTGTAGGTTTTTGAATTTGTCACTTATGTTATGATCTCACTATGTAACAGTAGTCTAAAGCAATGTATTTATTTTGTTATACGGGTCCCCTGACATGAAAGAGCGGAATAAAGTTTACAATGAAGAGTTCAGTAGATGTATGGGTTTCTGATGACTCTGGATGAATATCTGAAGGTGTATTATTATATTTACTTTACAGTTTAATTGATTTATATTATGAGTTAAGTAATATATTTTTAAGCTGAGTAATTACTGTAGAAAATGACATTACATACCTTCTTTCTTCGTAGTCGTCGTACGAAAAGGAGGAGATTGAGTTGGCTAAAATGTTTGGTATTTAATATCTTTTACTTTACTATAACTTTTACGTTGTGTCAGCTAAAGCCAACTCTGGTTATTGTATCTATGTGAAGTATATTGCGTACGAGTGTAATACCACGATACTGAATATATTAAAGTGAGAAACTTACTTTTTTTGTAACCATCATCAAGGTATCTCGGACGATCTTAATATTTTATTATTGCATACTGTATAACTTTACTTACCGTAGTCCAATATTGTAGTTCTAGTAGGCAATGAAACTAAAGAATCTAAAACGGATAAAGGTAACACCATCACCACAATATCAAAGAAATAAATATAAATAAAGCAAAAGACATTAACATAGCTTTAGCAGATAAAAGATATACATGAATATAACAAAAAATGCAAGATGACAAAGCGTATGACATTACAATCACAATATAATTGCGGCAGTTAAAGGCATAGTTAATGCTGGAAGTGTTTGATTTTAATATTTTTGTCCCAAAATACAGTACCATTCAGAAAGTACAAGGCTTCTTTCAATATACATTGTCGTATCTTTTTGGTATGATTTATTTTCTTTGGTATGTTACGCTTTTTCAACGAATTTTGGACTCCCACATCTACAGTATTCTTACTTCTTACAGTAGGCTGACTTCTAGTGTCTTTTGAGGTTGTTACAGCATTGACTGTAGTATTTACTGTGTCATTTATATTGGCAATGTTATCGAAATGACAAGTAAACTTTCTACCACTAATAGTCTCCAAGGTGGTACTGAAGGTGTTATCAGTTTTAAAAGTAGTACAATGCATCTTATCCTCTACCTTGTGGTTATCTGCATCGTTGTCTATGTTATAGTAAATGTCATCTTCTTCCATAGCGTCATTAATGTTATCTTTGGCGTTACTTACTAGGTTATTGGCTTTACAGTAGATGGTATTTCTAGCATTGTTACAGTACATGTCAGTTGGATTACTGTACCCATTGTCAAAAGTTTGTTCTACTTGCTCTAGCTGCTTGTCTTGTATCAAGATGTAGGTATAGTCATCTTTGTCGTCGTTATTCACTTCTATGTCGAACTGAGTCTTACTGTAGCCAAGACTACTGTGTTCTGATTGCGAAGAAGAGTTAGTGCTTTGTATATCTACTTCATGGTAGTAATGTTCACTACTTTTGTTACTGCTACCACAGCTACTTCTATCTAAATATGTGACGAACTTGGTCGTATCTTGTGTCTGCATACCTTTCTCAACGTAGTAGTTACTTGCTGATTTGTCCACTGCTTGTTTACTGTATCTATCTTCTAACAGTAAGTAAATCTCATCGAACGTGGTTACTGTACTTTTGTTGTTTTTTTTACTGTATGTGCACGTTCCTCTGTTTGTTGTTACAGTATGTTCTGTTTGAACTGCCTTACTTTTGCAGTCTTGTGGTATATAACTGTTCTGAATGTTATTGACACAGGGCTTGACTCTACAGTATTTAATGGCTTTTACCTGATTACAACACGGTATTACTGTAGCTGTTTCTACGGTATCTCCAACGTTGCCGAATTCAGCACTGTAATCTACATTTTCATCGTGACTTTTGACTGTTCTTACTGTATTTTTTATGATTCCTACTTGGCTGCTTAATGGTATTACGGTAGTTGCTTCAAGTGAACCTCCAACATTACCAAACTCAGCACTGTAAAATACATTTTGCTGGTCTTGTAGTAGTTTTTCTACAGTACCTTTCAAATTATGGTGTACTGTATTATTTGAAGGAGCAAATACCTTATTTGAATTTGGCATTACATTACTATTCTTGTTACTAGTTCTAATCAGTTCTCTTTTACTGTCATTTGTAAGATTTATTTTGTCATCACCAACAGTATCTATGTCATCATGACTTACGATTGCAGTAGGCTTACTAATGACTTTGTTATTTGAGGTAGCTTCAAAAAATTTTGAATATTGGCTTACATTCTTACTATTGTTACTTTGTTGTACTATATTTGAACTTTCTGAACTTTTGTTATTTGACAAAGGTTTCTTATTGTAATTACTAACTGAAATAGGGCCGAGACTTTGCCTATTATTACTATGACTAACTAAACCCATTTCATTTTTGCTGCTCCCTACAAGGTCATTATCAAGTGTATTACCCTGTTTACCTTCAATTTTACAACTATTATCAATAGACTCGGCATTACAATTACTATTAGTACTGCTTTCGTTAGTACTGTTAGTGGGAAAAGTGTTAAAGCGACGATGGCCATTGTTATTAACATCTGCAAAAGCGTTGAATCAAGTACAGTAATCTTACCGTAATCTCTCCACAAAGGCTCTCTTACATATTCTACAGTTTTGACGGGTTCGACCACTTTTTCGATCAGCGATGACTTTTGGTATAAGGTGTCGTCGTATCTTTTTACATTGTCGCATCTCTTTACATCATCGTATCTTTTCAGATCGTCGTATCTTGTGAGCTCACCGTATTTTTTGTTATCATCGAATCTTATGAAGTCATCGTGATCCTTGACATCTTGGTGTTGTTGCTTTCTAAAAGCATTGTATCTACTTTTGATAACATCGTCGTATCTTCTCTCAGACTCAAGAGAATTGTCGAACTTGTTTTTGTAGCCGTATGACCGGTCGAGTTCGAAGGCTTTAGGTGATTGTATTGGTGGTAATGGCAAGGAATCTGTAAGGTAACGTTATAGTAGGGCATATTTGGTTGGCAAAGGAGGTTTCTTTATATAGAAATTTTTAAAGTTATCTTATTAAGAAGTAAGGCAAAATTTAAATTGTAACTGTGTGTGTTACCTTCAAAAGTGACTCTTTTGGATCCAGAAGATCGTAATGAACTTCTCGGTTGCAGGGAGCGACGCTGAAATAAATGTTTGTTGTTATAATAACATGTTATGTTAATTTATTGTGATGAAATGGAGTAGTTTTGTACCTGTTTTAAAATATTAGAGGTCAAATACTATTTGAAACACATTGAAATTTTGATTTTACATAAAAAATTTTTAATTTTTGGTTTTTCTAATAAAAAGGTTTATAACCTTTTACCTGAAAGAACGATTACCTGGGGATGTAGCCGATTGAACAGCTCATCATAGTAGAGATGACTTCTGTGGGTTGGTCTGAATCTACTTTCAAACTCCACACTTCCAGTACCATTAGCACGAGCTCTGGAGTCCAACGAGAGGTAGGAGATGTCGTGAGGGTAGGTGAACATCCCCGGGTAGTCCATGTTGTCGAGAGTGAGCGAGAGCGAAATTAAATGGAATTAAAGCGAAAGTCAAACGTATTTAAGTCCCTTAAACAATAATGTAAACATTGGGTGATTCAATTTCCAGAAGTCATTCTGGTTTACAATTGCTGTCATCATTCTTTTACTATTACTCATGCGATGGTATTCACGGTGAAAGGGCAGTATAATATCACTTTCAACAGTTAAATCATCAAACAAAAAGTGACATTACTATCTCAATACGAGAGGCAATGTATTGTGATGTTCTGTATGGTTCGTACGTCATCAGCTGACATTTTACTTTGATAATTGTTTCAAATTTTGAAATTATCAGTTGTCAGTATTGAACTACTGAATTTACAGCTTTCCAACCGTAATTTAAAGCCTACTAAATGTCAAATTACATATAACTTTATTTACAAAAACTACAGTAATCTTCGTTACCGTTTGACTCGGTTTACCTTAGTGACAGTCTTTCTGACAGCCGTCTTGGACTGGCTCACTTGAATCTTGGTTTGACTGGTCGAAGGCGACGCCTTACTCGACGATGCACTTGACGTTGTAGGAAGTTGTTCTAAACTGGCTTCTGATTTTAGCTGAGATCGAGTTGAAGATCGTCGACGTCCTGTAGCCGGATTCACAAACTGCGTTTGGCGGAACTTTTTCCATTGCTAAACATGTTTGTGGGTTTTAACAGCTTGTAAATTTAAAAAACTAAGCTTATAACATTACTGTATATCCATATGTATTAACATACACGAAAACTACAAAAAGTTTGATAATATACATATATATTTCACGGTTTTATAACGAAAACTAACCTTTTGGTACTCTTGGTACCTTCTCCAAGCCTCCTCGCTGTACGCTTTCCTTTTCTGAGCAGCCAATTCTTCTGCCGAGAGTACTGTAACATTACCGTAATCTTCACAATCTTTAAATGCTACTTACCTGCTGGTGGTGACGGTGCTGGCTCAGGTTCTGGAGTAGGTTCTCGAGGTGGTGGTTCTGGAGTAGGTTCTCGAGACGGCTTCGGAGTTGGTTCAGGAGTTGGTTCCGGCGGCGGTTCTGGCGTTGGTTCCTTCGGAGGCTCTGGAGATGGTTCTGGAGTCGGAGAAGGAGTCGGCGTCTTCATGGGCTCCCAAGGCTCTGTTTCATCGTCAGCGAAGCCAACTTCACTCTCCATCAGTATGTCCTCGGGTTCTATTGGGGGCGGTCTTAAGGTTTCCAGTTCACCGTCTTCTACTTTGATGGCATCGTCTACGAACTTGTCTAGATTCAAGTTGTCTATGGTGTTAACAGGAAGGTTGAACTGGTCTCCGAGGTTTTTCACTAACTGCTTCATTGTCAGTCTAGAAAATCATTTACAAAAATTGTTTGTAAAAGCATCTATAAGTTATATTTTAGCATAAAACCAACACTTTTATATTAAAATAACTCAAACCTTACGTTTTCCCGCCGAACCATATGACAACGTTCCCGACGTTCTCGATCTTCCGCCCGTAGTAATGCAACTTCTTCAAGTAATCAGCAGCAATGTCGATAGCTATGGTAGTCAGAGCCAGCCCTATAGCAATGTAAAGTAAGGTCACGACCATAAAAGATTCACTTTTAGGTACAACATCACCTAACCCTATCGACGTCAAGGTGATAAAGTTGAAGTAGATGGCCTTGAAGAAGCTCATGTCCGGCTCGTAAGCTGACATTAACAAGGCACCCGTAAAAGAATAGACAACGAAGATGGCTAGCAAAGGAAGACCGTGGCTGATCGGTTGATCATCGTCCTCTGATTCTCCTTCTGACTTCTTTTCTTCCGGCTGTTCTTCCTCTTCTTCTATTGATTTCGTGACTTCACCGTTCTCCAACGATGCAACCTCATCGTCCTTCATTGATGACTTGGTCAGCGACATGACAGACCCGAACTCGTAGCCTCGTTTCTTTCTGTACAGTCGGCGCAGTTTCCTGAATTCAACATGGATAAGATGCGCTTTTAGGGCAGTTTTAAAGAAAAACAGATTAAAAATGAATCTTAACGTTAAAAAAAAAAAAAAAAAAGATTTTTTCAAACACAAGTAGTTCAAGTCCTACCGTTTTGTCTTCCTGGAATAGTAGTTGAAGGTCTCGATCAGCTCAGAAAAGAACTTGCCAAGGTCAGCGATTGCCAGTAATGTAAACGGTATTCCAATCAGAGCGTATAAAATACAAAATAAACGACCGTGAAACGTTCGAGGAGCTAGATTACCATAGCCTATCGTTGTGATTATGGTAAAAGAAAATAGTATAGAATCAGAGAAGGACCAGGGCTCAACGTACTCGGCGGCCTGGTCTTCTACTGAAATTCGAATAATGTAAAGCATACTGAAGGTTTTATTATATGCTGATACTAAATAAACTTTTAAAAACATTTATTTAATTTTAAAATACATGTATAATATAATATCTGTATGAGCAAAGCGACCTTACCCAATTGCAACTCATCGTTCGTTAATTTAAATTTAATTGCTTCAAACCCGGCTTCGTTTTTTGTGATAACGTGATAACACTTGTCTATCATCTTTATTGTCATCTTATCCAGTATCATCATGTTGCACTGGTACTCCATTAGCCGCTGAAACAAAGCACAATATTGAGAATATAGCCTCTTACTTATGGTATGTTGTAAACAATATCATTTAGACTTTTTACATTATGATTACGTTTTGCTCCATCTTGATCTTCAACCTTAAATTTTAAAAACATTTACCTGTAATGCTCTTTCTACACATTTCTTTGACCGGGCAGCAAGCACCATCTCTCTTTTCTGTCGTCTCTCTACTTCCATTATCTCTCGGCCTAACGCCGTTCGTTGTCGAATTTCGTGTGTACTGTCTAAAAACAGAACACTTTATTTTTTGTTTAATTTTGATGGCAATCAATCTAAACTCATCATAAAATACTTTTAAAAAATATAAAAATTTTTAATTTTAAAATTTTAAAACTTACCTGACATATTTGGAGCTACAGTAGTGTTCTCTTTATTTTCGAGTATATTGAGCATGCGATGGTGTCGTGTGTGTTCATCTACTCGTTTTGTTTCTAGTCGCTGCATTATCAAAGCTCCAAAGACCGCATATAATGCCACTCCAACTATCATCAACAAGTGTACGATAACAGGAGAAGCCTACAATAATGTTCTGAATACTTCAAAGTCAAATTTAATTGTTTTTTTAGTTTTAAAAAATTTTAAAAACACAAAAAATAATAAAATAGAAAACAAAACAACAACTGTCGGTACAACAACTACAGTAACATCACAGTAATACCTTGTTGATGACATTTACAGACTGAAAGATACGATGTGATCTGCTTAGCATACCCATAGTTAACCACCTTAAATTACAGTATATGTTAGAGCTGAAAAGGTTTTTGGAAAAGCACCGGATGTCGTTAGACAAAGAATTCAAAAGTCGCCGTTTGTCGAGAGTCTCGACCGAAAGCAAGGGCCTTGAATTGAACTTAATAACATACTCTTATCAACAAATGTCATCTTATTAAGAAAGAATGTCGTCTTTCTATCGATGACCGTTCTAATAGCAGTAATGTCATCTATGACATTGTTTACAACTTACGATTTCATATTTTATTTTAGCTGATACCAGACACTCAAAAGACAATAAAAAGTAACCAGAAATATGAATAATACTAAATAGTATCAAAATATAAGTTTTGTCAATAAAGTGTCAGGAAATGACATTGCAGAGTAAACAAGTAACGTAAAATTGTTTAATCTGATCTAGAACATCAGATGCGATGAAGCAGAATAACATTTTTGTTTTTAATACTGAACGGTTTTCAAAAGAACTATTATGGTTTTTAAAAAAGTACTATTAAGACATACAAAGGAGCACTATTAAGGTTTCCAAAAGGGTACCATTTATAACGGCAAGTTGCAGTTACTAAAATTTAAAACTAGTATTATTATACTCTATTTATATTATCAACATAAATATACAGTACCAAAACATTATTTAAAAATTGCAGGATGGCCCCACGTTCCCTACTCTAGCAACTAAATTGTAAAAAAAGTTTAAAACCTTGCAAAATGAAGGTAACAATGTTGGGCAAGATGGACTAAGCGGAACGACCAAAAAAGGACATTGTTTTTAGTAATTGAACAAAACAAGAATCCTTAATTTGACGTTGTATAAAGACCGAAAACAGCCGGAGGCAGTACTACTTTGTGTCCGAGTTCATTAAACTACTTTGTAATGCTATTAAGTACATTTTGTACTGTTGAACAAAACTCGTGTTAGAGTGTTTAAAAGGTCAACTGGGTGTTTACTGTGGCATACACAAGACTAGCTTTTGATAAATGAAGACATGTTATGGTATGAAGCACAAATTTAAAACTAAAATAGCAACAGAATCTAAAACTAAAATACTTTAGCCAATACCTATGTATCTTCCACATTATCTTTTTCAAAACTTACATACCTTAACTTTGTTGGCTCTCAAAGATGGCAGCCGCATAACTCTAATAACTTAAACTTTACTCTGTGGTTTGATATGAGACATCACGCCTTCGTATAACGACATCTGGAGATTCTTAAAGCACACTTAAAGAGTTCCGCCTTGAGACAATAGAGAGACACATGTTGTCTGATATGCAGATTCCATAAAAATTAATTGAAGCCAAGATCCATACTCAATATCTACATCCGGATTTGCAAACTTGTTTATTACAAGTTGCAATATTAACATAGAAAGGCCGATTTTAAACACTGAAGTATAAAAATATGCAAACACTAATGTTGCGATCTAGAGAATGCAATAATATGCACCATTACAACTTACCGTAGATAATATTCTCGCTACAGAACTAACACACTTTGGCATTTTGTATTTAGTACAAACAATAAAAGTCTACAAGAGTTATGCCTAACGTTGTGACCATAAAGTTCTCACAACTCTATTTACTATAGCTGACTTTTACATATAATGACACCGCTCATAGACAACATAGTCGTACTTAAACGCCGGAAAAGTAAATCATAACAATATACAAACACAGTTACATACACAACTTAAAACACAAAAACTATTTAAAATATGAAAAGAATTAAAATTAAAATATGATTGTATGACCTTAACAATTTTAAGCAGATACACCACAATAAATGTGAACTTACCTCAACTGAGAGTCGCTGAAACCGATGATATGCATTGATCCTGGCCATAAATTGTGCCAATAAATTGTAATTTGTGACCTTGAACAAAGAAATTATGTATTTTGCGTGTAGCATCTTCCAACATACGATAGGAGATACAAATAACAAAGTATTCAAAAAAAACTTAAAAACAAAAGGACTCTCGAATATACGCTAACTAGTTTTTAGGTATGTTAACATATCTTCGGTTTAAAGCTAAAAGTATGGCAATATTCACATTGTGATAAAGGCTGTATTGTGGTCCTAACAATACAGTAACTCTTATAAAATACTTAACTTTTTCTAATTAAAACTGCGTAGCTTCATAAACAAATTTAACTTTTGTCATAACTTTTGCAAGATACGACGATAAACGTAAAAAACACGTATATACCTTGAATTTTGAAGAGTTATTTAATTACGCCGAGAGCCGTTTAATGTCAAAAAAAACCGAGATTGAGGTTAGGAAAGGTCTCTCAAGAATAACATTGTTTTATTACATCCGGGCCGAGTCAAATCTCAGAAAACAAACTGGAATCAACCCTCAGGCAATATTTAAATTCCAATTTTATGTCAGGTCGTTAAGTACTTTCAATTTGAACTTTGAGGTTTTAAAATTGAGTTTAAAAAGTTGCAGTTTTAATTTTAATCGTTGTGAACTACTACAATATATTGTTTTTAATACTGAACGGTAATATATTGTAGTAGTTCACAATGAAAGGCAATATCCTTCTTGTTCTCCTTGACCATGGAACAACCCAACATGTACTTAGATTTTATTTGGCAGTCAGTTTAAGAGCATATACAATAATATTGTCGCTGAACAAAGTGAAATAAAGAGTACCCGTCAAGAAGCGACACACCGGATGTTGTTGTAGGGAGCTATTCACTGCAGCTCCTCTTCCCGTTTAAGTCTCATTTCCTCGTATTTTAGCCGTGCCTTCTCACTCTGAAGTCGGATTTCGTGAAGTTGCAGTTCGTGGTTGAGTTGTGTTTGCAGAAGGTCCAACTTGGCCTTCTCTTGCGCGATACTCAACCGATATTTTTCTCGCGTGTAGCGGAGGCGTAGATCCTATAATAAATTTTTTAATGTCTAATTTTTTTTTTTAAACTTTATTGTGAATAAACAATTACAAAATTTAACGTAAAAACTAATTTATTTACATTTTTAGACCACCCGCTTTGGCAGCAAGGTTAGGTCCCGCAACGATCCAGAAAAACGCCGAAAATGTTTTTGAATTTCCATATTTGATAGAAAATTTAGGTAAAAAATAATTTTTTCTTTTATAACTTTCGCTTTATCCATCCTAATATCCTACCTCAAAATTGACGTCGTTTTGATCGACAACGTCGTCAAACGAGCTACTGGGCGAGCATCGGAAGGCATCTGCACCGTCTTCCATCTTCAACTTCTTATTGGCTTCTTCGTCCGGCGACAGAGTTGGCGTTTGGCTTTGAGTTAATTGTTGTAAGGCAGAAGGATCAAATTGCGACAATATTGTGGACAGTAGATCGTTGTTTGGCATGGTGCTATTGGTTTGTGGAAGTTGGAGTGGCTCCTGAAAGTGGCCGTCTTATTGTTATGAAAGGGTAGGTGTATATAAACGTTTTAGGTCCCAAAATACAATTTCCGAAGTAATTTATGTTAGAGTAATCAAAATTCAACTCTTACCAGTGCGGTTTCAACGTTCCTCAGGCCGTTCCCGCTGTTGTTCTCCTGTTCCGTCCCTTCATTTTCACTTTCATGGCCGACCACTTCCAGAACTAGCTGGTCCAGTTCGTTTAGATTAGCACCTTTGGCTCCAGACATGTCATTTACGTATTTCTTGGCCATTGTGGCCCTCCTGACTTGTTGCCATTCGTTGGCGCGGAGTTGTCGCCAATCCTTCCCCACAAACTTGGAGTGCCCTTGCTGTGTCATAGCCTCTCGGATCTCTTCCCACGCCTTCTCCTTGATCTGGCTGACATCCATGTGTTGTGCATGATCAGGTGAACCAAACAGAACATGTTTTCTCTTGTGGATCTCTTTCACAAACGCCAAATTGGCATTGAAATTCTGTTTTCGGCTTCCAAATGGTGCATTCTGCAAGTTTTAATTTATTTCAAATTTTAAGTTAAACTGTAGGGTTAGTATTTTATGGTTTGGTGTTTATATTGTGGTTTAGTGGACAAAGCTTAGATCATTGTAACAAAAGACAAATATAATTACAATACCATTTCCAAAACTGATGAAGTTACCTAGTTTCATACTTTCTAACCGAATTAACTGTAATCAGAAAATTCAATTTCCGTGTAAAATACCAAACCCAAATCTTATTACTCTACTATAATTAAACTGCTGACCTCGTCTTTGTCTTCCAGCTTCCGTGTCCCGTTGTCAGGGTTCTCATCGACCGGTGGATGACTGTGAAAGTTGTTCCGTGCATTTAGTACTAGTCCCAGTTTGTCTGTGATGAGCCTAGCCCCACATCCACCCCTTTGTGTGCATTTCCAATAGACCCGTGCCCCAGCCGAGCCCTCCCGTTGATAATCACAGTGGTACACGTAACCGTTCATCATTGCCACGAAGCCAAAGCCGCCATGGCGTCGCTTCTGGGAGGGGATCAGCTGTACCCGGTCCGAGCTCTTCTCGGGATCAGCGACTGTCTGTTCTTTGTTGGCTAGTATAATATCAGGACGGGGGAGGGGCGAGAGCTGGGTACCCGGAGCTTGGGAATGGGCCGAGAAAAGGTCGGCTAGGGCCTGCAAATCGACCGCCGGCATTTGGCCCGCATCCAAACGGAGCATCAACCTGGAAGAAGGTAGTGTTATAGACCCTCGCAAGTTAAGTTTTAAAATGAATAAAGTAAAACAGCAAGTTTAAAAATACAAATTTTGCAGCATCACAATTAATATACTACTCTCAATGATGTACAAATTGTAAAAACATAAAATTTCGAAAAGTTGTAATAAAACAGCACGAAAACACTACATATCACAGCATTGAAGGAAATGCCATCTCTTACTATACAAACTTTACAAGCAGAGTGTAGCACTTTAATTACAGCTTAGCTCCTCCAAATTACATGTGCTAGATAAATGTAGTTCACTCGGGAAAGGCCGAACCAATAGGAACAGTCCAATTTCATCAATGATAAAAATAGAAAAGACAACAAACAGTGATTATCTTATAAAACAACCTCCCATTCAACGAAACAACTGCTGATTTTGAGTATTTCGTATCTGAAAACGCTTTTAATGGCTTCGTATCTCTAATGTAACGTGACAATGCAATCATAAATTGCTACAATTACTCCGTATTTTAAAAAAAGTAGTCCTTTCGTATTTTACAATTATTATAAAAATTAAAATTTTGTTTTCAAATGTCTTCAACTGCTCTCAATCGTATCTCTCGACAAACAAAATAAAATGTAAACGTTCCGACCATAAAGGGAATTACGGTATTCGAAATAAAGAGCCGAAATGTAAAATCGAACGATGACGCAACGCTTTGACAATCGGCCAACTCCGGAACGTTATTCCAATTAGTGCATACTCCATTGTACAAAAAGTATCGTTGTTTGTAAAAGTAAAATATTCAAAACAAGTAAAATATGACCTGATAAAGAAGACACTGTAAATATACGGCCCTTCAAACAAAGTATAACTTGATCATAAACGTAAAACACAAATCGTTTCAAAACTTCGTCCTTTAAGTACACCAGCGATCCCGACCTTACGACCAGCCCCAAAACCGATGGAACAGAACACCGAATCACGCTGAGATTACCACGAAACGAGCAGAAGAGATCCGACTTTTGGACTACGAATAAAATGAAACGCGCACAGTGCAATTGCTATTTACACGACGAAAAAAGCGCGCAGTAAGGGGAGAATGGGAACGACGAAAAGGGCCCGATCGAGAATAATACGAGAAAGAACACCTCGCTCTACAGTCAAAACACCCGCCGAAGAGAGGGACGTTACGGCCGCACCTTTTTGCCGTTCCACGATCGGGCGGAACGCTGCTCTCTGCACGCCGCAATCAAAGCCCGAGAACAACAACAGACCCGGAAAAAACGCATTTTTTCTTCACGGCGGGCCCGGACCCTGACTGCGAACGACCCCGCCACGGCCGCCGCCCCCAGCGCTGTACGTTTTTCGCACAATGTTTCCGGGCAGCGTGCGGACTGTCTGCCCCGTTCTCCGCGACCCGCCCGCTCTCTCACGCCCTTCGTTTCTCTCCGAACACGGCCGCGAATACGAAAACTGCCCCCAAATCAAACGAAATAAGCAAAAGTCGGATGAAGGCTAGACCCTGAACCGGCGCTGACTGAGGTGTGAAAAAAAGCAAGGAGCAGCGGCCTCGAGACACAGAAACGACATTTCACGTTTGTTCAGGTCCCTTTCCGAACACCCAACGTTTCAATCGGACCAAGCACCGTTCTTCAAACAAAACATTTCAAACAAAACAGCCTCAGGGGACAAACCTTTACGACTGATTTGGTTAACAGAATCGAATTGAAACATGGCTGTTACAACTACTTTCTTACTTAATTGGTAACAGTTTAAAGAAACCTTTCCATTTTAATTACTTGTCAATTCCCTTTGCTTTTCGTAAACTTTGTTGACGGGCATACTGTAAGCACAACAGTCTTGTCATGGGAGAAAGAATGCTGCACTTTTAGACCAGAGAGACTTTTGTTTTGGTCGAAAAGTAGATAGAAGAAACACGGAAAAGGGCGACATATAAAATTCTATGAACTTCTTGACCTAAATAACAAATAAAAAACAAATTGTTTTGAAAACAAAACGGAAGAATGCCTTTGGCAAATAAACGACAGAATACATTCAGCACTTTAATTCGTGAAACATGGTCAACAACATTTAACGTATGTATCATACGTGACTGCAGCCGGCTCCACAAAAAGTAAATCTTTTAAAGCCAGATTACATTAACATTCCAAACAACTTAACAATGTCAAAACAAAGTTGCCTTAATCCGACTCGTCGTCCGTCCACAAGTCCTCGAATAGCCGCGACTGGATGAGTTCCATGGACGATATAATCTCAAAGGCATCTGCCAGGTTATACCTTCGATTCAATCGAGATCTCAGCTCCTGAGGCGACTTCCCTGGCACGATGGAGCCGTCTGGCAGTTGATGTTTGTAGAAACATTTGTTGCCAAAGGGACAGTCTTCTGCTACACCACTAGCCATATATTTACACACTTTCTGCTTCATGTTCTGTTGGTATGTCGATATGATTTCGTCTTTTTCTTCTTGATCTTCGACCCAGACAGACGACGGAATGATGAAGTCGCTTCGAACACGGCATTCTGGGCACGACCTGCAACAAAAATTGATTCGTAAAATTAGGCATCAATTTTAAAATATTTTTACGATCTAGTAATGTATTTTGTGTTATAGCATTAATAAAATAAATTATTCTTTACATTCATAATAATAAAAAAACTTGCCTGACAACCTTCTTCTCAAATTCCTCCTTCTTTCTCCATTCCCTGATGCACTTTAAACAAAAACAATGTCGACAGTTCTGCAGAATACCGAATCGAGCTCCAATATCCACAATATTCTCCATGCAGATCCCGCATTGTTTGTCACTCGATACCTGCACCATAAAGGCTTCTTTCATTGCCTTTTCATGTTCAGCTAGACAATCTCTGTGATGATTCTTTCTACTTTCCTCGTTATATGGATGTAAAACAAACTGGCAACACATCTCACAGCAATCTCCATGTACTAGTTGGCATTCTTCTCCTAAAAAACATGAAATGTACAATTAACTAAATACTATAAAGTAAAAAATCTACAATAATATAATTTTAGGTAACAATGAAAAGTGTAAATTTAAAATTTCGTTTTTCAATGCTTAAACTATATACTAGCATTATTAAATACTTTAACTTAAAACAAAATTATTAACCGTCACAACGACATTAGAATTTTAAGGTAAATGATGTGGTGGCTCAATATTGCTTACCTTTAGCACATTCCCCACTAACTTCAAAATAAGGACATAACTGTAGTTCAGCTAACTGTAACTTTCGCGGAACAAACGCTGGCGCATCCACTGAGAACTTTAAAGGTTTTGCCCAGGAATTGCACGCTTTGGTTGTAGTAGTGGATGTGTTAGCTTTAGATGAAGATGGAACGTCTGACTTCTTTTTATTATCCTAAACCAACATAAGATGAAAGTTAAGATATACTTACCTGTATATTATTATTAAACCCGTTTCGGATCGATTTGAATTGTAGTTTATTAGTGGCTGGTTTTTGTACAGTTGGCTTCTCTTTCACGTGATCGTATCTAAAAAAGTTGAATTATCTAAAGTCTAACACAACATTAATGTTAAAATAGTACATAAAAAATATAAAGTTCCCAACCAAAATAAACAAAAAAATTGACTTACCGGCAATTATTTCCATATTCACATTTACCCGAACGATAATATTTACATATCATGTCTGGCCGACTAGTTCTGTCATGAGAAAATGAACATTCACTACCTTTGGTACAACAATTGCTCATAAAATACCGACACAACGTTTTATCAGCCATGGTAAACTTATAGTGCGTCAACAAAAAAACATAACTTCCAAAAAGATTTTTATTTTTTACAGAAGATTCTATCTACAATATTGACTGATTGAAAAGACACAACAGAAAAGCGAGAGGGCAACAGAGACATTTCGCTAGACGCTCTTGTTTATCACGTTCTCTCGATTTTTCTGACGCATATCGTGGTGTTGAAGAAATATGAAACAAAAATTCGTCGAAAAACTAATTTTGGTGAATAAATTAATTATTTGTGGTCTTCTTCTATCCTTTACTGGGAATAAAGTAATTTTTTGAATGTAAAGTGTGTGTTACTTTACTTTGGTTTAGAAATTTTATTAAAATTTGGCAAATACCTTTTTTGAAATACAATAGCTGAAAACCTTGGATCTTTTAGTGTTGGCGCTTCTATGGAAAAGGATCATAAAGAGTCGTGTTCGTTAAAATTTTTATAGTCGTTGCCGCGATACCAGATTTATGCGTCGTATAACATTATTTCTCTAATTCAATGTATAATAGTGAAATTTGAAGGGCATGGAGTCGGACGCAGATGTGGACATGGAGGAAGTGCCTGGTGGTCGTTTACCGGTCCTAAATGAAGAAGCTGAGGTAGATGTAGATAATAAAGAACAATTGAATACAACTAACGAAGGTGGAGATGCTGTGAAAATAATGGAAGCGCCTGATTGGCCTTCGTACCTTGTGAATGTAGAATCTGATCTCGAGAAGCCTTTATTCCGACGATTGTTCCATTGGGGACCTATCGCTGCCATGTCTCTTACTGGATTTGTAAGTTTAATATTATTATAGGCATTCTTGTGTTTTAGATAGGCATAACTTCGGTCTACATTCATCTTTCTTGGTGGCCAATAGATGATCCTTTGGCGTTTTTAAACCTTTTTTTGTTTACTGGTATGGTTTACGCTACTGTGTACAACATGGTAAGAGCATCGTACCTTGGCGGAGGATTTGTCACAAAAGGTTGGCATCCTCCAGAGTCCTATCAATTGTCGCGGCTTCAGTTCTGTGCTCATTGCAACGGCTACAAGGCTCCAAGATCTCATCACTGTCAGAAGTGTAATAGATGTGTCATGAAGATGGACCATCATTGTCGTAAGTTTTAAAGTTTTCAAACTTATAAGGTGTGTTTAGTAATGTAGTAGGTAATAAAGTTAATAAAATTGTTTTCATCTTGGATCAACAATTGTGTTGGCCATCGTAATCAGATCTACTTCTTCTCCTTCTTGTTCTTTGCGGTAACTGCTTGTTTCCATGCTTGTTGCATTCTTGGTGTTGTTTTATTCAGGACCTTAAGCTTTGTAAGTCCTTAAGGTGTTTATTATCTATATATAATGTCTAAATATCTTCAAAAATTACATTTTATTAAATTGTAATTGAATTGACAGTTAAATATTGTTTTAGCTGTTTCACGGGTTTACTCGTCGAGAATACTTGTACAACAACTCTATAATCAAAGATGGTACCACCTTCTTTTGTACTGTTTTGGCCTTTAGCTTTAGTGTTGGTGTTATATTGGCGGTTGGAGTGTTATTCTACACTCAGTTGATGATAATCTTAAGAAACAAAACTGGCATCGAGGATTATATTTGTGGGTTTTCGAAAGTTTTATTATTTTTAAAAAATTGTTTTATGCTTTGCTTTTATTGGTCATTTTTAAAAGTTTAGGTATTAAATTTAAATGTAAATTTATATTATTTTAGGTACAAAAGCCGAGTATCGAGAACGAGATGAAGCTGAGGGACTTTTTGTTTTTCCGTATAATTTAGGTATCAAACGTAACATCAGAGAGGTGTTTCCGTCGTTTTGGGCCAGGATTCCAAACGGAAATGGTATTTGGTGGCCAATTAGGTCTGGCTGTACTCAATTTACTTTGTCTGTAAGTTTTAATCGTACAATTTAGGTAATACGTAAATATCACTACGGTATTCTTAGTGTTTTGTATGTCTGGTTACTTCGTTTATACAAAACAGTTATTTTTGATATAAAATACCTGTTACAGGAAGAACAACTCGTTCAAAAAGTGAATAAACGCTTCTACGCCAAGATATACACCATTCAGGACGACTACAAGGGCTCATGGTGGCGTTCATGGAGGTTCGGAGTAAAGACCCTGGTGTGTCAGCCGTGTTCGGAAGAGAAGAGGATTGAAGTGAAGAAGGGCGAGAGCTACGCCATCACTCGGATTCAGCGGAATTGGCTCTATGGCCAGCGACTTATTGAAGTGGAAGATGTGGAAGGTCCCTTCTCCGAGAATCCTTACGCAGCTCGAGCTTCTCGCGATCAGACACGACAAGAAGTGGTGAAGCAGGCCACACAACCTCGAGGATGGTTCCCTAAACCGTTGGCTCGACCTAAGTATCCGGCTTCAGAAGAGACGAGAAAGGACGTCTAAAGCTACAATAAGATGTAAAACAAGAAGGAAGATGAGTGTCAAGACGTCATAAATGCCATATCAATAATAACCTGACTTAACTATTTTGTAGCTGTGATTGTATTTAAAGCTGTATTTGTATCAAACTTACGGGTATTCCCTATATAAAGCCTTATATCAAGATCGGATGCTTTTTATATTATACTAGTTTGGTCAAAAGTAAATATCTCCTAGTTTACCTATTTATTGGCCAAACTAGTCAGTTTAGGTGTTTTGAATTGTATTGTTGTTATTTTTTGTATTTTGTAACGAATGCACTTTGAAGGTCGAGAAAAATGTAATTTTAAAAAGTTGAAAATTATTCTTTCGATGTGTATGATACTCAAGTATAATATCAAACTGATCATATCTGTAGTTCGTGGTTAACATTTTGTATTCTGGCCAAGAAACGGCGTTTTCGAAGCTGGTGACCTCTCGCGTAAATCGGTTTTCCTTATGTTCAAGGTCGTGAAGGGAGAGCTCAGCGACCTTGGAACTGAACCCCCTTCGATGACAGTGCAGATGCTGGGTCGGGGTTAAGAGGGGGAAGGGAAGGAAATCTTGTATTGCTCAGTAACCATTTACTGTGTTAGCATTCTGAGTCAATCATGTTGTTGATATGGGGTTGATTATGGAGATTTGGCCAGCTTAAGCAAGTGATGTTATGAATAATGTTTAGTTCTTTGTTGAGTTAAAGCTTGATTTTAACTTGGTTTGATTAGGATTTGAGTCTAGTTTTTGTAGCTTTTCAACTTGTTTAACAATGTAAATTAAATTAGCATATTTTTCCAAATTCTTCAGTATAATCCTTGACCATTTTTGTCTTCTTTTAGGCGTTTGTTACCTATAATTTTACAATTTAAAGCAAGATATCTTCCTTTTCTATATTTTTCATGTGTTTATTTTGTTTTTGCTACTTCGTATATGTTACGCACTGTTTTACAAAGTAAAGTTCGTATGTTGACATTACCACGCTTTCCTCGTGTAAATTACGAACCTATGGTATCTTATGGGCCGAACCTTGAAAGGAGCAGCGCGCTTGGCTTCATCTCATAATTAAAGGGCCTATAATCAGAGTGGCTTCGGGTGACCGGCTCCCGAGCATGGAGCCGTAGGCACTCGTAACACTCACCTCTTGCCCGTCCCTCTGGCGGCCCAATTTAGGGAGACTGTCAAGACAAAAAGGCGAGGAGGCCGAGTCGAGGGTGCGAGTAGTAGTAGTCGAGTCAAGAGAGAATGCGCGTTCCCTCCTCCCGACCCTCCGGCATTCCTTCTAGTCTGGCCTGACACTCGAGGCCAACGCCGCCCATCTACGGGCCGCTTGTGTCCCACACGAGCCACCTCGACATTCCCTCCTCATTTGCAATTAGAGACGGGTTTGATTCAGGATGATCTTGAGGTAGAGGCCAGGGTTCTGAAGTTTGAGGTTAGGATCTTATGCACGACAAGTTTTGAGTTAGTTCTCAGCTTTGACGTCACACTTCTGAAATTATATGCTGGTCACGTTGACTCTTCATATTTTTTCATTTCAAAAATACCTCATTGCGTCTTGTACGGTGTAGATATGTTCACCATATTGCTTTTGGTCCTACACAGATTGTAGTCATAATTATATTTTTTATTTTTCGACGCCAAACTTATTTGTTTGGTAGAGGGTTTTTAAAATTTTACGGAAATGGTCTATTGCATTACTGTAGATTTTGGGATGCTTTGGGATGTTTTTGAAATTAATTAATCTGTATTACATTTCTAATCTGTATTACATTTCTGTAGTATTTACTCTAACTTTGTTTTTTTTTTCTTTCTCGTCTCAATATGATCTTTTTATTAGCTCTGCAAGTTTTGATAAGTAAAAACGTTATATTATCAAATTTTATGATTTGTAACTAGTCCATCAACTTCTCAATTCAAAATCTAGATTTTACAAGTAAACTTGAACTTTCTACTTTAATATCTATCTTCCAATCTGAATATCTGTTCTGTAACTGAATGTCCAACTCAAGCCATAGCTTCTTCACGTAGACTCGAGCTTCCTAATCGTTGCGTGCCCTCTCCGCCGTCCGTGTGCCATGTAACAAAGGTAAACTCGGCTGATGAGATGGTACTGTTGCCGGCGGCGGGTCGGACCCTTAATCCCCCTCGTTATCTTCTCCTTGACTTTTGCGACACTTCGAGAACCTTGGGCCTGCTCGGCTTCCTTCTCCTGACAGTGCAATTTCCTGCAGCACCAGCCCTCCGTTTGGCCTCGTCAATGAGGAGAAAACAAACCCGAAATGAGAAGTCCGGCCCTCCTCTCCTCTCGCCCGGAGGTTGTGGGTCGAGAACCGCACTCTTGCCACAGTGAAGAGTGGCTCCTACTTTATTTGGGAGACCGGTGGGGGAGAAGCGAGCAGGCTCAGGACTCTCTTCCCCGAGCTTTTATCATTCACTCACCTCTTTATCACTCGTTTCAGGCGACATGCCCGCACCCTTGAATCTGGACGCCAAATACATTGATGCTCTGATCCAGGCCATCCTCGACCGCCATTCCGTCTTGTTGGAAGGCAACGAGAGTCGTCGACTCGACAGAAATCGTCAACGAAGTCAGGCATGGGAAGAAGTCAGAAGCATCGTCCAGCCAATGACCGACCGACCGTTGACGGTCGAAGCCGTCAAAAGTGCCTTCAAGCATAGACAGATGAAGATCAAGCGGATTCTGCAAACAGCCAAAGAGTAAGTCAACTGTGTTTGCTAGAATTATTATTTATTAATTTCAAAATGACCCTTCCGCCTTATCGTAAAGTGCTTCGAACTTTTCTAATACCTTTCATAGTAATATTTTTATAAAAACATAATTAATATAACCTCTTCAGTGATGACAGCGACTCCAACTGGCAACGTCTGCCTGAACTCAGTGGGTTAAGTCAAGCAGAAACTCGCCTCTTCCATTACCTGTCCAATTCCCAGCAAAACAAAGAAGATGCCGATGGTACTGTGGAGGACGACAACAAGGGGTACGCGCTGAATTCGTCAGCTATCCTCAGAAGTCTTCTGGCATTAGACGAGAATGAAAATCGACTTCAGAAACGCAAATTGGAAGCTGATGAATCCTCCGAATGTAGCAGTAAAACGCCAAGATACGAAAGCAACTCTCTGATGGATCTACTCACCAAAAACGTAAGTTAAATAGCTATATGTAAACCATAATTAGATGTGTTCATAGGTTAAGTTTAATGCCTGAACACTCCTTAAAGTTATGATGTTCTCCTTGCATATATTAATGTAATATTATAATTCAGTCGCCCGGATCTTCGAACGAGGACTCGAACAACGAGAACGCCGAACTAAAGGAGGACGAGGCTGGGAGCGACACATCCGAGAAGGAGTTCCTCGCCAGCCTCAACATTCCCCACCTGACGACGGCGTTGGAAGTGTCGGCCACCCCGATCAACTACGCCTCCTCCAACCACAGTGATCAGGATAACGTCGTGCCAGAGGCCGTGATTAACGCTGTGGTCGATCGGAAGGCTGTGTTACTCGAAGATAACATGAGTCGGAAGGCGTGTCGCAATAAACAAAGGTGCGACGCCTGGGAAGAGGTGCGACAGGTCGCGGAGAACGCATCGACCAGCGGGAGCGTGACATTGGACATGGTGAAGGGGATCTTCAAGTACAGGCAGATGAAGATACGAAGGATCTATGAGGAGCATCAGAAGTAAGTGATATGAGGATAAATTATACAGTGCTACCAATAAAGTCAGCGCTTTTTATTATGAATTACTTTGTTAACTCGTACATTTTCAGTAAAAACCTCGACATTAGCAAGTACAACTTATCAGAGGCGGAGCAACGCCTGTTCAACTGGTACTGCACATATCAACCACCTACACATCACCGATCGTCTAACCATTCCGACCCCCAGTCTTCTGATATGATTCAATCAGAACGAACCAAGACTCCAGAAGTCAACACCTTCGACTCCAGCCTTCTCAACTTCTTGAACCCACCCCCTACCATGCCTGACGTCAGCATCCTGCACTTACAGAAGGAAGTACTACAGGTATGTTATTTCTTTACTGTGGTAAAGCATTGTTATTGTACTACCGTCTCAAGGTGACATATGGTACAATCTTAGCCTTAATATTTACTATAGTATATGTCGTATTATATATTCCATGGCCTTCTGTCGTATATCTCTTCGCACTCAACTACCTACGCCATTATTTATTTATGGATTAATGTTGCAGTATATAAATTCACCTGTTCCAGACTCAGAAGGAGTTGTTCGTGGAGCAAACCAAAATGTGTCAAGCTGTTGTTAACACCCTCAATGGCTTCGTCAGCTGGTTGGGGAAGAACCAGCTAAACCAATGTAAAAACTGCAACTCAGGGAAGTAGACGCACATGATCTCAGCACTATTTATTGTAATATCCGGTTATTGTTATTATTAATAAATGTTTATTTTGTTTTTTTTAGTTTTACGCTTTTTTATTGTGGCCTGCGGCCTGTCAATTGCTACATACTTTCATATACAAACTACTTATAAAATGGGCCGAAGTGATAAAAATTCCCTTGAAAGTTAAAGTAAACTCAAAATTTGTCCTTTTTCCTTGACTTCAAAAGCCAAAATACGATATTATCATAAATAGACTTATATTTATTTAGGTACAGAGCTTGTTAGTAAGATATGTAAATGGGTCTTGATGAATACTGTCGTCTGCTTGTAACAAGGCGTCGTACAAGGAAGCTAGAAATATTGTTTTTTTCGTATTGTCATTGTACTAGAAAACATCAACAACTTTCATATTTCGACTTTCGCACCGTGCAGTCATAGCATATTTAGTTATGAAAAATACTTCAAAATTTTTTAAAATTCTGTTTTTAAGCTCATCCTAATTAAACATTACAAACAATAACCAAACAAATAGTAAAACTTACAAACAATAACGTGATGTTCCTTTAATTTACCGTGAAATTGTTGAATCCGTTGACTCAGCTCTTCATTGCCAAACGTATGATACGACAGTCGGCGAGATGCAGCTGACGCGGCGATTAGCTGAATGATAACTGAATTTGGTCGTAGTAAATTACATTACTACTTACATTTAAGGTAAACATTCCCATTAAACGCGCCGCAGCCCCAATTGCCAGTGGCAATCGTCTCCCGGTTGTTCACTTTCACAACGAATCCAACATAAGCCTAAAGGTAGAGTTTAAGATAAGACACAATGTCATAAATTACTATTATAATATTTAGGTAAAGGCTTGTTATAAAAATGTTTTAGGTAATAAAGTTGAAATTACACGTTTATTATTATTAAAAATGTGGAAAACTGAAAATTCTCACTTTTTTCAATTCTCTTTCGACAAAGTCAGGTGAAAACTGATTGTCTCTCTTACTGTAGTTTTTGGCGTCGATGACTACCAGAGTTGAAGGAGCATGACCAAAACTGTCACTAAAACCAAACGCATTATATTTTTAAGCTTAAGAACGTCCTATACCTAAAAATTCAAGCATAAAATAGCTCACAAACTAAACTTTGATATTTTTTCGCTTCATATATTACCGTTTAACAGTGTCAGACTTGTCAATCCCCACCCATTTGAAGGTGTCACCGTAGCCAGTGTACGATGAATAGTCCTCTGCGCCCACAATTAGCACAGCTTCATCGTCGTCCATTCTATCGCACAGCATACACGATATTAGACATTCAGGTGCTATCAGGTATCTGATTTCTTCCTTAACGTATCAAGTAATTAAATGTATTATAATTTACTAAAGAATATCAAAGACATCGTACAATTCAAAAACCAAACAAACCCTATATATATAATGATAATAAAAACGTATCAAAGCAAGTTACCTGCACACATCCACTCCTCAGCACACCACCCCCTATTCTGGCGTTGGCAAACACAGCATGATCAGCATCGAGGTTGTCCTCAATTTTTGTTACCGAATCTACTTCCATATCACTCAAGTCGTTGTCACAAAATGCAAAATTAAATGAAGATGGAAACGATTGTCTAAGAATTGATATTGTACCACTTGGTTCTGTAATTTTTAAATCAAAATTAAAAAGATACCACAAAAAAACTATTATAATTTTTAATTTACAATTAAAAAGCGTGTAAAATTTACAATAAAACATACCATGAGAAGTTACGTATTTGAAGTATGCAAATATACAATTCAGCTTTTCGACCGCGTTCCTGGTCCGTTTCGAATACCACCTAAAACAAGTTAGGATACACATTGACAAGACACGACATCATGAACATAAGTTGTTATCATAAAGCGACAATAAATCAAATTACCGTGTAAAGTTGATACAATTAGACCTGCCATACCGATCCCGTTCCTCTTCGTATGTCAAAAAGAAAGCATGAGCAAGTAGTATTGAGACCTGTCGTTGAGTGAGGGTAACTGATTCGTTCGATCTTTTGCGTAGAATTGGAATTTTCTATAATAATATTGTTTTACGAGATTTCTTTACACTAAACCGTATGTCATTTTTAGTTTATGGTTAATCTAGTAAACAAAGAATTTCAAAGTTAAAGTATCTTGTATAGCTAAAATTAGCATAGACTTACAATAAAAGAATGTGTAACACCGTAAGCAAGTTGAGCAATGCTCTTGATAACATCTAGCAACGACTTGTTGTTATCCACAACATCTCTCAAAGCATCGAACTCACAGTTCTCCAATGTCATATAAGACTTCATTAACTTCTAAATCATCCTTTATGTTATGAACAATAATATTTCTGTAAACATCTGTTAAATAGGATACTAAAAAACACAAATCTTACTATAACATCATCAATGACCAGATCCTCCTTTTCTATGAGATGTTGTAACCCATATCGTATCCTTATGAACCGAGCTGGATTAGTGAAAGGCATTTTAATTTTAGATTCAGGGTCTGGATGCGTTCTAAGCAGTGGTGTAGACGTATGCTCAATGCTACTGTATGTACACAAGAGGTAGTCATAAGGCGTGTTAAGTGTTCGTGCAATTCGTCTCATAATTGTACTGTAAAGCAATGGGAAAAAAATAGTACTCGTAGAAACAAAAACCTACAGTAATAAACGTTCACAATGTTAGTAAATTACAGTAAATAATAATAAAAACAATGCAAAAAAACAAAAAGTAGCAAGAAAGGTTAGACAACCACCACATATAAACACAGAGCATACTGTAGAATCATATATATATTTATTCAACAATCCTAATCAACAACAACAAACTCAGCGCTTCTGAGAATCCAGAAACCCTATAACGTCATGTATTTTATACCGCGACTTCCCTTTCTTCTCTCCCATCTCTCGTTCTGCCTTGTCTATCAGCTTCCAGTCCTGCCACGATATGTACCGTACATGCTTCTTCTTCAGAATATCATCAACAGATTTTGTGTTCTTCTTATCAATGGTAGCGACATCTGCAGCCAACTCTTCTGCTACCAAAAGAGCGTTTCTTTGAGTATCTGCTATTACTCCACCTCCTGCCTACAATAAAAACTGATATTATAGATTCAGTACGACATTCGTATTTCATAGTACTATAATAAAATAGAGCGGTTGTGGCTCAGTCGGTTGTGGCGCCGACTAATACACCACCGGACTCAGGTTCGACCGACCGCTCCGCCCAACCCAGGCGCATTTGTGATTTACAAATGAATGGGTAGTGCTAAGTGCACAGGGCCTATGGCAAATCGGTTGCTTGGCCTACACAGGCTTCCGACTACGGCCTGAAGTCTTGAGGAGCACCTCATCACGACTCGGTAGCTAGAGAAACAGGATCACCTGGATGAGGCCCAATTAGGAACAGCTACAACGGATTGCTCTGACGGTCTTCACCACACCCTCATCATCCCCCCCCCCTCACGTCTTATATATCTTGCGTTGAAAACGGGAATAAATAGTTTTTTTTATATAATAAAATAAGCAGTAAAATAACATAAATTAAAATTTTAAAGTACAAAAGTTTAAGTATAAGACTGACCTTAGCACACCATCCAGTAGCATATACAAGAGCTCCGTCTTCGTTCACTCGACAAAAGTCCTTCAACATGACATTGTTATTCTCATCGACCGGTACTCCGTCCAGATGCATACTTTGAAAACCGATAGCGTAAATCAGCAAAGAACATGGCACAATCAGCTTGTTACCTGTCAGAGGATTCTCCAACTCTAACCGCTCGATTTTTCCTTCTCCATCAAGCAGAATCCTCGTCGGCCGCTGATAAAACTTGATAATACTGTTCTTGCCATTCGTATCACTGACGTCTTTGTGTTTCAACATCAATTCCCATAGTCTCCTGTTCCTTCTCGACGTTTCTGGGTGAGACAATTCTTTCCTCATTTCGAATTCTATAGATTCTGAGATTTCACAAAAAGACGACACATTCTTCAATGTCAGCAGTTCTCGAAGTTCTTTTATCGTAAAAGATACCTAAAAATAATAAGTAAACCTATAAATACCATGCAAGAAAACAAATAAATCGTTTACGTAAACTCAAAAAAAAATGTCTCTCCTCAAAAAGAAAATGTAATGTAACTTACGTTTAGTGGCCCTCTTCTTCCAATTATGTTGACATTGCGTATTTTACTCTGTTCTAAACTATTAAACGCGTACTCAGCTATGTCAGTATGCCTAAACCTTTCAATATCAGACAGCAATATCCTCGCACAATCTATTGAAACGTTTCCATTTCCAACCACTATGGCATCTTCTCCATCAAGCTTCGGCTTCAGATCAGGCCTCTGTCCGTTATACCTAAAATAACAAAATGCACTTTTTAGACATTATTATAATGCAACAATTAGTTTTTTAAGGCAAAATGTTAATCAAACAATGACTCATATTGATTGATTTGTAGACACACCCTTACCAAGATACAAAACTAAACCCGGAATAAACATTATTCTCAGGCTGAGAGTGATCCAATCCCAATTCCCTGGCTCTACTAGCTCCATATGCCAATACCACAGCATCGTAGTTGTTAATCAGCTCCCTATACGACACATCGTGGCCCACATTAACATTGCAGAACAACGTTAACCTGTCCGAGTGACTGTTAAACATCTTTTCGAACTGATTGGCACATTTCTTAACATCAGCATGGTCTGGTGCCACTCCAGCCAACACCAACCCGTATGGCACAGTACTTTTGTCGATAACGTGTAGCGTACATTCCGGTACCCGATTCAGCAACGCAGAACAAGTGTATAAGCCTAAAAGCACAATAATAACAGAAAATTAACGTACCCGCAGGCCCTGATCCAATAACAGCTATCTTAGGCCCAGAACTAAGACATCTAAGAGAATGTATAACATACCTATTGATCATAAAATAAGGTAAACTAAAGGTATACAAATATTATCACTACTTTTTCAAAGATTTTGCGAAATTTTCTCAAAAAAAATTTTTATTTTCGATCCGCGCCCCATGTTCCTATGTATTTAACTGCAGTCTGCGAAGAAAAAGTTATACCGTCGGTGTTTAATTGTTAAAAATTCTCGTCGATGTTTGATGGAAGTTAAAAGTGTGAGTAATATTTTTTTTGTGTTTAATTCGTATTAAAATCGTTAAACATGCAAAAAGTACAATAAAACAAAAAAATGTGTTCAAACTTATTTTTTTAATGTGGCTTACCAAGTTAGTTTTACATGCTTGTAATTAAAAAATAAAGTATTCTGATTTGATAAGACAACTAAATTTTGCAATTTTCAGCATATAAAGCCCGCGTAAACTTCTTTTGTTGGCTCCACCACGAAAGCTTGAATTTGGCGTAATGTAAAAGAAAAAGTTTTTTATTCGGAAAAATTTACATCTTGACGCCGGGTACTTATTGCACTTAAAAAATGGAAGATACTACAGAAGAAGACGGTAAAAGTAAGTAAAGATTACAAATTTTATTATTTTACGTTAAGCTTAATGTCTATTTTATCCGTTTAGAGATCTACTATCCGTACAATGGTCAGAACTACACATTTATGAATCGCTACCGAACCCAAAATGATATTATTACTCAAGCAATTGTTCAAAGTCGATCTGAAGGTCTGGATAGAATTAGAATTGGAGAGAAAGTAGGTATCAACACAAAAGAAAAAGCCGGTAATAGAAAAGTGTCACATTCAATTCAACTGGCTTGCAAGTCTTACCCGGACATGATCGGACAGTACCAGAAGATGGAGGGAAAGTTCAGAATGTTGAGGTAGGTATTTGTTGGTGGTATTACTTTTGCTTTTAGGTATTTTTTCAAAGGAGAGTCGGCAGCCCCTACAGTAATGGCACTACTGTTTAAAAAAGCAGAAGAAGTTATCGGCAAAGAGTTTCCTTTTAAAGTGGGAGAAAGCGTCAAGTTTCCAGATACTACCTTGAGTAAGTTGTTGGAAATGTGGTAACAGTTTTGTTGTACTATTTTGATTATTGGTAACTTAGTTATAATGTTAATTCAGGCACTTTGCGAATCAGTGATGTCACGGTGAAGCGAATGATCATGATTATGGAGTTATTGAAGGCAGAAGAAGTTGTTGTCACAATAAAGAAGTTGACTGATTACATTGGAGCAAGAGAAGCTACTGGCGGATACAAATTTGCAGTGAGTTTTTAGTTTTTAATATTTTGTGAATTTTAGGTAATAACTTTATTAAAATAACAATTTCAGATTGACAAGAAGTCGGTGATGAAGTGTCTGTATGCTTTACAAAAGAAGCGTCTACTTCGAATCTTGTCTGTGGACAACTACTATGAAGATGAAATGAGTCCAACGTTAGAGAACGAGCTCATCTCTAAAGCTCGATCATTCCAAATTGTTGTTTCGTACGATATCAAGTCAGTGGAAGACGACAAAGTCAAAGACGCTATTAACAAGATTGTTTCCGAGTTTCATGCGGAAGGAAAGTGTTTTCCAAGTGGTCATGCTAGGTTTAAAAAGGTCGACCAACCGATTGTTCAGGCTGACGGTGTGCCAGTGGATGTCAGTAATGTTGACTGGCACAATTTAGAGGTGTTACAAAGAGCAATGTTGTTGAAGCACAGTTTTGAACCTCCACGGAAAGCTAAAGTAAGTATTTTAGGTAACAAATATTTAAAAACATTGGCTTTTGTTACTTATTTTCTTGATTTTAGGAAATTGAAGGCGAAGTACAGTATGATCCGAACGTGTCTTACGGGTATCAAGCTAAGATGACACGATGCAGCATTATGCATGAATTTATCTACCGTGTTGTGCATGATGTAGAAGAGACTTCAGATGTACCGTGCTTGTATCACAGATTTCCTCTTGGAAAGCCATTGCCACCTAATGAGTTTACACAGATGGACAAGTTACCTTTGGTTGATGATACTCCGAACTCACCGTATCGATTTGTTGTAGGCATTCCACCGTACAAGGACATTCAGCGTGGCTGGTTCATGTTGAGAGATTTGATGCTGGGAATGCCGCTATCATTATACTGTATGATGATTAGCATCAAACAACGGATAAACGGGTTGGATGAACATCTACTGGACCCAATCAAGCGTCACCTGCCTCTTGGAGATCTGCCTTCGAGTCTGAGGAGGTACCTGTTCACAAGGAAGGCGTGTGTCCAAGCTGAACATATTTGTCTGACTTTGTGTGCCTTAGGACATTTGAGAGTGGGACCGTCGTTTGATAATGGCAGAAGTATGATCGGATGTACTGCTTTGTTCTTCTGTGGCAAGAAGACAGTTGTGTACGATACTAGCTCTTCAGAACGTGCATACGCTGCTGTCACTATGCCAATCGAACGCTACAACAGATACGTGTATGAGTTCAACACAATGCAGGTACGAGCTTTATAAATAATGATTTTAGAAGCAGAAAAGTACTAAAAATGGTTTAGTTAATGTTGGTCAACTAATATTTTTAAATTTAGGACGTGTACAGATACTGGAACCATTTGAAAGCGATTGCTTTGTCAACGCCATTGAATGTGAGGAATACGAATAAAGATCCTTCAGAGATTCCAAACGGAAGCAAGAAATGGGCAGCTGGCTGCATCGATCGGTCGCTGTTTTCCGTAGACATTCATGATCAAATTGACTTTATCGAACCTTATGGTACGAAAGAAGGCTGTGCTGGAATGGATGTCAACTTGTTTGTGTAGGTTATTGTTTTGAATTGTCTTGGAATATGAGAATTTTAAGCGTTTAACTTGATATTATTCTATGTTTTGTATTACTGATGTCAGTTATATTCAGACATTTGATTCGGCATTGGGAATGGAGATCTCCAAAACACGGCGAGTTTGTCGATTGGTTTATTAAGCGAGCTCTCAGTCAAGCTACAGAATACTCGAGCTACGTAGAAGATCGAGTTCAGAAGCTGGAGAAGAACTGGAACTCTGTAGTCTCGTCTCTGTTACCTAATGACACAGTATTGTACAAACAGAAGCGGGCAGAAGGACCAGTTCTGTCTCAAAAAGCGTTGGATGCAATGTCAGGGCAATTCAGAAGACATTATTCAGTACGACGGTCTCTGAATTCGAATGGTGATATTAAGAGGAGAAGTGTCAAGGCTAAGGTCTTTCCACCGGCCGAAGAGTTTCCACTGATTAAGAATGAATCGAATGGGTCGTCTCTGACTGAAGGCAAAAGGAAGCGGACTATGGATCAGGTTGATATCGAAAGCAAGGAGAAGAACATGTTTATCAGGAGTCGGTTCATACCGAGGGAGTACGACATGGTAAGTGAGATGATTGTTGTTTTTATTATATATTGGCTGTTTTAAATTTATTCCGATTTATTAAGGATGTTTTAACTTACATTACAATTTTAGCTTTTAAGTCTATGTTTAAACAATAAAATAAGTTGTTTTACAAAGGTCACTTTTAGTTAGTGCTCATAAGAGGAGTTAGTTTCTTCTTGAATCCGATTCACAGATTCTGGCTGAATCCTACTGTAATGCGCGACGTCATGCACGAGTATGTTCCGGTAGGTTACTAGTCTATCGTTTTAAATGTTGTTGTAGGAAAGTCGATGTAAAACTGTCAATTGTTTAATGGCAGCTGGAGCCAGAGAAATGGTACGACCTGGGAGAATGGCACAGTTGCAGTATATTGTCAAGACATTGGCTTCTTATTCTGTAAGTCTTCTTATATGACGCTTTACGCTTTCAGATGACATTTTATATTTTTTTCGTAATGGGTTCTTTTATTGTAACATACTGTTTTTAGAGCATGATTGAAATCAGGAACAAGCTGTCGGAAATGGTGTTTACAGATGAAAGTGCGAAGAACCAGTACTTCCTGGACGCCTTCAAGAAAGCCTACGAATACATTTTCAAAGAAACAAACGCGATTCCTTCTATCGAGACTACGGATTCTGAATTCGACGACTTTATGAAGGAGCAGAAGCTCTCGGTCGTCATTTCAACTAGTAATGTCACTTCTCATGTCTTTCCAAAAAGGTCGAAAAAGCCAGAATCAGTTGAGGACATTCACCATTGTGTCGCCTTTAACGTCGTTATGTCGTCCCTGATCGGAGACTTTAAAGACAAGGAGAGGAACGAGGGAAAGATGACATTCGAGAGTTTGGTTAACTCTGTGCCGGCCAAATCTCTGACTGAGGTATTGGAAATCGGCCGATCTGACGGGCTGATAACCAGAATGAGGAACACGGAGCAAACCTCTATGATGATGAGGAATCAAGCCACCTTCAGCATATTGTAAGTTGACATATTGTGTTAGTTTATGTATCGTTGTTTTAAGTTACCGTCACTTCTTCAATCATCATTATCGCAATGATTTGATTGATCTAGTTCAACATGGCTTGGTAGACAACTTCCTGGAACAAAAGGCTGACGAGAATCTTGCTTGTATGCTACAATTAATTAGTCAATTGTACGATGACTCAGCTAGTGTTACAGTATCCGCTCCAGCCAACATCGATGATCTCATTGGACATGACCAAGATCAAATTGATGACAAGGTGTGTTTTGACGGGTTGAGGAGATTAAAATTGGGAGTTTTATGGAGTGGATTAGCTAGATTTAATGAAGGTTTTGAATTGAATGTTTAAATTTAAAAAATGATATTCAAATGAAGAATTGTGATGAGTAATATTGTTGCATTGCAGCCAGTAACCAAACAACTTCGAAAACTGGAAAACGCGACATTGCATTTGGACAAGATTAGAGTTGGTGTCAACGACTACGGTAAGGAATGGACATCTGTACCTCCCTTGAGTTCGGTCGTTCATATTGTCGCGCCAAAGTTTGTGCTTGATACAGAAGAAAAGTCTTTGGATAAAACACTCAAAACAGCCGTTTCTTACCTCAAGACGAAAGGAGTAACTCTGGATAAGTTGAAGAAGTTGGTAGATGTCGTACATAAGACCGAGTATCTTGGGGTCACGACTGAACAGCTCATGGTATGTTTAACAATTTGAGCTACATTTGATTATAGGTTAGCCGACCGGTCGAATATTTGATTATATTTTAATTTATAATTTTACAGTATTCAATTAAAGATGCTTTGCACGTTAAACCCAATAAAAACAAAACATAAGTTTGTGAATTACAGGAAACCACCAAGCTGACAAAGCCTGTTCTCCTCATTGTTCTAAATCACTTGTCCAAATTGAATGTTTTGTTTCCTTGTGGCATTGACACTCGTCGGTGGGTATCGCTCGACTTTATCATTCCTTGGATGGTCGAAACCAAGACCGAGCGTTTCTTTATTCGACCGTGGACGTCGCCTGATGGAGGTGTGAATTGGCCTATCTTGAAGTGGATGGCCGAAGGAGTGCTGATGACAGTGTTGTACAAACCTGGAATGACGCTGGAGGAGATCAAAGGCACTTATGCTTACGTTTTGCAGCCTGTTTTGATCGCTGAGATCATCGAGTTCTTTGAGTATATGAATATTGTCAGAGTTCAAGATACTCAGGTCAAGACAGTCAAAAAGATGTCTCCTTTTGCTTGTACGTTTGAATTTTTACTTATTTTGTAGCTAAAATTACTGTACGTTTTGTTAAGCATTTGAACTTTATAGAAAATTGAGAAAAAATTTTTTTTGGAACGAAAATTACAGATTATGAATGAATTGGTTTAGCTACACTTATTGCAACTTTATGCAATTTAAAACTGTATATACGATTTTTAGGTGAGGCTAATACGGAAACTAGCGTGTTTGTCTTGCCTACCATCTATGCAATCGAAAGATTTGCCGCGTTCTTCGCCGACGTGCCGTCCTCAACTCAATTTTTCAAGAAGTACGACGCCAACTATCACACCAAAAAATAATGTACATAAACCGTGATCTCACTATTTATTGTTATGTTTAATAAACTTGTTTTTACGGTAGTTATGTTGATGTAGTTGTTGATTTCAATAGTATATCTTTGAGGGAGTACATTGGGAATGATGACATTATGGCTATCGTTCTTTGTGAAATTGTTATACGTTTTAATAGGATGATATTTACATTCTTACCGTTATAGCGCAACTTACTGGTACTGTTTTTAGTAGCTCGAATAGTAGATGTCTTAAATGGGAAACCAGTTGTCGGAGTTCAAAGAGTCATGGAAGGAAAAGCGAAAGGAGGAGGCGTTCAGTAAAATAGAAGAAGTCAGGTCAAAGTTAGTTGACCGGTCGAATTATGAGGAGAAGACCGGCCTCGAACGGCTCAAAGACTTTTACGATCTGGATAAAGTGTCCTTGGAACGGTATATTGTGACTGAAGGGACGCGGCGGACGTTCTACATCACATTTATTATCGGAGGTCTTCTGAATTTCAAAGAAGTCGAGAATAGGGTGGAACTTTACGCTTCCGGGAAGAACTTTGGCAGTCCTAGGAATCAAATAGTAAGTATATGATTTTTTTATCTGTATTTGATTGTGTTGTTAAGATCTTAAGATATTGCTTGAAGAAAAACATTGTTTTAGATATGTTTATAAAATATTTTTAGATACGAAAGACAGATTTCAAAATTTTGCAATTTATGAAAAACGGGTTCAAATACTCTCTCAAGTGCTCATTTATTTGTGGATTGGTACTGTAAGTTATTTTTTTTAATTTTTAGTTATCAATCTTTACAGTATGAAATTGTTGTCTCAACATATGGATCGTACTATTATATATTGTCATATAAACTGCTTTTAGAGTAGCCAACACGCACGCGATACTGTTAACGAACCGGTTTCAGTACTGGTACCCTCCAGTTGTGACAGGTGCGTCAAATATGCTTTTTCAAGCAGGTTGGTGAACATTCTTACATTGATTTCATTTCAGCATCAGCTCTCAGTGGAATCGCGACGCCTTTGGGGATTAATGGAATAATACAGGCTGGAATTCTGGGAGGTACACTAGGGTACGGTACTATTTGTAGTTTCCAAGTGATTTTTCATTTTTGAGGTCAAATTTTAACTCTAATTCTAAGTTAATATAGTAACTTTGACGATGATAACACATTACTTTACTTAAATTTCAGAGGAATGATATCTAGCGTCATGTTCCTTCTGGGACTTTACAAAAACGCCGACTCTGCCAATGATACCTATAACATCTGTCGAGAAACATTGGAGGCAGAAATGGATAAAAACCAGCAGCGACAAACAAAGATTAGGAACTATATGTACAGTGAAGGGATCAGTGTTATGGCGAGGGCTGAGCACCTTTTGAAACAGAAGGAAGAAGAAGAAAAGTTGAACTCTGGGTTAGATAACATCAGCGACTGAGGCCTTCAATATTGTTCATGTTATTGGTCAGAGTTTCTATCTTTTATGTTATCAACGGCCTTGACAGATACTATAAGCAATGTCTTTTGGTTAATTGTGATTTCAGTTTATACCAAAGGGGTTCTCAGTTTTTGCACCGTGCACTTTCTAAAATATTAGTACTGCACAGTGCGAAAAGTCAGAGAACTTTTGGTATGAGCCAGTTGCTTTCTAATACCAGACATGACAACTGGCTATCTTGTTGTAGAATACAACTTTCAATAGGTCCTTTTTGTTGATTGTTTTGTTGTTTATATTAAAATACGGAGCGATGGTAGCATTGTTTATTAGTTACCCGTCCTTGAAATTATTGAAGTGATTATGTGATTGTGATATCTGCTTAAGTGAGATACGTTTGTGAGTGAAGAGATCATCGCGTCAGAGAGGAGGCGTGTGAATATTTGGGTATCATTTCGGTCTCGGTCACCTTTTTGGTACTCTTGAGACTGCTACCGCGACGAGAGGGAGAGCTGTTCTAAAACAATATAGTTTTAAATGATGCTTTAGCATAAGTTTAAAAACATTGAGGCGTTAATGATTAATTGCTTACTTTTCTATATTCCAATTCACTTTGGTTGGCTATCGTTGGGGCCAGCCAAAGGTAGCCTCGGGTGTCGATACATGGACAGAACATCTTCATACAGATTCGGCGGAACTTTCGGCCGAAAATCGAGTAGATCAATATGTTTGAGGCACTGAAAACAGATTTTGATGTTTATATTTAGCTACAGTTTTGTACTTATCAAAAAAAATTGCACTACTTTAAGATTAATGACATTTCAGGTGACGTTTCCATATATATACTTTAAAAAATGTGTTTGTGTTTAGAAAATGTTGTTTTGTAGTCAAATATTGACAAATGTTACCTGTTGATACAAACCAGCAAGTTTCCAATAGCGATCCTCTCTCGATAGTAATCCTCGTATTCTTTGAAGAACGCTTCTACAATGTTATTTACCCCCGCCAACATGTTGAACAAGATAAACGTGGTCAACATGACCAACGCCATAATCGTACACCGCCTTTCCTTGTCATCCACCCTGCCTTTGCTCTTCGTTAGACTTTGTCGCTTGTGATATGCTTGATGTACAGCCCTGACTACAATAACATTGAAGATGATCATGATCGACCAGGGGATGGCGATCAACAACAGCAGATAGCCATACGTGTTGTATATGGTGATGTATAATTCATTCTTGCGCAGCTCCGAGGCCTCCAGCCGGCCACATTCATTCAGCCGAACTTCGAAGACTGAAGGCATTTTGTAGAGGAAACTCAGACTGGCAATTATAATTAGGATTAGGGCAGCCTGAAAGGAGCCAATTCGATGCCACAATTATTCAACATTAGATGCATTTTTGGAAAAATAATAAAGAAAAACTATTTCTTGGTCGAAAAATGTGTAGAATCGTCTTTTAATGCCATTTTGGTAGTAATTTGTATCTTTAAACTAAAGTTTTGGCAAAGAATAACTATCGTATTTGCAGCTTATCCTAACACAATAAAAAAGATGAAAAAAATTGACAAAAAAGAGTGTGTGTATATAGGTGTAAGCGACATATAATAACATGCAGTTACCTTGTTCGGAGTGCATACAATTCTAGTTTTCAATGGATACTGTACGGCCATAAAACGGTCCACCGTGATGGCTACACAAGTCCAGACACTGGCAGTCTGACTGGCGAGTGATACTGGGAATGTGACCAAGGCCGTGCGCCAAAAGAAACGGCAGATTGAGAGGTTACCCTGAAAGATGGCATTGATTCACAATTTTTTAAAAATTTTTTGAATTTCTATATAAAAATTTTTTTTTGTAAATTCTATGCATCAAAGTACTGTAATTTACACTGTTTTGAGACTTTGGGGGTGCTTTAACTTGTAACTTGTGGTATCCTCAAACAAAGTTTGTACAAAACATAATATGACACTAGAACTCATCTACCCATCCTTTAGATTATATCCTTTGCAATTTTTACAACCTCGAAACAGTAATTTGATAGTAATTTGGAGAGATCATCAATCTCTCGAATGCATTTAGAAGTTGTGCACCGTTCGGCATTCATTGAATACTTAATGTCCTCAAAGTGCGGTACTCGGTTCATTTGCAATTTGTTGTTAATCATTCTGCGACTCCAGAGTTTGATATTATCCCTAATGAATTCATACAAGAATGGCAGTCTTCTGGGAACAAGCTATTATTATGCACAAGTTCTCGGAAGGAGTACTCTAAGGTTTGGAGCCGTGCCATTCTATTATGATGGTGCTAGAATAGTGTTGCATGTGAGGGTTAAACACGTCCATTTAGAGTTGGATTGTTGTCTTATCGCACCATAGTTCTTCCGTCTTAAACTGTACTGAAACTATTCAAGAGCGTATAGTGTTAGGATAGTACTAAAGTAGATATTATCCCCAGTTTTCCATAGTATATGTACTACAAAGGCGCTCTTACATTGTGAATAACTACCACATTGTATACTTTTGCACAATTTGTACAATATAGTACCTACTGTAACTTAAGGTACTATACCTAATACAAACACATTGTTTGTTCCTGTGTTTTAGTTCCTCTCCTCATACAACATGATGATGTTAGCAGAAGCTACTATAGTTTTGCACAAACAACCGCCTATTACCACTAAACTCTGATATTAACGTCGTTTGGGGAGAGAGCGTTTGTTTTCCTGATTAACCGCCAAATTTGTTTTTGAACTGTTAAGCGAAATGAAAAACAACCGGCTGGCAGGAAGAGTCTTTGTCTTCACAAAGAATTTTTTAAGTTACGGAATAGTCTATACATCTTGTACATTATGAGTTATTGCATTATAAGCATATAGCTAGGTCTTATTGGTCAATTTTTTGAAATTTATAGTTGTATGAACCGGAGTTTAATGGTTTATATGATTTACAACATCATTTTACTGTTACTAAGTTACCGAAACGCTTTATTGGTTAAAAAGTAAGTAGAAAAAAGACAAATAAAATGTGAAATTCCATCAAAATGACGTTTCTACGCACTTCTTGACCAAAAAAATAAATAAACATTTTTAAGAAAATTTTAAAATAAAATCTTTTAAAAGTTCAAAATAATTTTAAAGTTCAAAAAAACCTACCGTTCTCATGCACAAACTCATAGGCGGATAGATCAACAATGACATGGCCAACAACAACAAGTCGAACAAGGACAGTCCAGCCAAGTACACGTTGAGCGTGGACCGCATCTGAGGTCGACTGAACACCGTCATGCAGATGATGGTCGCGAACACACCCGGAATGCAGACTAAGGGGATGGCGATGGAGTTGATCAGATGGTCGAACATCAGAGGATCGTCTTCAGGAGGGAGCGGCGGTCGAAGCAGGCACAGCGAGTAGTTCTCGGCCATCTGCATATGGAATGGCAATTATAAGTGAGGTTGATGTTGGCTTTAATTGTGGCCAAAAACTCAAAAATAATAAGAGGAACTCGAAAAGGTTCAATGATATTACACTTGGGAAAGACGTCATCAGATTTTGAAAACACTGTTAACAAGAAGTATCAAGTATGATATAAGAAAAAAAAATTTTTAAATTAAAGAAATATAGATTCTTGCCGTCAACTATAAAGTAGTGTAAATCAATTAAGGAAATAATATCATAATCATAAAGTGTTGTAATAATTTAAAATGGCAAAACATAAACAGAATATCATTCAAATAGTTGGGTCAATAAAGCTGGACCAAACTTAAAAACTAAAAAAACTGCACCATGCAAGCTTTCAATTACTTAAAAATATGAAAAATACGAAAAAAATACTTTGATGTAAACCAAAACGTGACGTACTTGACTAATGTTATAGTGAAAGCCAAATAGTTAAATCAAGCACACTCAACATTGAAGGATAACATACACTTGAGGACCAGTTTTTTGTTAATCAGGAGTATTAAGAAAAACTGTACGACAAGGTCATACTCCAAACCTCAACATTAAAGAAATGTACTGCAGAGTATAAACAATACAATACAATCAATTTCAAGCTTTCATTCCAATTTTTTTTATTATTTAAAAATGTTTTTAAATAAAAAATTTAAAAAATCTACCATTTTGAAACGGAAGTCTAACAACATATATGGCTGGAGACTTATACTTCAAATTTTTTTTTTCAAAAATATTTTTTTTCTCGGTGAAAACCAAAAAATGGCGCAGGAAAATACAAAATTCTGCGCCTTTTAAAAAGAGAGCACAATAAAACGGGAGACACTAGAGAAAAGACTCTCTCTCTTTCAAACGATATTTTTTTCAGATAGCGCAGGATTCTGTATTTTTCAGCGCCATTTTTTAATTTTCACAGAGAAAAAAAATATTTTTGAAGAAAAAAAATTGAAGTATAAGTCCCCAGCCATATATGTAAGATAATATAAGTTTGTAATTGTAAATTTTGCACAAAATAAAGTTTCCAAAACTATGTCACATATACAATTACACAGCATACCGCGCCATATACTACAATATTTTGCGAAACATCATTCATATTATAGTAGATAAGAGCAGCTACGTACACAAGCTCGGGATAGACTCTTTAGTAATACTGCTAATTGGATTAACATGCTCAAAATACAATTTCGAAATTAAAAAGCATAAATACGAAGTTGTTAAATACAATTACGGGGTAATAGTACAGTAAGATGTTACAATATATGTTACAACACCCACTTTTACTTGTTATATATAGGTTTGAAAGTGGCAAAAAATGTTATATATAGATGTATTTTAGAAATGACAAAACTAGTACAAATTTTAGAGTATAAGACAAGTAAAATCAAGACTAGTGACGTCAAAAGTTATCAGACAACCTGCATAGTGCAATAAATTAAAAAATGCCAAAACTTTTAAAAAAATCTTTAAAATTTTTAAAAATATCCAAAAAAAAGCCTAAAAACTTGGCCAAATTGAAAATTCGGCTTCGCATTTCGAAATACGATGCCAGTTGTGACATGTCCCCCTTACATTTGCATAACATACGTCGACAACACAAATTATCGCTTCTGCAGTAAAAATAACCGTACCAAGATATCGCGGTAATTGATATTTACAGTCCGAAGCCGTAATCTAGCTTTGGCCGCAAAAATAACGAATATCGAATAACAGGCCAACTTAGAAACATTGTGGCCAAGTTCTAATTAACAAGATGGCGTATGTTACCGTCTTGTTGTGATAAGCAATAATGAACATGGCAATTCCCCTATATTAATATACTTTGCTTGCCTTGAACGGAAATGAAAGAACATCCCTGACTTTTGGTTATTTTCATAAATAACATGTTATAAATAAGGTAATGTAAACGTCATACTGTAAAAGGCCAACGTCTACTATTATATTTACCAAAGAGCTGTGACGAGAAGGGGGAACCCTTACACAAAACATTTTTTAAATGTTCAATACATCCACCTCTTAAATCACTGTAAAATAAGCTTTCCCCTCCTCCTTCTTCTACATAATTTCACCCCTCCCGTTTAAAAGTAGGCCAAACTTTAAACTAAACCTGAGTTTGATAGTAACTTCAGAGCCTAATAACTTCTACCAGCGAAGAAAGAGCGCGAGTTCCTTTCAGAAAACAAGCCGCGAGATTTAAATGTGTATGCCAAATTTGTTGTACTGAATTTTATTAGGACTTCTGGTTTTTGGTAATTGAGAAATTGTCATCAAAATAGCTCTGAAGTGTAAGGCTACCTTACTATTAATACTAGAAGTGGCAAGGTCAGTAAATACATAGAATTGTAGCTTAAATCTAGACAAAGACGGTATTTCTATATATTACGCTGTTCAAATGATTCTGCGCTCCCTAACACAAAAAATTTGCTTTGAAAGAGCACATGATTATTTGAACAACCTAATATAATACAACAAAACACAAAATACTAGAAAAAGAAAATACAGAAAACTTAAATACCGTACAGTTCCAACATCTTATTAAACTATATACTGTCATTTCTTAATAGTATAACATTTATTTGTCATAAACCCACCACTTATAATAGAGTAAATTCCATAGACACTAACATAATATCAGACATACGTAAAAAGGAAGGAATGCAAGGTCAAGCTTTCAACGATGATAAACATAGCAATCTACTCATAAATGCTGATATACATAGTCAGATTCCCACAGTAATTGAATTATGTAAGACAAAACTAAAGTTTTGCATATACGTTTAATATATTAGGTTGTTCAAATAATTTTGCACCCACTAAACCCAAAAATTTGCTTTGAAAGGAAGCACAAAATTATTTGAACAAGCAACTATATTTAAATACTTTAATACTTTGTAGCTCCAACTACTTTAAAATTGTATATTCTTTCATAAACTTAGGTAATATAAAGTTTAAAATATTATACATAGTAGGAAGTAAGACTGCCATGTTATGCTATTAATTAACTTAAATATTAAGACAGCTCTGTATAGTACTAAGTCTACTAACATAGTATGAGTACTTAGATCTGCTTAATTACTTAACTATGCACTAGGTATAAGTAGATTTTAAACTTTTAAAAAGATTTATACAAAAAAAGAGCAAAACATACTTTGCAAACTAAAGTATTCACAATATACGACTACAAAAGTATATCAATAGTAAAATGTTATTAAAATCAACACCATTACTATATCAGTCTATAATCACGTCATTCTTTGTTAATTACTTCAAAAGAAGCAAAAAACTAGTAAAACACTCTCTTATAGCCTATTACAATATAACTAACATCCCTCTAACATTGAAATGCCCTTGGAATGCCACGAATGCTTAAGGCCAAGAGTTGTGATCGAACATTAGACGATACTTGTTTCGAATTCCTTTCGAGAACATAATTTAGGAACATGCCCAACGAGTTAATTAAGTACAACTGCCAATACATTTCCTGAAACGTCGCTCTCGATCGCTCTTGGGAATGCATGAGTTGGCACTGTCTCTTCAATAACAACCAACAAACTTCGTATCTTCGGACAACCATTAAACATATGTAGCCATAAGTGTGTCATATACTAACTGAGAGATGACATGTCTGCCTAGCTTACCCCATACCAAGGTTTTCGAAGCCTATTTTGAATAATGTAATGAACGTTTTTCAAGATTAGAGCTATTGCAATACAAAACAAGTGTTTTTGTTCATTTTACTGTGACACATTGAATGAAATAAACTTAAGATTGTATCTAAACGTAATCGAAGTAACTACAAAACTTTTAAAAAAAATAAATTAAAATAAGTTCAAAAGCTTAAAAATACCCAAAATCTAAAATCCATGCAAAGTAAACTTCCACAGTTCATAGCACTTTAAAATACTCTTTAATACGTTCTCACTATATCCTTTATAACTAGCAAATAACAGAGATTAGCAGAATAAAGTTAAATCTGTCAGTTTAAACAAAGAAGCTTACCCAACCTTGAAATATCCAAAGTGATAAGAATTTGGCCATAAACAATGTCCTAATCCTCAAGTAAAACTTCCACTGCCAAAATTACTTTTATTTCGCAATCACGGTTCAATTAGTTACAACAAAACGGCCGAAATTACTTGCAAATTACAAGCAAAGGCTTAAAAAGTAATTTTAAAGTTCATAAAAAAGTATTTGCAAGCCAAAGCTCTGAAGGTTCAACATCTTATAGTTTATAATAACATGGAAAGCATCATGAGTAATATACAAGATTTGAGCTTTGCATGGTATCGTGTCAGCTATTGTACACCTACTAATCCAGTAGATGTACAGTGCGTAATACCATCTCTTGTAAATGTATATTACACATCCGATAGATACCTTAATCTGTATTTTCTACAAGAGATAAGCCAAGGTACAATTAAATTTTTACAGAGTAACCACGTATACATACAACATACTGTAAATACGTAAACATGCAATAGGCCGTGTATATTTAATCCTACAGTATGATATTATAGCACAAAACAATTCATAAAGTCGAATATACAATAACGTATGTTACACCAAGATAAGCGGAAGCCCTTACAGAACAAGATAATCACATACTCGTAAGCAAAGTAAAGCGAACTTGGAACATAAATACATAACCGGCCTTGAGATTAGAGACAGATTATCCCCTCAGGGTTTGAGCATGACAAGAGAACAAAGAGACAACAATAATCATATAATTTTAATTAAATTACCAAGTGCTCCGGGCAAAACAACTTCTGTCCCAAGCCGTTCTGCCATGCCTTTCGGACGAAAGCTTTCAAAAATTTTTAAATTTCAAATTTTAACAAAATCTGAAATTATAAAGAAATCTCCTATACCTTCATACTTTCAAAAAAGTCATCAAAAGTGCCACGTCCTGACCAAAAGTATCAACCTGTTGTCAACAACCCTGCCCACGGCATTAAAGTTCTGGCCATTTAATGACACGACTGTCCTAGAAACCAAAGAAAACCATTTTGAGGCAAAAAGGGATGTGCCGGCCCTCCGTCCGGCTGCCTCTAAATAACTGGAATTATTATAATGGGACGATGAATGTGTGGCAAAAGACAAGTCGTTTAGGAATGTGCGGCCAAGACTTGATCCAGCTCCGACACCGCCGCCCAGGCCTCGTCCCAGTAGTGTTCGGCCTGAAAAAAAACAATCCAACTCGATTTGCATGAGTAATGCTAATTGCAAACAATTTCTACTGTACCGTCTACTACAACATCATATTTTATGACGGTGAAGGGCTAAATTAAGCTCCAACTATAACATCGTGCTTTTTGGTTTCAATGTTTTAGATATTGAGCGTGAAAGCAAAACTTTTACTTTATACAGTTTACTACAACATAAAACAAAATTTTAAAACTACTTTAAAATTTTAAAATTATTAGCGTTTTTATGTTTAAATAACCTAAATTGATATCAAATAGTTTTACTCAACTTCATACCTAAGCTACAACTCAAAAAATATCTTTTTGTACCTAAAAAAATATAAATAACTCCAAAATTACAAAATGTAACCAAATTAAAAAATGCCCTCTAGGCTTAACACAATGAAGGAAAAAGTAATCAAATTAATAGTAATATGGTTAAGAGCAAGTTAAAACCCAGAATATTATCATAACTCCAAGAAGTCAAGTTCTGGCCATAAAACTCAATAAAATTGATTTTGCTAAAGATTTTGAACAAAGTTATGAGTGTTCAACCTTCTAAAATGTTAGAACTATATGTAATGCTCAAAGTGATGCTTTAGTCAGCAAAAACCTATTGGTTTAGTCATTTTTTTAAAGAACTATCAATTTTTTATGTTTTTTAAAATAGCATGTATAACATGTTTAGCCTTTTTTTTATGTAAAAATATAACAAAACACTCCGTTTTATTATGAAATATTCCACTTTCACTATCTTTGGCATCAAAAGCTGTAAATAAATTTTAAAGTGCATTTTGTTGTTTACAAACAACTTTCATAAACATTGTTTAGCTGCATGCTTTGTTATCTAAATAATCTGAAAATTCCCGCAATGTAAAACATAACTTTGAAAACCGTATTTTATAATTTATAATACTTAAATCATCATACCTGTTCAGTTTGTGTAGCTGTTTCATTCATTTTCTGTAGATTCATATTGAGCAGAAAGGACCCCACACTCTTTAAAGGATGTCCTTTGGCTGATGATGAATATCCTGAACTGCTGATGCCACTTTTGCTCTCTAAATTTGATACAGCTAGATCAGCGTACGATCTGCTTTTCTTAGACTTTGAGCTTTTGTCTACAACAATGTAATTATAAAAGATGTTGTTGTTAAACGTTTCATCAAACTTTTATATAAAATATTAAAGTTGAAAGCGAAATTGACGTATCTAAACCAATATCTGGCCACAACCACCCCTAACCCAATAAAAGGTCATTGCTCACCATCGGAATGTTGTCCCAGTAATCTCATCATCTTCGGATTATTGCGTAAGTGTGCAATTGCCAGCGGCGTTTGTTTTTTATTATTTTCCAAAAACAAATTCGCACCAAATTCGAGCTGTAACCAAATTATCTTAACCACAACATACGATGCACTTACCAAGCATTGAACCGTAGCTATATGACCGTTGATTACAGCCAGATGTAAGGGAGTGTTACCACGCGAGTCACGTTGAGATAGCACAAGTTTTTTCTTCCGTTTAGACCAGGGTTCCATTAATAAACGTAGGCTTGGCACATTTCCGCTGTCTAAAACAATATTGTAAGAATTGAAATCTTTTTTTATGTGACAGCTTTATCACTGAAAGTAATTCAACTTTTAAAATATTGGCATTAAACTCAAATCTATAGAGAATTAGATCTAATATAATATTATCAAAGCGATAAACCTACATGAAGCACAGTGAATAACATTGGCGTTGTCCAACGTCTGCCATAATATCGCCTGAGTCCCAAACTTTTGCAACAACCAACGACAAATATTAAATTGCGACGACAAGGCGGCTACATGAAGGAGAGATTGTCCTTTAGAAGTGAGACAACCAATTGTAGCTTTGGCCTTCTCTATCAAATATCTTAGACAAGCCAAACTCCCACCTTGAACTGCATACACTGCTGGAGTACACCCTGAAAGTCAAGGATTAAGCATTTTTAACTCTAAAAACAGTGTGTCGTAATCTGTAACCAGACAGTAGTAGCAAGTGCACAAGAAAGTGGTACCGAATGCTCTTACAATAAAATCGCCAGGAAAGGTGTCAACTGTTATCTTTATCTTTTCCCACAAAAAATAGTGTTTGTTTCTCTGTCAAACGTAAACAGTTTAAAGGTGAAGAGTTACTTTTCAGTAAATCTCTTTAAAAACACACCATAAATATCTTGATGGTTCACCATACTATGATCGTACTTAACCACGATCCTCAGAAAGTCTAGATTCCCTCTAGAAGCAGCGACATGGATTGGCAACATCTCCACTTCATTGGCCAGCATTGCCAATTTCTTGCCAAAACGTCGGAGTAAATACAAAGCTATTGTATTATCATTGTGAGCTAATGCAGACATTAGGCAACTAGTACCGTTAACATCACGGTGTAGTACTCTTCTGAGTACTTCACTTTGCGGTCCTTGAAGAAACCTCTGAACTAGATTGAAGTGGCCAAACGCTGTAGCTATCAGAAGCGGGGTTTCTTGGGTTTGATTGTGGAAGTCGAGGAGGACTGGGGCTTCTTTTAGGATGTAACTGGAATATATTATTGTAAGTTTTAGAAAAAAATTTATAATATCAATACTGTTTTAAACTGTCATTACAACAACCCTTACACTATTATGACTATCAGAATCACATTGTGCTCAACTTACTCAACGAACTCGAGATTTCCATGTTTTGCCGCAACATGAAGCACGCTTTTACCCTGCCCATCCACCTCCAACAGCTTCGAAGTGGGGTACCTGACCACACATCCCATATGGCCAGCTCTGACAGCTCTGAACACGGAGCTACAGCAATCTGGAGGAACATACGGAGCTTGGAGCACGGTAAAGGCGTCGCTCCCCATCGCTCATCTGAAAAGCGTTTCGCATAAAGGAAGGTAATTATACTACCATAAATCTAATACGCATCGATCTGAACGAGCTGACTTCTGCTTCTGAAAGCAATCTTCTGGCGTGGGGATGTAGGATAATGTGCCGTGGGTTGTGGCTCACAAGTTGTGGATACATCTTGACAATAATATTTTGTAAAAGCTATCAAAAGTATTTTAAACCTGGCCATTAAAAAACAGTATAAACCTACTATTAACTATAGTGATTATAGTACTATACAAGAAAAAGTTTGCAATTCTTATAAAATACTGTAACTAGCTTCAGTGTACATTTTTCAATTCTGGATCACAACAAAAATCAACGTAAAATGCCTGATTTTCCCAAATAATAAAATGCCTAAAACTCTCCAAAACGCCCCCAAATCACTGTAAACCCTTTCCTGTCCCAAAAAAAGCCGACTTATTGCTCTACAACTAATAAATCAGATTCTGATGAATGAGGAAGAAGCGTCGGAAAGTGCGCAATTCTCGCGCGAATTTTAGGGACGGGGGGCGATTAAAGGTGACCGCAGTAAAGCAGCGTATCCATTACAATACCACGGTGAACCCAAGGTTGCACGCCGCCAATTAGCGTGTGGTAATGTCCATTATCCCGGATCACTTTCGAGAGGGCATCAGCTGGATCTCCCATCCTCAAGGTCCAGCCTTGAATGTTTGCGTTTGGTTCGTTGTTAAGCGAGAAAACAGCGAGAAGAGCAAACATTATGTTTGGAATACAATATTAATCAAGGATAGTAACATCGCTCACGTGACAGTACACTATTTACAGCTAATTCCTTGAATAAATACTATACAAAACATACAGTCATATTTGTTGGTAAAGTAAAAGTACAGTTACCATAGTAACACACTTACAAAAGCAAACTTGATCATGCTATCGCTATCATATTACAGTTAACAAGCTTCCGCAAACTTTAGGAGAATTACATAAACTTTAAAACAAATTTGTTAGTTTAGATATAGCCACTATACTCAAATTAGTTTGTCCTCTATTAGGGCATTTTATGCTTGTGTTATACCATGATTAATTTGAGCTGCATAAAATTAAAATATTATTTAAAAAATTCTTGTTTTTTTTAAATACAAACACACGTTTTTTTTACAGGAAACGTTGTCAAACTTGTCTTTTTAAATTCTGAAAATTCAAAAACAATAAAATCATAATTTCTTGTCGAAAATCAATTGTGATACTTCGCTTATTTTGTATCGAAAAAGCGAAAAAATTAGATTTTTATTTTTTTTCCGCAGAAAAATTTTCATAGTGTGTTTAGTGTTTGAACCCAAACGCATTTGTATATTGTTGAATTGTTGATTTTTTATTGTGAGTTTTAATAGACTTTTTTAATGTTTATTTCATATATCTTGTTTTAGAACAATAATGTTGCTTGTTTTAACTAGAAAGCCATTATCTTTGGTTAATTTTAGATATACAATGGATTTCCAAAATCGAGCTGGAGGCAAAACAGGTGGTGGTGGAGTAGCGTCGTCGTCAGATGCCAATGTAGATCGGCGAGAAAGGCTTCGGTTGTTAGCGTTGGAAACGATCGATCTTCAGAAGGATCCGTATTTTATGCGCAATCATTTGGGTGGATATGAATGTAAACTCTGTTTGACACTGCACAACAACGAAGGATCTTATTTGGCACATACTCAAGGAAAGAAGCATCAGGCCAACTTGGCCAGGAGAGCGGCTAAAGATGCGGCCGATCAGCCATTTGTTCAGCTACCACAATCGGCCAAAGTTGAGCCGAAGAAGTTCGTCAAGATTGGACGGCCTGGTTACAAGGTGACGAAGGAAAGGGATCCAGTGACGGGTCAACAAGCTTTGTTGTTTCAAATTGGTAAGGGTTCATATTTGTTTCTATTTTTTAGGTAACAATTCCTTTTGTAAAAAAAAATTTTGTAAAAGTTAGCTAAAAGGTAAATACTTTTAACAGGCTTATTTATTATATTTTTATGTGAAGGGTTTTTTTGTAGTAATTATATTATTTTAGACTACCCGGAGATTGGCGAAGGTATAATTCCGCGACATCGTTTTATGGCCGCATATGAACAGAAAGTTGAGCCTCCAGAGAAGCGATGGCAATATCTGATGTTTGCAGCCGAGCCTTATGAGACAATTGCTTTCAAAATTCCATCAAGAGAAGTCGACAAATCAGAAAAGGTGTTTTGGTCGTTGTGGAACAAAGACAGCAAGCAGTTCTTCTTGCAGTTTGCCTTCAGGAATGTTGTTGAAGATCACGGAATGAGGCCACCTCCCCCGGCTTTTATTCCTGCACCACCTCAGCCCGTATTGGCCCCGCGTTATTGATCTTATGTTATTTATGACATTCACTTTATTAAATATCCAAAATACTTTAGAAAATTATTAAAATTCGGTCGTAGATATAATTTGGAAATGATATGAATTTATTCAAATCAAAATTTGAATAAATTCATCTAGGTGTATTATATTCCCATGTAGTGTATTATATTACGGGGTGTATTACACTACATTAGCCCCGAAAATGGTGTCACAGGTTGCTTCAGTAATACCTTTTTAAATTTTGTATGATACTGTAGGACTACTAGTAAATTGACTAAACCTGGGGAAACTTGAGTTAAAGCAATTGTACTTTACTTTCTGAGTACTAAAACTAATATTTAGGTTTTTTACAACTTTTAGAATACCACATGTCACCGAAAATATGACTCTAGTACAAATTTGTAGACCAAAGTTGAAGAAGTACAATTTGATATAGTTTTGATAATAATTATGTTTAAAACTTAATATTAAACGGTTACCATAACAACCGTTACTTTGTTCGTAGCAAGAGGCGGCTATTTTTATAAGATTGCCAAGTCTTTTACCCAATTGTTTTCCAGATAATAGGATTGTGCTGTACATTTATAGTACTAAACTACTTGAAAAGGGCTTTTGAAGACATTTTAAAATGCATTTTTATTATGTTTTATACGAGCTTTTGATGTTTTTCAACTATGAAATTGAATTTCGATGTATTTGTGAAGGATAATATAGGTGAAATGTCTTTTTACGGCCGAATTAACCTGGTTTTAGTGTCATTATGGCCAAATGCGTAATTTTATGTGCAAATAAACCGTGAAAACAAATGTTAATTGGGTTTTACATGTGTTTGGCAACAATGTACAGAAGACTTATTAAATAAATGTAAAAATAGTACTTAATATGTAAATCTTATTATTGAAACAACTTACTTTGTTTACTATAGCTGCCATGTCACGGTTAGGGAGTTATTCTCGAACTTTGGACGAGATCTTTGCCATGAGTGCACCAAAGCCGAGACAATCCACAAATGGTTCTAATGGTACTAGTACGACGGGATCTAAAGGTAGCTATTAGTTGATATATCTTTTGATACTTCTATTCACTTTGAAGGCTTTAAAACTAATATTCAAATGTTATTTTCAAAAATGTTTTAATTTTGCTATAAATGACAATTTTATACTATTAACTTAAAACTTGCAACTTGTGTGGCTACAATTAGGTTAGTAACTTATAATTTAATTGAAGTGTTAGAGTCATCCCGTTCTCCCATCGCCGCCTTGGGTGACAGGCCCACTACAAGGCACGGTCGAAGCTCAGAGTCTTCATCGTCCTCAAACAAAACTGAAAGCAACAAACCCGAAAACAACGAGGTAAGACTGTTATTACAATATTATGTACAACTTCAATAATACCACAACTCCTACCTAATTAACCGTATTACTAAAGCTATTACAGAATTCTCGCAGTAGAGTAGATGTGTGGACACGAGAGGACAGTACGGAGAAGGTGGCTGGACAATTAGATTCTGCAGAGTAGGTGCCATTCTTGGTGTAATAGAGTATGTCATGTGTAACATTAGTACTTTTATACAAATAGTTACACTTTTTGTGTAATATTAACGTGTCTTAATCATTTAGCACGTTTTCTGTCATCTTATGTTTACCGATACTTAATGGACTTTGTGACACTGAAGTATAATTTTAGGTTGATTCGTGCCTTAGGCTCAAAACGAAGAAACATAGCTGATTCTCCAATTATGGAGAACGAATTGAGCGAGATCTCGAGCAACTCCAGTGATGCCAGTACCTCAAACAACGAAGTGAAGCCGTTCAATCAGAATCGAAGCCTCAAAACTACACCGTCATCGAACCCCACAACAGCAGAATCCTTCAAACTTCAATCGATTCACACAGCCACATCCTCGAGCAGTAACAGTAGGGATAGCGAGAAGACCGGCTCCAGACGATCGTCCTTGAAAATGGCTTCAGTTAATGGTTCCACGGAGTCAAGGGAGGAATCAGATGAAGCCGATCTACAACAAGAATTAGATGATGTTGGTAGTGTCGTATCAAGAAGGTCATCAATAGGGTCACACAGAGATTCCACAGGGTTCAAAAGAGGATCAGTACAGTCAAGAAGGGATTCAGTGGGGTCACGAAGGTCATCTACAGGATCAAAGGCTTCAAAGCAATCGTTAACAAAGGTTGAAGCGATTACCGTACCCAATGGTGTTACAGTACGAAGTGATTCTGGTAAAGGACAAAGGAAACTGGGAAGTGCGATAAACCAAGTCGAAGTTGCTCAAAGCGGTCGAGTGAATGGATTGCCCAGTAATCGACCAACTACTTTCACCAAGGATAACACAAGTGTTCAGGTAGGTTATAGTTTACTGCGGGGCATTTTGAGGCATATTTATTTTAAAAGTGACTATTTAAAATGTTTTTAAAGTATGGTTTATATAGTAAGATTACATATTTATTCGGACTAGTAATGTAAAGTTGTGGCGGGAGAGATGACTGTATGTTTACTATATCAGACTATTATTATAAAATATTGCTGGTTGATAAGAAAGAAGATACAATTTTAAAAAGCACTTTGTACACAATAATGTTGTAGATGATATCTGAAGGACCTAGAGACTTAAACAATATACTATCTAACAAATTGAAAGTTAAGATAAGTATTTTAGATATTGAAAGGAAACGTGATAAATGATAAGGTATCCAGTTTGAATAAATATTATTCATCTTCTTCTAGAAAGTAGGCTTCTGTCGATGTTTGAGCACATGGCTGTTATTAATAGTTGAAAGTATCCTAGGTCTATTCTTATGATTCTGAAGGCTGAACCCAGCCTCCAAACCTTTTTTCCATATTCTGAGCTACTTGACATAGTAAACTCTCCGATCCAGGTCCTCCAACTAACTGAACGGACAATGGATATCCATTATTGTCTTTACCACATGGTACGGCTAGTACTGGTACTCCTAGCAGGTTGAATAGAGTCGTGTAGAAGCTGGGTAAGATACCGTAGGAAAAGTGGAAGTAATGGGTATCTGGCAGGGCGGGGAAGACTAGTACGGCATCATCTAAATTGTATTATGTTAATATTTGCATAGTTACATACAATATAGTCATCCAATAGAGGTTACCTTTACCTTAATGGTGGTAAAATGATTTTTATTAAAACTATAAAAATAATAGTAAGTGAAATAATATTTATGAGTACTCTGATACTTACCTTTAAGTTGCTGTAGCACTTTTTGTTTAACGATGGCCAATTGTCTTTTTGCTTCTTGATTTAGGCCCTTAGGCGATTTCTTTGATGCCGAGTAGAATGTCATCAGGAGGCCAAACGATAATGATGAAGCCCCAGTCAGTAGCTTCAGAAACTCTTTTGGAACTTTTACTGATTCGTTCTGAAAATGTGATGGTTAATATAAGTTTAGTTGAATTTTGCTATAAGGCACACAGTATAAAATGATTAGTTAGATATATACTAGCTTTTTCAAATTTAAGTTTTTTTAAATATACTTACAGGTGAGAGATAGTTGGGGATGTCGATACTGTTGGTTATCATCTCCTTGTAGATCACAAAGTATTCTTTCAATGACTTCACCAAGTTAAAGTCTTCTATCTTCAGGGTATATTCTTGGGAAAGGTAATCGGCTACATTATTCGTTACATTTTTGACTGTTTTACTTAACCTGACTAAAGGTTTGGCTTCTGGGGTACATAGGTATAGTCGGGACGGTTTCTGAGTGGACGGGACGGCAGTTATCGATGTGCAGGTTAATACCTAAAAATTAGTTCATTAGCTTAACATTTAAAGTTTTACTTTGGTTCACTGGTCCAATTTTAAGTTTTCGGAATAAAAACAAAAATTTGCATGGACTTACATTCTGTAGCAACATCAAGTCCTCGGCATACCTAGCCATAGGTCCAACAACATACATTCCGTCGCTTCCTTCCCCCAAGTTCACTTTAGGTATAGTACCATCTAAAGGACACGTTTCATGAGGTTTTAGTCCGTAGACACCACACAAGATGGATGGTACTCTAATAGAACCCCCTAGATCAGTGCCAACTCCAATCAGTGATCCTTGAGCTGCCAACAGAGCAGCTTCACCTCCAGAAGACCCTCCACAGATAGTACGGGAATCATGGGGACTCTTGGTACGGCCGAAGACAGCGTTATCAGACTCGAAACACAAACAGCCTGGGGGTGTGTTGGTGTAACAGATGGGGATGGCTCCAGCTTGGAGGACTCTGAAAATGAATGCGGTTACTGTAAGGTTTAGGTAGTATAGTACACTATGAGGATTTAATGTTTACTCTTCTGATAATACAGTTTTTGTTCTAATGACGCCTCGTTCCTTACCGTTCCACGGCGGGCGCATTGCAGTCGGCTTTGTTGGCGGCTCTCAAATGTTCCAAACCACATATGTTCTGATGACCTTTGTAATCGAAAACATGTTTGATGGATATCGGAATTCCGAACAGAGGTCGACTTTTCTCCAGCTGCAAGTAACGAAAGAGTTACCATGCTATCTTACGTTGTTGCAAAAACAAAAACAAGTTATTCCGCGCGAAAACTACAGTAATCCTTTTAGAAGTAAATTTTAAAAACATTAAAACGTTATTTTATTTATATTTTAAGTTTTACATTTTAAAAGTTCAAAAAATCAATTTTAAACCATGAAACTAAAGCTTACATTTCTAATTTCTTCTTCTGAAGCCAACGCGATATACTCATCGACGGCGATGGCCATAGTCAAAGCTTTGCCTTCAAAAGATTCTGTGACAGCATTGATGTAGGCATTCACTTCTCGGATTCTGTTTAAGTACGCTGTTACGAGGTCTGTGCTCTTTAACTGAAATTTGATGATGTTATGGGTACCAAAAATAATGGCAAAATTGAATAGACGCGTAAAATTGCTGAAAATTGCGTAAAACAAAGCTTTATATACATATTGCATTAAACTTTAAGTCTTACTGTACTAACAATAATCAGAATTTTTATTGCACCGTACTTACCCTTCCTTCCCGTATGTCTTTGGCTGCATTTGTGGCACTTATGTTAAGTAGAGGCTCTGAACTTGCTGATACGACCGTCTTTTTGGCATTGCTGGCGGCGAACTTCGACACTGCCAAACATGTCACTTGTAGTGCTATGGCACCTGGATCAAACTGAAGGATTAACTTTAACTTCTACATTTTGAACTAATGTTAACTTGCAATTTAAGGTCATTGTGAATACTTCTATTTATAAACATTAATGTTCACACTCATGGTAACTCCATCTTCTTACTTTTTTCTGGTTTAGGTCTATCAAAAACACGTTTTTGGTTATATTTTCGAAAACAAGGCTACAATCACGAGATCACAATTCTGAAACCGCGATCCAAAGTCTGCTACGTACGTATTTGGCTTACTCTGATAAATCAACTATGTCTTTCTTCCTTTTAAAGTCCTTCCTCTATGTTAACCTACCTTATTGAAGGGTAGTTTGGGCAGGTCGTTCTTTGCTGCGACAACGTCTGTTTTCATGGTATCTACAAAGTGCAAGTGTCAGTTAAGCAGACGGCGATAATACGTTTAACGTGACAACCGAGAACGAATACGAAGCGTGGTCGATGACCAAAGTGTTTGCAACATGAAAAACGAAAGAAGACGACGATGTTTGGTGACTTAAAATAATGTTTACAGTTTCAGAAAGATTTCTTACAGTATCAAAATCAGTTTAACAAAAACCTGTTTACACTATCAAAAACTTTGTTTACAATACCAAGGTTATCATGGGAAATCCAAAAACCACAAGTTACATAAAGTTAAAACAAATAAGCTTAAAACTCTCATTACGGCTTCAACAGAAGTTACAGTATACTTCTCAAAAGGGAAATCACGAAACTACAGTACGCTTTTCAGAACCTCAAAACTCTTCAAAACGGCTCCAAACCTCAGGCATCGAAGAAGCCTCCGACGCCGGCTACAAGCGCGTCTTCCACGAAATCACACACGAAGCGGTCACAGATCCTCCCACCGACCGGTAAAGTCAACTCGATTGATCAGAAGAATGTAGTCAAGAGGAACACGACCCCAGCCACCATCCCCAAACGAAGTTCAGCGTCGATTCGAGGCCAAGGTTTTGAGCCTCGAGCTGCGACAAGTGGAAAGGAACGCTCCACCTCTAAGCCTACAGTAAGCATGGTACTGAGCAACAACAGCGAGAGTTACAATGTAAGAATATTCAGGTTTGAGTGACGTTACAGTAGTTAAAAAGACGAAACTATTTGCATAATAAGAAAAAACTGAAAGCGAAAAGATAAAGAAAAGGATATTCTACAAGATTTATTGAGGTTTGATAACGGATGCTTGTAGGTACAGAGACAAAAATAGGTACGAAAAGCCAATTTATGAGTGGTAAAAAGAGAAATTAACTTACTATTCTGGCTGAACAACAGCTTCAGAGCTTTTCGAAACATCATATACTACGGGCAAAAGGCATGGTTAGTACGTGTACAATAAGTTTCACCGAAGGAAAGACAAAACAGTGTCGGGCCAAGTGTTTCTCTGTTTCCTAATTTGTTTACCAATTATTTTTCATAAACAATGCAACACTTGGCCCAATTACACAAATTTTTCAAAATTTTAGGAAAAAAATAAAATAGGATCAAACCTGTGTACGAACGGGAAGTTTGTAACATTCCCTTGTAAGATTACAATGTTTTTTTTATTTTAAAATTAAAATTTCAGATGTGGCTACAAAGGCATCTGGAGAAAGAACGGCAGAAGAAGTTGGAAGAGAAGGAAAAGCAAAAGGAGGAAGAAGAGGCAAGTAATTGAATTGTTTTTAGCTTAAAATTTCATACAAAAAATACCGTATAGTCGCCTCTATTTGAAGAGATACCGTTCACTATCAGATGGAACAAAACATGACTGTAACAAAAATGAAAGTAAATGTGACTAGCAAAAACAGCTACCTTAACTTACTGTACACTATCAAAACAATATCAAGTGTAAAGTAATCCAATATCGATGATATATAGCTCTCAAAATGATCCCAAAACATTGTGTAACATGTTGTTTCAAGTTTTTGTCATAACCTAATGTTCGCACGTTTTAATTTACTATTCCCATCTTACACACAATGTGAATGTCTGCGACATTGCTCAGTTGAACCCCCACGAAACAATTCTCTGATCAAAGACAATCCCCCACCCATCAAACCCCATTTATAACATCATCGAGGCGCGCGGCGTGCTGTAACACCGATCCCATTTTTCGAAAAAAAAACGTAATGGAAAATTTTGAAATATGTTACACACCGCCGCCCCGTGCATGTACGTATCTTCACGACAGTTGTTAATTTCAGCGCAAAAAGGAGCAGATGGAGAATGCGGAAAGGGCGTTCCGTCAATGGCAAGAAGAGAATCAGCGACGATTCCTCAGCCAAAAACAACGCAGAGAGCGCGAGGAACGAGAGAGTGCAGACAAGAAAGAGCAGGAAAAGTTGGAACGGCGACGCAACGCCGAGAAGGTACGGTAGCTTCTGTAGTCAAAACAATTGACAAATAGCTTCTGTAGCCATAAAATTAAAGTGATTCTTATAGGCAATACTTTAATTGACTTTGTAGTGAAAGCCTCAACAGCATTCTGTAGCTATAATCAAGATTAATACGATCCCTTTCCTAAACTATACCAAGTTATTGTGATATATTTTCTGTTTCTATGACCTCTGTTCTAAACTATACCAAAATGGTTGTCTTATACCTTGTACATGATTAGACAAAATAAAAACTATAAAAAGTACGGTAATATACGCTGTACGGATATGTTTTTAAACTTAAGAGTTCATCTTGTTAACTTTGTATAAACAATGACTTACAAACTCAGAAATTAACTTATTTGAAGATCAATGCTTAACTAGATAGCTTCCTGGTATTATGATTGTTCGAACTGTCTATAGTTAATTTGTTTACAGAAGCTGAACCGATCTCTATCTAGTAGGTCAAGTTAAGGTATGTTTTTTACGTATTGTACGGTTCACAGAGTCTACAACCAGTTCCAACACTAATATCTATTTAGCAATGCTTGTTATTACCTAAAATATATTAAAGGACCAGTTCGCCCATTCAAATATCATTGGCATTCTGTCGCAAAAATTCGACGTTCATTTTTTTTCGCAAAAACCTGAGCAGGTCGGTCCCAAATTGGAAAATTCATTTCGACACCGACCCACTCACGTTTTTTGAGAAAAATGATTTTGATTGAAATTGCCTGATTTTCGACGCTTTTTGCGACAGAATGCCAATGATATTTGAATGGGCGAACTGGTCCTTTAAGACTTATTATTTCATTTTCGTTCCATTGACATAATAATACCTAGAATGTCTAAAGTTCATCGTAAAAAGAGTTAATATCATCAACCAGGGACGTCGTTTGGGGGAGGGGGAGGGGTACCCCCTCCCCCAGAGCCGATCCGAAAAAAATTGCACAGGTAGGTACCTGTACGCGAAAAAACGAAAAAAATTTTTTTTGAAAAATCGGTCCACAGGAACCTGTGGAAGAAAAATTTTTTTTCGACCTCCCCCTCCTTCAGAGAAAATCCGTAGCGACGTCCCTGTCATCAGCAACAATGTAACCATTTACTTTTAGACCTTTGAAACGTGGAAGAAGCGACAAGAAGAAAAGTTGAGGGAAGAGAGAATCAGACGCCGCCAAGAGGAACGACATCGTGTTCACAGTGCACAAGAAGAGAAGCGGCGTCAGAAGGCCGAGAACCAGAAAGTGTACCAGAAATGGGTGGAACAGTCGCTACAACGACAACGTGAGATAAGACAGATGAATCTGGAGAGAGAGCTAGCGTTGAGGAAACAAGAAGACGAAGAGAAGGCTTTCAAAGAAGGACTGGCTTCAGAAGCCTATCATCTGTGGCTGGAAATGAAGGTAGGTTTAGTGAGGGTTTTGAACGTTTTGTAAGAAGAAGAATAGAGCGATTTCATAGGTTTATTGATTTAGAATAGAATGTCAATTTTAAAATTTAAATTTTGCAAATTTCATTCCATTTTTAAACTGAAAGCTGTAAATTACAGTACACGTACTCTGTCATACTTTATTTTTTCGCATTATGAACACCTTAAAACATAACAAAGATAAGCCTTGAGGTCTAAAGAAAATGAATCACTTAAGTTTGAACAAGTTTACACTGTTTTCCTTGAACACTGTCTGATTTGTTTATATAGATACGTATAAGTGCACACCTCAACGTATACGAACAAGCTGTTCTCTGGTAACGGGATTACTGTAGAGCGAACTATCAAATTTGCCCAACTCAAAGTTTGCTTTCTAGTCAGAAAAGTAAAGGTTTCAGCTCCAGTATAATATAACTCTTACCAAAAATTGAATTATAGGTTTATAAATAATAGAAAAATGGTACCTTATGTAACTTCAGCTTATAAGGATTGTTCTACAAACTTTTTGCCCAATTTAAGAGAAAATAACTTATAAAAAATTACTTTATCCCAAATTACTACGGTGACCTTAAGTTTCTGAAATGAACGTATTGGTGTAAAATAACCGTTTCCACCAGAAAGTTGTAGTATATAGTCTCTGCCAGAATGTGTAATACAGACAAAAGTTTTAACATTCGCGAGAAACGTGAAGAACATGCTGGTTCCTCTAATGCGAAACATATACGTTGTGGTAGTCGAAAAGGTCAGCGAGTTAAGCAAATCAAAGTTAAGAATGTTAATTACCACCAATTTCATATCACTGTGTGTGACGCAGGGTACAGTAAGACAAGTGAAAGTTACACTTTAGATGGGTTTTGGAAATGTAGTCTGAAAACTACTGGTTGAACTAAAACTATACTAAACTACTACAATGTAAACCTTACGATTTATTACCTAAATTCATGATTTTTAAGTGTTAAGCATACATTCAAAAAGATAATACAATATTGATAAGAACCAGTAAATACTGTAAACTGGCGAGAATGTTGCCATTTCCCACGCGCCCTTAATATGTTCCTCTTACTCATTGATTGACAGTTTCGGTTATTAGACACACAAAACATAATTTGTACGTATCTGAAAGTAAAACACAGTTGTGCCGATATCTTGCCGCGAGATCGAGTGTGTTTCCTTTACTTTTGTCAAAGTAACTTGATTGACTCAACTACAGTAATCTCTATTTATAGAGTAGAGTATAAAGTTCACTTTTCACATTAGTGTAAAGATAGGTAGATTGATGGCTGTCTATGAAGATCAGTTCGAGAGTTTGATAAGATTTTGGATCTTTTTGGCTTAAAATGGCTCTTGAATCACTTCTACTATTTCAAACGGATCTTTTCACAAAATTTGAGTGAAATTTGACAGAAAATAAAACATTCAAGAAAATTAAAATGACTGTTTCAGAAGAAGGAAAAAGCCTTCTCAGAATCTCTGGCGTACAAGATTCTTGACTTTGAACACGAATCCAAGAAGCGATGGCCAACACCGTGGATTCCTACTGGAAATACAGTACCCCGCCGTTTCGTCGGCACAGGAAATCGGCGAAGAACGCTGGAGAAGCCACTGAGTATCGTACAACAACGTGCAAAGTCTGTTTACTAAGCTTTCGATGTTATAGTATATAATTGTAAAAGGCTGAGGGTAAATAGACTGTCAGGTTACTCTAAAAAATATACTGACGATAAGAAGTATGGTAACAGGCTTTTATGGTAAAGGTACGGTACTGTTTAAAGTGGTAAACAGACTTTCATACACGTTTCATTGCTCAGATCTCATTAATTTGTTGTAAATAATGTTGAATAATATGATTTATGTACACATTTCCTTAGGTTTTTTATTTTTGTTTAATTTTGGGATTCAAAATCTAGACTTTTTTAAATTATAAACTTAAAATATGTAAACAGATTTAAAGTTGCATAGTTTATTGAAAGGTAGTTAAAAATATTTACATGTCGATTATGCTTCTTGGTAGGAAAACGGCATTTACAATTTTAAATTCAGACTTTAAATTGGGTTAAGATCTTGGTCGTATTCGTATTTGCCACAAGGGTTGTCTGCACAGTAGCTGGCTACACATTTGTAAGCAGTTGAGGTTTGGCATGGGTTAACAAAGCAGTTAACTTGACCAACTCCTTCTATAATATCGATTGTTATATATTTAATAGTTAACCATAATAATAAATGAAATGAAATTTTTACAAATGATTTTCCGAGTTATTACTCAACTTTTATGAAGGATGGCTTTATAGGAAGTGCTTCTTAATTTTATGTTATCTTACTTGGACAACATCCATCCTTTCTAACGCATTTCTTGACTCCGCTGGAGTTCTTAACCGACTCTTCACATTCTTTGCATTTATTGGCTTGTAATGATAGAACAAGCAATGACAGTAAGAGGACCACTTTCCACATTTTCTGAAAACTTTTTCATAATATACATTTTGCAAATGGAATTATATTATATTTTGACAGTGTTTGAATTAACGTTAAAAAAATATTTATGTCATCAAAAGCGAAAAGTATTTTAAAAGTATTAGGTTAGAAAAAAAGAAACGTGTTGGCAGAATTGTTGGCCAAATTTTATTATAGGGCGGTATAAGAGATCCCCCTCTCCCCTCGAGTGGAATAATTGCAGAAAATTTTAATAATTAAAGAAAAGTTTCAACCATCATACACTGAAACAATAAATTGGAAAACTTTGGAGCCACTGTTTATAAAGGCAACTTGTTTCATAAACACTTACTAAAGTCCATATAAACAGTTAATTCTAATGCAAATACTGTTCTCGTGACATGACTCATTATACTTTGTTTGCGGATCTTAATTTTGAGGTTTATAAATATCGTTACCACTATTTTCAACAGTAAAATTGTAGATTACATTATGAAATAAAAAAATACATTTTTGGTACAGTTTTTCTGGTACTTTATTCTTTGAGTAAGTTTTGTTATTTGGACATACAGTCAAACTCTTTAGTAGGGCACTCAAGGGACTGGTGCAAACCTGTCCTTATAACAAGATTGTCCCACTACTCAGGTATTTTTTGATAATACTACAAGAGGCAATCAAAAAACTTTTATTATTCACGCTATCAAGGGTCATACTAAAACGGTTTCACTGTATTAGGTTAAGAAAGTTTGTATGCTACATATTAAATTTACTTCAAACCTCTTTCTCAAGGCACACATCCAAAAGTGTGTTATGTGTCTTTTTGTGACCTTATTTGTCAGTTTTATTACAAAGAACCAAAAATTACTTGATTTGAAAGTTACAGACATAAATCATTTTTCTGAGATTACCTTCTAACTTTTAACCGAAAAACATTAAAATTTTGTATATTTATAGTATGTTATGTCTAAACAAAATATATAACATATGGGTTACTAAAGAATTTTTTTTTAATTTTCATATTCCAGAAATAAAACTGTATAAATTCCCACTTTTAAACAATTAACCAATCTACAACATCTTTGATGAAACAAAATACAGGAACAAACTACATTTACACATACAATATAACTCATTTCTTATGTTAAGTAAAAAACTTAAAAAATATTAATTTTAAAACAATTACTCATTGTCAAAACGATACTTTGAACTTAACAGAACTGGAAATGCCCAGAGGAAGAGAAGAACGTTAACATCAAGGTCATTGTAGTATTACTTCTTTTCAACATTGTTGTGTTTACAAACAGTTGGATTATCTTTCAAATTTGCATATTTTAACCATAGATCACATTGATATCTGATTTTAGCAACATAACTCGTCTTGTCTTATATATTAGTTTTAATTATTATGATATAAGTAAGGGTTAAAAATGAATTACATTGTTAGATGTAATGGTTTAAAAAAAGTACAATATGTGTTATGTTTCGATTAGAAATTTATTATTATCAGCTGATAAACCTTGCATGATTCAGTCATTTGACGAGTTACCGTGCAGTAAAATATAGTTGTTGTCATTACTCGACGAATTTCAACCTTCATTGACCACAAACCATAATAAAAAAGGCGGCTTTAAATTTATTGTTGTCAGGTTTGTATTGGCAACCGGTTCTCGACTGTTTATCTTGAAAACTCGGCTTCTGTTCTGAAGTCGTCTTCACCACCTAATTACTGTTAAGTACCCTACTTTCCAGTTTACTTACAGTGGACTGCTTTTGGTTCCTTTCGAATTGAGGTTTGTTTAACTTTAAGGCGTGCTTCGTATGACAGACTCTATATACGTTAATGTTGTAATGCTTTCACGACATTCTCAGGTCAAAAATAAACTTATTAATCATTATATTATACTTGGTTGCTCGTTTGCCGTGGTGAATTAATTTTAATTTTGTAGGTTTAGTTGAAAGATGAATCCAGTGTTGTGGTTGATAGTTGGTCTATGTTTATATCTCTGGCTGAACTACAAAAAGATAATAGAAGCTATAAAAGAAAGAAGAAACATCGTCAAATGTCTAGAGAAAATTCCAGGCCCAGAAGCACTGCCCTTAGTTGGCGTAGCCCACAAACTTAGTCCAGACAGTGTTTGTAAGTTTGTTTTTAGTCTTTTTTGTTCACTTTTTTAAAACAATATTAACATTAACCTAACAAATTACAGTAATGACTTACATAATGGAGTACTTCTTTCGTGCTCACACAGAAACTTTGGATGCCAGTGGCGTGATGAAGCTATGGCTAGGCCCAAAGCCAATTGTAATGTTGTACAAGCCAGAAACGGTTAAAGTAAGATAACTTGCTGCGAAATAAATATTATATGTAGCCTATTTTAGACAGTCATGTGTTTGTGCAAAAACCAGACGATTATGACTTTCTGAAGGCTTGGCTTGGCGAAGGTTTGTTGACCAGGTAAGGTATCAAGATTAATCATTTTATAATTGATATAACTTTAAAGGAAAAAGGTTGCCGCGACATTGAAAATGTTATTTTGCTAATTATGGGTATATTCATGTTTTTTAAACATGATTGTGGTACAATTCTTAAACATATTGTATACAAACTACACTACTTCAGTTCAAATCCAAAATGGCACAGTCGCAGGAAGATGCTCACGCCAGCCTTTCACTTTAGCATTCTCGACAATTTTATGAGTTGTTTCAACGAACAAGCTAGTGTGAGTTTTATATTAAACAATCGCCTTTATCAATTTCTTATTATTATACAATTGATAAACTTTGCAGATCTTGGTGAATAAGCTAGAGAAATACGCTGAAGATGGGTATCCTTTTGACATTTACCCTCATCTCAAGGCAATTGCTCTTGATGTTATTTGTGGTAAGAACTTCAATTTTTTATATTAATTTATTGCCGATGAATCCATTTTAATAAAAACCATAAACTACAGCTAATTTGTTTAGAAGCCGCGATGGGAGTTCAAATGGGTTCCCAAACAGGAAAAAACACAGAATACGTGAAATCAGTGAAGGTTATTTGTGAACTTTTATGGCTTCGAATCCGATCACCGTGGCTTTGGCCCTCACTTCTATGGAATCTCAGTGGTCACGGACCAAAGTGTCAAAAAGCTTTGACAACTGTGAAAGGATTCACGGAGAAGGTAATTCAAGAACGTCGACGAGAGTTGTTGATGAATAACAACAATGAAACTGGGGAGAGACCAGCCTTCTTAGACATTTTACTGAAAATGCAGACGGCTAAATGCCTGACAGACGAAGATATCAGAGAAGAAGTTGACACCTTCATGTTTGAAGGGCACGATACTGTTTCGAATACATTGTCCTTCTTGTTGTTTATGATCAGCGATCAGAAGACGGTGCATTTTCAGGATAAGATATACCAAGAGTTGAAGGAAATCTTCGGTAAGTTATTTACCTGGGCTGAGGGAGAGATTGAAGGCTCAAGAAAAAAGTTAAATCTGTATTTTTAAATACGAAACTCTCTTTACAATACCCTGATCATAAAATAATACTGATATAATTTCAGCCGATGACCCAAAACGTCATATAACAACGGCAGATCTCGGCAAGATGAAGTATCTCGAGCAAAGTTTAAAAGAAGGAATGAGGATGGCTCCAGTGGTACCAATAGTCGGGAGAATTGCTTTGGAAGATATACGTATTGGGGAATACGTTGTACCAAAAGGAGCTGCAGTTATGGTAACTCCATTTTTGGTACACCGAAACAGAGACGTAAGCGCAATAACTACCAAAACTGAATTTTAAATTGTCATACTTTATGGATACGTTATTGAATTAACTAATAAAACAATATTTAGCTCTGGAAAGACCCAAACGAGTTCGACCCGAGTCATTTCGACCCAGAGGAATGTCGGAAGCGACATCCATTTGGATATATACCATTCTCAGCTGGTGCCAGAAACTGTATTGGACAGAAGTTTGCCATGAACCAGCTGAAGGTGGTACTTGCACACCTCTTCAGAAGGTTCAAGTTCTACGGTGCAGTCCATGAAGTTGAGAACAGAGGACTTCCAGAGTTAGTTATGAAGCCAAACGATGGATGTATGGTACGGGTAGAGGTTGTAGAGTAGACTACGGTAGGGTTATGACATATCACTATTTATTGTATGTTAGTTGTTAATTATTGTATCTATTTTTTTAGTTTTGATGATTGTTACTGTAACTTTGTCTTGGAAGTTGTTGTTGATACATATTTACATGGTCAAATATGATATAATATTGCATAATATATACATTATGACTCTATGAATGTTAACTATCACATCTATATGTAAAAAGCTAGGTAAATAAAAATTTACTGAGCTAGTGAAAGATCTGTGAGCCTATAGTTTTAACAGACCCGATGACAACGGGTACGATGACATCGAAGTGTTCCATGTCAAGCCTGAAGAAGTACGACACCGTGACCAGACCGTTGGCTTTGACTGAAGTTGGAGGTAGCCCATCAGGGACATCAAAGTCAATTTGACGGTCTTCTGGGCCTTTGCCTGGTGCTGATTTGCATGCACCCTAAAGTGTCGAAGTACAGTAAGACGAAATACTTTTGAAATACGAAATCTATAGTGTTGTGGATAGCGGTTAGTGCCCTCAAATATGAAAGACTAGTATTGAGGACTTTTTTCTTACGCACCTGACTTTTGAGAGCCATAGTTACAGACCGCTCTCCCATGTAGCCACGCTGAACGGTAGATTCTGCCCTGAAGTCAAGTTGTTGACAAAGTGATATGAGGGCACACTTGGGTGTCTTTTTCCTTTTCCTCTTCTTTATCGTGTTCTCGAATGTAACATTCAACCGTACTGTTTCGCCCGGTAAGATGCCTGTTTCTGTTACCTAAAAATCAAAGTAACTTGTGCCAGCTAACAACAAATTGTGTCAAATCATTAAAATCAACGTTTTTGATGACAACTCTTGCACAAAATGATTTTAGCGCTAACAGGAAAATTTTACTAACATACATAGCGTTAGCCTCTGGCGGCTTTTACGTATCTTAAAGCTCATGGTACATTAGTTTAATATTAATCTGACAACATACTTCCATCCTGGCTCGTATGAATCCTTTGGGCTTTCTACAACAATATCCGATAAGATGGACTCGCTCCTCATCAACAGCTGATTCACGTAGATATGGCGCGTCTAAGTTCAGGAAAGATACTACTTTGAAGTCGCATTCTGTAACATTGCGCAGTTATAAATTAGTAATACACGATAAACAGTAATCGCAAAAAGTAACTACAACAAAACAATAAGAATCTTTTAGCAACTTTTTAAAATTATGCATAAAGACTTACCAGCAACAAACTCACTATCACCCCCTTCCGGAATATCAAGAACAGCCACACACGTGTACTTGACATAACCCATATTATCCCTTTCCAACGACGATATCACGTCCAAAGGTATGGTGGTGCAAAAGTTCATGACATGTTTACCTTCATGAAATAACATGGATTCAGTGCAATGACGTTGTAGTTCACTCGTCAAGTCAATGTACTCGTTGAGCACGTACTCTTTGCTTTTGTACATAATCTCACTGTACTTGTCGATCCAGGCCGTCTGTACTTCTCCTTGTAACCTCAGTGTAAGTCGTGTGATTTGAACGGATTCTCGAACTTGTAGAGTTATTTGACCCTAAAAAGGTTTTTTATTCTACTGTGGATGTAATTATGTATCAAATTAATCACAGTAATATAAAAAATTTCTGGAATCTAAAAAAATTTTAAGCATACCTTTAAGTCGTCCCCGCCAATGTAAGGTTTTCCATCCTCTTTGATAAGCTTCAAGTCGAATACCTCGACTTTCATGACCCGTGTTTAGAATAATGACGAAATACTTGTACAGTAATATGTACAACGCTACGCTGACTACAGTTACCCGTACCAATAACAAATGGCAGTTGTTGTTATTAAGTGTGCTAAACCTAAAGACGTGGTTTACGTGACCGTCTCTACATTCCAAATATCCTGTATATTCATAGAACATGTACACATACGCATCGTGCAGCCAATTCGTTGTGCATGTCAATAAAACGGAAAGACAAAAGATTGAAAGCCTGAAATTAGCTGATTCACTTAACATCGGCCCCTAAACTTGGTCGAAACAATTGTAATGCGATTTAAACACGAATTTTAGGGATATCTGGGCAAACCGCATAAAAATGCCAAAAATTACAAAGAATATATAAAACTGGACCAAAGCAAAGGCTATTACCGTTTGCTTACTGGTAAACATCCGAATTCGTAAAAATTAGATTTTTCAACTGATTAAACTACTTATATAGTTAAATTCGACAAACAGAAAACTTAATCATCTTCTTTTACCAAACAACATCAACATAGCTGTAAAAGATATAAAAGTCACCATTTACCGCCGTCAGCGTTCATGTACTCATAGCAAAACCTCCGACAAGTCTTCTAGACCAATGTCATGGTGAAGATGCGTCGAACTCCTTCACGCGCGCACCAAAAAGCCCATCAATCCCTGGGGGGGAAATCGTGAGCGCCGCCAATTTTGCGGGGATTTTTGTTTGTAAGGCCACAAAAAATTCTTGTTATAAAGTGCACAAACTATTACGTCAAAAAGAGAAGACAAGCGACGAAAAAACCAAAGTCAGTTCATAAATTATGTTAACAGACGTTAAAAGAAACTATACGAACTGAACACGTTCCAAGTCTACAGTACAGTATGCTTCTGCAGTTTAAAAAGTTGCCATTTTTAGAACTTTCCTCATATAAAGTATAAACAAAACAATACACATTTAAATATGTCATCGTATCATCATTTTATAGAACCATTATGAAACTTTGTATTCAAAAACTATCATAAATGCTACTGTGTTCCAGCTCATGTTTATTATACTGTTTGGTATACTACAAAGAATACTGTGAGATTTCAAAAAGGCTGGACTAAAATAATACGAGAGATCTGATCTTCCATAAACATTATTTTCAGAATTAACGAGAGCGGGAGCGGCTTCTCGAGTAAGACCTGCGCGGAGAACGACGTCTGTCATCGTAACGCGGTGATCTAGACCTAGAACGGCCACGTCCTCCAGCTGGCGAACGACTGCGATAGCTAAAAGGTTTATGTTAATATAATTTACCAATACATTAATTAAAAAAAAGTTCAAAAAGTCAGTGATGACTACCTTAATTACCTATTAACACCTTGAAGTTTAGCGCACCAGCTTTTAATAGTATAGTTGTCTTACCACAACACAAAAGATGAAAAAATGAGTGTATCCGAACGTTAGGTGAAGATGTTGGATGAAAACGTAAGGAATAGTGAAGGCAGGATGTTAGGATGCAGTCAGGAGATAGGTGCTAATGAGAGCAGGCGTACTGTACTCATAAGATGCGCAGAAGTCCGTTTTAGACATGATCCTAAACGTGTTGAACGCCAGTTCGATCGCTTATTAAAGGTCTACAAAACTAGATTCAACACGTTTCAGAATCAGATGAGGGTAAACGCTGGTGACGAGAGGAGCGCATGCTGCTGCACCAGTTATGATGATAGTTCTGTGCATTAGCAAAGCATGTTGTTATGAACAAAAAACTGTTCATATGACGGGTCGGCTTAGAAAGAAGATTGAAGGCGATGATAGACCGTCGAAACGACTAAAAGTTTTAACCAAAATTAACTACCAAAGACGAAGTAGTAGACTGAATTAATAAATCATTCGTTTTTATCTGCACACTTTGTAATCTTCCAAACATAACATGGAAGACAATAAAGTATCATCAATTAAAAAAATACTTACCGTCCACCGCTACCACCACCACCACGTCCAGGTGGTCCTCCACGACCTCCATTTCTTCTACGTCCGTGAGACAACTCAACTCTTGCTTTGACACCACAAATTCGACTAAAATTTTGTAAAAAATAGTAAGTATAACTTACCTTCCATCCAGCGCTCTAACAGCATCTTCCGCATCTCGGGTATCTTCGAATTCAACGAAAGCGAAGCCTGGTGGACGACGAGCTACCCAAACTTTGCGAATTCGGCCAAAACGATGGAAAGCATCTTCAATCTCTTGTGTAGTGGCATCTTCGGGTAAGCCACCAACGTAAATCTTGGCATCCAACAATTCTCCGCGACGAGCCATGGCGATTTTGTTACCTAAAAATAGAATTTACATGAAAACAACAATATAAAAGCATTCTTACAAATACACATAAACTGTAAAGAGCTTTAATGAAACAAAAAGAGCAAAACAATATAAAGCTTTTATGCCAGATGACGCTGAAAGAAAAACATGTTTTTATTGAGCCTTGCTTTAAGTTGGTCGTGCCACGAAAACGATAGTAGCCAAATGTTTGGCATTCTGTTTGCAACGTTGTAAATTTTATTTTTGCAAAAAATATAAAACACCAACTAGCAAAATAATATTATCTTACAATAATTTATTGTAACAACTAAATAAAAAATTATTATTTATTTATAATTTTTAAAATGTCAACGAAGGATCGTTTGGTATCTGAAAGTTCGTTTGATGGCAACGTTGATGAACGATTGAAATCAATTGAAGCCGTGGAGAGTTTCAGAAACTGCAGCCTCAGCGAGCTTGGTTAGTTTAAAATTTAAATATAATTGGTTTTTAGATTCAAAAAGAGCTGGGTTGTCATCTCAAATATCACATTTGACTCAAAAGATTAGTGACCTGGCTTTTAACAACTACAGAATCTATGCAGATGCTGGACGTACCGCTGAGAATTGCAGTGAAATGGTAAGAATGTGGATAAATTTTAGTTTTTATTGATACTGTAAGGTAGAATTGTAGTTTTAAACCTAGTTTTGCGCAAAACGATAACGTAACGAGTATTTTAGCTGGATAACATAAATAAAGAGATGTCACATGTGAAAGAACGTCTTCCTACGTTAATCGATGATACTGTAGCATTTATTGAAAAGTCAGAAGATATTTTTCGGGATTTTGTTCACCTTGACGATGCTATTACAGAGGACTCGCCTATCTGGGAGATAGTGAACCTACCAAAAATGATGGACAAATGCATTCGACATGGACAATATGATCTTGCTTATGCTTTGACAACGTTTGCTGTTAATCTTCAGCAAAGCAAACTTGGAGAGAACTTGATTATTAAGGTAACATCTCTTTTGGTTACTAATATTTTGAGTTTAGAAAGTAGCTCACACGTTGATTGAAGCTCGGCATGGCCTACTGGATGTACTTTTCAATAAGTTTGCCGGTCCAATTGATCTGGCAAAGTCTATTCAAATTGTAAATAATATCAGGAAGATTCCTTACATATCAAATACCCAATTGCGTGTTTGTTTATTGCAATATAGAGATGTGTATTTGGAGAAGAATGTAATGGCACTAATGGTAGGGATATTATACTATGTTTCAAGAATTTTAGCTATTAATTGTTTAAGTAATAAATCTATAGTTTCGTTTTCTTTTGTTAAACATAGGTTTATTTTACAGTCGGAGCCAGATTATGCTATAAAAGTAGTGGATGTGTATAGGGACTGTATGTACGATACGATTGTTCTTTATTTGGCTGTTTTCCCTGGAGTTGACTCATACAAGAAATATGTAAGTGTCTTTTTTAATACATTACGACAATAGAAAAACGATATTAAGTGTTAATTATGTATTGGAAAGGAAAACCTTATTCAAGTAAAGATGTTTCTTGTTTTAGTCCTCATCTGATGACCCACGATGGGAGCGATGGACTGGTGGATCACAGAACTACTTGCTTCAGTCCTGGGCTCATCGTAACATCGATGTTATGTTCGAAAGGATAAGATCTTCAGAGAGAAAGTCAGCAATCGATTTTGAAGCTATTGGAGGAAAACTTATGAGTTTCGCCAACTCTTTTGGCAGAATGGGAATGGATTTCAGACCACTGATAATCAATGAACTCTCTGTAATGACATTGGAGTCATTCTCAAGGCGGGTACAGAAAGCTACCGAAATGTACGTTTAATGCGTTTGGTTATTTTGGATTAAATTTCAATTTAAATTTGTTGCCTTGAGTTGGTATTATTATCATTCAAACACGAAGCTCTGATTTAATATAAATTGACAAAGTTATAAATTTCAGGTTTGTGTCTCAGAAACAGCTGGATTTACTCGATGAAGACATTTTCAAAGTGAACAGAAGTGACTTGGAGAACAAAGCTTCCTCAACGGATGTCCAATCATCAACTGCTCCCGTAGAGATCTGTGCATGGGACGATCTTTGTGTTTATGGTAACGAACTGATCGACGCTCTCAATGACTTGAGACATTCATTGTCGCCAGTTTATGTAAGTTAGAAAAAGTTTATGGGGTTGCTAAAGTAACTTTTAGATTACAATTTTTTCCTATTATTAAATTATCAAATATGTGTAATATATGATTTCTTTAGGTAAATGACGTGTTCAACGTTCTAAAGTCCTCGTTACAAGCTGTTTTGCTTTGGATTCAACGATTTTCTGATTCCGAAGAAAAGCTGAAGAAACGAGCTACAGAATTAATTTTGATAAATTTTGCGCCGTTTATGAATCAATGTTTTCAAACGATATTCACATTTGAATCGTGTTTTAAACCATTCTTTCATGGCAACGTTACCCATCAAGATTATGTAAGTTTAATTAACTGTATATATATATATGGGTTTTTTAAGTATAAGTATGTTATATGAAAAGTGGGTTTTACACTATATCTTAATACACTATAATTTCAGATAAAAACTTACGATCTCGGTGCAGCCAACGCACATGTTGTTCAAGTAACGGAATCAACTGCTTGAATTGGGAGTGATGGTGTCATAATATAAACTGTGATAAAAATAAATATATTGTTGACAAATTTATCATGTTATCAAAATATAATAGCCGGCTAATCTCCGGAAGAGTTAATGAATTTTAGGGGTGAGAAACGGGCCGTCTAGGCCCGGCCCGGCCCTACGATCGGGCCGGCCTTGAAAAAAAACTGAAACGGGCCGGGCCCAAAGGTTAGGCCCGGCCCGCGGGCCGGGCTTGAAAATTGGGCCCGGGCCCGAAAAAAATATTTTAAATTTTTTAAAATCTTTTATTGATGTTTTGTGATTTTATTGGGTACTATTCATACTATATCCATAAATGATCTGAAAGAACAATGTAAAGCCAAATTTCCGTTTATTTTTTAAGTTTTAAAATTTTTAAAATTTTTTAAAACGGGCCGGGCCTAGAAATTTTCTGACCGGGCCGGGCCGGCCTGAGAGAAAAATGAAAACGGGCCGGGCCTAAAGGTTGGGCCCCGGGCCTGGGCCGGGCCTAAAAAGTGGGCCCGTTTCTCACCCCTAATGAATTTGTCAAAATTTACAGAAAGAAAAAATTGGGCGCAGGTTGCGCCGACTTTTCACTGTTAGAATGGCTGGGTCCCGTGACGAAAGCAAACAAAACGGTATAGATAAAAGGCCTTTGAAAATAAAATTTATTTTCTGAAAAATGGGGCAAATCTTAAAATAATGGTAAAATTAGTAGATTTACCATGTTTTCGATCACTTTTTGTTATTGTAATTTTTTGTGGTTATTATTATGCTGTTAAAAATGTTTTTAAGGTTTTTTGGTAATTTTACGTCGGGAACTTTGTATTTTTATTGCTAATGGTATCTTGATCGTAGACATGAGAAACGGGTCGGGCCCAATTTTCAGGCCCGGCCCGATCGAAATTTTGCTCAGGGCCGGGCCTAAATTTTTTTTACGTGGAAACGGGCCCGGCCCGATCGGAATTTTGCTCAAGGCCGCCCCGGCCCGTTTCTTATGTCTACTTGATCGTGCTCAAATTCACGTTTTACTTTTCGTGACATTACTTATTATGTTTAGATTATTTGTGTTCGGTTACAGGTAAAACATGAAGCTTCTCGAAAGCAGTGACGTTGTTAAGTTCCCAGAAGGCGTCACCTTCACCGTTAACAACCGTCTGGTTCAGGTTACTGGACCTCGTGGAAAGTTGGCCCGTTCTTTCCGTCACTTGGGTGTTGAGATCTTGAGAGAAGGTAAGAGCACTCTCCGTGTTCGCAAATGGTTCGGAATCCGCAAGGAGTTGGCCGCCATCCGCTCCGTCTGCTCGCACATCGAGAACATGATCAAGGGAGTCACCAAGGGGTACATCTACAAAATGAGATCTGTATACGCTCACTTCCCCATCAACATTTCTCTTCAAGAAAACAACTCAGTTATTGACGTACGTTTTTCAATGTTATTGTTGGTTTTTAGGTTTTTTAAACACATTTTTATGTTTTACGAGGTAGAAGAACATGATGTGAAATTTTAATAATTTTATATGTTTACTTTTAATAGAAACAATTATGATTTATCGTTTTTTTATAACTATTTGCTTAAAATTTAATTTATTTTGGTGTTTTCCAGATCCGTAACTTCTTGGGTGAAAAGCTGATCAGACGAGTAACGTTGCCAAAGGGTGTCACTGCTACCATGTCTACCAAGCAAAAGGATGAACTTATCATCGAAGGAAACGACCTCCAACTGGTTTCTCAAGCCGGTAAGCTTTTTTAGATATATTTATTAGATAGTATAGTTTTAAATAGGTTTGTGTTTGTATATAATTCTTTTTCATTTTTGTAACGGCATATTACAACACAAAGTAAGAGAATGTTAATCTGATATTTAAAAATGTTAATAATTGACTAATTTCAGCTGCCAGCATTCAACAGTCCACCAACGTCCGAAACAAGGATATCAGAAAGTTCTTGGATGGTATCTACGTGTCAGAAAAGACCACTGTTGTCCAAGAATAAGCTGTGGTCGGCTCTTGTTGTTTTATATTATGTTGGATTTTCTTTGATAAACTCGTTGTTTGAAGTTTTTTGGCTTTATTGTTAATAATGTGAAACGTTTATAAATATGAAATAGGTACTTATTTGTAATGTTTAATTACGGACTTTTGGCTTTACTTGGATAGTTCTTTGAATAACTGGATAGGAATGTTGATATTCTGGTCTTCTTCCGTGCGCCTAGGACGGAATACCAAATTGTCTGAAGTCATCTCGAACTTGAGGTCTTTGTTTTGGCAAAAGTCGACAATACTTAAGGCATCGGTTATGGTTAATGGCCGTGAATAACCAGGAATAGAGTTGCCAAACTAAAATAACGGTTTTTAAGTACAAAGCTTAAAATTGTGGTATTTTAAAAATTTTGAATGATTTTTTAAGGTAACTTACGAGTGGTGGAGTATTTCCAATAAGATCATTGTTAGAAATAGCATCGTTTAACAATGAACGAAAGTGTAGCGGGTCATCGTTGATGCTTGAAGACGGAAATTCGTCGATTTCCTGCTTGCTGACCATTGGTTGTTCTATCGAGTATTCCGTGACAGTACTAGCACTTTCTGTGTCATTCATCGGGATACCCTCGACTGGGTTATCAATGACAATAGGACTCGATCCGTCTCTTACACTGTTGCTTTTGAACTTTTCCACGTCAATTCCACTGGCTTTCAAAGCGTCTAGTTCCGACTAAAATCGTTTTGATTATTTTTCATGTCACTTTTTAAGATTTTAATACGAAATCTTATGTTTATTTAAAGAACACTTACGTCGTATAAGGTCTCGCCTCTGGACAAACGGTTGAGTAGCATCTTTTGCTTTTGTTTCCAACAGCCGTAGTACACTTGGATCTCTTTTACCGTGCATTTGTTTAATCGTGGATGTTTGGCAATAAATTTAGCGTGAATCTTCTTCCAGATTTCACATTTCATCGTCGCGTTGATGGTACGAAGCTGGCCATCGATTTCGACAGGATTCACAAGTCGAGCTTTTAAGCAGTTCTTGTATGGTGCACAAATGGAGAACAAGTTGTGCTGCTCTTCGATGGTAAGTGTCACCATTGTCTGCAAAAGTCTTTGGTCTTTTTATGAAGGTTTATGTCTGTCGCGAACATTAATTCAAATTGTACTTTAGTCACCATAAGGCTTACTTAAAAATATTTTACAATAGTATACTTATGTTAATATTATTACGCATGAGAAAAGGTTTTTCTTAATGTTTTCTTAAAGCCAAGTTTAAAGAACAGCTATTAACAACGCGAAATATTCATAAATATTAAATTTCACATATAAATACCTAAGACAACATTAAGTTATGACAAACTAATGGTGAACAAATCAATAAAACACTCGAAAGAAATAAGAGCCAAACAAGACCTCGCAGAATCTCCAAAAAATAGCGTTGGCAGTCCGAAAACCAGAAATTCGAAAAGAAGAAAAACCGAAAAAGAAAGGAATAAAGGAAAAAGGGAAGATAAACAACAGAGAGCGAGGAGAGAAGAACGAAGGCAGCGACCCTCTCTTTCTTCAGGAGTTGCGCCGCTCTGCTTTCGTTACCATGTAATTAGGAGATTTCCTTGTTCATATGTCGTATTCTCAATATTCTGAATGTTATGGTATTTTAAGTGACATTTATGATAATATTGTGATAAGTCTGTGATCCTTAAACCACAATAATATAACTAACTTCATCACACTTTGAGGTAACTATTCATAGTAAAAATATCCCTTATAAGGAAATGGTACATTTGGTACCTTTAAAATTCCAGTCTACTTATTTATCATTTATTTACCAGGTTAGGAAGTTAAAAAGCATAGCCAACATTACAAACGGCAATATTAAAAATTAAATAACAAATCAATGATATTAGCGACTAGAAAAGTGATGAATAGCTAAAGACAGTGACACGATATCACAGTGTTACCTAAAAAGACAAAAATATTACCTAAAAAGATATAAAAATTATTAGCTAAAAGATAACCAAAGTTTTTACAAATATGAGAGATGAGAGGTCTACGATAACATTGATAAAATTAAGGTAAGTTAACTCGTTTCCTATGTGCAATTACGATGACGTTGATGGTAATGGTGCACTTGCTGAGGCCGTCTGAGATTGTCGTACCATGCCCGAGAAGATGGTATGTTTGTCGGCCAGAAGGTTCTCGGGAGTGTCAAATTCACGGATTCGACCGGCGTCCAGGACGATGATTCTGTAAATACGTCATGTTATAAAAAATTATTGCAAAATCAATATTTAATACCAAATGTCATTAAAAAAAAGAAATACTAACCTATCGTAGTCCAAGATTGTATTTAGTCGATGGGCTATGGTGAATACGGTAGATTCTTTGAATTCTTCTCGGATTGTGCGTTGAATCAAGGCATCTGTATTCATATCTACAGCTGCTGTAGCTTCGTCGAGGACGAGTAATCTGGTCTTACGTAGCAATGCTCTCGCCAAACATACTAATTGTCGTTGTCCAACACTAAAAGTATAATAGATCATGAATTTTAAACTTAAAATAACAAACTCTTTAATGAGTAAATAATTTATGCATGATAACTGCTCAAAACAGCATTACCATTGTAGCTCCAACAATAGCAAAACAAAACTGAAACGGAAGTATTACCTGATGTTGTCGCCGCCTTCTGTAATCTCGTGCAGTAAAAGTTGTGGCTGAGCGGCGGCAAAGTTCTTCAGATTGGCCAAATCCAACGCCCTCCAGATTTCATCGTCGGTGTATCTGTTGAATGGATCCAGATTGAAACGAAGACTACCCGAGAACAGTACTGGGTCTTGTGGAATGATAGTAATGTTGGAACGGAGGTCATGAAGTCCAAGTTCTGAAAAAACACAGTTCTTACATCAAAACCAAACATAAGATAGTATAAGAATGGCATAAACTTAACTATACCATATCAATTTGTATATCAAAAATTACAATACGACATAAACTATTTTTAACACTAATCATCATTGGAACCTACCACAAACGTCGACATTGTCAATGATAATCTTTCCAGAAACCGGTTCAATCATTCTAAACAAAGCCAAGGTGACAGAACTCTTTCCAGCTCCAGTCCGCCCAACAATGCCAATCTTTTGTCCTGATTCAATCTTAACATTAATTCCTTTTACTACCAAATCCAGTCCTGGTCGATATCTGGTCGAATAATCCTTAAATTCGATTGATCCTGTTCGTGGCCAACCTGGAGGCGGCGTCTTGTCCGTTACCCATTGTGCTTCTGGAGGTGTTTCAGAATATTCTTTTACTCTCTCGACACTGACAATGTTTGTCTCCAATTTACTGATCTGACGGACGGCAAAGTTGAGCACGAATGTTATCTAAAATGACAGATTGTAAAAATGAATAACCGTTAAGCAGAATTAACTAAAGAAGTTGTAAAAAGCGCGATATGTGTATAAAGCAAACCAAATATTTAACAAAGTGACAAAATCTTACATTTAATGAGTACGACACACTCAAACCAAGCACTCCAGCACTGGTCGATTCTTTGGTCAATGCAGCGAATAAAGCAGCAAACAAGACCACGCAGTTTCCAATGAACTCCAAACGAATCGACAACCATCTGTTTGCAACATAGTTCAGATAGCGACATTGTACATGAGTGTCCACTTTGTGTTCTGATATCCTACAGAATCGCCCTACTGCGTTATAACCTCTGATCGTCGCTGCTCCATTAATAGATTCAGAAAGATGAGAGTAGATTGGAGATCGCGTCACGGATTCAAGACGCTTCAGCTGCCGAGATGTGGCAATGTAATACCTCTGAAAAAATATTTTTTAAGTTTGTCACAGTATACAGTAATAAAAAAAAATACGACATAAAAATTGAACATACCAGTACAATCAGATACATAACAGTCAATGGAATGACAACAATTCCAAAGATTGGCGTTGAGATCATGATGATCAACAAGGTCGACACAACTTGTAGTACACATTGAGAGAAGAACTGAACGTTGTACGGTAACAAAAAGTCGATGGTTTCAATGTCTTTGCCGATTCTGTTCAAGATACGACCAAATGGAGTTGTGTCAAAGAACTTCATCGGAGCTCTAAAGATAGCACGAAGAAGTGGAGCGTGCAAGTTCCTCGAGGCTGATACCCCACCAAATAACAACGCTGACATACCGAAGAATACAAGGCCAACTGAAAACGCAGTAATTAAGAAGTTAAATATACAGTAATATGTAATCATTTTGTAAAGAAGTCAATGCTACCTTAAAATAATTTACATAAATTTATAAATAATATTGTAATTAACAAACAAGATAGGTCTTACCTTCACTAAAACCAATAGCAGCATAAACACCCAATCGTATTCCTACATCCATTTTTGGTACGCTAGATGAGTTTTGAACTAATTTGGCGTTGTCGTTCGACCAGTCGGTCAACCATAAATTCCTCAACATAGACGCAATTGTAGATGTACACATTCCGAAAGCAAATAAAAATGACAAAAAGAATCCCATAGCTTGGAAGTACTTGAAATAAACAATTGGCTTCACCTAAAATACAATCATTATAACAATCTTGATAAACTTGAACAATCGTATTCAAAAGAACAAGCTACAAACAAGATCACAATATAAAAGTAACAAAAATATGTACAATTATTCTCATAGCGCTAAACACTTACCCTGCCAGTCTCCACCTTCTCCGTGCCGGTCAACTGTCGTCCCCCGATTTCAGTAGAAATGACAGAATCTCTTGTAGTTGAATGCCGTCTTCTTCTTGAGTATCGTGTACTTGAAAGCTTCCTCCTGCGAGTTACAATGCCTGATACTGTACTTAACGCACTTGTTCCCAACATCTTATCCACTGTATTCTCGTCGTCTTCAAAAATGTCTTCAGAATCCGATTCTGAGTATTCATCTGAATCTTCTGGAGCTGCCGTGGTTTGCGCAATTAGTTGTTCTTCTTTACATTCTTCTAATAACTGAGTAAATGCACCTGTTTGAGCAAGTTCGGCAAATGAACCCTCGGATTGAATTTTGCCATCTTAAAGACAATATATTAGTAAAAATTACTACATAGATTAATAACAACATCAAGAAAAACAATGCTAAAATCAACAGATTTAACAGATGAAATAACAACAGAACTATCGTAAAGTAACATTGTAACAAAACTCTGACTCACCTGCCATGATGAGAATAAGATCGGCGTATTTTAGGTATGAAAGTTCATGAGTAACCAAGATTCTAGTTTTGTTTCTCAACATTCCTTCTGGTCCTATTACATTCGTAAACAACTGTTTTCCAACATTTGCATCTACAGCCGACAACGGGTCGTCAAGAAGGTAAACATCTCTGTTTTGATACACTCCACGAGCCAAACTGATACGAGCCTTTTGTCCTCCAGACACGTTAATACCCTACAATCCAATATCCTTAATAACAACACACGGTAACATTATACAACACTTCCAATTATTAACGTTATACTCAAATAACCAAAAGATAAAACAAAACTTTACCTTTTCTCCGATTTCAGTCATATCTCCAGAAGTCAGAATACTCATGTCTGGGTATAATGCACACGCATCCATCACACGACCGTAGAAATACTCATCAAATCGTTTTCCAAACACAATGTTATGTCGTACTGAACCATTCTGCATCCATGGCTGTTGTGGTATGTAAGCTACCGTACCGTGAACGCCGATCTTTCCTCGTAACCGTTCCATTTCTCCTAGTAATGACATTAATAGTGAACTCTTGCCAGCGCCAACTTTGCCGACAACTGCGATCAACTGACCTCGAGGTACAGATATGTTTAGGCCACTAAGAGACGGTACTGGCTCAGTACGATCCCATGTAACATTGGCTTGTTGCACCACAATGACATCATCATCCATGTGAACATCTAAAATATAGTTTTAGATTATCAATGTTCTTTGGAAACGTTATATTGAAGGTTAGATATTAACAAGTTTGACTACAAAAATGTGTAAAACCGGCTTACTTTCTCCAGGAGCCTTCTCCACGTACTCCTCCAACTCGTCAGCCACCAGAAACTCTTTCAACCTTCTGTTACTCACATAAACCTGAACTGTCTGAGAGATGAGTTCAGCTACCGTACTCATGGGAGTTCTCAGCTGATTGAACAATGTCAGTGACACAAATGCAATCTCTGGAGTCAGAATGTTGTCGGAATCCAACAGAATGAAGGTTGTGAATGTGGAAACGGCCACCAAGAACGGTGATGCTGTATTCAGCATATCAGAGAACGTACGGAGAAACGCGGCCTTCCTGATTAGTGACAATTCTCTGGTCCTCAAATCGTTGATAACGCTTTCCATCGGAGGTTCCCAGGCATACAACTTGATCACTTTAATTCCGTTTAGCACTTCATTCACCATCTTGGTTCGCTCGTCTTTTACATGCATTTGCTTGACCTGTAAAAGACACGTTTCTATATTGAAAACATTCAACAAGATTGTCATTAAACATTTTCTATAATTTTACACTTAAATCTTCATTATTGTAACACTGCTTTACCTGATACTTCCTGGTCTGCATTGTGATCAAAAAATTAATAGGCAAAAGCAGGAACATGACGAAGACTCCACTAATCACAGCAATACCAATCTGTTTCCACAAGAAATACAAAGCCAGCCCGATTTGTAGCGGAGTCGACCAATATTGTTGAGTTGCTGGGGTAATTTGTTGGAATCTGTCAATGTCAATTGCCATTAAGTTGACTATCTCACCAACAGTCTTTTCTCTTCTGGCCGAGTTTGACAATCTCATCGTCTAAAACATTTGAGTAATGTTTTTAGAAATAATATGCTGAACTTTAGATAACAAAAACATTATCATGACGTTAGTTAAAGTCTACTTTTTCACAGCATTACCAACAAAATACAAAAAAAATATTGAAATTACTCAATATTATATACAAAGTACCATACCTTTCTATAAACAGCTGAAGTAAGCACAGACTGTACCCTTGTCCCAACCCTGTACATCAAATAATAGTAATTGTTGAGTAACAAAGAACTGAATTCAGATGCACAAAACATTCCTAACGCCAACATAACACCATGCCACATAGGTGAAGTGTCATCTTCTGTGAACTTGATCAAAGCACTAAAACACAAATGAGTTTTAAAATATACAAAAGTCAATATTATTAGCAAATGTAATAATACAAAGTTCAGATGATATATAAAACTTACCTCAGCAGTTGCGGATTGGCAAATACCAACACATCTGAAACGCATTTAATACTCATCGCAGCTATAACATCCCATTTGAACATACATAGTAGTCGCAAAAGTATTGACGGTGGTTCAACCTGAGATCGTGGTACTTGAGATGATGTGGTGCCATACAAGTTGGTGTCAGGTCTGTCAATATTAGCTGTGAGAAGAGGAGTCGTGTCAGATTCTGATTGATGGATGAAACTACGACGACGAGATTCTTGAGACCTTTTTTCGTTGTACTCTAAAAAGATGAAAATTAAGGTCAGAACAGTACACCAAAAGTGTAAAAAATCCACTGATTAAAATACAAAATTATCATATGTAAGTCAATGCAATATTGTGGAAACTGCCGAATTTTCAAAAACCTATCGTCTTTAATATAGGACTTACTTTTCATCGCACTATTCCACAGCATATTCCACCTGGGTACTAATGAAGCAGAAGTGTCGTCGTAGTTCAAAGAATATAAATCCGAGACCTCAAGAGGTTTCCTAATCCCAATTGCACAGATCTTGTTGAACCACCACATACATTGACGATTTGGAAACGAAGAAAATGTTTCTTCGGATATCTTCTATAAAATATTTCATCAAAAATATCAGTAAATTAAGAGATCAATACAAAGTCCAACAACATGGAAACAACTCTTACGATAACATACCTCGTGTGAGATCCTCTTGTAACGATCCGACCCAGGAATATCGGCGTATGAGAACAAGACCAATTGTATTAAAATACACGGATACCAAATCAAAAACGAGATATACCGAGGTACTTCATGAGCATGCAATTGCTAGAAAACATAGTCATCAAAAATGTCAAGTAAACTCATAAATTAAATAAGATTTTAAACTTACTCCTTATAAATACTAAAAAAACAGTAGTTACTTATTTATCTTAATGACCCAAAACCATCACTTACGGAAGGACTGAATCCTAGATTTAGGTAGTACTGTAACTCAGGAACACCACAAATCGCAAATATCAACCATGTTAACCACATTCCTCCAGAAGTTACTTTGCCGTACCTTTGACAAGCCAAGGTAAACGTTGCCATTAATATCTAAACATAAAATACAAATAATAGCAGAATAGCTTACCATTGAAAAGCATTCCATCAAAGGATACACGAAATCAACTGTGTTCAAGATCCCTTCCCCTAAAGCTTCGTAGAATGCTAGTAAAAACAAAAAGGCTGAATCCAGGATGAGTAAACATGATATTGTCTAAAATTATAAAGTTATAATATATGGGACTTTTCTTTTTTTTTGTAGAAAAGTCCCATATATTTTTAAATTTATGTTAAAATGTAGACTTATAGTCAATGTTACCTAAAATTTCGAAAAGCTTATAATGAACAAATATAATCTAAAAAACGTACCAACTTCGCAGATAACCTTTGAGTCCACGGCAACGGTTGATTTTTCTTCATAGATATCCGAAATATTGTTATTGGTGCACTTGCCATCACAAATATGAATGGTAGCCACACCATTATCGTATGTTGAAAGCATTGCGTCATTACTGGCAAAGATGTGCTGTTTAGCCATCCTGGAGTCTAAATTTGTAAATTATAATACAAAAAACTGATCCAAGATACATTAATTTTTAGGTAACAAAAAAATTTAAAATTTCCTTAAATAACAAAACCTATATAAAAAATGAATAATTAGCTAATATCGAAGCAAAACATCAACATTGAGACTTATTTTGACAATAAACCCTAAATTTAGATAAAAAATAGTAAACCTTACCATTAAAGGTTCGCCACAAAACGCGTCGATTCCTGTGAGTTCATCGTAGTCGCTACTGGTTGTTGCCTGAAGTTGAGTCGTGGAATCCATGGTTGAGCTTGTAGCTCAGTTTATGAGAGGGAAGCTTTTGATCTCTGATTCTAGTCCCTAAAACATAAAAAGATAACGAAAATCAATTAAAAATATATAAAACTTTACACGATGAGGCAAATCTATTATCTATGACAATATAAACGTAAAAACCAATAAATCAAACAAAATAATGTTAAACATTAATATATTATATTATTTATTTGCCTCAAAATTAGTTTACATGTTATTTACGACTCAAAGTGTGGCTTCAAGGTAATAAAACAATCAGTTCAAGTTTCAACTTTTAAAACAAATTCATTGGAATAGGGTTAAATTGATAAGGAATTCCGATCTCAAAATCAAAATTTTAATACAGACTGCACTCTTGCGAAAGATGACATTCGATGGAAAAATTTAATTTTATTTTTTCAAATAATAAATTTGGTTCTAAAAAAATGTCTTTTCGGGACCTGAGGCTCAAAAAGTGTAGAACAACTTCAGAAAACGTTTTTGTCGCGCCAAAATTATAAAATTTGTCAAAATGACGGCCCAAATCAACTCGGAAGATACTTTTAGTTAAGTTAGACCAATTAATGAGGGAAATTGGTTTATCGCGAAGAAGCACTGGGAACCTTATCAATACTGCTGTATCAAACAGATTATGTATGGAAACAAACCCAGTTCGAAAAAAGTGTGCAGAAGGTACGAAGCACAATTACAACGACTTTTATCAGGTTGTCTTGGAAAGAATCTGCTTGCTTATCTTCTGAATATTGTGTTAAGATTGGGTATGGTTTAAAGTGGCATTAGTTGAAATAAAAAGTTCAGAATACTGAAAGTAACCCCGAAATATCTTTTTGTTTAGAAATTATTCTTTAAAACATGATATACGATTTTGAAAGCACCTTTTTTAAAGACATCAAGAGTGACCATATTAACATCTACAGCAGCTTATCTTATCAATGGTCAATGATGTGAGGAATACTGATGATCTTTAAAGGTTTTATGCATTTCGTAATTTTATGTTTGTTCACAAATATGCAAATGTAAAACTTTGTAGCCAAGAACATCAAGTTTAAAAACCTTATATGTATTTGATAACAAAAATCTTTGAATATCCAAATTTGGTAATTTTTCAGCTAAAATCCATAAATTTTTGGAATTTTAATAAATTTTAATAATTCAGGAAACTTCTAGAATCTTACAGTAACCATTACAATTTTCAAATCGTGCCAGTTATGTTCTGTATTTTGAAGTTTTCAATATGGCACAGAATATGAGATGAGCTCAGTTTAGAAGCACCTGTTGTTCCTTTCAGTTCCAACAGGATATAATGCGAATCTACTACGGTATGCCAGGTGAATTTGAGTTCGGGTATTTAAGAGCTGTTTTTCAGGTGTCACTTACTTTAAAGTTTTACGTTTTTAGACATTTTAGTTGTTTAACTTTGTGAATTTTAATTTTTAGCTGTTTGATACTAAGTAAGACTTTAGAAAATGACTGTCAAGTGTAAAGTTTTGTTATAGTGTACTATGTATTACGATTTGAAACTTAATTTACATATAATAGATACGACTATGTTACTTATAATATTTATGTCTTATCACCTATGTCTAACTTGATATTCAGTTCTAGGTGCAGGCGGAAGCCAAGTGCCGGAATGGCGCACCACGCCATTGATTGGGTGAAACGTATGTTCTCAACGCGTAACATTACATCGCTGCTGATAGTTGCTCTACTGGCTTCTGCTGATCGGTATGTTCAGGAAGTACCTGGTATTGAAGGTGATTTTACTGTAGATCATGCACGCTTCAAACGAGCTACCAAGAAGAACAAAACAAAGCACAGTACCGGTAAGAGTATACTTAAGGGTAGCGTTCCAGATAAGTTGTTTCAAGTTGAGAGATAACTATAGTATACTGTAATATGTAACTTATTCTTTCAGATGAATATGACTACACAGATTCTGAAGGCAAATTGAAGTCGGCCGACTGGGCCAATATCAACTTTGCCTTCTGGTGTATCTTCGGCTTTGTTTTGATGGTAATTCAGTTGTGGACATGCATCGCTGGAAGACGAATGAGGAACGATGGAGTTAGATGGCATACGTTGTATGTCACTATCTTCATGATCATCAAAATTGTAAGTTAAAAACTTGTCTTCATAAAGATGTTACTTTCGCATGATTTTGAATACGGAAAGATATAGTAATATTATCATAGATATAAAGATTTGTGTTACTTTTCTGCGTTGCATATAACTTCTTTTAGTTTATTTTTGTTGATATTGACGAAAGTAGCCCATGGCAAGACTACATGAGAAACACGTACGTTACTATCCACCAGCAAGCCATTCAATGGATCACTCTGACCGCCTTCCCGGCTTGTAAGTACATTAATACAATAATATAAAGTAAAGGACTATTTGATAATATTTTAGTATTATATACAATAAAAATATATTATAAATACTTTTTAAACCTATGATGGGACACTTCTGACTTACTTTTTTATTAAGCAATTGTTTTGATGACACCATTGTATTTGGTATGTTATGGAGCATCTAGTTTGAGAAAAACTTACTTCTTCAAATGGTTACTGTGGATTGCGGTATATGGGTTGCTCCTTGGTGTTAACCTCTACTTGGCTTTGCAATATGTAAGTTAATATTATAAAAAACTTACGGTAACTTCTTTGTCAAAGTAATTGTTTTACTTTTTAGATAGCAAAGTTGACAGGCGATGGCACAGTTCCAACAGGAACATGGCTTGAGGTCTACCAGTTTTACGTCATGGTAGCTTTCTACATTACTATCGTGTACTTGCTTCTGTTTGCGTTGGCTTCTTCTGGCTACTTTATCTGCTTCGCTTTACTGAACTGTAAAACGGTTGAAGGCAGATTGAGCGATGTAAGTTACCAATATGAAACTTACTCTTGCTTATAACTAAATCTTAATTCTAAAAGACTAAAAAATATTAAAAAAGTAATGTAGATTAGAGGTGCATATGAAATAGTCAAAAATACGGTACACCAAAAAATGAAAATATTTTTTTAGAAGTTTAACGACCTGATTGACTTGTTTTCCTTTTGGCTCAATGTCGTCGTTGTATGTGTGTTCGTATGTACTCAGAATGCCGAGAATTCGTTCAACTACTTCATGTTGAACGTCTACCCAACCATCATGGACTACATGACAGAACTTAGCACTGTTAGCACCGTTGTCAGTGCTGGCTCTTCTCTAGACTTGGCTACTTTGTTGACCATTGCTGATGAACTGAAGAGCGTCGTCGTCTTTTTGGAAGCTTCTGAATTGTACTTGCCCACGGCGTTCTTCTTCGCCAATGTAATCTTTTTGCCAGCCTTCAGAGAATCCTTTATATCACTGTTGACTTGTGGAGCGTGCTACCGTAACGACAAGAATGGATCGTGCTGGACCCTCATTCCAAACAGATACCGGTCGATTTACCCGTTGGAAGCGTTGCGTTGGGCACATCCTGGGATGATTGCCCAAGGCATCGTACCACCGCCTCCGGCTTCTGTTGACATTTCTAGTAGTCCATTGGCATTTGTGCATCAGAATGACAAGAAGGAGTTGATGGTGGAACAGTTGGAGTAACTTGAAACTTCTAAATGGAGCAGTACGATGAGAAGTCGACTGAGAATGTACAAAAGTATAATCATAGGTGAAGGGATCATAACCACAAGATATTCAGCTATATAATCATAGTTTAATCTCTATTTATATCATTCTTATGACAAAAGTCTATTTATATTCAAAAAACAAAAAGAACCTTCATCATGGTGACGGTGTTACGGTGATGGTAATACCCTGTCTGCATTGTTATCACCTTGTTTGTTATTGTTGCTTGGGTTACGGTGTTTGTGGGTGGTGGTTTCGAATAAAATATTCGGAAAAGGGTTTGGATTTGTTTCGAAAAGCAAACAGACTTAATTAAAAAATAATTTCGAGGATTCGAAACATAAAAGTACAATCCATAATAACCTGGCTACAGCGTCACGCTTGTTTGTTTGACGACGTAGTATGATGGGTTGTAACCTTATACTGTACGTCCTATTTGCATAAAAATAAATCGAGGACGTATTCTGAAGTGACTCAACGGCACATATGAATCTTGGTTTCTGAATCTACATAATGTTAACTTACTCACATTTTGAGTCGGGTATTCATTACGAAAAATAAATTTGACAATTTTGATTTTACTTACATCAACATGACATTGGATAGTAAAACCTTCTTTTCAACAATTTTGAAAAAGCCATGCTACCTCATCATTTACCATGTCATGTCTTTGTTAATTCGAAGCGGCGTACTCAACTGTTTACCATGGTACTGTTTTTGTTGTCGCCCAACCTACTGTGTTGCTTAACTATGTGAAGCTATACAATCGTATTTAGGCCGGAGGCGTGACCTGGAAGCAATTTGATGACCACAATGTTTGTTTTCCAAAATGGCGCGACGATGGCCACCCAAGAATTATATAAACGGTTTTATTTTTCATAATTTCCGACTCCAGATTTCATTATTTTGCATTAGAAGCTTCCATTTAGTTCGGAAACGTCACCTCCAGATTCCGCAGTATGACCACTATACAAAACTTGGGAGAACAACTTCCTTTTTCATTTTGTACTTGGAATAGTAGTGGGCCAAGTCTATGTCAATATTTGTGTCATTTGTAGTATGGTCAAGTCTAAATACAATTGTGGGTGTTTATGTTCGTATTACACCTTTTCTTGTTACGACTTGACGTCCATTACATGTCTTACGGTCGTTTTTCTCAACCGTAATCATATACATGATAGGCTTTCTGGATGTCACTAGTTTTAGTACTGTACCCATATAACACTTCCCGATCTTTGTTTACTTTGTAACATTTTACAACTTTTTAAGAATTTACTTACAAAAAAAGTAAAAACGTGGCTATTTTGCAGGAAATAGTGTCATGTAGTTTCACAGAATTTAATAAACGATAATTAAACGCGATCCTACAGTGCGTGTCATCGTAATTACCATGAAGTATATAGTAGCTTGGCATGTATCAGGTTTTAGGGTAACTATGAATGTTGTTATGTTTTCTCTGCTCTTTGTTGTTAGCTACATTGCTCCGTTAATCCTCGCCTTTGACTCCACAGAAATCAAGTTCCTCGATTGGCCAAATGGTAAGATAATTTTGAGGTATAAATAGTACAGTATCTTTTCTTTTCTGCTTCCATCTTTTATTTTTTTCTGTTACAGTACTCCAAACTCTTGAAATTCAGAATAAATAATAAAACTAATGAAGTTTTAAAGTTGTCTCAATATACGAAATATATAATCAAAAACATATTATTGTACTTTAGTAAGGACCTTCCAACAACAAAAACCGGTGGATGGATACGAAATGCCAATGACACGACTGAGGAAAAGCAGCGGTTTACAGAGAATTACCCGAATGGTAAGTGTGATATTCGAGTGACGTGTTGTCTATACTACGATTGTGTTATTACATAAACGTTGTTGGATATGACATGCTTTCAAAGCTTTGAGACTTTATAGTACTGCAAAGTGTAAACCGTAACATATTATATATACAAGACAAGAGTTAAAGTAACTTCAGGATGTTCTGTCCAATCCAATTATACGATTCGGGAAACGCTCAGCCTCCAGAACACCAGATCTGAAGTCGCCTTTGGTTCGATTCGGCCGATCTGCCCCAGCCGAAGACACTCAAATGTGGCTCTACTTGAATAGGTTCTAACTGAACAAAGCCAAGAATTGAGAGAAGAGATAGATACGACAAATAACTTATTTCGTTTGCAATGTAACTTATCGTACTCAGAGAAAAATAAAGTCTAATTGTCATCCAAAATATTGTTGCAAAGCACACCAAATAACCTAAAAATATAAAACAGGTAACAAAACACAACAATTAAAGATTATACTGCAACACGTGCCCTTACAACTCGTTTAGAATACTTGTTTTTGTTCTGGCTAATCCTTTCATGTTATTCTTTTTATGGACTTTGTTTACGTGACATCAAAATCCTTTTTCCTCTATATAACACAAGGAAAATTCGTTTTTAATTCTTAAAATAGCTTGAGGACAGTTTCGAGAACATGAGAACATCTAATTATACGCCTTTTATATGGAAATGCCGAAGAAATCCGAGAACGTTTCTGGGTCGACTCTTGCTTCAGACAATAACCTTGGGTCGACTTTTGCTCCGAACTAGTGTAAGATTCTCGTTTTGTCGATCGAAAACAACGGGAATATTTGGAAACTTTGAATATTTTTGAAATATGTTTACGAACGAGCTATTAAGGGCCGCTTTTTCGGTTTAGAACGTTTTAAAGTCTGTTTTGCTTTGTTAATGTACTTTGTTCTGTGATGTTCTTTTGGCATTTTAGGTAATAAAACTAGGGGAAACGTGCATTAAAGGTGGCCAAGTTTAAAAAAAATTGCTCTATGATTATATGGCAAATATTATTAAAAATTTATATTGTAACTTGCTTATTGTGATTTTGTACTTTGATTCGTGTGTTATCTTCTTATCTCTCTTATTAATTGCATTATTAATATTTCTATTTATTTTTTGTAGATTTGATTAGTTTATGGTTAGAGAAACTGTAAATATTGAAGTTGATGAATGGCTGTCATTGAGGAGATAGATGAAGCAGGGTCTTCTCAGCCTGTAGAAGGAGAAGATACACAACATGGGTAAGTTGACTTCAAATTAGCTTGACTTTTGATTTTAGGACTGTTGTTGCTGAAGATGTTCCATATCCATTAGATATTATTGTACAAAATATTGAGAAAGTTGTTGCTGGCCGTGGTGATGATAGTAGCGACGATGAAGGACCAGCTAGAGAAGTCAACTACGCTCTTCAGATGCAGGGATTCAAAGTTATGGAAAAAGGTAAAGATTTTGTAAATTTTATTATGTCTTTTGAGCAGATACAAGTAACAGCAAAATCTTTATAAAATAAAGTATTACATTTTACGTTTTAGAAAACGGAGCTGACTGTGAATTCTTGACCTATGAGCCTGGAAAGGTAGACGCTGTGGAGCGAGTTGAACAGGTGAATGTGGATAGTCCGGGACAAAAGCCTGGCAAAGCCAAGTTCAAGAAAGGGCATAGAAGAGCGTTTTCGATGCCGAATGCTCATCATCGTGACAAAGCTGTTCTTGTTGTTGCTGAGAACAACTTCAGGGTGAGTATATTCAAAAGTTAAATTGTTTTTTATTAAAGTTTGTGTATGACTAATTGTAAATTACGGAATAGAACAAAAGTTATTTTAAAAAGTTTTTTAATGTTTGATTTATTTTATACTTTTACTAACGATTGGTGGTTTTATCTGCACATTTTCAGCAAGAAGGTACTCACAGGAGACATCTGGTCCGCTACAGACTTCATCCGTACGATCCTAGTGCGGATAACGAAGGTGCTATTAATCAGTTTATAAACACGACTAATTTGAACGATGAAGAAGATATTGATGTATGTTTTTAATTTAGTCTTGTATTTTAGGTAGGGTTTATTATACTTTTAACAATAAATACTATATTTTAGATGGAATACGACGAGGAAGAAATTGATGTGACAGATGAAGAAGGCAACAAAACGAGGTTTAGATTGGCAAGGAGAATATGGGAAGCGAGGTGGAAGGTGCAAGACTTCCATCTTCTTCCGGAATGGCTACAAGACAACGAATTCCTTCATTCTGGCCATCGACCGCCTTTGCCAAGTTTCATGTCATGTTTTAAGTCGATTTTCCAATTACACACAGAAACTGGAAATATCTGGACACATCTTTATGGTTGCGTCGCTTTTATTGGAGTGGCTGCTTACTTTTTGTCACGACCTAATGACATGGTTAACTGGAGGGACAAACTGGTGTTCTCTACCTTCTTCTTGGGAGCTATTTCATGTTTAGGCTTGTCATTTTCGTTTCACACTGTTCAATGTCATTCGCAAGGAGTTGGGAAGTTGTTCAGCAAGTAAGTGTTGTATTTCATTGATTTTTTAAAATTTAATGTCGTTAACTGTATATTATTGATGTTAAAAAGTACATTGGTTAATTTTAGGTTGGACTATTCTGGAATAACTATGTTAATAGTCGGCTCGTTTGTACCATGGATTTATTACAGTTTTTATTGTCGAACAGTAGGGAAGGTGGTATACATAGCGATGATTGTCATATTGGGAACAGCTGCTTTAGTTGTGTCACTGTGGGACAAATTTGCCGAGCCTACTTTTAGGCCTCTACGAGCTATTGTATTTGTACTTATGGGATTGAGCAGTAAGTTTTTGGAAAAAAATTAAAAAAACTTACTGTTTTACATTTTCTAGTTAACGCTTAATACAGTTAGAAGGTTTTTTTTAACAATTATATTGTTGTAGGTATAGCCCCAGCAACTCATCTATGGATAACTGACGGTTGGGATTACCTAATACAAAAGGCCTCTTTGCATTGGATACTGATAATGGGTCTCTTCTACTTGGTTGGAGCAGCTATCTACGCCTTCAGGTTCCCGGAGAGATTCTGTCCTGGTCGCTGTGACATTTTTTGTCATTCCCATCAGCTATTTCACACTTTTGTCATCATCGCGGCGTTTGTTCACTTCCACGGCATTAGTGAGATGGCTATGAAGCGTCTGGAAATGGGATCGTGTAGAGAACAACTAATCAGACAGTTTGGCACTGATCAGCCTGTCACATGGATGGATTCTCTGTTTCGGCCGTATTAGTTATTCAATATATTTTACTTTTTATCAGTTATTGATGTTTGCAAGTTCTTATGCAAATTTCACATATTGCATTTTATGCTTTTTGAGTGTTATGTTGCTTTTCGTATTTGTATTTATGTATTTAGTCAGTTGGATAGTCGATTTCGGTTTTGGGTGTAAATTAATGTTGTTTTAAACGTTTAATATATTATATAATGTCCATAATCGAATTGTGTTTGATATCAGTCGTTTGCAGTGTTTTAAGCGTATATGTCGCAGATTATTTTGGCATTGGTAAAGCCATGATCGTATTTCAAGTCTAATCAAAGTCAAACTTACAAGACGTACTGTTGTTTTGTCAAGAAATCTTTTAAAGTTTTTCGAGAAACGATTGTAATGTTATAATTGACACTTTTTTCTAATGAATTCAGTATTGTTAAGGATATGGTTGGTGTTCCTAATACTACTTATAGTATGTTACCTGGTACTTGTTTACTGGTTAAAACTAGTACAATTTGTATCGTGTCTAGCATTGTTGACTACTTGCAGTCATGCGTAGAATCTCGATTTGTAACGAATGTTTTTATGGGTAAAACTAGTAAATAATATCTTTTGATGTCACTTTTGAACACTCGGAAGTGCAAATCCCTCGAGGGCATGCTTATCGACTTGAAATAATTAAAACGAAAATTTAATTTTGTGTGACTAATTTTAAGGAACGGACTATTGGCAGTTGTTTTAAAATTTGACGGCACGGCACGTGGAGAATGATGGAACAATATTTTTTACTTCTCACGTGTATCCAAAAAGTTGATAGGATATTGTCACTTCAAGGAGATCATAACTTTATTATTTGCTTTTAAAGAAATAAGGTTTAGTAAACTTACCTTTAAAAAGATTGGTTTAATCCTTTCATTCAGATTAATGTTCCAATATTATAGTAACTCGTAAGAACATGATCTCCAATTCAAAAGTTCTCAAAAACAAGGGCTGTTAATCTGTAAATATTTGCGCATGTCATTCGGTTTCGTTGACAACAGAACACTCGATTGCTTATTGTTGTATCATCAACCAACGACTTTTTAATGTCTGTTAAAATGGTTGAAATTTGAGCGATGACTTCTGCAATCATAGAACATCCAGCCGTCTTCTCAGCCGATTTGGATGTTCTATTGTCAGCGGAGACGAAAACGTGGTTTGATCATTTAAAAAACTGGGCTTTTTAGGTTGGTGATCATTAGAGTAAGATCACAAAAGTAAAAAGGTCGGGCTGGGGAGGGATTTGTCACGGATTTTATATTTTTGATAATTCATGATGGATAGTATTGTATATACTTGGAAGTACCTAATATAAAATTTTGTGTTTTAGTCTCAAAAACCTATAAATGTTGGATATTTGAATAATGTGTAGTTTTCACTTTTGTAAAATTGAATATTTTTAGAACGGTCGTTATGCTGAGCCGTGTTGTGTTTCGGTCCTTACGATTCCAGAGCACGGCGGCATCGTCAAGTTCGAGTAGTTCTACGATTGGCAATGGCTTCAGAACCTACCCAGTAAATGATGACGTTTACGGACTTACAGATGAACAAAGAATGGTATGTTTACATTTTATGTAACTAACCTACGTAATTTTATGTTTTAATAGTCTATTGTCATCTACTGCCGGTACTGTAACATACTGTAGTATTTCTTTTTAGTTGAGGGAAACCGTCTTCAACTTTTCCCAACGCGACTTGGCCCCATATGGCAACGAAATAGATAAGCACAACAACTTTACCAATCTTCGAGAATTCTGGCGCAAACTCGGTGACAATGGCTTGCTAGGAATCACAGCTCCAGAAGAGTACGGAGGCTCTCAGATGACATACTTTGACCATGTTATCGCGATGGAGGAGTTGTCCAGAGCTAGTGGATCTATCGCTTTGAGTTATGGTGCTCATTCCAACTTGTGTGTAAATCAAATTGTCAGACATGGTACTCCCGAACAGAAGGCCAAGTACCTGCCAAAGGTAATATTTGGGCTTTACTTTTTTTGGAACAGTTATCATTAACTCCTGACAATCTTATTACAAAGATGTCAATTATTATTATGTACCTATAATGTGGTCGTTGTAGCTTATCAGTGGAGAGCACATTGGCAGTCTGGCCATGTCCGAAGCCAACGCCGGATCCGATGTGGTTTCGATGCAGTTGAGAGCTGACAAGAAGGGAGACCGTTACATTCTGAATGGAAACAAATTCTGGATTACAAATGGTCCTGATGCCGATACATATGTTGTCTACGCCAAGACAGATGTCAGCAAGAAACAACACGGAATCACGGCCTTCATCGTGGAAAGGGTAAGTTCAAGTTTAAATATACTAGCCAAATTTAAGGAGTTTTTGTGTTTTTATTTTAAAAGTATTGTTCAAAATAAGGGATTTTGTTACTTGACATTACTATGAAAAGTCATTGATTGCCTTTACTTTTACAGGATTGGAAAGGATTCAGCCGTGGTGAAAAGCTGGACAAATTAGGAATGAGGGGATCAAACACTTGTGAGCTAATCTTCGAAAACGTTGAAGTACCAGTCGAAAACATACTGGGCAAAGAAAACGAAGGAGTATATGTTCTGATGACTGGACTCGATGTCGAACGTTTGGTACTAGCTGGAGGACCACTAGGACTAATGCAAAGTGCCTGTGACATTGCCTTCGACTACGCCCATCAAAGAACAGCCTTTGGAACCAAAATTGGTACCTTCCAGCTGATGCAAGGAAAGCTGGCTGACATGTACAGTACTCTCTCCGCGTGTCGCAGTTACTTGTACACGATTGCACGATCTACTACAGCTGGCAAAGTGACCAGCAAAGACTGTGCTGGCGTTATATTGTACACCTCGGAGAAGGCCACTCAAGTAGCTCTTGATGCTATTCAGATTCTTGGAGGAAATGGCTACATCAACGACTACCCGACCGGTCGACTCCTCCGTGATGCTAAATTGTACGAAATTGGCGCCGGCACGTCGGAAGTACGAAGATTAGTGATTGGAAGAGCTTTGAACAAAGAATACTCATAAACAACATACGGGATCTTATTTTAAACTAGCATATTTCTTAGTAAACTTACTATCACATGCATATTATTGTAACAAACAATTGTTTCCCTATTTCTACATTACGAAAATGTCTTGTTTACTTTCATGTTATTGTGGTAACTAGTCTTTTAAAAGCACTTTTAGTTATATCAGTTTCCTCACGGCATAAAAAGATGCTTTAGAGCATAATAAAGGTATTTTTGTCATTTTATTGCAGTTAAGTGTACACGAATATAGCCTTGAAGTTGTGGAAAACAAGCAAAATATTTGTAGATCTTTAAAGATATAGATTTTGAGTATTTTCAATCGAAAACATGACATGGAGCGTGGGAATTCGTGCAGCCGGGTGTCTCTAACGGCGGACATTGTTCAAGCTCACCGAATCGTCCAGGTAACCCATACAAACCGGGATCAAAGTCCTCCATCGAATCTAAAACATCGGCTAAACGGGGCCTCAACTCGTTGATGCTGGCCAACGTTTCCTCACAATTAAACTGCTTCTGCGGTATTAGAATACAATTCATGCCAGCATTCAATGCTGATTCTGCTCCGTTGATGGAATCTTCGAAGACGAGACAGTTCCTTGGGGATGCCGGTGGGCTCTGCAACGAAAACACGTTTGGACAAATTTTTGTCGCAGAAATATTTTTTTTGGAAAAATGTGTGAAAATTATCGACGGAATTTTTTTTAAAACAAAAATATTTTTTTTCAATGTTCTTTCCATTTTTTACTTATTGTTTTATATTTTAGGTATTCTTTAGCGTTGAACTCACTTTAAAGCGGGACATTGTGATCAAATAGGGATCAGGGAATGGTTTCCCTCTCTTGACTTCTTTGTCTGTAGCTGTGAGCACTTGGAATGGGATCATGTTGAGCCAATGCTGGAAGCGTTTCCTCGTTTTTATCCGAAATTCGGTTTCTCCGGAGCTGGAGCAAATGGCCATTGGAACACCGCTGGAATACAAATGATGGATAAGATCATCAGCGCCGGGCATGGGAGGACAATCAGGTAAGAGGGTTTCGTATTGTGCTTCGTATAACTGAAATTAGGTATTTGGCAGTTTACGTGCACCCTGAACAAACATACTTAAAATTATATTCATTATGGTATTTTTGGGTCTTATTTTATATTTTGACAATTTTATTAAACTTCGAAATGTCTTACCGCTATGTATTCTTCTGGTTTAATCGTGTCTTCCAATCCGTTCAATCTTAACAATGTTCTTACTTCGTCTTGCTTGCGCAGACCCAATATAGCATATTTCTGATGGATATTAAACTCTTTCCCAAACGACTTCAAGCACGTACTGTGAATCATGGAGTATCTGTCTTCGCTGTCCACCAAAATGCCATCAAAGTCGAAGATAATGTGGGTAATGTGCGGCCGACCATTTTGAATTTCGTTGAGCATTGTTTTATTCGGGGCCATAGTGGAGATTGGCTTCAGACCTTGAGAACACAATAATTTGTTTACTTTCCTGTTTAATTAGGCCAGCATGATCCAGAAGAACAATAAGGTCGACACTAAAGAACCAAATTTTTGTTTATGTCTTGGATTTGGGAAATAACGTTAAAACTCGGTCACGTCTGGTGTAAAAAGCATGCCGTTTCATAGTAAAGAAGTGTCATAAAATGAAAAAGCTGATATGTTGAGAAACATCGAGCTCTGGGGCATAGTTCATACGTTTAAAAGAAGTACGTATATAGCAAAAACACCAAAAAAGTAAGATAAAACGAAAGAAAAGTTGTAAGTCAAGTAATCGAAACAGAACGCTTCTTGGCTAGAATATTACAGCTCACGAGCAGTCTGTTCAAAATATACAAAACACAGGAAGCCCGAACATCTTGGCCTTGCACAAACAAAAAACTCAAAAGATTAAAAGAAAACTTGAGCACCAATGTCTCCGAAGCAAATCAGTCCATGTTATGCGCCTTGTATTTGACCATGGGCTTTTCCGGGCTTAACGGAATGAGGGTGAGGAACTTTCCACACTGGCGTTGGTGGGTTAGGGACGAGTATGTAAATAACCACGAAATGAGAGTTGAAAAATCAAATTGTAAAAGAAACGATGACAAGTTTTTTAGGGTGATATAATCTGTAAGATGTACAATGGATAATGTTGTGCAGCTTAAAAAACTGTAAAATATTACAAATTGTGGTTCAATTTGAAAATGAATTAGGTCAAGTGAGGTTTTAGGCAAAATGTCATCAAAGCAAAGCCACACCCTTCTAAACACATGAAGATATGAATAAGCAACACGTTTTAACACCAATATTCACATAATAAGCTCAATTATCAGCGAATTCATAGACATCGAGGGTCCTGACAAGACTTTTCGCACGTGTTGTTTGCTTATATTTAGGACGTTGATAGAATCAGTCTGCGACGTCACAACAAAAGCGTGCAGTCCAATAAAAGCGAATTGAAATCAAAGGCTGGGAACACCGGAATTGCTGGGCCGAAAACAAATGGCCGATGACGTCCCTAACACTTCAGGCCCACAAATCTCAAGGCGGCCTTATCAAATTTATCACTAGGCCTAATTTATTTAGTCATAACATTAAAAGTTCATGCATTGTTAGCGGGTCGAGATTAAAGAACGGGGAGATAAATAGGTTTGTTAAGGATAAATATTTAAAAAAACATTTTTAGGTAATAATAGCTTTGGAAAAAATATTTTACCGAGCGACGTAGGCGCGTGACTAAACAAACATATGTAAATGTAAAAATCCTTTTTGTTTTCATACGAAGTCAAAAGGATGACAACATGTTGTCAGAACGTCATGTATCGGAAAAAACGGCGCGGAGAAAATAAAAATAAGTTGGGATGTATTGTCTACATCGCGTGGGAGATAAACTGAGTATAAGAACTCAGTCTATGATTACTTTTTTTTAATTAAAAAAAAAATTAGTTTAAACTGAAGGTGGTTAAAATTCAAAAATTGAAGAACGTTGTCTGTACTAAAACAAAAGATGCTGTTAAACTAGAACGGCACTTCCAGACGTGAGTAACGTCCATTTTATGGCCAATGAAAACCATATACATGAGAATGTTTTTTATCTTTGTCGGATAAACAATTGGCATGTCGTTAACTTTAACGGCATTTAGTGATACTGCTAATCAGGTAAATAAATACTGCATTTTATTGCAGAAGGAAGTTATTTGTTTGAGCTCACTTTACTCCAAAACTTGTGGTTCACATTATTTTACTTAAAAAAATTTTTTAAATACAATTTATGGTTTTTTTTGTCTCAATCTCTGACTCTTATTACGTTTTGTGATAAATAAATAAATATTTATTAAAATTTCACCCAACGGCCTATGGCAACAAACAAAACTCAGGCTTCAGTCTGCGTGAGCATGACGTCGGGGGATTCTTTGGATGGGGTCAATAGCCGAAATGAATTGTGGCAGCCACAATAACGCGTGCAGAAGACCGAATATGTTTACCAACACCACGGTCTGGAAGAAGACCCGAACCAAGTAGGCCGGGACGAAGGGTAGTGTTGTCATCGCCCATAAGGTCGAGCCTCCAGCCTGAAGAACGGGGTACCCGACGATGGACAAGGTGTCGATGACCTTCCCGTCTGCTGTCGGCTCTTCGGACAAGTGGTAGCGATAACAAATGTGAATGGAGAAGTCGACGGCCAATCCGATGGCCATGATAATACAACCCATGGAGACGGAGTCCAAATCCGATCCCCAGAGACACAGGAATCCACAAACTCCAGTTGAGATCGATATCAGAGAGAACGACATGATGAACACGGAAAGCTGAAACAATACGAGTTTAACTTTACTAATATCTGACAAAACTTTTTTAAAAGTAATGAAAAATTGGGTTTGCTTGGTCAAACTTACTTTATCAGGTAAGAAGAAGATGGAAATCAATGCCATAACAGCTATGGCTGATCCTACGGACTGCATGGATGCTGGAGCAATGGTTTTACGTTGATCAATCAAGAATGGCGAGAAAATATTGGCTAAGAATCCGTCGTACTCGGCGTACTCATCGATTATCCTTCGCCAATGGAACAATTCTGCTTGTCTTTTGTCCCATGAGTCTAACCTAAACATGACTATTAGTTTTTGTCAAGAAATACTTGCTACAAATTCAAAAAATAATATAAAGTAGCTTACCCATAGAATGACGTTTGGAAGGTAAAAGCCGAGATACATGGGTCACCGTCAGGCACAGAATCGTTGATTCTCACCATTTGTCTGAACTGAACGTAGTCGAACTGACTGAAGAACTGGCGGAGGTACTTTCTTTTGTAGAAGTCGCGAGAGAACACGACCTCAGGGAAGTCGTTCAGGAAGTTTTGGTATTCCCAGAGCCAGAAGTTGGTGGATACACGGCCAATCGAGTAGTCTGTGTTCTCCAATCGAAAAACCAGCTCGTTCAACCGGTTTCTGTCGTAGTCGTTACGGAGATCTGGGGGCTTCATGATATGGATGTGGGGCATCACGTTGTCTGCCCAGATGTATTTGTCTGAAATAGATGTAAAATTAGGTATGGATATGTTACAACTGTCAGCTATGCCAAATTTTTAACTTTTATAATCGTTGGGAGTTGCTACTTGGAAATGGCTATATAAAGGATGTAGTGACTTACCAGCCAAATGCACGAACGTCTGAATTGGCGAGTTATCTCTGATGTACTTTTTTGGACTGATGTCAACTTTCATATTGGCACAGCCGTAGAAACTGATGCAAATATACAAGAAGAACACAACCCAACTGATGGCCTTCACCCATGGCTTCAGAATGAACGGAGCATAGTAATCTCTGAACATTCTGTGCATGATGGTGGGTTCGTGAAACAAAGTTTCGATTTCTTGTGAGTCTTGACGTACTGAAAGTAAAAATAAATATTGATGATAATATAGATAACTTTCTATAGAGTTACTATAAAAAGAAATTGAAGACGATCTAAATAGACTTACTTGCTCTAGGTGGCTCTTCTTCAGGAATCTCGGTTTTGCAGCAACAGAAGACATGGTTCTTGACTCTGGTGGCGATGATCTTGATGTCTTTCTTGTTGAAGTAGGTCTTTATACCACCTCTGTCCTCACGCATTCCACCGTATACCATGATGGCGGCGAAGAATGTGATTTGATAAATGTAATCAACGAGCATACCAACAGCTGTCAATGTACAGAAGTCAGCTACAGCTGGTGTTGGGGAAAGGAAGTAACCAAGAGCTGTAACGCGACGTTGTTATACTATGACATATTGGACTTTTGTAATAATTAGGTATTAAAGAGCTATTATAATTCAAAAGTAAGGTGAAAGTGCTAAATTACTAACCAAAACAACCAAAGTTGGTGAGAGAAGTGACGGTAATCGAGGCTCCAGCATCTCCCATCGTAATACCCATACGTTTTTCTACTGATAGTCGGGGATCTGTCATTCGCCACGCTCCCAACATCAAGAAAGCGTCATCAACTCCTGCAACATCATCAAAATATTAATATTAATATAACAGTAATTGGCATTCGAAATTTTTAAATAAACTACCAAAAATTGTAGTAATTACAAAAAGAGTAATTGCTCTTACCTACGGCTAGAATCAAGAAAGGCATGGTACTGGAGATGGGGTTGAATGGCAGTTTGAAGTAAAACGTCATTCCAAACGTGGCTACCAAGCCAAGGACGACACAAATCACACCAAAGAAGGCTTCCATTGGTTTTGACCTAGAATTATATTGTTCTTACGATTATTTTAATTATTTCTATTCAAATATTACGCTATTTTCACAAATTTTATACATTATAGTATATAGGATCCTACTTTCTGATGTCTTTCGACAGATTAGTAAAGTACACGAAGACCATCATCTGAATTGTCGCTGGAATGGCAAAAGGAACGGCCGTTTTGATGATCAACAACAACTCATCGTCCATGGCTTTGTCGCTGAAAAGGTACGAAATGTAAAGAAGAGGTACGATTTCATAAGCAAGTCTAATGGACCACACATATTCAGCGATTGCTTACTTGTGAGGGATGAACTTGATGTTAGATTCGTCTGTTTTAGTCTGCCAGAACTCGTTTAACTTATCACGGTAAGCCAAGTAGGCGCTCTTAGCGTCGCCAACGATTGGAAACATGACAAACCAATGGATTGTCAGTACTCGAGCACCAACAATCTCGTGCTTCTGACCGGTCACGTTGACTCCGTAGATAATCTGTAATCAAAATCCTGTGTTATCACAGTTTGGAAACAAAGTATAAGTTACGTTGCTTTAATGTTGACTATCTCTACGTTTATTTTGATGGGTGTTTGCTTCTAGTTTTAATGCTATAGTTATGATGAGATGACTTACATTTCCAATATCTTTTGGGCGGTTGAACAAGTACATTACTGGGTACGATAACTGTAGATTCGGGTTGAATCTGGAGCCTTCGCTTTTGAACAGATTCTCTGCATGCTTCAGCCACACGTTCAGATGGTTGTTGCACTTCTATAACGATTTTTCCAATTCAAAAATAAAGGAGAATTGTGACATAATTTTAAAAGTATTGCATAGTAATATTATACCATTTTAAAATAAAACAATTTTTAACCTTTATAATATAAAATAAAGAAACTTACAGTTTCAGTTGGAGCTTTTTTGCAAAAATCTTCCAATCCCCATTCTCTTCCGTCGTACTCCATTCGTACGGTCATCATCTCGTTCGTGTAGTCGTACAGCTTCCGAAGAGTGTCACTTTCCAACAAATTTTCGTAATCTTTGTGTACAACATAGAATCGCAAAATGTCGTTATGCATAGGTGCATCTACCGCTAAAACAAAAAATGTAGCCTCTTTATTATGCCAAATTGTGCCATAATGGCTTACATATCCTATTTTAAACTTTCACAATATTTATCTGCGATTATATTTTTGTTAATGTCTATATTATAGTAGGTATAGTATGAACTTACACTTTTTCTTCTGCTGTTTCTTTTTGTTGGCAGCACGGGCTGTTCTGATTATGGCAGGGTTAAGAGGATCGTTCCAAACTTGTAGAGCGTCAAACTCGATAGATCGGGTCGATATATTTTTTTCAGGGGGAGTAAAGTCCAAGTTGCCAGGTGGCATGGCGTTAAATATCTAAAATAATATTTATTACGAAATACTTTACTATACTGTCTATTTTTGGACAAAACCAAGATATTTTAGCCCCAAAACCAGAATTTGATAAAAAAGCAAAAATATTGCGAATAATGAGAGAAACAGACCTGTGATCCCTCAAATTCTCGTCTGACTGGAGCATCTAATGGTACGAAAAGCTTGTACAAGTCCAGGTTGATTCGGAAAAATACAAAACCAGGCAGCATAGCGACAGTAAACAGGAGGGTATAGGATAATACGTAGCCAGGGTGTCTGCCTACGAATTCACCGTACGACTCGAAGGCGTGAGCTGTCCATTTTTTCAGTTTTTCTCCAAAATCTGTAGCACTTATGTCGGCGGCGTGCTTGGGTTCGTGGATGGGAGCGTGCAGAATTTGATTGTGGGATTCTGAATTGGACGATGGCTGTCTACTGGCAGCCGGTGGCCCGGGGTTGTCGGTCATAACTAAAGTTTACAAAAACTTGGTTATTTTAAAAAGTTCGCGCTTAAAGATTACATCTTAAAGAATCGCAACAATGTAAAACAAAAAGAATAAAAAAAGTCTGACAATCTACTACAATATCCAGGAAAAAAACACAAAAAAAGCTTTGAAACGGTTTCAGCTACTTGAATAGCCTGTTTCCAATTATGGTATTTGACTTCTCAATACAGAAAAACCGCTCCGTTTGATTTTTGGTGGAAATGTAGGTCACAGAATTGGGCGATGACGCCGTGTTTTCCTTATTAATTAATCGCTATCACAACACAATTCCAATCACCTAAGGGGCTGGTGAGATCTCACCGAATTAATTAAAAACCGTTAAATTCGAATAATCGAATGGCCTTGGGCTGACTTCGCGACGCACGGAAACCGAAGAAAGCGCGGATTTGGAAGGAAACAGATTCATCGAACGAATGACCTGTGCCTTCGGACGCCAGAGTCATTCCTCCTCCCGACGACCGCCGTCTCAGCGTGACTTTTGCAATTGCATAACGGTTTACAGGTTGAATTATTTCTTTTCATAAGTCTGCGTTTTGTTTCACAGTATGAGGTAAGGTAGTGATAATAAGTTTTGTAAGCGTTTTATCGGGTTTAGTTCTAAAATATACATGTACAAGTCTAAAAGTCTAAGTTACTGCTTTCAAGTGCCATTTTAAATTGCAAATTAAACCTAAAACTCAAAGTTGGGCTCCACAAGACCACGACGGTAAAAGTAAAAGTTTTATTATGATTTCTAATAATTAAGTAAAATATTAGAGGCATATCTGCATATATTACAATAAACTAGTAAGATATCACAAGGAGAACAAACAGAACTTCATTTCCCAAAAGTTTCTGGACACTTTTCAAATTTTTTTGTCCAAAAACCTTTGACATTAACAAAAGTTGTAAAAGGTAGTTAAAAGCGTTGTAAAGAGTACGTTATAATGCATTGTGTTGTCATATCGACGTAGACCGGGCTAAAAGTGATTCTATCAAGCTACAGAGTAAATGCGATCTTGAAAAGCAAATAAAAACAATAAAACATTGTTATAGTAACCATTGCTACAGTAACACATTGTTACCGTAACCTATTTTTACGGTAACCTATTGTTACAGTAATCTTAGATTGTTAGAGTAAATTAAGATTGAAAGCTATTGTAAAATGCTACATCGTGCCACCAGGGCACGGTATTCAGAAGAGATTCTACAGTTCACAGGTGATAAGAAAGGTTGTAAATCAGTACAGTAATACTTTGAATGATCACAATCAACATTAAATGTTTTCTTATTGATTAGTTGTGGCAAAAGTCCTCGGACTGGTTTCAAAATGCCCTAGAACTTCTTCTATTAAGTTATTCAAATAATTATGTGCCCCTTTAAAAGCAAATGTTTGGGGTTAGGGAACACAGAATTAATTGAACAACCTAATTTGAAAATTCAGATGTTTAAATCTGGATTTAAAAGGCGTGGAGACTTAACAGTTCTAGAGGGGTGAGTAATAAGTATAAGTAACAATAACAAGAAGCAATGTAAACCTCATTAATCAGGCAATACGACTACTGACTTCTACTCGAAGCGCTTCTTCTCAAACTTGTACACTACCTCGTTGATCTCCCGTCGCATCTCGAGGAACATCTTGTGGTCGAAGTGGGCGACTTCCCTTACCGCCGAGGCGACCAGCTTCCCAAACAGATCAAAGTCGTCTTCGCGGGAGTCGAAGACGCGTCGCTTCACAACATCAACAACATAGTCTTCGAGATTGCCGGTGGTGGTGAAGGGCATCGACGCCGAGGATGAGTTGGTCGATGAACCAGATCCGTGACTCACCAACGCCGACGTCGGAATACAGAGATCGGTCGAATTGAACGGTCGCTTCCGGGGCTGATCGACGGTGGAGAGGAGAATGTGGTTGGAGACGTGGGTGGTGGGGACGGAAGAGAGCGAGAAGTCGTCGGGATCGTGGTGGAAGCGATCCTGTAAGCGAGATGATATAAATAATACAAAAGACATTCTACAGTAATTGGCGAAAAATAGAAAGCTGATTTATGACATTATTTACTAGATATATACGCTCCAATAGTCAGAGCAAGTACAACATGTACGTTTAAGAAAGTAACCATTTTTCAAAACATCTTTGGTTCACGACTTTTCTGGCGTAGGTATTCAATACTACAATATCTCACCTTATAGTGAAACGAAGTACTGGCACTCAAGAAGTGGCTTCCATGCACATCGTGAGCATCATTCGGAGTGTGAACATCAAGATGTCTATCGCCTTCTAAAGAGTTATCCTGCGAGTTACTCAGTACCACTTTCTGTTCTGGAGACTGTAACCCAAAGTTGTCCTCGGTCGTGTTACTGATCTTGGATCGGATATCATCAACGTCATCATCGTCAAGGTCTCCAGAAGTGTCACTGTAATGAGTAGAACTTGTGTTTGGCAACGAGTTGCCTGGAGGTACATTCTGAGGACTGCCTTCAAATTGGTCGTATCTTGTCGTATATGGTATGAGGAACTCCATGTGTCGATAGAAACGCCAAACCGGCACACTGTAGTTCTTGGAATTGGCAGCCGCTTTCCGAGTTCGGTTGAAGGAATCCTTGAGGATCTTCCATTGGGCGGCTACTGTGCGGCCTAGAAATACAGTACTTGAGTCATCTCTTATTTATATGTTATATACTTTAGGTATCTTTTCAACCATTAGCAAGTTGTATTATGTTAAAACGTAAAATATAATATTAGAGACTTTTTTTAACATAATATCAAAGTATCAGGCCTAAACTTTGAAAAACAAAGTAAAAACATACCATCGACTGTCTGTTCGGGGTTGGTGGAGACCTGTGCTACAAGATGTGCAATGTCATCGAAGGCTTGTGCCCTTCTCTCTTTGTTCTTGAACTCGATGTGGGAGTTGTTGTAGAGTTCCGGCCGTTTTCTAACTTCATCTATCAGAATCTCCCTTTCTTTGTCTGTCCAAGTTTTTGTTAACATCTGAAAACATTCGTATGTTACTTCACAATAGTGACATAGTATTTGCAAAGCAAGTCGTACCACAAAAGTTACAGTACTAGTAAAATAGTTCTACAACGACTACAGTATTACTAAACGTATATAATAAAAAGTACTGGCATAACAATATATAAAATTTAAGTTGGTTAAGTTATTCATGGTACTAAATGTACATACAACAACAGTATGTACATACATTAACAGTACTAAAGTATCCTACACAAAATAATAAACGAAACCTTAATCGAAAAACATTATAAACAGTTTAAAAATACTCGAAAACATGTTTAAGACACTTTGACAGCTTCCACCCCTTCCTCACACAACCTTACGTATATAATACTCAAAATATTCAACTCTGATACAATTACAACATAAACATATCAAAAGTAACAACAGAGTCGAAGGGGAAACTCGTAAATTTTAGATTTCAATTAATTTTTCGAATTTTTCAATTCCTTGGAAAAAGAGCGAAAAAGACGAGAAAGGCTTAGGCTGGCTCTCTTTGGGCGGGCAGAGAAGGCGAGAGAGCGGGCGACCGAAGAGAGACAGACATTGGGCACAGATCAATAGTTCGAGAGGGAAATCTAAACACAAAGTGCTCATAGGTTTTCACGTTATTTTAGGGATAATTAGTAGTCGGGAAGGGCACAACAACATACCAACATGGCCTTTGCCCCGAAACCGGCTCGAAATAGGTGGACAACAACATGTTACCACTAATTACTTACTCCGGACAATTCCCTTGCCTTTTTCTAAAAATGATGACTAAACGCATGTTGTGTAGCTGAGGAGAAACTAAAATATGTTTAAAGCAATGTTAGTCTTGCAAAGCCTTTTTAAATGAAAACGAGAGACATATTACAGTATACATAAAATAGGATACAATTCCACTAATATTACTATTAGTTATACCTTATAATATAACTAAATACAAATCAAAACATCTCTAAAACAATCAGAAACTCAATCTACAATAATATATATTTATACGAAATAAAACCAATATTCGGGGTTGGTGGAGTTAACACTAGTCTACTGCTCGACAATTGGAGCAGATGGCTTTAGAGACTTGTCGGAAGGAGCAGACGTCATGGAGCCCTTCGTGGAGCCTTTCTTGGAGCTCTTAGTGGAGCTTTTCTTAGAGCCCTTCTTGGCTTTCTTCTTAGAGCCCTTCTTGGAACCTTTCTTGGCAGAGGATCTTGCAGACTTCTTGGACTTTTCTGACTTCGGAGATCCCTTCTTGGATGTCTCCAACAACTTCTTGGACTTTCTTCTCTTCGATGTTTGACAGCAACAGATAGAGCACGACAAGCACACGCAGGCAATGCTAAACAGGTAATTAATGGTATAAAGTATAATTTAAATAGTTGTAAAAGATATAATTCAGTACAATCGTATTACATTCGTCATGACACAAAGTTAATACTAACAACACAACTTTTAAAGTTGTTTATGTAAATTTAAATATACTTAGCAACTTACACTAAACATATGAAACCCGCAACCATCTTTATGAGAACGATGGCCTCACGGCTCTGTTGAGTATATCCGAACGTTACAAGTTCCATACTGTTTCCCTAAAATGTACAACATGCAATCTTTCTCAAGTAATCTTTAATCAACAAAATAAACTATTACTACTGATATCAAAGTATTACAAATGTTTCCAGTACTAAATCCTCAAAGTAAAAATAACTTACAAGCTCGATTCTGTAAGGACAGTAGGCCAAGGACGCGTTAATCTGTGGAGCTCGGATTCGGAACTTAGTAACGTCATCCGGTTTGAAATAGCGCATCCTACATTCAGGATTGGGATGTGTAAACTTCATTTTATTCAAAATGATATTTTCCCCATAAAGTTCTACATTCAAGGTAGTTCCAGGGACAACCGAGACTGTAACACGATAGATTACACTTCATTATTACTATAGAGACATTAATAAGCACAGAAGCAAACTACAGTAGCCATGCTAATCTAAGCGAAGCTATGCAGTAAGCACTAGATCAAAAAGTAAAGAGTACGGTACTCAAAACATTTCGCAAATTACCTTGTCGTTCTCCTCCAACGTGGACCAAAAAGTATCTCTGATAGTGATTGTATCTGGCGGCCAACCAGTCACATTTACCGATTCTGATGTTGATGGGATCGGATATTCTAAAACAATATACTTTTAGTCGATTACTACACAAAAATCATATCAGTAATCAACAGAAAGACAAGCACTTACTTAGTGTCACACATTGGAGGAATTACATTGAACTTCATCGATCCACCTCTGGCAAACTTGACTAGCATCTCAGTTGTTTGACAGATTAGCTTTATTTCTGGCCTAAATAAGGCAAGTTAGGCAGGTTGGACATAGTCTAGTCAAAAAAGAAATAGAAAGAACATAAATAATATCATTAAAAAGCTAAAAAAATATATTTTAGGCCTATCTTTTTCTACCAAGATATTTAATTCGTCGTATCTCAGCCAAAGTAGACAGTAAAAAAAGCAAAACTACGGTAAAACTGACTCGTTTTCGAAGAGATAACGAAAGTTCATATTGGGACTACAACGGAATCCGAAGCCGACATTGTCAAAAGCATAAGATGCTACAACTGGCAGCAGCGACAGCACAACCAACACGATCCTCATCGCAACGACTGATTACGGGGCGAAACTTGTCGTAAATGACTCGAAATGGCATCCAATTCGAAATGGTGCAAAGTTTCCCAACAACGCTTGTTTTGACATAAATTTGCATTTAAAAAATTTAAATAAAATTTATTCCAAAAAACAAAAAGTGACATTTTCATTATGAACCCTTCTTAATTTGCATATTCATCCTTTATTCACAAAAAATCATTTTTTTATTCTAAAATTTACAATTTTCTGAACTCTTCGCTGACTGTAGAATTACTGTAATGTACGCCTGGCAGAGGAACGTGATTCTGTTCAATTTCAGAAGCAGATTTGGGAGATTTCTTGATGTTATACTTGACCAACTTGTGTTCTTCTCTGAATGTCAGCTTTTCGTCTTTTACAATACTCTGAAAGACGAAAAGAGTTGTTTTACTATACTGTATATGCTTCTATGTATTTTATTACCATTTTATTACAAATTTTGTGTAATTATAGTTTTTTTAAAGAAAATATGCATCTGTTTTTGTTATTTTCAATTAAATTTACACCAAATTTTAATACTGTATGCGGCTAACCACAAAACAATTAAGCCTTACCAACAGAGTACGATACAATCTCCAAGCATCTTTACCGAGTGTTTTCACTTTCATCTTGTACACATCCAACTTGATCAACTCCCATTCCTTATCTTTCTTGAGAGTTTCTTGTAAAGTGCTATTTAGAGTTTTCAGAAACTGGTCCAGTTTCTTGTGCACCACTTTCTTTTGTTTGTCATAACCATGGTCTAGTATCTTTGACACTTTAATCTGTTCAATGCAGTTCAGATCGGCCCAGACTGACTTCAACGGTCCACCTGGAGGCCCTGGAATAGCCTCACGACGTTTTAATATTTTATCTATGATAGTGATTGCATCATCTTCTTGCTTTTCTAAAATATTACTTTAGTTGTTCCAGCTCCTTCTTGTTATTGTTATTAGTAGTTTTACTTTTCGAAGTTTAGATACATAACATGTTCAATAATAAACCTATGATCTGCAAAAATCGTAATCTTTAAAAATTGGCGACGTATTTACCTAGTAAACTAGTAATATCATCATCTTGGCTCTTTTCTAAAGTAGGAAAAGCAAAAGTGGTTGTAGCAAGTAGTAATAACAGGAAGAAGAAAGTGTTCATGATTAAAGTTGCTCAAGAATGTCATTGTTTATATAACCAAAATACGAACTGATAAGGTACCTAATCTTTCCCAAGATTAAATTAACAATTCCAATAGGCTTAAGAGTGTAATTGTCAATTTGTGATGTTTGACCCTACAACTGATAGATATTCCATAATATTCAGACAAGACAATGGTAAGCTAATGTAACACAAAAAATATCTTTAGGAAAAGTTTAATGAAAATATAAACCTGTAAGCAACATATCTACTATAATATCCACAAAAAACCCGGTTTCACCACAGAAAAGTTAAGTAAAACCAACAGAATATCAAAAGTAGGTATCAAGAGTAATAAGTTACTTATCCGATCAACTTCAAATCCATGGTCTTATCAACCCCTAAACAATTCTAGGGCCCACTTGTACATGTTTGTAACCTCAGTAAAAACAGTACTCATGTACCTAGTTCGTGAACCCTCAACCATAATTACCGACTTTTTTACTTGATTGATTGGCGGTTTCTGTGGAGTTATTGAACCACACGAATGTAACCTTTCGACATGACAAATGGTGGTATAAACAATGGCTATACGAGAGTTGTGACAGGCAAACATTGTTGGAAGTTGTTATTTGATTACTTTCGATACCCCCCAATTCCCCAATTGTTTGTTGTACTTTTGCTGGGAGCAGAATTTGCTTTTTGTTAGTTTTGCTGCTGCAATTTGTTGATGTTGTCACTTCCTTCTGTATTTTTGCAAAATTACAGTAGTTCAAAGGCCTTTAATCATCGTTTAATATTAACCATCTTCAAAAGCTTTTAGTTCTTAGTTTTAAAGCCCAAGCTTTCAGTACAATCTTCAATTTAGTTACAGACAAACTATACTTTCTCTTACAAAACGTTTTTTAATGTTTTCCTACTGTATCACGTTTTACTGCAAACTCTTAAACTCAGCAGTAAGAAAGTATATTACATGTAACCTTGGTGTTTCTCCCCCTTTATTTACAGTTTGCTCCGTTTACAAGATCAACATTAATCTTAGTGACCGTTCGAGAGTAAATCAAAGTGACAATAAACCTTTAGAAACAATTTTATCGGTTTGTTTTCCGTGATATTAAACGGTTTAAAGGCTACAAGGTCCATTTGTCGTGTAAAAGCTATATTCGAGACGTAGCAAGCAATATTTTATGTTATAGTTAGGTAGCTTAGTGTACTCGGTATATGTATTCCAATACATTAGTAACTGTTTTCTTGTTCCATAACTACAAAGTAGTAACGGTAGCTACAAAATCAGCCGATGTTACAGTAGGCCACCCTCCCTTCGAACGCTTAAGGTTTCAAAGGCTTGATCAAGTAGCAAGCGATTGTCATTAATTTGAAAAATATTCCCATAAAAGGGGGATTGGGTTATTGTGTCTGAACGGTTTACAGCGACAGTTACTTTCATAAACTTATTGTAACGTTTCTTTGGGCTTCCGCTGACGTCTGCTCAATCGTAACATAAAAACTGTTGTTTTGTTCCTGTGTTATTGTAATTTAAGGTAATGTGGCAGAGTGCTTATGACTTTACAATAAGTTGATCCGGGAACTTGGGTTTTATTTAAAATTTTTGTAAAATTCTTTGCTTTTTTCATTTAAATTCTGGCTTTTATTTTGTTAAAGCACCTTCTTTTGCTTAATCATGTATTTACAATATAAGATACTTCTTTCAAATCAATTTGATTACTTTACATTGTCGCACTGTTACAGTTGTAAAAGATTTCCGTATCGGCTTAATTGTCTTCGCGCTCGTCATTCCCCACTCGATTCTATGTTTATGGCCTTCTGAATCTCTTATAAGCTGCATATACTTAGGGCTGAGTTCGTATCTCTACCATAATACCATATATTGTTGAAAAGGTTCCTCCGAAACAAATCTTTTGACAAACATCAGTTGTAATCGCTAAGACTGTTTTGATACTTAACATACAAACATGGTGGTGAAAAGTTTCCTTTCTTTAAAAGTATAATAACCATGTTGTAAAGATATCGTGGTAAACACCATGTTTTGTAGAGACATCATAGTAAGTAGCTTATTGTAAAAATTATTGTAAAGCATGTTGATATTGTAAAACATATTGTTCATGTAAGACCTTATCCTTGTTGTAACGTTGCCCTTTGCTTCCGTTTCAAAGAATCTACAGAAAACAAATTAACATCATCCAGATGTCGTTCACAGCGCAATGTAGCGTTAACTACCTACACAAGAAACGATAGTCGGAAGTTTGCAAAAAACGTCTTTCGGTCACTATTCATTATTCTTCTCAATCACCGGAAAACGGTTCAGTACCTGTCCGTCTCATTTCTCTCCCCCTTCCGGCACGTTGCGGCGTCGCTGTTTCTGCTTTAAAAATCAGTCGAAGAACCGTCGTTCCTACTGCGTTTGCAACTGTTTTTTCAAAGTTTTACACTGGAAGAGAAAGGGTTTGTGTTACTGCTTCACAAGCTGAAAATGGTGTTTCAGTGATTAAAAATTAAAGTGTACTTTAATGTACCTTGTTTAGGCCTAGGAACTGGGGTAGATACAGTTCTAGGCAATAAACAACTAAAAAGTTAATATATAATACCTATTTTATACCGAAAGCAGATTCTGTGCAATTTTTCGTTTTACCAAATCTTAAAAGTTGTCTTGAAGTCTTAGCCAATCTCCCCTGTTCGTGCTGCCTTCCAATATTTTACGTTATCCAAAATCCAAATAAAACAATTTTTTCAGGTTCCGTTGCCCCAAAATGGCACCGCGACCAGAGCCAATAACTCCAACGACGCAAGCAGAATTCAATTTTCCTGATTGCTCCATGGAACCGTCAATATCCTCAGAACAACACGATCGTTTGACTGAGCAGCTGAGGCCAGAAACCCTCCGTAACCGACGATCTTCTGCTCAATCCCCAAAGTTTCTCAAAAGCAGAAGAACATCACTAACTGCCAAAAACACTAGCATTCCTTTCCCTGGCCTCACACCACGATCCCAAAGTGATGCTTTCGAATTTGAATCCGTTAAAGAAGGTGTAAGTGTGGATTCTCAAAAAGAAGTCCAAAATGATGTGACAATACCACCCATAACACAACGTAAGGCCGAAGTATGCCCCGGTGCTGCGTTGGATGCAGAAAATCAAAGCCGCAAATCGACAAAAACCGACGATTTTCAACTTCCATCGGAAGCCTCTCATTTCACTTCACAACACAAGTTCACGTCAAAGAAGACCTCCATGATTCCAGAGATTTCCTTCATGCATGATGACAGCACCATCCTCGATGAAGTCCGTGAGAAGCGGTCCGTAGCAAGCAGAGACGACAAGCAATCTCTGGTGCCTCCAGAAGACGACAACGTCCCACTGCAGCGTAAGATAGCATCGGCAGTGCTACATCCTCCAGGTCAGCACAACTCCTACTTCCGTGCCGCTTCTGATTACCATCCAGCCCAGATCTTTAGAACCGGGCTGAATCCGTTGCTGAAGGACAGTGGAGATGGTTGTGTGTATCCTTGGATGAGTGTTCGTAACAATTCTACTGACGAAGACGATGATGACGACGATCTTCCCCAATCTCGTCTGTTTCCATCAATGAGATTCCTGATCGCCGTTCTTCTCTGTTGTTGCTACATCACCATGTCCATCAGCACATCAAACATGGCCGTAGCCCTTATCTGTATGATTAAATGCCCCCTTCGCAACTACTCTGGAGACTTAGATTGGGAGTCTGATCAAGAAGGTCTGGTCCTGGCTGCTCAGAATGCTGGCTCACTTCTGATGCTGTTGACTGGACTGTACGCTGACAGGATCAACGGGAAATGGATGGTGTTAGCTTCTCTGATTCTGTGTGGCATTGGAAACTTGACATTGCCATTGTTCGCCCATGATTCCTTTTGGTACGCTGTGATTGCTCGTATTGCCATTGGAGCGTCTGATGCATGTATGTCGCCGGCTGTCAACTCTCTGATCACACGGTGGTTTCCACGAACTGAGAGAGCTGCTGCCATTGGAATCATCACTGGAGGACGTCAGATTGGCACTTTGTTCATCCTTCCCACAGCTGGATATCTTTGCACAAGGACTGACATTCAAGGTGGATGGCCTGCCATCTTTTACTTGTCTAGCTTCATTACGGTAATCGTGCTGGCTTGTTGGCTACCAATGGGGGCGGATAAACCAGCCAAACAGTATTGCATCAGCCATCGGGAAAGGATGTTCATCGAAGGAAGGTATGTTCATGCACGATAACAAATATAGAAGATAACAAAAATAAAATAGCAGTGTTGTCCGATTCCGGATCGATGCCAATTTTAAAACTTTTAATGAACACAGTTTTTGAATTTAAAATCAATTTAAATTTCAGTATCGCCTGTGAAAGCATTGGTAAACGATCCCAAGCCCGCCGTATACCATGGTACCATATCAGTCGTTCTGTTCCACTATGGGTTGGTGTTTTCACCCTGATATGCCACGAGTACCCCCTTGTTATCATGCTTCAATTCCTCCCCAACTACATGAGAGACGTTCTCGAGTTTGCCCCCACCCAAAATGGATTACTCTCAGCCTTACCTATCTTCTTCTTGTTCCTCAGCAAGACCTTGTCGGCTTCATTATCGTCATGGCTAGCTGTCAACACCAAATACAGTAGAACCACCATCTGTAAGGCCTTCAATGCCATCGCTTCAGCTGGTCTGGCGCTGAGCATCGTATGTGTACCACAATTCGGCAAAGATACCGCGTTTTTCGCCGTTATATCACTGTGCTTCGCCATGATGTTTGCTGGTAAGTCTAAAACATACATATCATAGTTTAAAAATATTTAGGATAAGATATAAAAGCTGTTTTAAAATAGAAATACTCAAAAAACAAGTTTAAAACACTGTCTTTCATCATCTTAACAATTTCTTACCTAAAATCCTCCTTTTTAGGCTTACACACACCAGGAGTCCAAACTGCCCTTCTCCAACTCGCTCCACCGTTCTCGGGTGTTATCACTGGCATCTCCTTCTTCGCCGTAGCCTGGTTCTCCATCGGCAACAAGATATTGACCAAATGGATCGTTCAAAATGGCACTCAAAGTGAATGGGCGATGGTGTTTTACATTTCTGCCATTATTGCCGCTCTTCCTGTGGTCGTGTTCTCGTTGTGGGGATCTGATGAACGCCAATGGTGGGCCATGCCCTCGTCCAAGGTGTCTGCCGCCACCGTGGCCACGTTGGGATGCCAATCGACCACTTCAACTCATCTCACATCGCTCAGCCGATCTCAGAGTCAAAAAGGGCTTAACAGTGTGTAGATGGCAAACCTATGGAGGGTTCTTTATATATATAGTAATTAGGATCAATGTTTTATGTTTACATTGTCATTAACATAAGTTTGTACATGTTGTTTATCTAATAAACTCACTAAAGCATTAAAAGACAATAGAAATATTAAAGGGATTCTTAAAAAAAAGCCAAAAATCCTGAACAAGATTCTGTCGCCAGAGAAAAGATTTCGAAACTTTGCCAAAAAAATAAATTTCAAACCAGCAATGAGCCCGCCGCTTTGGCTTTTTTTAAAAAGCTTTGGCGTCCTGTGGCAATCTGGCTTGTTTTTTGGTCGTTTTTCGCATAAATTTTGCTTTTTTTTGTTGTAATTCATAATTTCTGGCCAACAATTAATTAAGGAAAGGTAGTGAAGAATGTTATGGAGGAGCTACACGTGTTGTTGACTTTAAAACCTTTCATTTTTCCTCATAAACCCGTAAATATTGTCCATGAGGACCCCGAAAAGAGAGGACAGCTGGGATCTTTCCCTTTTTCTCAAGGCTTAATGCGATCTTCGGTTTACTCGTCCTCGAACCGTTTTTTACTTATGTATAGCTAATGTTTGGAGACGTTTTGGCTTTATGATTTTGTTGTCATTTATGACGTTATGTTATTTGATGTGTAATGTAACTTACAATGTATTTTTAGTTATTTGTTGCTGTTTGCCTAATATTTTCGAAAAGATTTGTGGTGTTGGGAACTTGTTTTAGCAGTCGACGGACACTGATGAGACTTTTTTCAAATTTTGATGCGATAATGATAACTTTTCGATATTACACTGCGTTCTGTGGGAATATATTGTTGTCTGTTTGTTTTGTACTAAATTCTGGACGTAATAAGAGGATTTTCGCGGATAGAGCTTTGGATAGTTAATATTTGTTGTTTACTTCGTTTTAATTTCAGTAGTTGGGTGTTGTGGTGAAGGTGGTATTTTATAGTAAGGACATGACATGCGGTGATTGTGTGGTGTTCAGTAGGGCAAGAGATGTTTTTTGTTGATGGTTAGAAGTAAAACTATACAAATATATTTTTTCGTTGTTTTAAATTTCAAGGACATTTTAAAAGAAAACTTTTGCTAAATGTTTAGCAAGTTTTAAGCGTTAAAACTGCCTTAAAATTAGCCTAAACGGTGATAACATGGTTTTCCTATATATTTTTCATTATACGTATCTTCTGGTTTAAACAGATAATATTTATTTTTATATCAAGGTTGATTTATCAATGAACATAAACCTGAAATGCAAAGTTTTCTTTCCAGGAACAGGAAGAAAAGTTAAATTTCAGATGGCTGTAAAGTGATAAACGACTACGCGTCTACATTGTTGTAGTCTTTTGAAGAATATTAACAGACAGATAAACATCTCTTTACAGATGACCTTTCATTAACTCACTTTATTCAACTTTTGGGCGGCTTGTCAAGCTTTTTGGAACTGATGCGGGGGGGTATACGAGTTATTGTGGCATTAATATACAGGACATAGTTTTTCATCAATTTTTAAATGATTTTCTTAACATATCTATTTAAAATTTGGAAAGATAGCGTTGATATTGCGCTGTTCTTTGCTATAATATACTTTCTCTTTAAAAATCTTGCTTTGAAAGGTGTCTTTCGCTAAAGAGTTGTCAATATGATTGTAAATTGTAGTGTTATCTTGCTGTTTTTGATTTTTGAGGAAGGAATATAGGCATTTACAACATTAAATGTAGCTTTCAAGTCTTAAAATAGGACGACTTCTTTGAATTATATTGTTTTAGATGCTAAAGTATCTTCGTAAACTTAAAAGACTTTCTTTAAACTTTACGTAATTTTTTGTAAAGCTTTGTTCTTACATGAATAAACTTTCTGAATACAATGACATGTTGTAATGAGTAAGTTAATCTAGGGAATAGTATAGGAATAGTCATTCTCTTCCTCACAATTCTCTTCAATCTTGAGAAATTTTGCTGGGAAACGGTTTTTGTTTGTTTAAATGCTTGGAATAAGCTAAAGTTTGCCTTGTTATCAGCTGAAATTATACGAAATGATCAGTTGGGCAGGTCTTAAGGTTATCAGGTTACGATTACGTGGTACGACATGGTCATTTTTATACGAATTTTAGGTGAATTGGTATGATAATGGCAGATTTGGGTTGTTTTTCCGTGATACAAACTTTTATATTTTTAATAGTTTGTTAACTTATATTACTGTTTTAGACACTTGGGAACACATAATGTATTGCTAATTTACATTACTTTTCTAAGCTAATACGACAATGTCAGACTCGGAACGGCCTGAGGGCACTCGACATGCTCCGCTGGATGATCAGATGCAAGAGGCGAAGACGGAATGTAGATTACAATCACCGAAGCTACCACGATTACCTTTCGGGAAACAACATCAGGTCAACAAGTTCTACAAACAACAGTGCGACCTGCTGGAGAACTACGAGAACGACAGTAAACAGATCTACGTAAGCATGTTATTGGTATTCTTGGGTATCTTGTGATCAAATTTTGAAAAGATTTTAAATTTTGCAATTTATACGATGGTACTTAAGAGCGTAGACGTATAATAGTAAAGTTATACGTTCTTATACAACACAATTTCTTTGTACAAAGGATTATGTTTGTACGAAGATATAACTTTTACAATTATAATTTACAGTACGATGCTTAAATGCGACGGTAGACATACATATGCTTACAAAACTATAATCAAGAGTAAGCTTTTGCGAACGGTATTAGGCTTGTATAACAGTCGGGATTATGTTGTATCAGTGACGAAATTGTAATTATACTACTGTACGTTACATCCGTTGTAAAATTAATGTTATTGTATAGATGGTATTAGTCGTCCACGCTTTTGCATTGTGTTTTTAATATTTAACATGGCATTAGGCTTATACGAAGCTTAACTCTTATAGAATTTTATGTAATTTTGAAAATCAGCTTATGAATAAGCGTACGTATATGTCGCTTTGTTTTACTGTAATAACCGTAAAGATCAGAGGTTAAAAATCAATTCTTATTAATAGATGGATTTGAACAACATAACATGAAACAAAAGTACGATACCTATATATGCTAAACATATAAGCCTAAAACATCAATTTTTAGGATAATCGTCAACGACGGTCAGTTCGTCTTCAGCCTGATGAAGCTCATCAACAACAACAACGGCTACAATCAGTTAGTCATCCGAACGAGAATCCGGAGACACAACTCTTGATGGAAGATGAAATGGCACTAAACGACAATTGTACCGAAGAAATCCAAAGACGATCTTCTAACAACTCCAGAAGGGTACATCCAGTTCCTCGGATTAATGTTTGCAATAGGTGAGGATATCAAGGATATATTTTGAATAAGAAGGATAATTATAATGGCAATATAAATATAGGTAGAACGTTGGTTGGAGATAAGATTGATAGGCTTGGCTATCACAGGCATTCGTGGGGACCTTCATGAATGAGAATTAATATAACAAAAGGGTTTAAATTTTGCAAAGTTTCCTTTATTATCATTATAAAAGTACGAATTCGAACATATCGTAGCAAGGAAGCTCGATGCGTCGTTATCAGTAGCCACCGTTCAGCCACAACAGTTTGGGGAACAGTCTGATAATGACTAAAAACCAAATGTTCGGAGGGTTTAGAAATAACCTTTCATTCAGCTGTAACCGAGCGATTCCCTTTATTTCTCGAGGAATCGTAGGTCATACGTTGGTTCATATAATTAAAAGATTATTTTGATATTGTGCTTGTTATTAACCAAGATATCCGATAGGGAATGGCGAGAGTTAAGGTCTTTAAGACAAGGTAGTTTATTTTAAAGTGGTTTTAACCCATAGCTATATGATATTGTATGACACTTTGGTTCAGATAGGGTATTTAGTGATTCTAAGGTTTTAATTTTAATGTTTTTAAATGTTACTGTAATCACTTTCAGCAACGAAAATGTCCAAAACAGTAACGATGAGTCTTCGGAGAACTCTGGTCGTAACAGAGCACATTGTCTTGCCATTATGACGTTATGTGTCAATCTGATGTTGACTATCGCCAAGGCTACAGCTGCTTATCTATCCGGGTCTTTGTCTATTATGTCGTCTTTGGTCGATTCTCTGGTCGATATAACGTCAGGACTGGTCATTTGGCTGACTTCTAGAGCTATCAGGAAGCACGATCCCTATTTGTATCCAGTAGGAAGAACACGGTTGGAACCGGTGGCTTTGGTAGGTTGATTACTGTATTTAGAGACAGTAGTTAATCTGGAATTTAAAAGATATTAAATTTTTAAACGCTGTTTTAATTGGATTGATTTTTGAGGTACAACAAACTAAAAAGTGATATTTTAGGTAATTGTAAGTGTTGTGATGGCAGTCGCTAGTGTTCAAATGGTCGTGGAGTCTACGGAATCCATGATTCAAAACCGGATGGATCCTCATGTGAATCTACCCACTCTTTGCATCATGGTCACTACTGTTGTTGTTAAATTTATGTTGTTTTTGGTTTGTAGGACGTCAGTTAATTTACATCGTTTTATTTTATTTAAATTATTATTAATGACCGAGTTTGTAAAATACGACGCAGACTGTTTGATACTGTCATATTGACCATTCCCTTGTAATTGACATGCATTTTTAGACAATCTGACCCGTCGAGCAAAGTGTTGGCCTTGGATCATAGAAACGATTGTTTCTCGAATACTGCTGCTTTACTGTGTGCTTTTTGTGCTCAAAAGTTTTGGATTTACTTGGATCCGTTGGGCGCTATAGCTGTTGCTTTGTATATAGCTACTACCTGGTTCTTTACCGGTCGAAAACAATTGATCCGGCTTAGTGGAAAGACTGCTGAACCTGATTTCATCAACAGGATTATTAAGGTAAGAGTTTTGAAAATGGTCTTGTTTTTGAGTTATATTGCTGTCTTATCATGTTATTATTTACTTGTAATTGTGGGAAAGGTACTGATAGGTTACTGAAGGCTTTGATTTTTTTAAATTTATAAAATTGCGTGCACTTTGTGTGGTACTGTGTAGTACTTTGTATTGTTGACATTTGCTGCAAAGAGTATTAGTCGAAATCACAGTTTCTAAATTAAAGTAGTCCAGACTGTAGGAAAGTTGAGCTTAGGGATTAAGAAAGTCCTAAATCATCTATCGCCCAGTTGTGTTCGTATACTTTGGATGTAGTAGGTGGTAAGGATAAAATAGTAACGGATTAGGCCTAAAAGTAACAAAAAAAGGTGTTGAAATTTTGTTGACAAGGCCTTAGGGCAAGTGATTAAGTCTGGCCGAATATAGCTTGTCGGTTCTCTGGCCAAGTTTCCGGGTTTGAGCCGATTTCCGGTGGGTAAAGGGCGATGAGCTACTTTCTCAACAGATCGAAGTACGGCTTAAAATAGTACCATTTACAGTGATGCAAAAGGCGCAGTACGGATAAAATACAATTTGAGTTACGAAAACTAAGATATTAAAAAAGAAGTTTCAAGTTTTGTAATGTTTTATTAATGTCGACGATGTTACAGAACATACAGTATTCTGCTGGGTTTTTGACTTTCGTGGGGGCGGTTTTGTTAAATTTTCATTAGACGAGTTTGCCGAATTACGGAGGAAGGGAGATGATTGTTTTGTGATGGTTACTTTGTGTGGAACAAAACGTATTGTAGTAGCTTTGCTTTGTTTTTGATATCAATTGCATAAAGGCTTATATGATGTTATAATTTAATTTAATAGGCTTTTATATGGTAGAAGTTCTATTTTATTCTTGACCAAGTTAACTAGACAAAAAACGTGTTTGAATTATTTTGCTAAACCAGTATCAATGTTAAGATTCGATCACTTTGTCATCTGTAATAATAACATTTTATATATAGACGTATTATATCATAGTAAATGTTTACTTTCAATTTACAATTTTGACGTTTTGTCTTTTGAACGTGACACCATCTGATGTATGCTTATACCTTGAGACGATCACAAATAGAATAGTTGATGTAGATTAATTCCAAATTTAAATTCTCGAATAATTTTGAGGGGTTTACATTAATAATCAAGCGAATTTATCATATGTTAGTTTACGGTGGGATTAAGCTCTTAACCGGTCGATACGACAAGATACCACCTCTTTACTCAATGGGTTTCAATCGCTTCAATAAATTTAAATATTGTAATTTAAAAGTTGTAAAAGTATTTTGGAAATATTTTTACGATGGGTGTTACATGACATTTAGTACGTTACAATAGGTCTGATACAATGTTGTATTTCAATGATATGTAAAGGATTATGTTACTATAAGATTGATCATTTAATAATTTTAGGTATGCATTGACCACGACGACAGAATAGACTACATTGACACGGTGTATGTGTACCACTTTGGCACGAGATTCTTGGTTGAGGTTCATATTGTGTTAGATGAGAATATGCGATTGAAAGAGGCTCATGACATCTCTGAGAGTTTACAGAACGCCATCGAGAGTCTTGAGGATGTGGAACGTGCCTTTGTGCACGCTGATTACGAGTTTGAGCACAAGGCTACAGACGAACACAAGATTCCGGAGCCTTAAACATACAGTAATATTAATGGCACGCAACTTGCATCTGTTGGTATCTAGGTGTATATTGAGATGTTCATGTGTGTCGTCCAGCGTATGTAAATGAATATGTGCGAGCATATACGTAGGCATCTACATTTATATGTAGGCATGTGTACATTATATGGCATATTCATATATAGGCATCTGTAGGAGTGTGTTTGTACATGTATGGATATTTGAAAACATAGGCACTTGTCTGTTTTATTTGGATGCATATATTTATATTAATACGTGTTATATGTATTTATATACATGTTATACGTACTCTTTTTGTCTATATGGCTCATATTCACCAAACCTTTTGCTTAATGTTGTTATATATGTTGTTTTATAGTAATGTGCATTTATCACTACAGTTGAAAGACGGTTAGAATAATGTGTTCTACATTATCGTGAAATGATACTCAAGTTTCGTATGAACAAATAAAAATATTATTGTTTTGATCTTGTGGTTACTTACGGTATTCATACTACTACAGTATCTTTCGGAAGTGGATTTTTTGTTTACTTATGATATATCATACTACTGTGGTATCTTTGGAAGTGGATCTTGTATTTTTGTTTATGATAATGTTACAGTTTTGGTATGGTCAGACATAATCAGACTGTAAGGCTTTGCAATCTCTTTGATCTTGTTGTGCTAAGCCTGACGTATGTTTCGAACTATTTTGGTCGAGTAAATAAGATAACGAAAGATGACTAAACATTTGGACTCAAATGAGAAATGTCATCATAGGGGTCGAGCTTAATAGTGAGAACTTGGTTCTATCTTCTTTTCGACCACAAAAAGCACAATTTGTCACAAGATGTTGCGAATCCATCCAAACAACAGTATTAACACCAGCATAGGGTATTAACAGAACCTGTACTGGTATTAAAAGAACTCGTACTGGTGTTAAAACACGTTCGCGGAAGTTTGGTTCAGCTAATGTTACTTTAATACGACTATAAGGAGTCAATAGGAAGACTCATTTCCGCAGGAAATTTCGAAAATCTCGCTGGAAATAATGTCATTGCTTTCACGTACTCGCCGTGCACCGCCAGTACGCTCGGACTTAATTCGTCTGCGGAAGGTGGTACTGTAGGCGGAAAACTAATTAAGGTTACTGTAAGTTTTGTGACGTTTTTGAGGGGATTACTGACGTATTTTGGGAGAGTGTAGGTTGAGGTTTACTGCGTTGTAGGTTGGTGTGTCACAGAGTAGAAAACTTGTTGTGATTAATGTAGTGTGTTACGTAGCAAAAAGTTGGTATAGGCAATACGTATCTAGTCGGAACTGTTTATGATTTTACTGTTACAGAAATTATATAATTGCATAAACTATACCTCATTATAGTTATTACTTAAAATTCATAAATACCTGTATATTGACTTGTGCTTGTACTAAGTTTAAGCGACTCATAATAGTAATGTAGTTACCTTTCTTGCAGATGTATTTAAATATAATTTACTGTAGTGTCGTCCACAACAATTAAATTACCGTGAATTGTCCTGTAATTGAAAACGTTAATCTGGTACAAAACAAGGTATTAATTATAGAGTAATCTGATTAATTACAACGTAATCAATCCAATCTTACGGAAATTATCACTTTTTAAAGATTTTAATATGTTTTGTCTTTAGAAGAATAATATTTGATACCTAAATATTAACTATGTAACCTTGTGGATATAGCCAGAGAGCTCTTTTGAGGTAAGATGTAAACTGTGCGGGGGAGGGGCTGGTAATATTGTTGTAAAGGGAGTAAAACTAATTTTTTTAAATTGTGAGGAGATCACGTTTCAGACTTTTCAAAATTTTCTTAAGTTTTGAAATTATTTTCTATTTTTGGCCGCAGTTTAACGGCCCAAGACTGGAAAAGTTATTTTTTGTTTTGGAAAACATCTTAAATAGTAATGTAACACCGGATCGAGTTTACAATCTATAACAGGAAGCGTTGTGCCAAATAGTACAGTTAAAAGTGTAAAATCGTAAAAGAATTAGGAGCCTCGAGGGCATGTATGGTAATAAATGCTATGGTAAAACAATGCTATTTGGGGATTTAGGTTTACTATTGTTGGGTGACAAACTTTGGGGGATGGGACTTTTGTTAAAGGAGCTGGCGGTTTATTTTTTGGGTCGGGCAGTCGCTTTTTGGCTTGAGCGATTAAAAAAAAGATTTTTGTCGTTATTGGGTATCTGTCGATAAAAGTTATTTTTGAAAATTACTAGAAGAGCACGCTTATTTTTTAAAAATTTTATTTGAAAGGGGGGGGGGATTTTCTTCCCTTGTCCATGTTGTTTTCGTATCTTCCGGCTTTGGCTATAAGCTTTAATTAAGGGCATTCTCGTATGTTTTAAAATACAATATACCTCTATATAACGGATGTCTTTCTTACTATTTTTGCTTAAAACACTATCATATTGACATAACTTTTCTCTCAGACCAAATCTTTTTAAATTACTTTGATTGCCATTATGGTAATCAACATATTGTAATTGTATTAATCAACATATTGTTGTTGTAATAACCACAAAAACCAGGAAGTCGATTGTCTCACTTCTTTATATTAAACTTGGCCAGGCTAATCTCTAATTGATTTTACGGATTTACAGTCGGTTTCTGCATTATTTTGGATTTGCAAAGTAATGCCAAGGTAAAGCACGTAACATAATTTACTTTATGGCGCTATGCTGTAGGATACGGTTATTCTGTTGAAATTTGGATTGAGTTTCGTATCATGTAGACATTTATATAACTTTAGGTATAAAATTGTAATTAATTCATAAAAATGACAGAAATAGATGTGACATTGATCACATCGTATATATATAGATGTATTCATGTTACATATCTGTTATATGATCGCAACAAGGATGTAGCACACATCATTGTCATATATATATGTATGTGACATTTTGGGTTTAAATTAGGAAAACTTTGCGGGTTTAATGTACCATGAAGCGACATGAATAACATGACGTATAACAACATTACTTACTTTAAGGAATGACATTAACTTCATTTCCAAAGAAAGTAATTCCATAAGTCGACAGTAGAAAGTAATGTCATAAAGCGACAGTTTGTTGCACTTTCTATTTACAGAGTAATTCGGGTAAGATACGATTTAATTTAAAGCAAGATACGATTCAATTTACAGCGTAATTGATGACGAATACGATTTGATTACATTGCTGTGTGTAAACAAGGTTTGTAGTGTACTGTTTGGTGATTGTAGGTTTATATAATAGTACTACTAGGTATATGAACATGGTACTTACAAGTTTTCTTTATGTCAGTATCTTTAATGTAGCTATTTTTTTAAATATGTATATGTTATCGTGGGCGATTTTGTAGTGTGATGTTGATGCTTAAAGCCTTCCATCCTTATCGTATGTTACTTGTAAATTTACTGTAGATTTGTGAATTTTTAATGAGTTACTGTGGTATTTTTTTGTAGTGCTTCTAAACATCTTGACTTTCTGTGATGAGTAATGTCTTACATTCATAAGTAGAAGTACTATAAACAATTGATCAAGATACGAAACAGTAAAACAAAGATACGAAAAACATAAAAATGCATCTAAAAGGGCACTCACATCATTACATAATGTACATTCATGTGTACTTTTTACTATTGCCTATCTTTGCACCTCTTTTTACTGCAAACTCCTTACTGAGTAATTTGTTATTCTATCTTGTATAGGTTTTTTACATCTTGGTATCATCAGTATATTATCATCAAATCATTCTTACTTCCACTGATATATAGACATAAGTGGAAGTGAGAACCTTTATATGGCATATGTATACCTTGTTCCATTGTATACGGCTTCTGCATAATTTATAACCGGTTTAAGGTAAACATACCATTGACCGGTACGAAAACTATACGACAGCCGTCTTTACTCAATTACTTTGTTTTTGGCGTCAGACGTACGATAATTCTGTTGCTCACGGTAATTGAATTTTTTGAAGTAATCAACAACAATGACAAAGCTAGTATATATTACTGTGATACGTCATGGTGGTATCATATTTATACATATTGTAACTGTTGTGCTAAGTATGTCATTGGTTTTGCTTATTAATATATAATTATACAATAAATAACTGCTAAGATATACTGCTTCATCATTTATTATCGTCGTATTATGCGTTACCATTGATGAGATGTTCATTAACTTAATTCTACAGACCTATAACTACAGTACGATGAGGTATTTGAAGGACAAAGTTGGTGTGATATCTTGTGAACACAAGCAAGACCAAACAAGAGGTCTCGAACAGACTTAATGACAGTAACATTAATCATTTGACAATGTTAATATATCTTGAGGAAATCATGTAAAACGTCAATAAGGTTTCGAGGTTTCTTCTGACATTTACGGCTTCGTATGTTTATACATGAAGAAGCAGTTAGATATACATGTTGTAAATGTATATCTCTTTTCGTCAAAAAGCTGTACATCTTATTATATATAAAACTGTATAGCTTATCGTATTTGATCATGTATTTCGTTGTTTGGTATCTTGTGCTCATGGTTCATGTGGTTGTAAACCCGTATGTTGTCTATTTGTATCGTCGTATCTTTGTTCTGAAAACCGTAAAATTATTATGTAAATTTACAATGTTATGGTGGTATATATTATCACTATACGTTACTAACAGTAATATATGACTAATATCTTGTGTTCAAGCTATATCATGTAAGCCTTTACTCTACAATAACATCAGCTTAGTAAAATTGGTTTCCTTCAAGGTATACGATTCTACTACGCCATCAGGAAGACTTTGTACAATAACTTAATACTATTTAAGGAGGCTGCAAAGATACGACATCGTACTATCTGGTCGTGCTTAATCCTGTTTCCGGAGTTAAAATAGTATCGTACAATCATGTGCAGCTTAGTACGAAGTCAAACAGATCAACGGATGTTGTGTAAGACATACGACGGTGTTGTGAAACATGATAGACATGTTTTGATAGTACTACTTGTAGTACTATGAAGACAGTATTACGTAATATAGTACTGTCAAGTAATGACATAAACAATAATAAACATCTTGTTACTAACAAGTACTTTAATATTACATACATATAGAGTGGGAGCTAAATACCACGTTTACCTGTAGTACTTACTCATTTGTAGTGAGCAGTAACAGTAAATAATTTACGATTGATGTAAATAACATTACTGTAATATCGCAGGCTAGAGCCAAAATAGCATGATGCAGAAGTAATTACTTCCAAAGTAGTTAAAAGTTACTAATTGGGTCAGTGCGTGGTAAGAACGGGTATGTGGGGTATGTGGTCATGTAATTGCAAGCATCACAGGTCATAGGTCAGTGTAAAAATAACCTATCTATTAGTGTTTTGACAGTGACATCAGTGTTTATTGTAGTATATTATATTGATAACATACAGTAGTTCTGTGATTGTATGTTAACCATCCTTAATATTAACATAGCTGTGAACCTAATCCCTTAAGCTGAGACAAATAATATTCGCTTTTCTAGCGTATACAATGAGATTATAGCTCTTAAACTAGCTTAAAGCATTAAGCGTATACCAACATATATAATGTAATCTCTAATCTTGCATCCCAACATATTAATGTAGGCATTGACAAAGATATTAGAATATTCTTGTACATACCAACATATTATTATTGTATTTCAATATGCATAAACATATTGTGAAAGAGATTGGCTTATATTACTTTGGTTTTAGATATCTTATGGTTTCAAACGTATTATAACATCAAATCTCTTACCGTAACAATTCAGAACATTCCAAAGAACGTTGTGATCTTAAAGAACGTTGAGGAACGTTCTCGACAGTTTCCGTGTCATGGGCGTTCGTATCCTGTGGAGTGGTAAATCTTGTGGTGCCTCTTCCTCATCGTCGACTTGTAGTGATCGCTTCGCCGTCCTCTTGTCGAAGATCGGCTTCAGTATCTTCATCAACTGAGTGCAGGTCTCCGACGATCTCTTGTCCATGTTCATTCGACCGGTCGCTTGCAACAACGGCAACAAGTTGCAGAAGGAGTAGACCGACTTGAGCTCATCGTTACTTAGATTGGGCTTCTCAGCCAGCGACTCGAAGTTATGTTGTTCTAGAGGGCTCTTCTCGGCTGAAAACAGAATCATTCAGTAACTTGATATTGTTGTAGCTTTAAAGCTATTAAAGTTAAGATACTTTTGAATTACACTATTACCGTACAATTACAACAAGGTAAACTAGACTGCAAAGGCATAGCATGACTATAACTTGATGTAGTCTTGACTATGTGAACCAAAATACATTTGATCAGACTTCCAGGTACAATATTTTTGTACAGTCAACATGCGATACTACATTGTTGTTACTATATTATGTGTTTTTTAATTAAATGTCATCGTATGTTACTTCCTACACCTACTTTTCAGTACATAACAAAGGAAAACCGTGCTCAAGTTCAAAAGTAATGACTTCAGTACTAGTAAACAAGCGTCTTACTATAATAAGGTTGTCATAAAGTTAATCAAAATTTAATTTTTTATTGAAAAGCTTTAAAAGTAAGGGATTACTAACCTCTATATATGTCAAAAATAAAGCCAAGGAAGTACCGAAGTAATCCGAGTACTAAAAAGTACTCCATCTTCAAAACAAACACATCCCAGAATCGGATTACACTACTACACCAAACAACCTTCGAGTAGTAATCCAATTACTTACCTCCGAAATAGAAAGTGACTCCATAACAGGATCGTGGTAGTAGTATCATCAACATGACCAACAAAGACAGCCGAGAGATTAGAGAGGATATGTTTGTGTAGGGCAGAAGCTGGGACGACATGGTTGATATATGTGTGGTATATATGGGAATATATATGAGTGTAACCTGGAAATGTAAAATTACAGTAAGAAAGTATAAAATATTATAAAAAATATATTTTACATTGCAATTAATGATTAGAACGGTGAAGTAAAAACATAAACACGGAATAGATACGTCCACAGTGATAGTGAAACGCATACAAAGTTTAAAGCTTAAATATAATCAAAAATGTAAAGCAAAGACCAAAAATTACCATAGTATTTAAAGAAACAACTGTCAAAGAATAATAAATGCAATTACCGTTACTAAGTCATTACATATGATCTATAACAACATGTCATTACTTTTAGCGGAAGTCCTTGTAACAGTCACGTGACAATAACCCCAATACAAAATGATGTAACAGTAAAATTTAGATAACTTACATAAACTACACTTACTACAAATATATACAAAACACTTGTTACTCTTACTTTAAATTGTACCTAAAAAAGACAAAACTATTCAAATTTAATGTTAAAGTACAGTAACTTAAAAAAATTTTAAAGCAGACAATATTTTTAATTCAAATGCCATTTTACAGTAGACAAAGCAAAGGTTACAAGAAGTGTTTGCAAGAATTCACGAATAAAACTACTGATAAGAGGGTATAAACTGTAGTCATATGTTGACAGATTTACAACACAAAGTTGAATATCAGCCTTTAATGAACATATTACATTGTCAGCAAAGGTAATCCAACCTTAATCTGTCTCTTAATTAACTACTAATACTATATAATACATGGCAGGACTTACAGACCTATTAAAACTTAAACATCATACAATTACCTTTTGTTATCATCAATAAACTTTAAATACTACTACATAAAACTATATCTAACCATTATTATGTCAAAACCTATTGTTATCAAAGTAAACTTCAACCAAAAACTTTGACAACCTTCAATTTATACTTAACATCTACCAACCATACATTATACATACACACCTTCATAACAAATATTAAACATGGTCGTATAGATTCGAATACGACCGAATTAAAATTGTGAAAAAGTTTTCTACAAAACTGTACTAGTTGTCTTCAGCCCGCCCTCTTCCGTTATATTTGTTTTTTGCCCGCGGCGCCTACGTCCCGAGCCCCGCCCCCTTTTCGAGTCTCGGAAATGTATGAAAATTTAAAAATCTTTCAATTAACATTTACTATTGTTAAGATGTTAATTAATGTCTGCGTAATGCATACCTGATTCAGGTACCATCAATTATTCAGGCTGTAAGGTGCTATACGACCTAATGTTTACAGTAAAAGGTTATCAGAAACAGAGAATTCAAACATCGTTATGAAAGTAAAGTTATGTAAAACATCATACGAACATGTACTGAGAGTGTAAAGTTAAGATTCTAGAGATTAAGGTTGCAAGAAACAGTGTTAAATGATAAAAAGTAAAAGTTAAGCTTTTAATAATTAAAATTAATCAATTTCAATTTGAAGATCAAAAAGTTGAAGCTACAAGAACTTTTATACACCAAATACAAAAGTTACGCGATCGCGATTTCTACTAGCATCTACCTTTTTCTAGAGCTTTATTACTTGTCCAGCTTTGATAGCAGTAGAAGACTAATCAGATTTTAAGAGAAAAAATAGAAATTAAGAAATTGTTTTTGTTTCGAGCTTATCAACATGTCGAGAGCGCTAGATAACCCAAAATTTTATACTCAAAAGAGTAACGTTGACGAGTAATTACAGTATTATACTTCTGATATAAAAACTTACTGTAAAATACGCCTGATATGATCTTGTCTTTTTCATTAAGTCAAGATTTGTAGAATTTGTGGAAGTGATAAGGCGTCATAGCCCTTTCTAATATGACATTCATCGTACACAAATAAAAAGTAAACGATTTGAGGCTTTCTGTAATGCACAAGTTTGACAAATACGTTTTTCAAAATCTTAATTTAGTTTAAAGGAACGACAGTAGTTAGAGCAATCATAACATATTCTGAAGACAGCTAGAAAAGCAGATCTGAAAAAACTTTAAAATTTAAAAACAATGCAAGTATGCTGCAAGACTTTCTAGGCTTGAAGAACTTCTACATACACGTTTACATTATTGACTTTGACATGTTGTGAAGGTAAAACTAAGACTTTCAACTTCCTTGCTTAAACATCATTTTAAAATCAGTACAACAACGTCATGTTTCCAACTTGATTAATAAGGTAAATACAATTAAGGGGCTTTATAGTACACAATAATAAGTGTGCTTCATTACCTATACTTTCTACTACAATAATGCACAGTATACTACTACAATATTACTAAAAATTTACTTTGCCTTTATAAAAACTTTATATTTAATCCTACTGTAAGCATACAACTGTATGTCAAACTTACAATCGAAACAAGTCACATATAGACATAACATAGACGTATAGTCAACGTAGTAAGTTGAAATTCCAAAGACATAAACAAGTTGTCATAATCTCTCCCACGTCTACCATGGTGTCACAGCGTAAATTAAGGACTGTAATCTCGTCTGTAAGTGTAATCTAGATCGTAGCAGAAGAATCCAAAGAGGAACAAAGATTCTGAATCAATTTCCGGAGTGATGATGGCTTCAGAAGGCTCTTTTTGGTTTCTGAACCGTTACGTATGATGCAGTAAATGATATTGCTACAGTAATTAAGTAACTACAATTGTAAAGCGATTTACTGTAATTGTTTTATAAAGCGATTTACTGTAATTGTTTTATAAAGCGATTTACTGTAATTGTGCTGTTTAAACTAGACTTTACTCTGTAACTACAATAATATAACAGTTTCATCGATGTCAGTTTATCTAAAGAAAGAACCATAAATTATATATAAAGAGCTCAGTAAGATAACATATTTAGATACGAAAAAGATACTTTGACCTTTACATCAATGATATATATAGCCATAATGCAGACATAAACAATTTTTTACTGCAACATGTTAAGGAAATAATTAAGTATTCAGTACATGTTACCATCAAGGAACATGTTCTTGATGCACACCGTGAATATTAGCACTTTGAGTACTTTGTATTTTGTGTAGTATATGTTGGTATATCTTATTCACTTTGTCAGCAATAACTGATATTTACTACTAACAATTTTACAGTACAACGATTAATGTAAATAACAGTACATGAATTGTGGCCATCTTGATGTGTAATGTCTAATATATAAACTAAAGGACGTAGAATATCACTTTTGATAGCACGTACACCGCCTTGACCTATCAAAGACTGAGTATCGTATAACATATAATTACACATACCACACTGACATATACAATATTACACTTGCAATAGACCAAAGTACGTATTACATTACTCTCGATAGACGTTATATTATCTCTAAATACTATAGACATAGCATTATCTACTACTTTTAACGCCATTCGAATCGCATTATATAGTAAGTGCAAGCTTTAACAACTAACTTTATCACCGTTTACATGACTCTTACTACGCTACGTGGTCTTCGTACCTTCGTCAGGTTTACAATTACGTATCTTTGTTTGTTACTTGCAGGGTAATACGTAGATAATACGGTAATTACAGACAAACAGCAATAGATAGGTCAGTAAGAATTTTGACATATTACCGTGCTCGCATTATTATACTAATACTACGATACTGTAGTACTAAGATTTAAAATTTAAAATAAAACGTTGTTTTTGTGCAAACTCTTATATATGTCAACATACGTCCAACTTTAAAACCCTTACTTAAAAGAGAGAAAAGATATCAACAAAAGCTATCAGTATAGTGAAAGAAATGCCAAGCAAGAGATGATGTAACATATAAACCTACTGTAGATACTTCAATTCTAACAAGGTAGTTGGTTTATTCTACAGTTGGACTTGACGTACTGAGCAGAATCAAGCTACAATGCTGTTTATGCTCTTCAGAAGTTCTACCACGTCAAACATCTGGAGTTTACTTAATGAGGTGCTTTGTACGCATAATATTAGGTTGTATAGCGAAGATTATTACTCATAAAACCTATTGTATTATTTGTCGCTGTCGTATTTTGTACAGTAATTCATATGTATACGTATTGTGTCTAGTGTATATTGTAAACCATATAATTTTGCCTATCGTCATATGTAACTTTTCTGTTACCAGCTAATTGTAGTATATTGTTCATCGTAGCTTATATGTATGTAACTGTTGCTGTCTACTTTGTGTCTTATTTTTTCTTATAATAGTGTTTTTTATCTTATCTATTACTGTTGTATATCCTTTATTGTAACGTAACATAATATAAACGAAGATTGATCTTGAGCACATCTAAAGGTTCAAATAACGTTTACGTAAATATGTTAACATTTGCATTTTCAAGTAAAAGTTGATTTAAAATGCACGAAAAAAAATTGTCGCAAGAATACTTTATTATATTGGGAATATAAAGTGTCACGTATTTTAGAAAAAAAATTAAAACTCAACTTTTTTTTGAAAACCCACTTAAAATTTGCCAACTTTCGACCAAAATAATCCTCAAAATTTGCATAACAATAGGACGTTTTCCCCGCATTCTTTGTACGAATCTACATAGTAAGACAAAGTATAAAATTGTTATTTTGAAATTAAATCGTAAACAAACTAAATTTAGAAAATTTAATTTAATAAAAGACAGTACAAGTTGGAGTACGATTACTTGTAGGTGTTACTTTAAAGTAAACATCGCGTCACATATGTCAAAAACTATATTTACATCTAAAGTTACATTTAAATTAGTATATGTTGTTGTCTATAATTGTATCTGCATACTTTCATATCCTTATATGCATATCTTCAAAAGTATGTTCTGACTTAATTTATTCAAAAGTATTTTTTATTTTATTTTTGAAGATGTCATCTAGGGATGGCATTCTGCACTTTCAGATAGTGCTTAATGTTAGTATATCCATAAGAAATCGAGATATAACACTGTACCAAATGTTTGTTGACAACAACAATACAAAGATGTACGTATCTTTAAAGTGATGTCAACGTTTTGCAGGTGCTATTCATAAATGGCACTTTTATAAGAGAAAAATCTAAAATTTAAATTTTTTATTCTATATACTGTACTTAAAAGTGAACAAAAAGAGAATGGAACCACCAGTACCTTTAAAAGTAACATTTTCCTGATTTATTAGTACCGACTCCCCCTCCCTCCCCTATCATTACGCTCGTCTCCCCCACTGCGTGACCTTGCTTAACAAAACTTACAATATAAAACTACAGTAATCCACCTTCTTAGCATTCAACTCCAATTCCAAATACAATTTTAAGTACAAAAAAAAGAAAAGTACGTAGACAGTTCCTTTACATTCGGAAATCGAATTAAAAGCGTAGTAAAATGCAAAGTAAGACATAGTAAAATGTAAATTTACAAGATTAAACGGCGACGCATTGTAAAAGATATACATTTCCTTATCAGAATACAACCATATATTCATGAAAATTGCCGTTTCTCTAGAATGGTGGACTAATTGATCCACAGATAAGTACTGTAATCAGCGAGAAACAGTTTAAAAATTGTTCTCTAAAAACAAAAACTCGATTGTAGTTATTTTTATTATGTTTTACAAGCTCAATGCCAAAATTACAGAAACCCAAGACAAAAGAAACCCTCAGTTATAAGACAATTCAAAAGCAAGCATAAAACTTGTGTACGAGCGAAAGCGTCGAAAACACAGCAATTAATGTACGCGCGAATTTGTTCAAGCACAATAGATATCTTTTTTTATTTTCAGCATTTATAGTTTCAATCTTACAGTAGCATTAAATCAGCTTTAAAGTTTGTTTTATCCAACTGAACTTTAATTACAATATGCAAATATCCAAGTGGGAGGATAAACAAAGGCTGGGGCGCTTAAGCCTCTTTGGAGTAACAACAGACTGAACCATTAGTTTCATAACAATATTGTGTTAGAGTAGTTTGTGACATGATAATTCCATCATGATTATCCGACCTTTTTTGTGACACATTATCAGAATTAAAGTTTTACAGAAGATAATATTTTTGGACGATTTTCTAAATCAAAAATTTTCCTTTTGAATATTCTGCTTCTAGAATGACGAAGTAACATAGATGACTTTGTCCTTTTGGATGAAATGCCGCGTTCAATTAGAATACGTTTCACAACAAAAGCACGATTAATACAGTACAATGCGTAGGTACAACAAGTTGTAAACTTCTCGAAACGTAAGTGTTTTGTTTTCACTTGAGTATTGTACTGTAAACATGGCTACATTAACAATACTCGTTTTTTGTAAATACATTTGCATTTGTATGTTCAACGTGTTATCTTGTATGTACAATTTAACATAGAGTTGTAGCATTAATTAATGTATCAAAAGGTAAACCGCTCAATTTGTATTATATATTTAAATATTGTAAGGTTTTACGTAAAATAACATGTTTACAATTAAAACACATTACAATTATAAATTTGCAATTCGTTTGAATTTCAATATTGATCATATACCTAAAATAAGATCAATTATCCGTACCACCATTCGTTATAAGTAAATAACACCATACACAAACTATGACCCAGAACCTATATACTTTGACCTAAAATTTGTAAATTTAAACTCAAAAATGTTCGAGCTTGTGTTTCTAAGTAAAATGGCTATAGCAAATAATTTTACAGTAGTAACACGCAAGTTAAACGTTTCTTTCTTTGAAACCTCGACCGAATGATACCATAACACAAACACAAACATGTTCGTGACAAAAACAACAGTTTCAAACAACGTTCGTCATCATAGCTATAGTACTGTAACTTGAAAGTCAAAGACAAAAGAGATCAAAGAGATCTCCCTCTAGATAAGCTTTTTTAAATTCAATTTTACCCTCCTGTTTAGACCTGTAAAAGGAACGGCTTTTTTTGCTCCCCGAGCCTAGTCGGCCTCTTTTCAATTAAATTTGAAAAAAAAACCTAAAAATGAATAATTGCGTCTCTTTTAACTATAAAAACCAATCAATTGGTTTTGAACTCTAAAACTATTCAAATACAAGTATTACTATAATATACATGTTCGTTCTGTCTCTAAAATTACTGTAATTTAATTGAAAAAACACTCAAAATGTATGCCATTTCACAAAATTTTCATAAATATTTAACCAAAAACAAAATCCAGGAAGTTATGACAAACCTTTACAAGTAAACCAGTTAAGCAGTACTACAATATTTCGTTCCGTGAATTTGAAATGACTGCAACTTTGAAAGTAAAGTAACATTTTAATTTGTAATGATGCAAAAATTTGAGTTTTTTTTGAAAGGTTACTGTAGTTTGTGCTTAGGATAAAAATGATAGTAATGTTTTCTACTTTATTGTGTTGTAGTATGAGACAGTACTATCGACATACAGATTATAAACTGTAGATTTACAAACATTGTTCAATCATAGCAATCAAATATTAACTTTAAAAATTTAGGTAACAATAACTAAATAAGAAGAATAGTAACACAGTCAACTCTCTTTATTATATTATAGTATGACTCTCAAGGAACTGGACCAAAGTGCCATTATAACCAGAGTGACTCATTACCCAGGTAATTTTTAGTAAGAATTCTAAAAGACTGTCTAAAAGCTTTCATTATAAACAAGTTGTCATGCTATCGAAAGTCATACTGAAAAGGTTTTACAGTATCTTTTTTTAACTTATGTTATCATCCAAAGATATCAACAAAAAACAACTGAAGGTGTTAAAGTAATAATAAGTGAAAACTTATAGTGCCATTTCCAAAAAAGCCTTTCTCAAAACGTCATTTGAACATTGAAAAACGTGTAATTAATACTAAATCAAGCTCAACATGGCAAAACATTAGAAGCTATATTTAAAATGCAAAAGTGTAGGCGTGCATTACTGCCCTAAAAATAGTCAAATGCTTTAATTTAAGCGCAATTTGCTTGAAATTTTGTATTTTATCATTTTTATAATAATTTTGAGATTAAAAATTCAATTTTTATTTTACTAGTAACAAGACTTTAGTAATAGGCACTAATAAATAATATGCAAACAAAACTAGAAACCAGATCTGAGAGCTTAGTCTTGTAACAGTCCAAATATTACTGGTGAAGATAAAGCTTTAAATTCAACAAAATTTTTTAAACAAAAAACAGCCAAGAACGTCGTACAATGCTATTGGTTTACAATCGAAGGCTACAGCAAATAACCAAAAGACGTTTTACGATTCGAAAACAAAGCTTCTACCGCAATTACAGAAGAAAGATTGGTTTGTTACGATAAAGATAGAAAGGTTCATGATGCTTATGTATTATGAAAGCATTTATCACTGTATTTCGTTCAACTTTCTTTGTCCGCATTCAAAAAGCCGGGACAACTTTCAAAATGAAGAAGAGAATAATCATCAGTCAATACAAGGAGACCCGAACCGGTCGATCGATTAAACTCGCACGCTATTACTACGTTTATCCACTTGGATAGTATTGTGAAAATGCTAAAGCCTAATAAATTGCACGCTAAAAAAGGCCTTGGAGAGAATGAGTATGTAAAAGCTTTCATTGTGAACCAGCCTAATGGCAGTCATCAGGAAGGTAAAATAACGTTTTAATCTTAGTATGTAAATAAGAGATAAAGTTTAGCATTCATATTATTTTAATGTAAGTAAGTAACCCTACTTTTACAGTACATAGATCATATCTTAAACAAAAAATAAATTATTATATTTTGTCTTTTGTCATTTGTCAAACTGTTCTTTGTCCAACTAAACATTGTACATGGACCTAACTAAACTTTACTGCAACATACCATCATCTGTATAAGCATAAAATAAATATTCATCATTAAATTAGACATAACTTGTACAGTAATATGAAACACAAACAATATAATAAGCATAATTTACTATTTTACTTTACATTCAACTAACTTTTTCAGACGGTCCAACACAAACGGAAGGTGTACTGTACAGCCCACCCAACCCAACGCACCAACAGGCTGTGTATTGGGCACCAAACCACCCCACACCCAAAGCGTTAGTCGTCAGCCAGATCAATGGAAGGAAGGAAACGGTAGCTTAGATTACAAATTTAATTTTTTGGCATGATTTTTTGAAATCTTTCATTTAATCCCACTTTCAGGGTACCATCGGTTGTTATACACAGCACACATTCCATCAACGCCAATATACATTCCCACTAATATTTACAGAAGAAAGATTGGTTTGTTACGATAAAGATAGAAAGGTTCATGATGCTTATGTATTATGAAAGCATTGATCACTGTATTTCGTTCAACTTTCTTTGTCCGATTGATCATGTCGTTTTAGATCATTCACTTTTATAATGACGTGGAGGTTATAAATTGCCGTAGCAAAAAATTTAAAAAAAATTATTGATATTTTTGAAAAACGTAGAGTTACTGTAAATTTAATTTTTTTATTTAAACGATGAAAAAAATAGGACATTAATTTTGAAAGAAGTTGCAGTAGTATTCTATATAAAATGAACTCCTGCGTAACGAAATCCTCTGTCACGAAAATTCAGTATATCCCTAGCTAATACTATATAATGCATTTGAAACCCCTCTATAAAAACAGATTTAAATCCTCGAGAGATTCGTTATACAGACGTCCAACACCCTTATTTCTGCAACTACTCTTAACGCAGCAACCTTTCCTCTCGTCAATGCTGTTCTTATAAATAAGCCTAAAATAAAAGTTTATGTAGTCAAAAAGTATTTTAAATAAAAGGCAGACGTAAGTACTCACACATATCAATTGTAAAGTGACGTTTCTCAAGACGACTAACAGAAAACTCTCAATTTTAAAAACCGTTTTATAAACCGAAAGAAAAAACGCTTGACTTTTAGAAACTGTAGAATACTTTTCAATTATTCATCATTATTAAATTAAAAAATTGTACCAAAATCAATTTTATATACTTTCGGCTACAAAACAATCATACGTCCACCTCACTATAAAACGTAAAAATTTTTACAATTAGAGCAATGACAAAAATATTGGTTCATTATGTAGCTTATGCTATTATTCATTTTTTCGTCAAACTGAAAAAGCAGAATAAGTAAAATAGCACTAATTAAAACCCCTCCCAGTAAAAGATAACTCACAGGGCACTGCACCCGAAACCGCAAACAATGTCATTTTAGTGATTCTTTATCGAGTGGTTTTCCGATAATTTGTTTCATTTCGTTTTCATTTCTTTTTTATTTTTTCGGTTAATTTTTTCGCTTGCAAGCTTGATTTTGAGACTTTTGTCCTGTATTGTCTAATAAATAGCTAAAACTTGATCTTATGGCAACATTGATCAAATTATTTTTGGGTTAAAAGAGTTAATTTTACTATTTTGACCATAAAATGCTTTGTTACTTGTTGCCTGTTATAGAAAGTTTAATCGACCTTTGGTATGTTATTTATATTTTTCTTTTCACTTTTCAGGAGTAGATTAAATGATGAAAAACAGAATTTTGCAACATTCCAATGGCACGTCAAGAAAAAAAAAAGAAAAACAATTATCCAGAGAAAATCGCTTGGCATTCCGCAACAAGAGGAAACAAACAGTATGTTAACTTCGCGGTATTTTTTCGACACGTTATATCACAAAAGTGTTTAATAGCAATTAAAAAACGATACTTTAATTCCCAAATTTAAAAAATCTCTTTGTGTTTGAGCGCTTAATAAAAATTTGGTATTCATATTAAAAATACGCTTTTCCAAACTCTAAAATACGTCATAACTTTGCAACGAGCACATGAGCAGCTATAGCGGTAGTAACAGCTGGATTAAGGAGGTTATAAGGAATAATTTGATACTAAAACGCCTGATTCTATGGAGTAGAAGTTGAATTATCAAGAGATATCAGTTTCATATTATCTATGCGGAAATTTTTCATTAATTTTTTGGCGGGATTTTCCTTTATTTATTATTTTCTTTCATTATTTATTTAATAAGGATGCTTAATTGTTACATTTTTTACCTTCTTTATCCTTAAATAACCTCGAAACTACATTAGTAATAAACCCGAAAGACATTTTCGAAAAAGAAAAGCTGAAGAAAAAATATTTTTCCGCTATTTGAGAAATGCCAAAAATCTGTTCAAGACACAAAAGCAAAATCGTTTTTTCTTGACGTGAATGGTTAAAGACATATTTCTGCACTGAAAACTTGTTTTTGTTACCTAAATTCACATAAGGTTAATATCTTTGAAAGAAGTGGATATACTTAAAAAATATATAATTTTTTACAAAACATATGCTTTATTAACCTAATTTAAACCCTTTGTTACCTAAAATATAGAAATAATAAGTTTAATTGCATAAAACAAATTTTGTAGAAACAATATTGGCGCGGCCTTATGAAAACGAAATGTCACATTTTTTTGTTTTATTTTTTATTTTGCGTTCGGGTACTAAAAATTAGTTAAAAGTCATGCGTATACCAAAATATTAAATATAAGTTCTGATTCAAAGCTCGAAAATTTGCAAAAAACCACAAAATCATGCCAAAAAATAAATCCCATAAATTCCAGGATGTTTGTATTACCCCACAAAAGATGGTGTTTGGTTTTGGAAATAATAGCGAGATCTTCTGTTTGAGCAACCGATCAGAGTTTTACTTACGTGTTAAGTGCTAAACCTCGCAGAAGTATTACTTCACGATTGACAGAACTGAGCATAAAGTGGGTAGGATGCAAGATGTGGTGAACCAAGTTCAAATGGTCCGAGTCCAAGAGGAAGGAGAAGTTCGTTGCCTTACGAACTTAGACCTCTTTGTTGAAATCCAATGTCATCATAGTACAAATAAGTCATACCACAGCATAACCTATTATACACGGCTCTGCGATTGGATACCGCAGAACACTTTATGCGTTTGCTAATAGACTTAATTTTTAGTTAATTAAGGATAAGAAAAGTTACAGTTGCGGCAAAAAAATGGGACAGTCGGTTTTTCGTCAATTTTAAATTTTTTTCGAACGCTTATAAGTTTGTACCTAGCTATTATGAAAATGTAGGGTAAGTTAAACATATTCAAGCAAAAAAAATTTTTAAATTCGAGTTTTAAATATTTTTAAAAATTTATCGAAAAATTTTTCTTGGCAAAAAAAAGTGGGACACTTGTGACGGAAGCTGTTAATATGCAAAGTAAGTTTTAATTTGTACTAGTTTTTGTGCTGTTTTTGTGTCCGAATATATTTTTAGTTACAGTATGCCAAAACAAGCAGGTGAAGAGGTTTGTTTTTTAATTGTGCGTCTTGGCAAAGAGAAGATATCAATTCGAGCAATAGATGTCATGGTTAACATGCCAAAACTAACTGTTGGAAAAATAATTCCGTGATACAATGGTTGTCGCTCTACAAAACGCAAAAAAGGAAGAGGAAGACTTAGATTTACTACAAAAAAAGAGGATACATTGATTATTCGCAATTCTAAAGCTGATCCTTTCAAACGTGCAAATGAGATAAGAACAGACATGAAGGAAGAACATGGTGTGGACGTTTCATGAAGGGCAGTATGCAATCGGCTTTTAGACGTTAGACTTCGTGGCTGTATTTCCAAGAAGAAACCTTTGATTCGGATCAAAAATAGCAAACTCCAGCTTGAATTTGCAAAGGTACACGAACATTGGACAAGTGATGATTTGAGAAAGGTCATTTTCAGTGACGAATCAAAGTTGGATACTAAGGAATCAGATAGTAAACGATAGGTAAGAAGGCCAACTAACTCTGAAAATCAATTGCGGTACCTACGGCCAACAGTTAAGCATCCCAGAAGCATAATGGTTTGGTGTTTTGCCTACAACAACATCGAACTTCTGATCGTATAGAAAAGATTATGGATAAGACGGTTTCCTTAGAAATTTTATCCAAAATTGCCATACCTTATTGTCGTTCTTTAAAAATAAAAGTATCCTTATTTCAAAGTGACAACGACCCGGAACACAGGGCTAAAGTTGTTCAACAATATATGAAGAAGGAGAAGATCCGCAAACTCGACTGGCCTAGTTAGTCTCCTGACCTTCATCCTATTGAACATTTATGGGAATTAGTTCCAAGAAACGTAGAAAAGACATGCTCTACGACAGTAGCTCAATTGGAATCAGTTTTGGAGGAGGGATGGAGAAATCTTGACATTAAAGTAGTGGACGATTAGATCATGTATATGCCTCGTCGAATGGCCGCTGTTATTGCTGCAAATGGTGGTCCAACAAAGTACTAGTTATTGTTTGTTAGTTAAACGTATTTTTAGTTGTTTTAATTAGGTTGTTTAATAAAAATGTTTTTGATATTGAAATGTCCCACTTTTTTTTGCCAAGCAAAATTTTTTGAAAAATTTTTTAAAATATTTAAAACTCAAATTTTTAAATTTTTTTTGCTTGAATATGTTAAACTTACCCTACATTTTCATAATAGCTAGGTGCAAATTTATAAACGTTCAAAAAAATTTAAAATTGACGAAAAACCGACTGTCCCATTTTTTTTTGCCGCCACTGTACCTTTGTCGGCCAAGCACAAATTTTTGGTACCTCAAAACCGCTGCCAATACCATAAAAATTTTATTTTTTTACGAAGACTGAGAGTTTAGTCGATGGTATCCTTTTCAAAGCTGTTATTCAAGTTTTTATTCACCAAGCTAGGGCTTTCAGAAAAGATTATAAATCTTTTCAAAAGTTTTCGCAATTTCCGTAGCGAAAGCGTATTAACATCACAACTAATTAAACCCAGTTACGACATTGGCCTTCTGGTTCCTGAATAATATCCCTTTTTGTCTGGCAAAACAGTTTTAAATAAGTGTTTTCAACAGATTAACTCTGTAGAATTCCAAAGTAAGCATTAGTACGTTGACATTTCTTATGTCACGTTTACTATACAGTATTTTCGTTACATACTGTAAACTGTAAGCTTTGTTTCGTTATCTTATGTTCTTTTGTGCATTTTACCGTGTGTACCTAACAAAAACCTCGGTAATGGCAGTAACTGGTACTATTTTGTTTTTAAGACAAAAATCTATTGTTTACAATGTATTTATAGTTTTAAAACGTATATCTTCATACAATTTAGATGTTTTTCGACAGTTTCCGACAATTTCAATTGTAGCATACTGCAGTTCTCAGCATGCTGTGGTTGAACGTAAAAAACCAAGAAGATTTTTTTAAATTTAAATTTTAAAGAATTTTATTTTAAATTTCAAATTCCCTATGGCAATATAAAGAAAATTGTTTGTAAAATTAACTATGAAGGGGGTCGGTACTATGGATCTTGGTATCCTAGTAAAGATACTGGGGAAAGGGGGAAGTTATTGGGGTTTCTAGAATGACTAAATAAATACCTAGTATAAATACAAAAGTTTATACACGATCTCGCAATAAATACAAACAATACTGAATATCGGCGCTGATGCTTAAAAGGGGAAGATGGGGAGTTGATATCAAAAGGTGTGGACGTCCTCGACGGTGCGATTCGGCCGGCTTATATACTGTTGCCAGAGGGCGGGACTTGGCTCTGAAACCATAGTTAATTAACAGTTATCACTTGTCTGCTGTCTGCTCTCTCTCGATCTCGCGTGGTCTCTCTCGAGATCCGTTCTTTGATCAAGCCTGAGGCACGATACGTCACGTTTCGGCCAGCGGTTAAAGGGTTTTCGGAGTGAAAAGTCTCCTTAACTTCGTTTAATTATATCGTAACCGTAGCTTCCACGCTGATTTTGGTGGTTACATTGTTTCACATTCCACCCGGAATGTTACTACTTTACCCTCCCCTTACCAAAGCGCGGGAGATGGGGCCATGTGGCAGTAGTTGAACATTGTGTTTAAGCAGTAGTTGGTGCGTAAGTAGTTTGGAGAGCCAACGATGATAAGGGCTTCGCGGGCTCGTGTAAGAGCCACCGTGACACGTGGAGTGTATAGGGCGAACTAAGAAGAGCCTGGCTGGGTGCGGATGGTGAGAAAGTAGACGACGTCAGCTTCACGGCCTTGAAACTGGTCAATGCTAGCTATAGTAACATTGAGCTGTGGAAATGCTTGGCGAAGTGGAGTCATTGCCCCATCCATGCTTCGAGTAGCGGCCGAATAAGGAGCGACAATGGCTACCGAGCGTTGGCCTTGTTGAAGAGCTGGGACTTGCTGAGCTAACGCAGCTAGGTGATCAACAGCTTTGGAAAGTTGGTGGGGGTTCGAGTACGAATTACCGTGGCGAACTTCAGGGCCATCTTCGGCCAAAAACAGGATAGGGGACTTGTTAACCCCAAACTGCGGTAGCTGAAGTTCTGGCAGTGGTGGGCGATTTGTTGCGGAAGTTAGCCGCCCATTATAACAAGAGTGACTGATGGCTTCGGCCAGTGGCCGATTGAAGCGGAATGAAGCCGTCAACGCGAGCTTGGTCGATTGTGGATGAGATACGGCCAATACCAAGGCACTCATTAAGCCAATGTTGTACATCGGCAACAGGACGGGGGGCAGGGGACTTGTGAGCTGCGCAGGGTCTCCCGCAAGAACCAGTCGTTGAAAAGTAGAGTTCAAACTGCAGATGGCGGCCAATAGCTCGGTGGCTGTCAATTGACCAGCTTCGTCAACCAGGAGTCCCTGAACAGGTTGATGAATTGTTGACCCCAGCCTAGTGAACATGGCGGCTGTAGCTACAACGATGAGGGAGGAGTTGTTAATGACCGTAGTGGCCATGCTGAGCTCGTTGGACACAGTGGGTGGGTAAACCCGTTGCATGCCACGAATTCTTCGAGTACGGGCATTGAATTGCATTCCCGCACGCTGTAGACGTTCAAGATGATGAGTTGGGGAGCTGGGAGAGGCATTTCTGCGAGCAGCATGTTGCTTCAGTTGCTGAGCTGCTGAAGACACATAAAGGATGTCCGAAGGGTCTGAGCCGGCTTTCGAAAGCGCGGCTACGCAGTTCATTACCCCTTCGTTTGTTCACAGCTATAAGAACGAAAGGAATGGGTAGTACCGACGACAAGTTAAGAATTAGGCTTAAAGATAACAATGATGGAGAGCAGAAAGATATACGGAACGTCCAACCTGAGAGTTAAAAATATGGCAAAGGAAATGACAACACAAGTTAACAAAAACAGTACTGTAGTCAGGCAAAAGTGAGGGCTGATGGTGCTGAAGGGGATGACCAAGACAACTGGTGTTAAGCGAAGGGAGAGGTGAAGCGTCAAGCTGCTAGGGGACGCCATCCGGGCAGAATTAGTGTAGTGTAAGGTAGAAAAACTGAGGGGAAGGGAACTGTAACAGTAAGGGGGTAAAAAGAACTAACTAGAGCGCGGAGGGTTGTGGCGGCTGCTTAAATTGTAGCCATGAGTTGGTTGTGGTGGAGAAAAGTTTGCTACAGAAGTGTCAGGTGGTCCTAGAGGACCATGAAATGGTTTAAGCTGGTCTAAATGGCACTTTATAGATTTAGCAGAGGGATTGGCAGCGGGCACTATGAAACCATGGGGTTGGTTGATCTCGACTAGTCGAAAAACGCCTTCCCATTTCATGTTTTGTTTGGGGGAACGGTCATCAAGGGTTTTATAGTTCTTTTTTAGTACTAGGGCACCAGTTGTAAGCCTGGTGGAGTTAAGTTGTTGTTCAAAACGCTTGGCTGTTTGGGCAGCAGCTTGTTGACTTGCCTGGAGGGCACAAGCCCACGCTGAGCGTATGTTAACTGTTAGGCGAGCTCTGAACTCGGTGACGTCTGAATCACGCAACACAACGTGAAGTGAGGGGGATTGGAGAACTAAGTCGGCGGCAAACTGTGGATCACGACCGAAAACTTTTTGATTGTCGTTGGAACGGGGAAGTCATTGATGGCTTAAACGTGATCTCTTTCGGGTTTGTAGCCAGATCCATCTAGTGTATGGCCTAAGAAGGAGAGTGATTTCGTGGCCAATATACATTTTTTTGGAGAAAGCTTGAGGCCATAGCTACGGAATCGGTCGAAAACGGTCTTAAGATTGGCAATGTGATCGTCTACAGAAGCAGATTTAGTGAAGACGAGAACGTCATCGACGTAAGAAATGGCTTGGTCGTCGAGGCCAGTTAGGACTTGCGTCATGACTCTTGAGAAGATGCTAGTGGCGTTGACCAGCCCAAAGGGCATTCTAGTCATTTAATAGACGCCTTTATAGGTGATAACACCACATTTTTTTATGGCTTCATCAGATAATGGAATCTGCCAGTAGCCTGAGGCCAGATCGAGCGAAGAGTACCAATGACAGCCACCCACTCGGCCCATGATGTCCTCTATTGAGGGCATCGGAAACCTTTCAGGTACTGTCACAGCATTAAGCTTGCGAAAATCTATACACGGCCGAAGACTGCCATCTTTCTTCTTGACTAGGACGACGGAACTTACCCAGGGAGTCTGAGAAGGTCTCATAGCTCCAGATTGGAGTAACTTGTCCATGTGTTCGTCAAAATCTTTTTTGTAGTTGTAGGGAACACGGTGAGGCTTGGAGAAGACGGGAACTTCTGTAGTGGTGTGAATGTCTTGCGGGGGAACGTTGGCACAGCCTAAATCGTACTGATTCGAAGCAAAAACGTCTGAATAGCTATCTATAAGATGCTGAAGCTTTAATCAGGACCAGTCGTTGCTGACTTATTTAGGTCGACGAAAAAGGCAGGGTCGTGTGCTGTAGCGGGATGAGTTCTAGATTGGACTGAGTTACAGGGAAAGGAAGGGGTTAAAGTTTGCTGAAGGACAGGAGATGACAACGTGAATGTTTGACCAGGAAAAATGGTTATTGGTTGTGTAGATGGGTTAGCAATTAACAGGCTGGTTGTGGTTTGATCGATGATTGATGGTATCAGCTCGAGGCCAGCTTCTTTAACTGAACGAGAAGGAGTTTCAGCAAGAAGATTATATTCTTCAGGTAGGTCAGCTGCAATAGCCATTCAGGGGACCGCAATCATCGACCTAGGTGGAATTTTGCACATAGAAGATGACTTGAGTTTGCGGGGTCTTAGCATCATCTGTTCAGGGCTTAGAAGAGGGATGGTATCATTGCCAAAATGAACAGTTCGTGAGGCAAAATCTAACGAAAAAGGTGGAAATTTCTCTAGAGTATCACAGCCGAGAATGAGATCGTATGACGCTGTGTCGCGAATATGAGAGTTGCTAGTGAAAGAGATGCTGACTGAACGAGAAATGCCACCGATTTCAACCGTGGCCATGGCTGAGCCATGCATGTCTAACGCATGACCACTGGCTGAAGTGGCTTGAGCCGAATTCGAAGAGCTAATCTCAATGCCCACAGCTGGTGCTAAAGCCGAGCTCATGAGTGTTAGAGAGGCACCGGTATCAAGAAGTGCAGAGACTTCATGTCCGTTGATGCGTATAGGGATTTGAGCGTAGATAGAAGGAGAGGAAACGCTGTTAATACACGGATTGTAGACATCATCAAGGATTATATCAGAGGGTGAACGAGTGCTAGGCTTTCTCTGATAATAATAAGCTTTGAGCATAAGGTAGTACGGTCTGAGATACAACGAGATAAGTATGATGAAGACCCTGAATGTTACAATAAGAGAGCAAAGTGCTACCCATAGCTGAAAAGTCGAGAATTGAGGCAAGAATAGGGAGAGGAACGACGGGGTGTGGACTTGAGACATGAATCCGTTATTGTCAGGGCGAGTACCACCCTCGCCAAGGTGCAGTTCAGGCTTGGCAGCAGCCTGCCAGTGCTGAAGATGAGGAGAAGTTGAGAAATTGGCAAGGTCGAAGGCAGTAAACATGACTAACGGGAGGGCATCATGTTCAACAGGGTCAGGCAGTGTGATCTTGTTGACTGAGTTTTTATCGAACGGAATAACCGTTCTATCGTCAGAAATCTCAACAGAAGTAGTAGGAGTGAGGAGGAGAGAGGATGATGCTGTGGAGCACGGTATGGAAGGGCTGTCTACTGTGAGAATGGATAGGATAGGGTCTAGAAAAGCGGGCAGGGTTTGGCTGGTCTTAAGAGGGTTTGATAAGTAAACTGGAGTGTATTTAAAGCATTTAGAACCATCAACTATCCTTGGCTGAATGGTGGAAGGGTCTACAGGTTGGCAGGGAAAAATTTCGGCAATTTTAGACGTTAGAATCCGAGCGTGAATGTAAGGATTAGCCAAAAGAGAGCGTAAAGTAGCCGTAGGGTTCTCTACTGCGAGTAATTTCCAATGGGCCGCAGTGGAATTTTGTAAGAAACATACTTGTTGAACTAAAGAATGAAAGGAATGTTGCAAGAGCGAGACGGTTTGTTGCTGCAATGCCTGCAACTGTGCAGAAAGTAGCGAGGAGTCAACTACAGTAGATGTGGCTGCTCGAGGCTGCCTCTTTTTAGGAATGGTAACAGCAAAACCTTGTGGGGTCAGAATAAAAGGTTGATTACAAGACTTAATGACTTTAAAATTTTCATCAATGCTTAAGGCAAATTGCCGAGAATCAGAAAGCCATACTTTTCCTAATAACTTACCTGAATAGGAGCCAACACGAGAATAGGGGCAGGTTTTGTTCTCAGAAGGGGTCCATAGCAGTCTGGAGCCATCACTGGTGGTACAGGCCGATGACTGGTACTTGCAGTCAGTAAGTGAGCCAAGTGCTGATGATACGGCAGAATTTGAGGTGTTTAGTTCAATGCTTGTTGGGAAGGAAATACAGTTGTGTACGGTTTGTGATCTCCAAGCAAAAGAGCCAAAGAAGGGTAAGGGATTGTCGTTGTAGAACTGGTTGTTGGTGGCCCAGCCACCCAGTTTTGGATGTAACGTGCCGTGACCACACGTTCTAGAGACTGTCATGTCTCGGCATTGCTGTTCGGAAACGGGTTCGTATTTAGGCATAGGTAACTGTTCTACTTTAAGGCCAGTTAGAGTAGTAAAATACTTTTTTGTTTGACTTACAATTTGGCACGCTGTAGCGGGTGTAAATGTGATTTGAGGGGTGGGTTTGTAAATTTCGAAAGAGGCGGGTATTGGCGTGCCACCAAACTGTTCATGAAGGTCAGGGCACGGTGGAGCATCTGGTAGTTCGACTAGCCGTCGGCCATACTTGTGCTGACAAATCATTGGTCGAGCATCTGGAGTGGCGGCTAGAAGTGTGGGCATTAGGCAGGTAATAAAAAGAACGGAAGGGGTGCTGATTTTGTTTAGAAGGCGAGAACGTTTGTCTCGAATGAGTTTTTGGGCTTGTTGTTGCGGAGTAAGGGGGTTACTTGAAGGGCTAGCCGTTGGTGAAATGGGGTCTGGAGGTGGTTGGAGGGCGTTAACTGGGTTTTGTGGCGCGCGTTCGTATCTAGGGCGTGAGCAGGCGGGCGGGTTTTTGTGATTCGGGCGACGAACGATCGAATCTCTGATAATCTGGCCGATTTGATGGCCGAGGGAAACGGCGACGGTTCGCCATGTCCGCTTTTTTCTTTCTGCAGTCTCTAGCCCAATGCCCTGGGCGGGCACAGTAAAAACATTTCGTAGCACGAGGTTCAGAGGAGCCAGAAGTAGCGGGTTTGGAAATAGAAGCGTTGGCTAGGGCTTGAACTGCCGTAGCAAAAGTGGCGGCAATGTTGTCTGTTCTAGCCAGGTTAGCGGCGGCGTTGATGCTTTCGATAGCTAAGGCTTTGGCGCGGGCTTGCTCCAAGTTCTCGGGAATGGAGAGCCTTAATGGCGTGGCAATGTCATCTTTGACTCGGCTCATGAACTCCTCGAAGACTCGCTTTTCGCGAGTTGCCGAGTTGGCTTCAGGATCAAGTCGGCCGACTAATCTAGTTAAACGTTCAATAAAGTGTGTAATGGTCTCATCATGCCGTTGCTTGAGTACGGCCAGTTCTGCGCGAGCGATGGCTTGTCCACCGTCTTTTCGGTACGAAGCAAGCATCAGGTCTTTTACTTCATGGAAGGGTTTGGACGCGCCGTCGGGCGGGTTGGGGTTTAGTGCTACTTTTAGCAGCCGGTCACGGGCATCGCCAGACAAGCACATCCTTAATCGCTTAATGGTGGTTTCATCGTCCCAGGCAGTGGTTTGTTGATCTTTGAAATCTTCAAACTTTTGTAACCACTCCGGGAACGTGATGTCACCATTACTATTAAAAGGGCTTAAAAAGTTTGTGAAGTCTAAACTTGTGATAATATGTCCATCAGGGGGTGGGTCATCAGCAGGCTGAGAATCAGCTTCTGGCTGGTCATTAGGCTGAGATTCTGGTACCGAGTTTAGGGATACCTCAGGAGTTGAGAGCTTAAATTCAATAAGGTTTTCTATAAATCCCGTGGAAAAATCTTCGATAGGGGTGCTAGTACGTGGCCTTACCTTGTCTTCGATGGCCAAAATGCGCAGATTGATGTTCTCAATCTTGGCTTCGATCTGAGCCAACTGCTGATTAATAGAGGCTTCTTGAGCCTTTGTGTCGTTGCTCAACGTTCTCGTCAAGGTGAAGAGCGAGGAAACTTGGGCTGGAATCTGGGAGAGTTTACTATAAGAGTTCCGTAAGTCTAGAACTTGCCTATTTAATACTGTTTCACATTGTTGATGCTCCTGAAGTTGTCGTTCGAGTGTCGTTCTTAACGTGATCAACTGCTTGTCATGAAGACCAGTGATGTTGGCCGTCTTGAGGTGAGATTGGGCATGCCAACGAAGGTCTCGGCCAAGGATTTGGCATAGTTTTCTATTATATTCTATCAATCTTTCACAAAAGGTGCGCAGGGTGGGAAGCGTGAGATTTCCAGCTAGACTGGAATTGAGGCTGGGCGGGAACAGCTTTCTTAGGCTGTCATCATTGGTGAGAATGTCGGGATTCTGGGCCATAGCGTATTACTAAAGAATGAGGGGTTTAAACTTGCAAAAAAATAAACTAAAATTTCACAAAATAATCGCGGGTAAAACCGTAAAACTGAACTTATTAAAAATTTTTAGACTGAAATCTATATAACTTATATGACTTTTAAAACCGGGGAATCTGAACAATTAAATCTGGGGAAAAGTGCACTGTAATAAACAAAAATCGAGCTCCTAGAAACCAAACTTTATAGCAGTACTATAACACGAAAATAAACACGAAAAAACCACTCGCTGCTACCAATTAACTATGAAGGGGGTCGGTACTATGGATCTTGGTATCCTAGTAAAGATACTGGGGAAAGGGGGAAGTTATTGGGGTTTCTAGAATGACTAAATAAATACCTAGTATAAATACAAAAGTTTATACACGATCTCGCAATAAATACAAACAATACTGAATATCGGCGCTGATGCTTAAAAGGGGAAGATGGGGAGTTGATATCAAAAGGTGTGGACGTCCTCGACGGTGCGATTCGGCCGGCTTATATACTGTTGCCAGAGGGCGGGACTTGGCTCTGAAACCAGCGATTCGGCCGGCTTATATACTGTTGCCAGAGGGCGGGACTTGGCGCTGAAACCATGGTTAATTAACAGTTATCACTTGTCTACTGTCTGCTCTCTCACGATCTCGCGTGGTCTCTCTCGAGATCCGTTCTTTGATCAAGCCTGAGGCACGATACGTCACGTTTCGGCCAGCGGTTAAAGGGTTTTCGGAGTGAAAAGTCTCCTTAACTTCGTTTAATTATATCGTAACCGTAGCTTCCACGCTGATTTTGGTGGTTACATTGTTTCACATTCCACGCGGAATGTTACTGTAAATACTTATAATACCTTCAATATGTGCCAAACATCTTTTTTAACCATTTTGAGCCAAATTACATCTAAATCCTATGCTAAATGACCTTAGGGTGTCAACTTTAAAAACTCTTAGCTGCCCCGCTAAGATGATTCAAAATTCGTGTCACTAGAACCGCAACAGCATGTAGTTATATGACCTATCGTCAAAAGTTAATCACATGTGAGGTTTTTCGAGAAATTTTAAATATCGTAAAATTTTCATGATTTTTTGGCACATTTTAACAAATGTTACAAATAAAACGACGCTATGCGTACGTAAAAATGACTAGACCGATCGGCGATCAGCGAGACGTCGTTGAACAGAAGCACGACCGATCGGCGGCCGTGCGGGACAAGAAGACTACATGTAAAAATGAGAATCGGATTGAAAATGATTCAATTTATGCAAATTGAATCCGATCCGACTACACTCCAGCCACCATGATGATCTACATGAACTGGAACAGGGCATGACAAAGTTCCTCCGGGCGTCGGCAGCGGGTGTGGCTTTCGTGGTGTAGATCGATCGGTTCCTGAAAATAAATTCATTCAACGTACAATAAGCCTGATGAAATCGTGAATTTATTTCTAAATGAATGGCAAAATCATGAACCTCCGAATTCAGATTCAAGTCAAGAAATTTATACTTTCGCTGATAAAATTCAGAGTATTAAAAATCAATTAGCATATTATGATACTGCAATTCCAAAATGTTTATCACAACTAGTATTTCAGTCAGTTCCAGTAAACTTACGTGAAATGATTACTGTACGATGTCATTTCCAAAACAAAGACAAGTCTAACATTGACGATTTTGTATCTGTTTTACATGAGATTGCTCACGGACTCAGAAGGCTACCGTCAAATCAAAACGTCAAGTCTGATTCTGAACAAAAGTTTGTTGAATCTGATAGTCATATCAATTATGAAGCTGTAGATAACCGTATCGCTTCAGCGGGATTCAGAAATCCTACGTTTCCAAGGTAAAAAACATGCCTTCTTTGTAATGAACACCATAATTCTAAAGCCGCTCGAAGAAACAAGCCGGTTCAAGAATTCGATGAACCACGTTTTCAAAAGAGAAGAGCTAAAGTTCATAGTGGTAAGGTTAGAAGTCGTCTAACATCAGCCCAGGGTCTCCATTCTACGTTCAATCTATCTAACGCGTACGATCTTCACCAGGACAAGTCTCTAGACAAGAGAAAACGTCAATGGAAACGGCCAAGATCTAGGCCAACTAAACTTTCTTTTCAGGTACCCGATCGATCTACGACACGAACTTCACGCCCGCTGCCGACGCCCGGAGGAACTTCGTCATGCCCTGTTCCAGTTCATGTAGATCATCGTGGTGGTCGGAGTGTAGTCGGATCGGATTCAATTTGCATAAATTGAATCATTTCAATCCGATTCTCATTTTACATTCAGTCTTCTTGTTCGTTCCACCGCCGATCGGTCGGATCATCGTTCACCAATTCTCGTCATTTTGGCCGCCGCTCGGCTATTGTCCTATTGGTAAAATATTCGGTATATGTTTATTTCTTTGGTTAATAAACCTTTCGTTTTTGTATTTGATTGTCTTGTTATTTGTAAAGTTATATATAAGTAGATGGTCTATATTTTTTACTGTACTTTTACCTCTGATCTGAATAGCTGTGATCAGATTTATCTACACCAAAGCACAACCCAAAAAGACCTTTGGAGAGATAGATGACCACGTAAAGGCCATTATTTTGAATCAGCCTCATGGCAGCCATCATAAAAAAGGTAAAATAACGTTTTAATCTTAATATGTAAATTAGATATAGTTTAAAATTCACATTATTTTAGTGTAAGTAAGTAACCCCACTACGCTTTTACAGCAGTTTTTATAATAAGCATAATTTATCATTTTACTTTACATTAAACGAACTGTTTCAGTCGGCCCAACACAAACGGAAGCTGTACTATCCAGCCCACCCAACCCAACGCACCACCAGGCTGTTTACTGGCCACCCAACCAACCCACTCCGAAAGCACTGATCGCCAGCCCGACGAATGGAAGGAAAAAAGGTAGCTTAGATTCCAATTTTCATTTTTTCGCATGATTTTTTGTAATCTTTCACTTTAATTTCCTTTTTCGTTTTTAACATTAATATTAGTTTTACTCAAAAGCGCGAACTGACATTTTTTGCATACTATTGAGGTTAAAAAGAATTTATATAAAAACATTAAATTGATTACGAGCTGTGTCAGATGGGTACTTTCCTTATTAGTTGACTGTTATTTTAAGCCTAGTTTAGTTAAGTTAATATTCCTATGTAGCTATCAATCAGGTCTTCCAAATATAGACCAGCTAAAAATTTATTTTCTAAAAATTACAAATAAAAATAAAAAAAAGAGTCGGTTTTTTGAATATTTTATGAAAAATACAAAACAATCCAATGCGTTATTATGTTTAAAAAAAATCAGTTGCCCGTTTTAAAAGGCTCACCTATATTTGGACAACCTAATAATAGAACGCTTTACTTTATCCTGCCTCCTAGGTTACAGTTCTGCCTACTTATTCCAGCTTAACGGTCAAACTAACCTGGAAATTACGGTTGGTAAAAATCATAACCACCAACAATCCAAAGTCAAATTTAATATTTAAATTAAGAAGATAGGAAAAACCAAAAAATCCAAAAAATATTAAAATTCCTTTGTAACCTTCAGAGCCAGCTATCAATTGTGCCACATAAGTTGGTTTTTAAGCAACCATTCGATGGCCAGAATGGTTTATTAAAATACATATTATTCATCTACAATATAATTAAATCTAATGGAATTCAAATTTACATAGAGGGAGAAAGTTTAATTGGTTATATTATAATACAGTATGATGTGGAATACTACTTTATCCTACTCACTAGAACCTGTGACTTACAACTTGGTTCAAAAAAATTTTAAGTCAATAGAGAAGTACTAGAGTAAAATACCACAACATTTTGTATAATTAATATACCATAAACATTTCAAAGACTCTTAATCCATGATCATCAGACATCTGGTTGAGGTATCCCAATCTGATCTCTGGCCTCGTCTATCACCTTTCTGATAGCAATACTATCAGCTAGTGACATCACAGGACTTTCCAGATCACCTCCTTTTATGCATTCGTACACATGGTCTTGTTCGTAACGGAAGCCAGTACTATTTGGGTACACAAACTGTCGTCTGTCATCCAATCTGAACTCTTTCTGAGCATGTTCTCCCCAACCATCATCTCCGCCCATCTGGTAGTACTTTAACTTTGTTGGAGCGTGCATCCATTCTGGGATCTAAAAATATGCATGTTCATCTATCCTAACATATAAATTTTGCCTAAAATAGTAAGTTAGCAAAACAGCGATTGCCATAATACTTTAAATAACTTACACACAGTGGCGGGGAACAAAGAGATATCCCTTTCCCAAAAAAAATATTGAAAAAAGTTGAACGTGGTACCCCCTGTGGATTTTTTCGACCTCAGCCCCTGCCCCCCCCCCAGACCAAAAGTGCCATGCCACAGTAAACTTACTTCCACATAACCATTCTCAAATGTTACAAAAGCTGTATTAGGCAAGAAGACACGGGAATCTGTATGAATTAGAGCATTCTTGTCATCTCCAAACTTAATGTTGATGCTAGCCCACTTTTCTGCTCCTAAAATTCAAAAATTACTAATTCAATAAAATTAAATATAGTTTTAATATAAAAGTATTAGACTTTAGTTTAAAAAGCAAAAAACGAAATTCTAAAAAACCTAAAATCTTACCATCTTGTTCATCATCAGTCTCTCCCACCGCCTTCACCTCCTCAGCCTCTCCTCCGAACACAAACTGGGCCAAACTAACACAATAACATCCAATAGTAGACATAATTGTTCGACCAGTCGATGGAGTACTCTGCTCTACTTTGAAGCCAAAGTTACAATTCACAAATTTTGGTTTTCCAAAGTCTTCTGCTTCGCATAATCTCTTGATCTCAGTGTACGCTGGGAAGAAGCGGCTCCAGAAGGCCTCCATCAGAAATCTTTCCTTTTCCTTGGCCTTCTCCGCCAGCTTTTCTACTTGGGAAGCTGTTACTGCAATTGGAGTTTCGACTAGGACATGTTTGTTGGCATCTAAGGCTTTGTCCGCCCATTCGTAGTGCCACTGAGTCTGGGTCCCAATGTATACAATGTCTGAAAAAAGACAAACAATAAACTTCTTATTTTCTTATTAAAACTATGGTTAAAGGTTATTTATTATTTAATTCATTATAACTTCTAAATGATTATCTATTGTAACAAACAAGTAGATAAACGCCGTTATACTTAAAAATTAAAATATATTACCTATTTCGTCGTTATCTAGCACTTCCTGATACTCTCCATAAGCCTTAGCCTCTGCAAGTTTGTTTTCTTCAATAAACGTTTCAGCTTTGTCAGTTCCAGCCATCGCTGCTACCGCCAGCAACTAAAACTTTATACATTCAATCCATTAAATTAACGTTTTGAAAAATAAACTTCAATATGAAATGTTAAATTGTTAGTATTTTATAAAACTTACCGCATGCGGCTTCTTCGTATTAGTGAATGCTTTAACAAAGTCTCCAGCAACTTTTCCCGTTCCTAATATTCCCCATCTCAAAACATCTGAGGACTCCGCCATTTTCCTTTATGTTAAAAATTAGCACCTGTAAAATAAGCATAAAAATGTAAAAATTAAAATTTTTGCGCGTAATACCATCGGAAACAAATCGTTCACTTCAATTTTATAGAATAAATAAATTTTGTAAAATTTGTTTTGTGACATTTCGCTCACTTACAATCGCAATCTGACCAAAATCAAATTTTTTCTTCTTTTTTTATTAAAATTTGACAGGATTTTGTTGGAATATCAAATAAGAATTAAAGAAGCCTTCTGCATGTAAAGCTGCCTTTTGGATTAGATCAATGTTAGCGTAGGCTCAAGTTTTCATTATATTTGAAAATATTATTTGCAGTCAGCAATTTGGGTATTACACGCCAAATAATTTTCGCCAAAAAGCTGATGCGTGTCGAGTCTTCCCCTACTTTTTGGTCAAGTCTTTCTCTAATATTATGATAACTGTTTTTGATGTAAAAAGTAGTGAAAACTAACAGATTTCTAAATTTCCTCCGGCTAAGAAATTCAAAAAATAGTAACTTATTGCTTTACATAAGCAAAATTTCAAAAAAAATTTTTTTGACATATTTATTCATAAAAATCTAATATTTATGTATAATAATAGGTAGAAATCACAATAATAAACCGGGAATGTAGATTACGAATTAGTTTTCCTTTCTCAGCTAGTAAAAATTCGTATTTTTGCCTTAGTTGATCAATTTCTTCCTTTAAAAGGGCATTTTCACTGGTCAAAGCTGCCACTCTTTGCCCTGAGGCCCTGGCTACTGCAGCATTTTCACTTCTGTAGTTTTGCCTCGAACGTGGGGTAAGCGTAGGGGTCGTATTTTGGTTTGTGATGTCGGCAAAAACATTCTAAAATACAAAAAAAATCAAAATAAAAACAAAAAAAAAATTTTAAATTTAATTTCCTAAGGGCTATAAGTCAAAATTAAAAAAACCAGTGTTTTTACTAGAAAGAGCATAGCTAAAAGTACCAGAAACCATTAAAAAAACGTCTAATTTCACAATTTTTAAAGTTCGAAATTTTTGAAATGCCCTGAAAAATGTTGTAGTACGTGTATTGATACACAAATTCTAAAGGCTAATTGATAAAAAAGACACGGTTGATGATACAGTGAACTGTAATAAAAATGAACATAGTCAAAACCAACATTTTGATTAAACGCCCAAAACCGGGTCGTAAATTTATCTTTTGGCATTTTTTTATCTATCACAATGTTTATCAGCTCTATACGATCCCTTCGAGCTATTGTCGCTTTCTTTCATGATACTACCGCTTTTACAATCGCGCGATATATGTAACAGGGAAACACTTGACCATCAGGGGTAAAGAAACAGTTGACACGCACCAGCTTTTTTGGCGAAATTATTTATACATTTATTTGGGGTGGGTATTAAATTTCATAGGCTTCGAAAGTTGCGTTTTTTAGAAAAATTTTACGTTCGTTATAACTCATTGAACTGCTTTCTTTTTTGAAATAACTACAATAACTTTGTTATTGTTAAAAAATTATAAACTATCAACCACATGTGGACAAATAAAAATGTTTAATATATAAAATTTAGGTTCAAATGAGCTTTGGTTATCTGACAGAATATACGAGTAGAGCAGTGTTTGTTCAAAGAATAATCGGTAACAATCAAAAAGAAACTTTTGAAAGGAAACAAGGAACGAAAAACAATTATATACTGTCAATTTCGTTACCAAAACAGTTATTTCTGGCGCTAGGACAAATGCGGATTTTGGACATTTGCGGATTTTTAGGGTTTTTTGAAATTTTTTAGTTAATTTAGCTGTAGTACGGTAGTAAAGGGTAAAATTGGTAATATTTTAATATTTTTTGGTACTAAGTAGTAGTAAAGTACTATTTTAATATTTTTTGGTACTAAATAGTATTAAAGTACTATTTTAATATTTTTTGGTACTAAATAGTACTAAAGTAAAAAGTTAAATTGTTAGTATTTTAACTACTACTAAAGTAAAAGGTACTATTTAGTACCAAAAAATATTAAAATAGTACCAATTTTACCCTTTACTACCGTACTACAGCTAAATTAACTAAAAAATTTCAAAAAACCCTAAAAATCCGCAAATGTCCAAAATCCGCAAGTGTCCAAAACCGCAGATCCGCTAATGTCCAAAAACCGCATTTGTCCTAGCGCCTTATTTCTGTCATGTATAATATCGGTCAAAATTGTAAAAATGTGAAATTGTGCTAAAATATGCAAAAAAAATCAAATAAAACATAAAAAGGTCTAATCTAAAAAATACGTATTAAAATAAACTTCAAACATGTCATGGATTAATCATGTCTCTTTCGAAAGTCTGATGTTAATGACGTGTGTAAAACAATGTTAATATACCTTGGATAGCATGGACCGTCACAGTTATTGTTCATTGCACCCGATAGGTTTTTAAAAAGCAAACAATGTAAACTTTCCTAAACTAGATTTTTAAAGGTTTGAAACGACCAAAGAAGGCAAAACAAGTTTTTTGAAGAATTAGCATGTTTCTATTAATATACTTTACCACAATATCTCATAATAGCTTCTTCGATTGAGTCTAATTCCGTCCAGACTCGATTAAATAATTTTATTTACTAATAAACAAGCATCAGGCCGTTATAAAACAACTGGGCCGAAACTCGGCGGAAAACCGAAACTCTGCCCGATTTGTGGGCCATGACTTTAAAATGGGGGCGATCGGATCGAATTCACTCGTTTCGGCCATTCTCCCGCCATGCCAGGGGACAAACAATCAGAAAAGTGACGTTCTTTCCGCTTTTTTTGCGGTTTCTTCCATTGCCGGAGCGAAAAAGACTTTTAAATGTAAAAAGGTAGCAGAGAAAAAGAGAGGGATTTTTGGGCATTCTCACGGCACTATGACAACTCGGGCGATTTTAAACTCGGGCGATCTTAGGCTCGGGCTATTTTAGACTCGGGCGATCCTAGACTTGGGTTATTTTAGAGTCGGGCTGTCTTAGAGTCGGGCGATTAAAAATGTTACTGAGTGGTACCATCCTTAAAAATAAATTAAATTTATGTATTGTACTTTTGGTTTTGGTATTGAGTGGTAGTATTTTTTCTAAACTATTTAGAGTTCATATACTACCCAACACTACCCCTGACCTATATAGCCCTACCCCACGATACCATACCCATCCTACATAACATACCATACCACACCATGCCCTATGTTAACTACTATACCATACCCACCTTATCAAATATACCATACCATACTTTACTATATTGTACCTAATATCCCATACCCTACAATAACCTATTTTATCTACCATATTATAAAATACCATACCGTACCATAACATACTAGGCCATACTGTATCATACCTTACCTTATCCAATCTTGTACAACACTACTGTATATTATCCATGGGTAGGGTAGAATAGGTAAGTAAAGCAAGGTAAATGGTATAATATAGTCAGGTATAGTATGGTAGGGTATGGTAGAGTATGACATGTTATAATGTGGTAGGGTATTGTAGGTTTTGGTATGTTATATAGCATAGGTTATGGTAGGGTATGTCATATTAGGTATAATATGATAGAGTATGGTATAGTTTGGTATGGTATGTTTAGTAAGATGGGTATGGTATAGTAGGTAGCATAGGGCATGGTATGGTACGGTACCGTATGGTATGTTATGTAGGATGGGCATAGTATAGTTGTGAGGGTTATAAAGGTCAGGGGTAGAGTTGGGTAGTATATGAACTCGTAATTTAGAAAAAAAAGGATCGCCCGAGTCTAAAATCGCCCGAATTGAGGGGGTACGATTCTCACACATTAAAACTTGCAATAAAATTGGACCTTAATCCAACTGGAATAAAAATCTTTACACGTTTTGCTTGATGATTACTATAATACTGTGACAAAAAAATATTAAAAATACTGCGCCATTTCAATTTGGGTAAATTTATCTCTTCCAGACCTTAATTTAATATAAGTAAATAAAAATATACATTAGTTTCAAAGAAACCGCACGTCAATTCGAAAAGTGTCCATAAAGTATGGACACTTCGCGGGTGGAGATATATAGTAACTACTACGGATTTGGCAATATTTATGTAAACTGTCAATATTACTAGGGTCTATTTAAGCCTAAAGTAAAATCAAATTAATAGAAAAAAATTTTTTTTGTTAAATTTGGTTTTTTTTAACTTTTACATTTTTATGGTTAAAAAAAGAGTGTATTTTTCGAAAACCGTGTCAACTACTATAGGAAACTGACGTGGACTTATAAAAATTATAATTTTGACAAAAATTAACTAATTTTAAAATTTTAAAATGATTTTATATGCATTTCAACCTGAAAACTCCAAATCTGAAAACCGTTTTGTTCTATCATCACCTTAAATGGTAGAAAAACGCAATGCCAAGATTCGCCAATTTGGCGGGAATTTAAATTTTTGACAAAATTTTGTTTAAATGTTAATTGTGTTGGTTTTTGTGTTGTATAAGTACTTTCACTTTAAATTTTAGAAAACTTTTACCAACCGATAACAAAGTTACTGCATGTAAAGTCAAAAGATACCACAGTAACTGAGTATATACGGATGATAACTAAAGTAAAAATTAAAAAATTGTGTTTATCTGTGTTTATGGTCACGTTTTACAATTCTGCAAAGTTTGAAGTAATTTGTGTAAGCCGTTTTAAAGTTACAAGTTTTAGATTCAAAAAATGAGGTAAAATTCTATAGGAAAGTGATTTGGGCTTGTAAAAAATAGTAACTTTGGTAAAAATTGACCAATTTGAAAATTTTAAAATGCTATCATATGCATTTTGACCTGAAAACGTCGAATCTGAAATCAGTTTTGTTCTAACGTTTTTTTAATTGACAGAAAAATACAATGCCAAAGTATGCCAATTCGGCGGAAATTCAAATTTTTGACAAAATTTTGGTTAACTATTAATGGCATTGCTTTTCGCATAGGTCAAGCACCTCAACTTCAAATTTTTATAAAATTCAATTAACTTATAACAC